CATCTATCTCTGACAATGTCCCATCCTCTAATTCTGGTTCAGCACAAATATTATCTTCTGAGAATGTTTCGTCGTCCCACTCTGAACCGGTATCAACGTCTGCTTCAGGTAATATTTTGTCTTCCGATTCTGGTTCTGTATCAGTATCTGCTACCGAGAGTGGTTCAACATTAGAGTCGGTCTCTGAGAATGTCTCGCCCTCCGTTACCAGTTCAACAATTGTGTCTTCCTCATATTATGGTTTATCTTCTGATTTTGCTTCAGTTCCAGCTCTATCATCCGATTTAGCATCAGCGCCTGCCTCTGATTCTGTTTCATCTTCCGATACTGTTTCAGTACCAACATCTGCTCCTGATTCTGTCTTATCCTTTAATCCTGGTGCTTCATCACTGTCAACTACTGATAGTGGTTCAACATTTGAGTCAGTCTCAGAGAATATATCGTCCTCCGATTCTAACCTAGCACCGGTGTCTGCTTCTGCCACTGTTTCGTCCTCAGGTATTATTTCTGTGCCAGCTTCGTACATTGATTCTATTTCACCCTCTGATACTATGTCTGGGTCAGATCCGTCCTTTGATTCCGGTTTAGCATCAACACCTGCCATTGAGAATGGCTCAACATTAGGGTCAGCCTCCGAGAATGTATTATCTTCTGATTCTGTCTCCGTGCCTGCTGTATCCTCTGAAAATGTTTCATCTTTTGGGATTGGTTCAGTGTCAGCTTCTTTCTCCGATGTTGGTTCAACATCATCTGTTTCTGATACTATTTTGTCGTCCGATTCTGGTTCAGCACCAACGTCTACCTCTGACAATGTCTCATCTTCCAATTCTGATTCAGCACAAGTATTATCCTCTGAGAATGTTTCGTCGTTCGACTCTGGTTCGGTGTCAGCATCTGTCACCGAGAATGGTTCGACGTTAGATTCAGTTTCCGAGAATATCTCGTCTTATGATTCTGATGCAACGTCAGGTTTGTTATCCTTTACTGTTTCTGCGTCAGTTTTGTCCACTGATCCAGTTTCATCCTCTAACATTGTTTCTGATTTGCCCTCAGTTTCTGTTTTACCTTCTGGTATTGTTTCTGATTCATCCTCTGATACTTCTCCAGGGCCAGTTCTATCCTCCGAGTCTGAGTCTGCATCAGTGTCTAATTCTGAGAATGAATCATCCTCCGATTTTGTTTCTACATCGGTGTCTGCCCCTGAAAAGGTCTCATCTTCAGATTCGGGCTCAGAATCAGCATCTATCGTTGATAATGTTTCGTTATCCATCACTGGCTCATCATTAGTGTCTTTCTCAGATTCTGGTTTATCCTCCGATACTTCTCTTGGGTCAGGGGTTTCCTCTGGTTCAGTATCAACATCTATCTCTGAGAATATTTTATCCTCGGGTATTGTTTCAGTACAAACATCTGCTTCTGATTTATCCACCGATGCTGATTCTGTATCAGCTTCATCCTCCGATTCAGGTTCAACACCAACTTCTGCCTCCAATCCTGTTTCGTCCTCTTATTATGGTTCAATATCAGCATCTGTCTCAGACAATGTTTCTTCCTCCGTAATGGTTTCAGCATTAGCTTCGTCTTCTGATATCGTTTCTACACCAACGTTTTCCTCCAAGAATGTCTTGTCTTCTAATTCTGATTCAAAGTCGGCTTCGTCCTCTGATCTTAGTTCAACACCAGCGTCTGCATCTGATAATGTTTCGTCTTCACATACTTTTTCTGTGTTGACATCTGCCTCCGATTCTGCCTCGTCTTCCAATCCTGTTTCTGTACCAATATCCGCCACCGATTTTGTTTCATCTACCGATTCTGTTCCTGAGTCAGTTTCATCTATCAGATCGATTTCTGCCTCAAATTTTGAATCCAGCGTGTCTAGTTTCATCAGCAACGATACTCACTATTCATCGTCTTCACATTCTGCTACTAGCTTTGAATCACCGACGTTTTCGACCTTTTCTGACTTATCGACGACACCAACCGCTGTTCCTAGCTCCATCACTTCCTCCAACCCTGAAAGTACTGCTTTATCTCAAATTTCTAGTGCACCGGAATCATCCATCCTGCTTCGGACGAGGTATGTAACCGTCACCGAGTGGGTCAACCTGTGCCCTTAGACTGCAGCGGGAGAGCTTCCAGGTAACTTTCTTCTTTACCACACTCTTTTTCATGCCAACCGTAGCATGGTCCTCGGAAGTTTTAGTATTATATTTCTCCCTTGTAGTCTCTCAAATACTTGGCTTTTTTCCGGATTTATCTTTTTATTATTGGGTTCCTCTTTGTTTTCTTGGACCATAGCCCACCACGGGTTATATATGTATAATATTTTTTAGTATTTTAACTCTAGATGTAAACAGATCCTGTTACACTTGTGAATCAGGTACACGCAAAAATGAACTTCTAGGCTTGCTTTCTTGATATGCAGTACGATATTGGGAAGTGACGTAAATTCGCGATCTTATATTTCACTCTAATCTTAATCATTATTCTAATGACCTTTCACACGGCCTCGGTGGAACCGTTGAGAAGCATCTGTATTTTGTAATACCACCCTTTTTCTTCTGTTATTCCTTAATAATACTTATTACACCATCACATGAGACATACCGCTGGGAGTGCCCCTTTAAATGAGTCATATGTCAACGTTTCGGACCACGGCCAGCCTAACACTTTCCTCCTCCGGCACGCTACGCAACTGCTTGATGAGTAAGCCGGTACCGGCGCCGTAGATAAAACTATCCGGGAGGGGCTACAGTCCCCCGCTGGCACGCCGAGGGGTGCACACCGCGCTTAGTTATCGGAGCTCCTCGCACTCGGAACTTTCCACGCGCGATGATTCACTCTGGGTATGGGGCAACTTGCGGAAGACATTCGCCGCTGACTTTTAGTGTATATATATCTTGTTTCTTTCTCTTTCTTCAAAAGTATAGTATCCGTCATATATACACAATGTCTACCGCTGCTATGTTCCGTCGCCAGGCCTCTACCATGAGAGCCCATACCTTGGCCAGAATGGCCGTTTCCCAGAGATCCTTCTCTTATACTCAACTTTCCTTGGCCAAGATCAAGGTCAAGAACCCAATTGTGGAGTTGGACGGTGACGAGATGACCAGAATTATCTGGCAAATCATCAAGGACAAGTTGATAAACCCGTACTTGGAGGTTGACTTGAAGTACTACGACTTGGGGATCGAGTCGCGTGACCAGACCAACGACAAAATCACTGTGGATGCCGCGGAGGCCATTAAGAAATACGGTGTCGGTGTCAAGTGTGCCACTATCACACCAGACGAGCAGCGAGTCGAAGAATTTGGCTTGAAGCAGATGTGGAAGTCGCCTAACGGAACTATCAGAAACATCTTGAACGGAACCGTCTTTAGAGAGCCGATTGTGATTCCCAGAATCCCAAGATTAATTCCAGGCTGGGAAAAGCCAATTATTATTGGAAGACACGCCTTTGGTGACCAGTATAGATCCACTGACTTAGTGGTCGAGGGCCCAGGGAAGTTGGAGATGATCTACACCCCTACCAACGGCGGTGCTTCAACCACCTTGAACGTGTACGACTTCCAGGGCCCAGGTGTGGCTTTGGCGATGTACAACACCGATGAATCCATCTACGGCTTTGCTCACTCCTCATTTAAGTTGGCTTTGTCCAAGAACTTGAATTTGTTCTTGTCTACCAAGAACACTATCTTGAAGAAGTACGACGGCAGATTCAAGGACATCTTCCAGGAATTATATGACTCCACCTACAAGAGTCAGTTCGAGGCTGCGGGCATCTGGTACGAGCACCGTTTGATCGACGATATGGTTGCGCAGATGATTAAGTCCAAGGGTGGCTACATCATGGCCTTGAAGAACTACGACGGTGATGTGCAGTCTGATATTGTTGCGCAAGGCTTCGGGTCCTTGGGGTTGATGACTTCTGTGTTGATGACTCCAGATGGCAAGTCTTTTGAGTCTGAGGCCGCCCACGGCACGGTCACCAGACACTTCAGACAACACCAACAGGGCAAAGAGACTTCTACCAACTCCATTGCGTCCATCTTTGCCTGGACCAGGGGTATTGCCCAGAGAGGGACCTTGGACAATACTCCGGAGGTTGTCAAATTTGCTGAGCTCTTGGAAAAGGCCACCTTGGACACCGTCCAGGAAGACGGAATCATGACTAAGGACTTGGCTTTGGCTTCTGGTAAGACCGATAGATCCTCCTACGTCACTACTACCGAGTTTTTGGACGCCGTTGCCGACAGATTGAAGGCCCAGGTTAAGGTTTGAGCAATATTGCTTGTACATGTCTATAGAAAATAAATCTATTATGTAACTAGAACTTGTCATAGCTGGGGTAGCAGCATGTGAAATTGCCAGGAGAATGGTGAATCACAGTTTTTAAAGTAGACTAATCTTAGTAAGCTGGCCCGACCAGAGCGCTAGTATAGTGTCAATAGGAGGAAGCCACCGCATTTAATGCTAGCCGCTAGCATGTAGGTTTTAGAATGCCATGCCTTCTACGATTTTCGAAGTTTATAAGACTATAAAATATCCTGGGCTATTAAAGATCAGGCAGTCGTGACTGAAAACAATAACAGGTATAGTCGTAAAAGTATGATACTTATACCCAATAATACTATAATAGTTTGGTATTAATCTCAGAGGGTCTAAGGTCATCATTTTCGAAGATATCTTATACAAAAGAGAGTAACCAAGCTAATGAGGTTAACCCTGACATAAGAGATACAAGAAGCTGTCAGCTTTTTTTCACGCCACTCCAAGTGGAAAAAAGAATGATTTCGCCCAGGATCGAACTGGGGACGTACTGCGTGTTAAGCAGGTGCCATAACCAACTAGACCACGAAACCATCCGTGAAAATCTCCAAGTTCTATCAAAACTCCAACCAGAACTCCTATATGTAAATCCAACGAAAGAAGAACCTTGAGGAATATGGAAAGATATAAAAGATAAGAGATTTATGTGTTATATAATCGACACCATTGAAGTCGATACTTGTTGACAGAGTAAGGTTGTGTTACAGTAGGTTGGATAATCATGCGATGACAGGCACGAGATGACAAACGCATGATAACCAGGTAACAAAAATATGACAAATACAAGATGACAATTCAATATACTATTACAATATGACAGCTACAGAATGTCGTTCCCGAAAATTGGGCGGCCTATCCATGATCTGTAATCCCTGCCGAAATCCAAATGTTCGACAGACGTAGAAACCGCAATAAGGACAGCAAAAACGTGCTGACAAATATCAAATTGTTAGCGATTTTGAGATTCATTCATTGGCTCCTAGCAAGCCATAAAACTTCCACACCACTGTTGAATAACTCTGGAATGTTTTTTTTTAGCTTGCAATAAATATTCGAATATTATAGGACCGAGGCGTAAACTTCCAGAGAATGGATTATTATGAGAGTATCTGACGTGTAGTTTTCTCGTTTTAGTATCCAAGTCGCATGCGCGCTTGAATTTGGTGTAGATGTTGGCTAAACTTCTACAGACTTCCTAGGCTTATCACACAAATATTGCGCCATGCTTATATAGCCTTTTTAATAACTAGTATTGCTTCCGCTTATACCCCCAACAGAGTTCTCCGCGCATGCCGTCCCCTCTTCGGTTGCGGTGAAAAATTTTGCCGCGCGCATGGATCAGTCAGAATGAGATATTTTCCAGCGCTCGCGGATCGGAGGCGATGGGCATGATATCTGGACCGTGCAAAATGCCCCTCGATTTTGCAATTTTTTTTCTCACAGCAATCACATCACAACGCGTGCCACCCAAGCCTTTTGACGTGTATCAAGGTTACCTCCCGCCAAGAAATAACACCCTATTCACATTTCTCCGACAGCCGCGATAATTGGGTAAAGCTGCACTCCTTTAGCCGAGACTTGTTCCATTGGTGAACTTTCCAACCTCGTTACTTTGACCATCACTGATTGAACCTTACCGAGTTATTTCACTGATTCCTTGAATATACACCCATACACACGATGCCAAACAAAGAGAACGACGTGGTTCCCATAGCCCCAACGACTCCAGTGACAGCAGTACCAACGGTAGCAAAACAAGCTACCGCCGCGGCACCTGCGGCCCCAAAACAAGCTGCTAGCGAAGCTACTCCAAAATCTGCTGCAACTGCGGCGACTCCTTTCCCTACCCTTCACGTAAGCTCCAACCGCGAAACAACCCCCCCACCGTGCATCAAGGCCAGCGAGGATGGCCCGTTGAAATACACTAACTCAGTTTCCTTCACTGAACCCTCTGCGATCGAGCGCTCGCACCGTGGTTCCATCTCTGCACGACCTTCAACCACCAATGTGTCAGGGGATGCGCCAGTGTCGGCTCTTGCTGCGCTCTCAGCGAATCCACGCGCGGCGCTCTCGACAAATCCGCGCGTAGCGCCTTCGCGCACGCCTTCAGTGCCTTCGCGCCAGGCGTCCATCACTTCACGCCAGAGCTCCATTACAGGCGACTTTTTGCAGTTTGCTGCCCCTTCCAGCCGCTACGCTAATTATGACATTGCGCCTACGTTCCCGTTGCCGCAGTCGCCTAGCAGTGTGGCTTCCCCTGTCTCAGACGAAGAGCGTCTCTTGCCGGAGCTTGCGCGTGCGCCGCTGATCGTGCGCCGCAAAGCCGTGAAGCAGGTCATCCTGGTGCCGACGGGCCCCCCTATTCCGTTCACACAGTACTTGCAGCGCCACGATGACGAAAAGATTCACATTTTACTCGGGGTATCAGGCTCGGTTGCCACCATCAAGGTGCCGCTTATTATCGACAAGCTCTACGAGATCTACGGACCGGACAAGATGAGCGTGCAAGTAGTAGCGACCAACGCCGCGTCCCACTTCCTCAACGGGTTGAAGATTCAGGCCGAGGTCAAGGTGTGGCGTGACAAAGATGAATGGTGCACGCCCGAGAGCCGCAGTCGCAGCGTGGGCGATCCGATTTTACATGTTGAGTTGCGTAAGTGGGCAGATATTTTGTTAGTGGCGCCGCTCTCTGCAAACACGTTGGCGAAAATGGCCAACGGGCTTAGCGACAATCTCTTGACGTCGATCATCCGCGGTTGGAATCCGATGACACCGATAATTGTCGCGCCCGCCATGAACACGTTCATGTACACGCATCCAATGACCAAGCGCCACGTGACCCAGTTGGTCGCCGACTGCCCCTGGATCGAGGTGCTCAAGCCGGTTGAGAAAGTGTTGGTCTGCGGTGACATAGGAATGGGTGGTATGCGCGAGTGGAGTGAATGCGTCGAGATTGTGCGCAAGCGGCTCATCAGCATCCGCAATGCTAAGCTAGGCATCGAAGGTGACGAGGATGAGGAGGATGAGGAGGATGAGGATGAGGATGAGGAGGATGATGAGGAGGATGAGGAGGACGATGATGAGGAAGTCCATGATCCGGATGCCCAAGCGTAATGTACCTCGAATGGATGTCGTAAGGATGTGAGAAGTGGACTGTAGGGTAGGGGCGTGCTTAAGAGTAAGGGTAGATCCCAAGGCTTTCTCAGCAGCGATATCACAGTAGACAGCTACTTGGCGTGATGTTTTTGGTTTGATAGAGGGGGTCCTCAGGAAGCATACTTTGGAGTGATAATGCTACGATGCCCACGAGGAATGTGAAATAACCTAGGTTGTTTCCCGAAAACAGATCTCCAGCTGGTAGCTCAAATATCTAGCCAAGCGATGTTCACCGAGTTCGGGGCTAAAGTTTGTTGAAGATGCCAGGTTTAACCTTTTGCTTCTCTTTGTAGTGTCTTTGCGTTTCCTTGTTGTTACAGGAAGTAGCGGCCAAGTGCAGAGATTCATCCCACTCTACGGCAAAACGTATAAAGCCTTTGTCTGGTTCTCTTAGCGCCAGAGAGGCTTTAACGTAGAAAAATCATCGGATCACCAATATCACGTCCAGGCTAAATTTTACTGGAAGATTTCTAAAGGTTGGTGCAAACTAAATAAACATATTAGAGGCAGGAGATAAGCTCTGAGTGTGTGCATATGCATGTTTTTAGGATCCACGTACTTGCACGTGGATCAATCTGCTGATGCAGCGAATAAACAGGGATAGGATCAAATTATAGACATCTTGGTGCCTGAAAAATGGCCAAGTGTCATACTGAAAGGTAAGTAAATCTTTATCTGAAGGGGTTTGTAGTTCCACGGACAACCAGATTATACGTAGAGTTCAACCCCCCTCCACATTGTGCAAGTAGCTTAAAGACTCAGATTCCCATTATCCCTCTTGTTTCACCAAGGAAGAATCTAAACCAAACATCACACAGCTATCACTTAGTCTCATCATAACTACAAAAATGCCATACGTCAATGATTACGCCAAAACAATACATCTAAAATAAACGTTAAACCAACCCATCGTACAACTTCAAGGCGTGCAAGATGCTTGGGTCCAACTTGGAGCCCTCCTTGAACTCTTCCAACGTGATCTCGCCGTCTTTATCCTTGTCCATCAAGGTAAAGATCTTTTGCACGCGTTTTTCCGGGGTGCTTTCGTCGTCGTCCAACTGTACCATCGGGTCGCTCATTTTGTAGATGGCCTTGACAATGGCCAACATTTCGTCGAAGCTGATCTTACCATCCTCGTTCAAGTCATACATCTTGAACGCCCACACCAATTTCTCCTCTAATGAGCCTCTGGAGGTGGTGGAGATGGCCACGATGAACTCCTTGAAGTCGATATAGCCGGAGTGGTCGGTATCGAAGTTGTTGAATACATAGTTGCTGAAATCGTTTGGTTCCCCGAATGGGAAGAACTGCTTGTAGATTTTGGTGAACTCCTCTTTGGAAAGCTGTCCTGACGGACAGTCTCTTAAGAAACCTTTGTACCAGGTCTGCAACTCGCGGCGGTCAAAGTACGTCGACTTCTTCAAGGCACTGATATCGTCTTTGGATAATTTGGAAGCGGCTTTACCCATTATTAAAAGTAAGATAGTGTGAAGGTTTGATAGCAGGAAATAGTACGGTTAGTGAGGTACCAGGTGATTACTTGCTGGAGAAATGCAACTGAAATATAGACCCTTTAATGCGCTTCAGATCGCAACTCCTGTCACGCTACTTCCGCGTTCCGTGCCGTACCGTTTGCTGGCCGATTATTAAGTAAGCAGCTTGCTACAGGAAAGTAGGACCTGCATCGAGGAAAGAGGCGCAGCCAGAGTGAGGAATATCCAGTTTGCAGGACACTGAGCCCATACAATACTCTCCAGTTGGACTGAAGTTATACAATAATTGCTAGCTGCATTTAGCTGGTATCTGGTCAACTACACCCCGAAGTCGCACCATAAATTGAAACGGAACTTGGTAGGTTTAAGCTATGGATTAAAAAGAATTTACAGTAAACGGGTATTATCACTAACTCGGGTTTTTGCTGGGATACGGAAGACATGGACGCGATTAGTGTATAAGGATTATAACGATAATATTGCCCGGGACTCTTACCAGAATCATTCTTGGAGAGTAATCTATCGGACACTGATGTATGTTTTTTTAATGTATCTTATCTAGTGGCGATTTTTAGCTGAGTATATGCCTGGTTACGTACACGTGGATGGTATTTCAAGTTTCAGCTTCTGACATGACTAGTGGCTGTGTGGAAACTGGGACTGGCACCGAAATGTTTATGTAATTTCTTACACGCACATCATTAGGATTATTCAAAGCTGATTCAACCGTTAAATAGACACGAAATAACCATGTAATCGGTGTACAAGTTTAGATTTCTTATATCATAGTTTTAAACCACTCCGTCATGCCGTTTCCATGTCTCAGCGTGTCATAATAACACCCCGACCACCCTCCAGTTTCCCATAAACGGCAAAAGAAACTTTCACTAGGTCTACAAGTTATGACATTAATCGGAGTCAAATCGGGTGTACTTATAAACATTAAGCTAGTATTGTAGTATCCTCAATCACGCTATATAAAAGGATGGAATCAAAAGTTGTCTCCAACTCTCACCTGCTCATTGAACCAAGCATCTATACCTTCACGGGGACGAATCCCTCCTTTTTCCACCTCAAATAAGCTCCCGCCAAGCCTCACATATCTCAATTTACTATCAGCGTGGGCTCTACTTGCCTTCAAATACTTCAACACAAGTGGCTCCACCTTTAACCAGCTATCTAAGATCCCCGAATGCACCACCTGAAACGCCATGTGAGGGGCCCCATCCGATCCTGAGCCCTGTAGATCAAGAAATTGTAGATTTGGTAGTACCGACAACGTACGCTCCACATCCGCTGGGAGTCTTTTCTCAGAATCCACGCGAAGAGAGACCAAGTTTTGCAAGCGTGGAAGAAACGTCTCTAGGAGCCCCTCAGGAAACTGCTTCCCCAAGTCTCCAAACAGATTTTCTTCCTTGGCACTAATGGAAAGCTTAGTGAGGGAACCTTTAAAGAGGGATATTCTTTCCAAGTAGAGAGCGCATAGGTCTTGCCAAGAACTGTAAGAGCTCAATTTAGACTGGTTCCACCTAACAGTTATGTCGAGTTCTCGCAATTTTGGACTGGTTAACAAAGAAAGAAACTCTGGTACTGTGTCGGCCATACACTCTCTGTAATCAAGATGAAGTACTTCTAAATTGAGAAGCAAAGGTGCCAACTGTACGATCAAACTCGGTGCTAATAACGCCTTCGTCCCGTGTCCGATGCGCCCGTGGGGGATAATTTGCACCTCACTGATGCGTATGAACTCTAATCGTGTAAGATTTCTTAGATTCACAATCAGATTCAATCTAGGGAAGTCACCGGGAACCAAGAAACAGTGAGAAAGCGAAAGGTGGTTTAACTCAGAGTAGCGGATATTTAACTTCTTGCCATTCACTTGAACGGAAGAAAGAGAATGGACCACGTCCAAATCAAGCGTGGTTACTGCTGGTGATGTAAGGATTAACAGGGAACTGGGTGGCTTCAAGATCTTATTTTCACGCGGCAACCGCGCCACTCCGAGAGACTTTAATCGTCTGTTGACATATATTTCACCCTCCATGGTTCCACTAACAAATATTTTAACAAGCTTTGCCAAGTACTGTGAATTGGAAATGGGAAAAAGAGCCAAGTTACGTAAGTTGAGGAAGTTGCACACGGGGTTTTGATGCTGTATACCGCTTTTGGCAGTGATATCCCACATGCTTAAATCCACGGCTATACTCTGCAAAGAGAGCTTATTTTCCACGTTCATTAAACTGGTAAACTTTATAATTTCTGGGGCTCCACTGGACACGTCTAACCAGACAAGCTCGTTGAGCGTTGGGAGTTGCGCGAAGAAGGATTGAAGCGAGCTCTTCACCACGTGGCGGATGGGAAACATAAGCGGGAAAGTGTTATCAGGTAAAGTTATGCACCTGAAACGCTTTATTAGAGACCTCAAGTAAGGTGCTTCAGAGACGTGTTTGAGAAACGCAATAAAATTGGAGAAAGTGCGAATGTATGTACTACCCAATGCGCTACGGTTAGGATGAGAAAATATCTGTGCATGTTTTTCGTGGTTAAATCGGGAATAGGATTTGTCAATGATAACAGATTGATACAAGTGAGCTATACCCACATTGTATAGAAGTTTGCAGGTATACATTATTGACAAACAATCATGTTGCAGGAGCTGATTGGCAATTTTAGCTAGCACTTCCACGGGAAAGTCATCTAAACGGCACTGTAATGGAAACCCCTTGAATTTGATAGGCAATAGGCATTTATCAGAGAATTTCTTGTAGTCGTAATTAATGGGGGGATTAGTGTTGCAACTGTGGATGGCAGCGGCATCGAAACTATAGATGGTTTGGGCCAGTGATTGAATGAGCTTGTGCATGACGAAAATTGATTAAGCCGGCAGTTGTAACGTAGGTATTCGGATATTTATACCTAGAAGCTATCCTCTAATCATTTATATGCTTCACAGAGACAAACATTTAAAAAGGGAACAAACTGTGGTTAATAAGTGAAGAAAACTATTTACTCGAAGCTCTTCGACTTAACACCGATATGACAGACCTGCATGCGGGTTTATCGCATGCATATGGATCAGGGACTGCCAAAAGTGAATGGCCACTAGCCGGTGTTAATATACCCGGACATATATGTGCAACTTGTCAGGTGATTTAACGGGACTATTATCGACTCTCTTCTCGCTCATATAGCTACTGGACTTTGGTGTTATTCAAATATTTCCATTTCCCAAGAATGGCGTTAAATTTTGTAAATGGCTTACTGAAAAGATAACGCTGGAATTTTAGAAAAGGAGAAATTAGCCGAGGTGTTTGAGTATAGCGCATTTTAGGTCGAATCACAACCATATTACTCAACATACTTGGATGCAATTCTGCCCAAAGAAGCTCTTAGTTGCATGGGGCGCACGTGAGATGCGTGGTCCAGGCAATGGACAGAGATGGGGGGCATCACGTAGCCAATGACATTAATGGGAAAAAAAATATTGTGGAGAATACCAATACGGATGTATTATACCGTCAAGCTTGGATTGAAACATATTATGTACATATTACTTCGGAAAGCAACCCTTGGCCCACGTTTAAGGGAGACCTTTGTCACCTTCCCTTATAACTGTCGCTGACGCTTCACATCTGCACTGTACTCCATCGCTCATAACCCACACGGCTTATATCAACACATATATTAATATTTGGACGGTTACATCTACTCTCCTCATAAAAGCCATCTCCCATACCATGTCACCAAAGAGGCTGCTCAAAGAAGTGTCATCCTTCTATGCGTCGCCGCTATATGACTTTCTTATGCCGTTCCGCCCGGCACCAAACCAATGGGCTGCGCGCTACATCATCATCGTGTTCACCGTCATCATCCGCTGCGGCGTGGGCCTCGGCTCGTACTCCGGAATGGGCTCGCCGCCAATCCACGGGGACTTTGAGGCACAGCGCCACTGGATGGAGATCACCACGCACTTGCCGATGAAAGAGTGGTACTTTTACGATTTACAGTATTGGGGCCTCGACTATCCGCCGCTCACTACGTACCATTCATGGGTCTTGGGTAAGGTCGGCAGCTTCATCAACCCCGCGTGGTTTACCCTCGTAGATTCGCGCATGTTTGAGTCTGAGAATCTCAAGTCCTACATGCGTTACACCGCCATTGCGAGCGAGGTCTTGGTTTACTACCCTGCAGTGTTCGGCTTTGCGCGCTGGATGGCAGGCAAGTACCATCGCCAGCCGGCAATCGATCAGACTATCGCTGTAGCTGCCATTCTCTTCCAGCCATCATTGATCTTGGTGGATCACGGACACTTCCAATACAATTCCGTAATGCTTGGTTTGACGCTTCTTGCCATCGTCCAGCTACTTCACGACAACTACGCGTTGGCGGCTATTGCGTTCACGTGCTCGCTCTTCTTCAAACAGATGGCCTTGTACTACGCGCCGTTTATCTTTGCTTACATGCTCAGTGTGTGCGTGTGGCCGCTTTCCCGCTTCAACCTCTTGCGTTTGCTCTCGGTCGGTATTAGCGTCCTTGTGACGTCATCCGTGATGCTCCTCCCGCTTGTTTATTCAGCTGGAAGAGGCAATACCATATTGATGTTGCAGCAAGTGATGCTCCGGGTGTTTCCCTTCAGCCGCGGCATCTTCGAGGACAAGGTGGGCAACTTCTGGTGCGCTACAAACACCTTTGTCAAGTACAAGAACCTCTTTGATACCCAGCAGTTGCAGTTCTACTCGTTCATCGCCACAATTGCGGCCATTGTCGGCCCATGTACCGTAATCTTTCTCTACCCAAGAAAGCATCTCTTGCCGTGGGGCTTCGCGGCTGTCAGTTGGGCGTTCTACTTGTTTAGCTTCCAAGTACACGAAAAGTCTGTGTTGATCCCCTTGATGCCTACGACGCTTCTCTTCTGTGACAACGATGCGCAGGTACTTGCCATGGTTGCCTGGATCAATAACATCGGCCTTTTCAGCATGTGGCCGTTGCTCAAGAAGGATGGTTTGAGCTTACAGTATACTGTAGTAGGACTTTTGTTCAACTGGTTGATCGGCAGCTTGGACTGGATCTCCCTCTTTCTTCCGAAGTTCATCATCCCCGGCCTGACGCTCCTTGTGGTCGATCACAGCTTAAAGCGTGACCCGTTACCGAAGGGCTGGTTCTGGAGACCTGTCACTGTCCTATCTACTTCTGCCGCCGTTGCTATTCATCTTTGTGATGCCTACGTCACTCCACCAGCAAGTTTACCGGATATCTGGGTCGTTGCTAATGTCACATTGTGCTTTGGAAGTTTTGCCTTGTTCTTTTTGTGGACGTGTTACAAAATGATTGCTCTTCGGAACGCGGAGACGGGTCATTTGATTCTGAAGGTGAACTAGATACTAGTTAGTGAGCAAGTTTATGAAGCAGTCGGGGGTAGAATTAGAAATGAGCGAACAGGATTGCTTAAACCGAGTACTCATGGCTTGGGAAATCCGTAGTTTACGAAAGACCTAATGTGCCCTCTTGTATAAAATTTGTTATTTCGACATAAATATTAAAGCATAGAGACTTAACAGGTTCAACTCAAGCTTGCTGGCATAGCAAGCGTTATAACGGCCCTGTATGCCGGTACCCCCCAATCCTAGTATTAATCCTGGTATTAATTCTAATTTATATACTCCAGTTGAGTTATAGCAATGATTTAGCTATTTACGGGACTACGAAGTTAATCCAGATAATTAATATCTCTTCCAGAGATTGTCAAATTAATTAGCTATTCGCTACATCGTGTAGTGTTTAGTTTGATAAATTTACCAACACCAGGGAATGGTAATCCCCTCCTTAATTTTCCGATCTGGGGTGAATATCCCCCACTGTGTTTCGATCCTGCTATTCGGAGAATGGAAAACCTTTTTCCAGGGTTCGTCAAAACCCTCAAACCAGTACCATCCATAGTTTTGTCTCCGTGCCTCACATACAAAGCTATCCAAGAATTGCTGGAATTGGCGCGGCCCTGCCACCGCTGCCTTATAGGATCCACCTCCGTATGGCCAACCCACCTCGGAAATGGTGATTGGCTTCTTATTCCCTTTTCCCGCTTGCAACGATTCCACCTGTTCCTCTATAAAGTCAAAAGTCCATTTAGTAGCCATCCCAACGTTACCACCACCGAAGAACGGATGAATGTTGACACCCACATGATCCGAGGAATCAATAATCTGCTTATTCATTTTGGATCCAATTTCTGAGGTACCCACCGGTAAATTGGCCCATTCTCTGCCAGATTCCTTGACAATGTTTTTAGCTTCGTTAATGTACCTAACCAATCCGTTTACTGGCATCTCCTCTCTGAAGAGAACCTCGTTTCCGATGTACAACGACTCAAAGTATCGGCGAGGATATATCTGTAGCATATTCCTCATTGTATTCATCTGCTGAGTGTTAATACGGTCGTTCTCTCCGATCCAAATACCCATAGCAAGCGTCATGTTAAGGTTAAGTTCCCCGATGGCCTGGAAAATCAAAGAGGCCTGGTTACACTGCATTCCATACGTTCTTATTCTCGTAGTAAGACGTGACAATACTGCAAGATCTAGCATCACCTCACGAAGAGTGGCACCACAGGTTGGTGCCCTAAATTGGTCGTTAGTTAGTAATTCCTTGTGAACGGTGGTACAACATACATTACCCCTCGCGGTGCGTAATCTATACCATAAAACACGCTATGGAGTCGGTTATCGGACATCAAACTAACAATTTCCTGGTCGTCTCGGTACTTTTCAGGTAACCCAGCTACTGAGTTGTACCCTGGAATATCGGCACCCCGGGGAAAATAATTATTAACCAGCGAGTCATTTTTTGAGACGTGACCGGCGGTTTTGCTAGTACTTGGGTCATAACCAGAGTGAGATGCATTAGAGGTATTAAATTGGCCCTGAAGCATATCTAAGAGTAGTTGTTTTTCACCAGCATCCAAATTTCGAACCGCTGTTTCCAAGTTAATTGGCAGTGATTTATGATTCCGAAGTTGCATCCTAAGTCATAGTGTTAGTAATAGAACATAGAGTTTCACTGAGTTGAGGCAATACGTACAATCCAAGCATGAACAGGATTATGATGAAGCATCCGGTAATCATCATTAAAACGTAGAACCGTCTCTTGTAATAACTCTTTGGCAGGATAAATGAATGCAGCGGAAGGTCCAGAGCGGAATCCCTATTGTTCATCTTTTCTGATTTCTTTCCGGAAAGTATCGTTTCATTGATTACTGCCAGACCAGGGGCGATACCAGAGTCAACATTTTCCAAAAAGAAAGGATTAACAGTAGCTCCCCGAGAACCTGGGCCACTAGAACGCAACGCGCTTGAACCCACAATCGCAGAATTGCAGTATGGAATATACTTGCTTGATACAGTGGGGGTGAAGGATTCGGGAGCCTGGGATATAAGAAATGAATTCTCTATCTGTAACCACTTCTCTTCACTGAGGATCCCTGTTTTTTCGGATGTGTTATTAGCTCCATCGGTGCTTGAGAGCGTGTTACCGGATGTCGACGGCGAAGCCTGGTTTTCAACAGGATTGTACATAACTGTGTTTGACCTTTCAAGAGGAGTACCTATTTCGTCGTCAAAAATTTTTCCTGCTTTTTCGTTGATATAAGAGAGGTTATCATGATCGCTGTTGGAAACTTTATCAGAAGGAGCACCAGACGATTCTGACTCTATCATTGATGGTAAACTTTCTTGTGTTATTGGATTCATTTCCCTAGCGGTATCCCAGTTAAGACTAACGTTGGAGTTTAACATTGGTTGGGACTCGCAGCGTTTTTTACCTGACACTGCCAGCTTGTCATCTCTGGAATCTTTATCATCCCTGACGACTCTCATTGGACTAGTAGCAGTTCTAGGTCTTACTTGGGCCTTTTCCATTTCTTTTTCAACCAGTAAGGCTGAAAAACAAATAGGTTTGGAGTAATGAGGTATTCCAGGGGCTAGCTTTGGACGAACCGGGGTTGTTACTGCTTCTGGCTTCGGGGGGAGTGATGGAATTGAAGAGTAAATACTGTCTAGAAAGATATTCCTGTTTTTGATTTTTTGGTCTCTTTCGGTGTCATGCTCCAAATCATTAACTTCCTTATCTCCTCCATCTAGAATCTCGTATTTTCCTTTGATACTGCTAGTTGTAGAATAGTCCCTGGTACTAGGATTTTTGGCGGAAGTCATTGGTAGAGAAGGGCTCGAGAAATTGCCTTTACTCCGAGTGATAATTATGACAGTTAATATGCCAAAATTCTTCACGTATCCACTTTTCTCGAAGTTTGGATTAAAACTAGATCACATAATGATGGATCAAGAAGCATGGAAATTTTTGGATGGGGTACTTGGCTTAGTACACATGTTGGTAAATTTTCTGAGAATGTGCCACAAAAGGAGACTTGTGTGTTCATCCTTCAGCTAAGACACAACGAGATTCCATGAAAGGAATCATTTACGATTTGGCAATCTATCTCAATAAAATCTGTAGTCCATATTTTATGATCTTTATAAAGCATTTTACATGTCTAGATTCTCAGCCTGTGGTGAAATCCCTAGTATTTCACTCGAAAATAGCTATTACTGTATGACAACGAGAAATCATACACGCACTATGATTTTCCATAGGGCTAGCGCCACAAACGTAGAACGTAAATTAGCCATGGGTATGCCTGACTTCACAAGTAGGACACTTCCAGATAATGACCCTACGGTGAGAGCATAATTAAAGACAAAAATGGAAGGATGATACATTCAATTAAGCATAATTACACAATAACGGTAGTTGTAGGCTTTCCGTGGATTAATATAAGCTGGGGGTTAAGACATTGCCTCAGTTATAGGTCCTCTCTACGTTCAATAGCCCGAAATGTTCACCAGGGAACACCTAGCTTGAACCGTTTCTAGGGTATACTTCTATAGCCTGGGTACTTCCTAAAAGGCAACGATGTCTCTAGCTGAAGCTCCAGGAACTGTCAGTACAAAGGATCTTCGACTGGGTAAGCATTTCCGATTAATAGCCCTTCTGGTTAAGCCCTTCTGGTTAAGTCCTTCAGGTTTCGGTATTCGACGCTTTAGTCTCGTCCGGAAGCCTCGAACAGCCCTTCGAAAAAATCTTCACCAAACTGCCTCGCAGCACCTGACTTGACCTATTTCTCCACAATCACAAGCTTCACCTTGTCACCAGCCAACACCGCCCGCAACAGCTCGTCATCCGCCACCAAGCCATCATTCGGATCCGCATCATACCGGTCCTTCACATGGATCTCGACGTCCCCCTCCAAACCGATCCGCTCTGCTATATCACTCTTGATCGCGGTAAGCGTTGTCAGTGGAGCTACGAGCAACGCGTAGATATCGTCTTCAAAGTAAACCTTGACCTTGGTCTTCTTCGTCAGCGGTGGCGGTGAACCCGCCGGACCTGGGTGCGAGTTCCGCGCCGGGAGACTGTTGTGCGGCGAGGCGCCATTGAGCATAGAGATGCGCGAATTACGGTCCACATCCAAGTACTGCGACAAGCGGTCTTGCTGGTACGTCAGAGCACGGCCTATCGACCGCTGGGAATGAGAGTTGCGGTCGCTGATACGATTCTCGTTTTGGGCGTTACTAGCGTGCGCGTTCGCCTGGGGGTTGGGCAGCTCAAAGTAGTCCTGGTCGGGGGCAAATTCCCTGTCGCCGTCACGTAGCGCGAACAAGTCCACGACCAACTCAGACTTTGCGACGTGTGTGGGCAAGGAGATGAGTTTCTTGACGTACACATCAAAGTCGTTTCGCCGCTGGGCGCTGATAGATTCGTTGACCGTCATGAGTGGTCCAGGAATAAATGGAAGGATGCGCTTGACCCCAACAGTCTTACCAGCCTCGTCGGGGAACGTGTCAAGCAACTTGATCTGGAAGTCAAAGAAGTCTTCGTAGTAGCGGCAGAGCGAACGCACCACACCATTAGACATCGTAGGCTTCACCAAGTACCAGTACTTATCGTTGTGCAAGGCGAAGCTCTCGACGGAAACGTCAACGACGTAGATGCGGGCTAGCGACGGGGTACGGGTCTGTGGTGATGTGACATGCCCTGACGGTTCGCCACGGGTTTGCTCGCCCATTCGCGGTGACTCTGGAACCTTTGCCAGTGGGTCGCCCAACGGAATCGAGCTGGCCTTGTATTTAGCATTCTTCTCCTTCCACTCACGCACCGTTGGTAAGTTGTATTTCTGGATAATTACCTCCACAGGCGACAGGTCCGCTGCACCGTTGACCAAATCGTTCACCTGGACAAATCCCACAGGCACTAAACCGGGCCCGCCAAGACGGCCAATGGGCTTGGCGATGAACCAGTCCTGCTCATGGTGCGCACAGATAATCAAGTTCTCTCCTGCACTAACATCCAACTCCTCAGGCCGTTCGGCATGGAAGTCGTACATCACCTTGGCGTACAAGGTGCCGAGGCCGGAGTTGTTGGATGCGTTGGTCGAGGCCAGGCGAGAAACTAAGCCGGGACTCTTTTGTGGTGATGTCTGAGCGGGGCGTGAGCGACCAAACACCTCGAAGTACACGATGGGAACCATTCCGCGCAAGTTTGTTGCCGGGTTCGACACCTCGTACCAGTCTTCGTCGTCCTCGTTCACTACGTGGAAAAAGTCACCTTTGGTGAATGGCAACTCGCCTGGACCTTGCGGTTGGTAGTCATACAATGCTTTAACGACCTTAGTCGGCGAATAGAGCCCACCTTTACCGCTGGCGGACGATTTGGGCGAGAGTGTGGCCGAACCCTTCCCAAAAGATTCGCCTGAGTGATGTTTATCTCCTTTGAGCGTTCTCTTGAATGTCTGGATAGTTAGTATATGAAGTTGAAGAGTAAATTCCCACAAAGCGGAAAACTGCGATAAATTCGCCTGGTATCGCCTGCAGCTTTCACTTCAAGAGTCAGTTTCGCCTCCGCCCTTAAGTATTTTCTTTCTTTCACTTTTTGTATCATCAGAATTCAACATGACTGGCTCATCATCCATATCAAATTTCTTATCCCAGCTGGATTACGTCAGTCAATGCTTTATTCTTTGGGAAAACTGAGGATTTCTAGGCGCCGTTTTGTTTTGCTGGGGGTAAACGCTGATCTTTGACGTTTCGGGGTTTGAGGGGCAATCTCTGAGGTCTCTGGGATCCTTGAGGTTATAGATTATTAATCATCATACATACCTTCATTATATGTAGGGAAATAGTCTGTCTGTCCAGGTATCAAGTGTGAGAGAATACAGGCGCGTTTTTAAACCGGGACAAGAAGTAGGAAAAATGTTAGCTGCCTGTGTGAGACACACTGAAGTTCGGCTCCAGAGGGAGTCCCGTGATGTACGTAATCGCCAAACGCGAAACCTGCCGCCTCGGTAGGCCGCACGGAAAGTGTTCCTGCCGGACCATCCCTTGCTGATGCGTTACCAACAATAGGGTGATGCAAGTTTCAAGCTCTATACAACTTTTATCTTTTTTTTAAAAAAAAAAATTCAAACATGTACTGGAAATTTCTACCGATTAATGACCTTTGATGGTGATATCTGTGCAACGTTGCGGTGGCAATAAAAGGTACTTGGGAGCGGCCGTCTTATACTCTGGTTCCTTTTTGCCCGTTTAACCTGCGTAACGTTGGAAGCGGCGCGGCGATTGTGGCTCGAGATTTGTTACCCCTCAAGACTAGACCAGGGAAGGTATTCTCACATCGGCCTTGATTGACACGACCTATAGAGCGATGGCTAGAGGAGATCTGTGCTTCTCGTATTGCTAATTTAGAGTAAAAATTAGGGTACCAGTCATCAAAGACATGATCTTGCTTGTCGGATTTCTTTATATGCTACTACAATGCCGGTGAATGACTTCCAGAAGAGATGGATTAAACGCAAAACTAGTTTTAATTCAAATAGTATCAGGCCGATGTCATAATATATATATGAATTTTCAGTTTTAACTTCTCTGGTCTTGCAGTTCTCGGTTTACAGAGTTCGGAAAGTAAGGATAACCCATTTGCCAAGAGAAATTCAAAGATCCCGCTTTCGGTCATTCTAGGTTTCCACTATTGCCATTTGCATGTGCCAACGGACTATGTGAGAGCTGTTCACACGCCGGTCACGAGGGCGTCATAACAATGCCCCTCATTATGAGGCATAGAATACGCCTTGTCACTAACTACAGGAAATATTGCTAAACTGACATCGCTATCTAACACAAACTACAGAGCATAGGGTGGAGTTATAGTGATCATCAGACTTGGTCATTCGCTGTCAATTAGCGTACAACGGCTAGCTGTTTTGGGAGCCTTGCCTAAATTTGCGGCATTGCTATTGGTATTGAATAAGCTACCGAAGACCACCACAATTATCGTTTCTTAAATTTTTACCAGCACGTTTGGTCATTCTCCAACTATTTATTCACTTAGCTTCGCTCGAGATTTCCCTTCCTGACACCTACATGCAGCTGCCAACCTGCCAAAAGGTAGAACGCTCTGGAAGACTCTAGAACTCTCTCATGGCCTGTCTCCCACCACATTTTAACACAATCTCCAAGCGGTCAACAAAAAAAATGCCTTGTGCCCTTAAAATCTAGACTAGTTATTACATCGTACTTTAGTTGGTGAACTATAAATTATGGTGCGCGATGCCGCGACGCCGCGTCAATGACGTACGGCACATAACGTAAATTCTAACACTCAACCATTCTTCAACCTTTGACAGTTAGACCACGTTTCTATTCTTTCAAGATCACAATATAATACCGCTTATTATATGCCCGTCAAAAGACTGTACCCTAGTGAATTTCCATCCTCCACCAAGCGAAGGCTCGTCATTCCAGGCTTTGACCGGCTTTCTCTCTCTGAAACCACACAAAGAAACACAGAGGATGGCGTCGAAGATTCAGACAAGATTGAAACCACACTACCCGCTGCTGATACTGTAGCATTGATTCCTGGATCCAGAACCATCGACTTTACCACGCCCCTGTTCATCCGCGAGGGGTACCTCAAACACCTCAAGCACTGGACGCCCATTAAATACTATAACTTCTGGAAGGTGCTTTATGACAGCTATGCTAAATGGTGTTTGCGACAATTTTCGCGCAAAACACCGCGCCGCATCCGATTTGCTCTGAGTGAAGATAACCACCGCTACAACTACTGGGACCGCCTGATGTACCTGACCCCTAACCAACACATCGGGTTCTCCTTGGGTGAGATCGACATGGATCTTGACGAGATCGACGCAGAGATCGATACCCGACCTCTCGAAACGTCCACACCGCCTAGCCTTGGCCCCGACTTAGCCTATTCGGGATATGGCTCCTACTACGAGAATTATGGCTCTGGGGTCTTTAGTCCGTTGGACCAAGGGCTGGGCATTGATGTGGATCTGGAGGAGGAACGCGGTCTGGAGATTGGCGACCAAACGCTTTACAATGATACCGATAGCAGCATGGAAGTGGACACGTAAAAATATCTGATTCTTGTCCGAAGTAGCTCAAGCGTCGTTAGAGGTAAAGAAGGTGTCATCTGGAGTTCACTATGGGGTTTCTCTAGTTTACTTGTATTGGTCAGGGGACTGAAGTGGTGCGAGTGATCTGTTAAATTACCCTATTCCCGACAAAGATCACCGCTAATCAGGTGAATTACTACTCAGGTAAATTGTCTTGCAGGCTTGTTTCATCAAAGCTGCATCATTCATGGTGTGGACATTCTATCCCTTGGGAATAAGCCAGGCATTTAATTGCTTGAAAACATAACCAGACTTGAAAAAGAACAGCTAAGGAGGTAAACTGGAACCAAAATCAGCCATGAAATGGCCATAGTAAGTGACAGATCCTCCAGCCGTCAGCTAAGCGCTATATTGTTACTTGGGTGGATATTGCAACTATTCGTAATCACACAGAACCATGGGTAGGCCACGGCATCACTAAGAAACTTATATACTTTTGACCAGTTAGAGTGGCTGTGGATATTTTTCAGTCTCTTGGGATTAGGATTAGATTTCTCCAATCTCTAGCTATTACCCTGAAGAAATTCAATGTGTTTGAGGTGAGCCACACCTGAGCTCTACTGGTCATTATCAACAGATCTAGCTAACGGTATAAACACAGTATAGTAATTACCAATACACTTTTATCCCCTCATCACACTGTACATTTTCTGTACTGGCATTAATTCACCTCCTCACCATGTCATGACTAACGGCCGCAGTGAACGTGCGCGAACTGCCACGCTCGTTCCCCCTGGTTTCAGGTGCGATAACAAAAAGCGACCCGTACTGAACCTTATCAAATGGATCCTTTGCCGTCACGATACCTTCAATCGTCCGCAAAAAAAGTCATATTATTTTGATTAAACCAGAACAGATTGTATTCATATACCTGGAATACACTCAGAAATAGTCACCGATACTCTCCTTACATCGCTTTCATTACGTTTCGTCCCTGATACGCCACTGTTTCTAAGCTCACAAGTTTACACACACCTGGATATATTAAGCAACACACTGAGAAACGATAGATGTTTCACACGCCCCCCTTGAATCAGCTGAAACGCTGGGAGCAGGAGTCCATTATTTACTCGTACCGTCCAGAAACCCAGGAGATGCCGGTTGTAACTGCTCAGGAAGAGCCCAAGGATACTCAGGAAGAGAACGCTATCCCTGCCGCGCCAGAAGCTGATAAGACTCATTTAGAGCCTGAGAACGATGTTTCAAAGTCAACCAGCGCTTCCCCTGAAACGGCTGTTTCGCCCGAAGCCTTCCCCGATCATGTGGCTGCTTCGGATAATACCTTCCCCGGCCCTGTTGACACCGACGTGGCGGCTGAGAAGTGGAAGATGGACCAGTTGACGTTGAAGGACCTTCCACAAGACATTTCCCTGTCTATTGACCAGTTTATGGGCTCGCTCACGGAGCCCAAATATCAGACGCCGTTGAAGCCTGCCAACGTGTCTGTTATGTTCCAGAACTTCTACAAAGTACAGTCGCGCGTGATCGTGGCCTCCATTCAAGAAAATATTTCCAAGACGTACACAAGCCTTCCAGAGGGCGACTACCGCAAAACTTCCAAGGTAATCCTCTTGAAGACAGCGGAGGAGTTGCGCTACGCAAACTTGCTCCGCACGAACCAGGAGCTCTTCACCTACCAGCTCATTAAGTACTGGGAGCTTAGTGAGCGCTATTTATTTGGTGGCATCTACAACAGGATTTTCAAGTTCCAGAACCACAGCGAGTCGGAGGTGGAGTTCAACGCATCACTAAACGACAAGTTGGAGTTGTTGAGGGACTTGTGCATCCCGTTTGTGAAGCTCTTGGACATTGGTAAGAGCGATGCCTCTGCCAACCAGTGCTTCAGAAATGATGAACTACTTCTTCTGTACTACTTCAAGGACTCCTTGCATGAGTTGGCCAATTTAAATCAGGTGTTCACCCCCCGCGAAAAATTATTGACGATTTTAAAGACACACAACTTGATCATCAAAAACTTGAACGAAATCAACAGCGCCGTGCAGACAGAGGACAAGCCATTCCATGTGAGCAACGACTATATCTTGCCCGCCCTCATGTATCTTTGCATAAATTCATCAGTTGACGACATCTACTTGAACTTCCTCTACATCAAGCGGTTCTTCAACGAGCAAGACTTGCATGGCGAGTTAAACTACAGTTTGACTAACTTCGAAGCAATTGTGATGTACTTGTCCAAGTTGACTGCTCAGGAGCTCGACCTCGAAAACGAAGGGAAGGTGTTAGGTGACCCATTGTTGAATGTGCCGTTGCCGTACGAAGACATCTTTGTCCGGGTCAACGAAACTGCTCCTACAGTCAGGGTGACTGCTGCCCCTTCTGTAAACAACTTCAAGACATTTTTGAAGGCCAACAGATCGCGCTCCAATTCCACAAAGTCAGTCACTAGCGCGCCTCCCGTCACCGAGACCGCCGGCGGTTTGTTTTATAACGCACTCCCCTCTGCCCCATCATTCTTGCCATCTGATTTGCATTCCTTGACAGATCCTGGTGCGATCAGAAATCTTGGTTCCGCGTTAGATTCCAGCTTCAAGGGGATCTTGGGCCGTTTCAACCGCGCGTCTAGCGGCCCGCAACCCCCAGCTACTCTGAACGCAACACGAAGATCGAACTCGAACTCTGCATTAAGCTCTATTGGGTCAAATGACCAGGTGCCATTAGTAGATGACGGCAGTATTATGGAACTGATTGAGGTCGAACAGACGGGCTACTTTGACTCTCCATCGGCGGTTTCTCTATCTTCGTCATTCAATCCGATTGGCAAGTTTAACGATGTTCTCGTGAAGTTTAATGGTATGCAGAATATCAGATCTTCAGATTCGTTGAGATCTTTGAACGAAGATCCATTCATCCCTCCTACTTCTCCCATCAAGCAAAAGAAGAGCAGAAGCAGGGCTGCCAGTTTGATTGATAAGTTTGGGCAGTCCATGCTCAATCTGCACAGCACCAGCATTTCAGCTGTCATCCTGCACAACTCTAGTGACTCCTTATCTACGTCTTCGTCAAATCCGCTCAAGGAAGTTTTTCCTGTTCCAATCCAGACTATTGCCGAGGCCAAGAGTGAATCCAGGGCTGAAATATCCAGAACGACAAAGTTACCAAAGGCCACTGGAAAGTATGCCACTGGTGGGAAAGCCAAGAACTTTGAAGATTTATCAATCAATGAGTTGAAAGATATGTTTATGAAGTACAACCAGTTAGTTGCTCATGTGGCAAGTAATGATGGATTTGAGGATTCCTAGGCATCATACTGCGGTATAGAATGGCATTTATTTCGTATGTTTTAATGTTTTACAATACGGTGTTGTAGTACTTGCTTTCTCAGAGTATAAAGTGTCACTTACGGACGCAAGTCATGGCTGCTCTCTATTTTTTTTCGAGCTCATAAACATAGTATCAGAAAGAAAAGCGTATAATTAATGTTAATCCTAGTTTATAAATGTCTGTTCAATCCTATTAATTTATACCATCAAAGCTCCAACTAATAACTTCGAAGCTCTGTAAAATCACACTTCCACCTGCGGGCTGAACACTGCAGGTCACATGTTATTAGATAAGGTGGCGCTCGTTCTTCCGTGCGGTATACTTATATTGTCTCTCTTGCACCTCCTGCGTTTTCTGTACCTCCTGTCCATAGACTCCAGTGACTTTTCATCTTGGATCGGCTGGCGTTTACATGACAAAGGTACTCTTCAAGTCATCTTTAATTGCTGTTTTGGTTGCGTTACTTTTATTCAATTTCCCCTTGTTGCTTTCCAAATCGCTACAGTTATCCAGATTTGTTGTTCCATCTTTCCGTTCCAACATGTCCACCATCCCATACAGCAAAGAACTAGAGATCGCTCAGCTTGCCGTGAAGAGAGCCTCTATCTTAACCAAGCAGGTCAGCGACTCCTTGAAGAACGGCACCAATACTGTCACCAAAGATGACAAGTCTCCAGTCACAATCGGTGACTTCGGTGCGCAGGCTGTTATTATTAAGGCCATCAAGGAAGCCTTCCCTAACGACGAGGTTGTGGGGGAGGAAGACTCAGATGTGTTGAGACAAGATGATACTTTAAGAAGAAAGATTTTTGAGTTGGTTAAGGACGTTGAGTCTCAGGACACCCAACATGCCCCCCAATTGGGCAGCTTCAAGGATGAAGCGGAAATCTGCGATGTCATCGACATGGGTAACTCCGAGGGTGGCAACAAGGGCCGTATTTGGGCTTTGGACCCAATTGATGGCACCAAAGGTTTCATCAGAGGTGATCAGTTTGCTGTCTGTTTGGCGTTGATTGTCGATGGCAAAGTTAAGTTGGGGGTCATTGGATGTCCTAATTTGCCAGAAGTGTTGCCGATCCCACAAGGCCAGGACTCTATTATTGCACGCGGTGGTCTCTTCTCCGCCATCGAAGGAGTTGGTTCCTACTTCCAGGATCTCTGGGCGCCATTGAAGCTGCTTCTTGAGACTGAAAGAATTTTCATGAAGAACGATTTGGAGTTCAAGGATGTGAAGGTTTGCGAAGGTGTAGAAAAAGGGCATTCTTCGCACGATACCCAATCCCAGATTAAATTGAAATTGAGCATCCCGCTTGACTCCACCATAAATTTGGACTCACAGGCCAAGTACTGCACGTTGTCTAAGGGTGTGGCAGAGATCTACTTGCGATTGCCTGTCAGTGACACCTACAGAGAGAAGATCTGGGATCACGCTTCTGGTCAGGTGTTGATCACCGAGAGTGGTGGGATTGTGAGTGATATCTATGGCAACCCGTTGGACTTTGGCAAGGGCAGAACCTTGGCTAGTAAGGGAATCATCGCTGCCAGCAAAAACTTGCACTCCGATGTTATCAAGGCCGTTGGTGCCGTTTTGGGCGAAAGGGACTAGGAAATTTACAAACATGTATGAAAGGCCGGCTATATGGATATTGGGACCGAAACCTTAGATCCCTGTGTAATTGACTGGTCTACAGTCATCAGTAATAGAGGAAACCTAGAATTTTCCGTCTTCAAGGACGGGGGTGACCACGCGACGATACAACTTTATGAAGTATGGCCCACAAACTCCATACATCGTATTACTCTTTGGTAATGGTAGTGCTGGTTTTCACGCCTTTCATATTTAGGGGGTTGGTATACTAACCACTATAGAGCTGTCCATTATGGTCACACAGAATTTTTTTTTCCCTTTCTTCCACCACCTTCTGCTTTCATTTAGGTATATCACATGAAAGATGTGATGGTGCATAATGTGTGTTGTATTCCCTCGAGCCGCACACTAACAAATTTTATTTCTGCATGCAGCAAACGATAAGTTTTTTTTTTCATACGATCTATAAACAGTTGCCCAGTACATATAAAGATATCTTTGGCACATATTAAGCCTATTCAAATTAATGGAATTCAGCTATTCAGACCCTTTGTCAGTGAGTGAGACTACAGTCAAGGCCGAAGAGCCATTTTCAACCATTCCACCCTCTCCCTTTGCATATACGCCTACATTCCACTTTCCACCCACATATAACCACGAACAAATCGCAACCATCAAGGATGAATACCTGCGGATCCATCAGAGTATGTTGAGAAAGGAATGTCTCCCGCAATCCAGATTGACGGTAAAACAGAAGCGAACTATAGAGAAGCAAGAGACCGTGCACTTTTTCAACACCTTAAGGCCCATCTTTAAGGTGCCAAAGCACAAGAAGAAGCCTGTTGTCAGACCCAGTGACGCGATATTTTCGTCCATATTGATGGGGCATGGCTCGGCAGACTACAAAACCAACTTTTTTGCCAAATATGCGGGCACAAATTACATCGAGGCACAAGCAGAGGCCATCAAGACGAGGGAAGAAGCCTCCGTCTTGGAGGACTATGACTCAGATAGACTACAGGATATGCTCATGTCACAGGATGCTATCGATGACCTCGATCTTAAGCAAGTTGATGAAGATGTGATTATTAGCTATCTAAGTACCCATGCCGATGACCTAGACTTTGCAGAGCTAAATGGGTTTGTGAGGAAAGATATCGCGGCGGAGATAAGAAAGTTTCTATTAGACGAGGTGGTAGAGGTGCGGGACGAGTCCGGCGTTGAACCTGGAGTAATATCAAATGTTCCATTGTACTATAAAATATGAAGAAATGCATTATATGGTGCAATGCTGCCACTTTGATGAATAGAAACTATCCTGCCTATGGCTGAAAACGAACATCCTCCAGTAGTTTAAGCTTAATAAAGATTCTCTAAAACATGAATGCTGCATAAATTGATAAGGTTTTGTCCAAGTGAATTGGATCAAAGCTTGAGTCATTTTTGTGAGAATGGTGAAAGTTGTATTACACTTTAAATTATAAAATTCTGATATCGGTTTATCAAGTGGTTGGATGAAATGGCTTATTGCTTCGTTTTCTGAGCCTGCTGGAAAAAGTGAACGGTATGCGGTCATTTCCAATCCGTTTCACTTTTCGTTTTAAACTAGTAAATATATCAGATAATACATACGTGTTTTTGTTATTATCAATATTTTGGGGATCTGGAAGGGGTTCGACTCGGCAGACGCCTCCGTGGTGGGGTCGCATCACCCATTGTTGGCTTCAACTCAGTTTTATCCGTCCGGTTTCTATTGGGACTTCTGTCACGCTCCCCATAATTACGATTATCTGGCCGTCTGCGTGAATTCTGGTTGGTTTCGCCGTCCCTTTTGTGTGTATATCTTCTGTCCACATCATCTCTCCTGTAAATACCTCTTTCACTTTCACCATCTCTTCTGTGTTGGTCTCGACTTTCATGACCTGTTAGGATATTAGATCTGCCACCTTCTCTTCTTGGACCGTTATATTTGCTCTCTTCTCTTTGGGGATGACTTGATTTCCTACCTTCACCTCTATGAGAATTCGAATTTCTGTACTCATCTCTGTGAGAATTCGAGCTTCTGTGTTCGTCTCTATATGGATATGATCTGGCACTCTCCCTTGGATTAGATCTGCCTTTTGCATCATTGTACGGCTCTCTGGCAGGGGTTTTGTACGGATGTTCATCTCTACTAGATCCAGACTTACGGTAGCTGTTTCCATGGTTTCTGGTCGTGGGCTGTAGTAACTTGGCCTCTGCTTGCTTCATCTTGAGTCCTAAAAGCTCGACAGGAATCCCATCTTTGTCAGTTTGGGCGGACACTAATAACCTCCAGAGCTCCTTGCAAAAGGGTTTAGTATTTTCCTCCAAGAATCCTTCTAGCTGCCCTAGCACTTCGCGGATATCGGGGAACTGGACCTCTGTGACCAAGTTGAGCGCAAATTCGGATACAATGTCGTCATCCGGCAAATACGTGTTGAGCTTATCCTTAATCCAATACTCAAAAATAGGCTTGTTCACTTTAGAGGTATCCACCTTTTGATCAAATAGCTTGTTAGATAGCATTATAGTGGGACATCAACAGTGGAGTGTGTCTGCTTTAAGATGACTTAAATCATGTCTGAGAATTCGCCCAAACAATATGGCATCTGCGTGCAGGATGCAGCATCACATTGTTATTGGCATTCGAGCTGAAAGAGGCTGACAAGGAGAATACGATTCTATAAATTTAATCGATAGAGTATGGGTGGAAAATGACCTATGGGTCTTATATTATAATAATTCAATTCTTTTTTTTTGCGTAATGAATTCTGAAGTTGGTGTAAAACGTAAAGCGTAAAAAAAGAGAGAAATTGGAGTCATCAGAAATAATGGCAACAACAACGTGTCTGAAATGAATCTAAAGTACCATTTATTTGCTCTATTTACCTTGGAAGATGAAACCGTCTTAGTTTGTAAGCAAGCAATAGAATATACGTAGAACACCAGCGCTATAACGTGTCAAATCATAATCTATACACTAGCGCAATTCGAAACTAAACTTAGTAGTACAACGGATGGTATAATACATGGTTGTTTTAGGATGTGGCCGGAAACTCTTCTATTAGGTATGTCGTACCGTTCTAGTAGATATACTGAGGGTTCATAATTAGCCGAAGTGAGATTACCAATAGTACTCGTCTGTGTAATAGCGATGTAATTCTAACTAATGCTACTCCTTGGGTAATTTTGTTCACAGGGTAAAATTAAATGATATACACAAAATTAACTTTATTAATTACTTAGTACAGTAGCCAGGTATCAGATATAAGGTCATATTAAAGAAAGAAAATTACGGGCTCTCACTTCCCTCGCCCTTTGGCTTGATGATCAAACAGACGTTTTCAAGCGAGATATCGCGTTCGACATAGTGACACAACTTGACGTCAAAGCCACTACTCTCCAACGCAAACCGGCGCGACTCGTCTATGATACGTCGTGCCTTCAACCCGATTTCTTCTCTTTCCTTGACTGTGAGGCCGCTGATGTGGCCGTTCAAATCTTCATCTGCCATTCCCGGACGGCGCCCAGAAACAGCCCAAGAAGCCATCTTCATCATTACCGCAAACGCGCGCGCATCTAGGCCGCGGGTGGTGAGGAATTGCTTTGCTCCTGGGAGCATGATATCGTATGCGCAACAGTGGCGGCAGCACATGGCCACCACCAAGCCCTTGAACCGCATGTTCTTCACCATTTCAAGGGAATTCTGGATACATCTTAACGTCAAATCTGTTGCAGCACCGCACAAGTGCTTAGAAATGCCAATAAACCTCACTCTATCGCCAAACTTAGCCATTTCTGGCATCTTCACCACCTCATCGAGCAGCAAGTCCTTGATGTCAACCTTCATGCGCAACACGCTCGGCGCGTGCGCCTTCTTCGTATCAGCTTGCACCAACGGACACTTCGCATTTGCCTCATAATAATCCTTGACCAACTTCTGCTCCAACTTGTTTCTGTTGCTTGCACGGTCTATCAACACGAAACCGCTCGCGCCGTCACGAATGGGCCCCACGCTATGGTGGAGGGCCGCCTGGTTGACGTATCGCGATAACTCGGCTCTACCGCACCCAAACTCCATGAAAATGTGCGCGGCGTCGCCCTTCGGCACGAGCAAGCCCTCTGCGTGAAGGTGGCCGATCAAGGATGCCTGCTGGATGGCATGTTTCTGGTTACCAAGCTCGCCTAAGCGAAGCGACAAGCTCGCGTGGTTATGCTGGATAAATGGTAAAGGAGCGAAAGCAGAAAAGACCGTTTCAATGACAGGAATCCACATAGCAAAGTCTTCCGCAGTGATGTCACCGGTCACCGCAGAGGAGGCCACTGAAGTGTTCGCAGCACACACGGCTCGCTCCGACTCCTGGGGAAGGTTGAGGTTTTCCTTGTACCACACCTCATAGGTGTTGGGAATCCCAACCCTGCACTTGAGTAAGTGCCGCTGCAAATCCTTTTCCCACACGGAATGGCGGCCATCCTGGGGACACGCAACACGTTTCTGAGCTGTCTCCGGATTTGTAGAATGCACCGCGCAGAAGTCCTGGCCGGCGCGACGTGTCATACCGCACTGACGTTGCTTTCTGGGAATGATGAAGCCGCATTGTAAGCGGACGCTTTGCTCCACTTTCTGGCGCTTTACAGAGGGAGCTCCAGAGGTATGGTTGGCCTTAGCAGCTGAAGCCCCTACCACCGTGCCCATCTCACTAGATACACTCACTGTAACGTCACTAGACACCGTTACAGTTTGCACGGGTACTACAACTTCTGCCGTTTTTGCTTCTGTGGTTCCCACTGGCATAATTTCTTTTGTCAATATATTGTAGACCGGGTTGCAAGTTGTAGCATGGCTTCATCTCTGGGCGAAAAATTGACATCCTGTATACTCGACGCGCGAGTTTTTACTTTTCAACTCAAAAACGCGTGTCTTCACAAACAACACCTGCTGATTCCATCAACACTCCAACACATTATGAACAGAAGAAAATCCAGACGACTCAGTTCCCTCGAAGGGTCTGACACCGAAGAGCGCTTGGCTTCGCGTTCGCGCTCACGTCGTACGACAGTAGAGGTTGTTGAACTTGACACAGAGCTCGGGATCAACCCTGAGGAGTTGCCACAGGACGATGAAGACGATGACTACAGCGGGGCTAGCGAGACGGAAAAGGTTGAGGAAGAGGAGGAGGAACATGTGTCCATCACCGATGACCTTACAATCGATGATAAAGTGGACAAGAAAGAGACGGTGGTGGAGGTGGTGGAGCCGCCGCGGCGCAAGGGCCGTGGGAGACCACCAGGAGCGAAGAACCGTGCAACGATCGAGCGCGAGAAACGTGGCATTTTCAAGACGCCCAAGCGCCGCCTGGAGTCGCAGGATGGGCGCCGCAAGCGGCGCACAACCGTCAAAAAGCCTGACGCACCATTGGTGGACGATGACGGTAACCCTCTTGAGGTACGTGACGATGAGATTGTGGTAACGCCAGACGTTGACGGTGAGACAAAGATCGATATTAATGGGATTTTGAAAGGTGGCCGCGTATTCCGTGAACGCACGTTCACGGTATTTGGCAAGGGTGAGAAGCGCTATATGTTATCAACAGAGCCTGCACGGTGCGTGGGCTTCCGTGACTCCTACTTGTTGTTCCACAAGCATAAGCACTTGTACAAGTATGTGTGTAGCCCCGAAGAGAAGGCGGACTTGATCGAAAGAGACTTGTTGCCTCCTACGTACAAGGGGCGCTCGATCTCGCTTGTGACAGCGCGTTCGATCTACCGCGAGTTCGGTGCGCGCATTATCGTTAACGGGCGCCGCGTAACGGATGACTATTACGAACAGCGTGCACGCGATCTGGGTGCGCGTGAGGGCGAAATTGTCGACCCGCTCGGTGGACAGCCGGCACAATACGTGCCGTGGAATCCGATCTCCACACTCGCGCATCCGACTGCGAAGAATGATACGCAACACGTTGTGCTCACTGATGAAAACTGGCGCTACCAGCACGCGTTGTCCGCACGCCTTTGTGATGAGGAGCTTGCGCGCGTCCGCGCGAATGTCTACGCACTGGGTGCTAAGGACTCGTACTCTGGTTTGCTTTTCTTCCCCGCGCACACCCAGCCGCTGCATGCGGCATTTGTGCGCGTGGAGGGTGGCATCCCGGGGAAGGTTGTGGTTGACACTGTGGTTCAGCCGCCGCCAGGGATTAAGTTTACTGGGTTGAAGGACGTTCCGTTGGACGTTTTTGATGGCGTAGTGAGCGAAGAAGTGAAGGCTGCGATTATTGCCCAGCAGCAGGCGGAAGCGTGCTAGGATCGAAGCGACAGCAGCCTTTTAGCTATATGTTTGTAGTTTTAGTACCATATTATTTTATTTTTTGATTTTTGTTAATGCTAGGTGTGACGTGAGTGCAGCTTTTTGACCGTAATTTTAGTACAATAAATGGTACCTAGCCTTTTTTATTTCTAGAAGCGAGATGATCCCAGGGTGTTAGCTAATAACTTTAGTGTACGAATCAGTTTTGATTTTTGACTGAAGTTTATAACGATAGGGCCGGAAGTTAACCAAAAGTTATATCATAGAGAGTATATATATGCGATCGTGGTTCACATTTATTCCTTGCAACTAGGTTAACGGCACGTTTCAAGTAGATATTTATGAATCCCGAAACTCAAAATTCTAATAACCGTACTTGTGTGAGCATGATCTCAGAATTTAAGTTTTCATGGCACTATAAGATTACCTTATTCAACAATAAGCTAACATAAAGAGACACTCCTGAGCAGTATCAATGCATATTAGGATCTGAAATCAAACTTTTTTTTACTGAACCACCAATACGGCATCCTGATTCAACTTTTCCCGTCTCTTTTGGCCCTTCATCTCTGCCATAATCTATTCACACGGTAGTGTTTCGGAAGTGCGGTGTGTCTCAGGACCACAAAGGCCCACGTACGACAGTATTAGCCATATATCAGGGCTGCAGACTCAAAAAAATATAGACTAACTTATTTATTGAGAAATAAAAACGAAAATCGAGCAGTAGTTAAAAGTTTGCGTCAAATTTGTTGGTGCAATACTTGATGCATTCTTTCTCCACTCCAGCTGCGTGCATGGTCCAAAAACTCACGTGAGCACGCCGAGTTTTCGGTTCCATTTGCCTCCGTCTTTTGGAGCTATATAACAAGTCACTTCTTCTCTGCGTACACATCTCTTATTACTAAAGGTATCCTCACAATGTCCTCCCTCAAACTACTTGGCCCGTTGCGGTCAAGTTTTGCGGCTGGGATGATAAAACCTGCCAGACACACGATGCTCACACGCGTATTCGCCCCCGGAAGACCTTTCTCAGGTGCTGCTGTCCAGCACTTTGTGCGGTCCAGCCCGTTGATGGCCAGACGTAAGGAAGAGAAGAAGAAAGAGATTAAGGAAGAGAAAGAGATTAAGGAGGAGAAAGAGATAAAGGAGGAGAAAGAGATAAAGGAGGATGTTAAGGAGGAAAAAAAGACTAAGGAAGAGGCTAAGGAAGAGGTTAAGAAAAAGAATGACGAGAAGGTTCTAGATGATGACTATGTCACTGGCCCGTTTGGAATCAAGTTCAAGGTCATGAGAGATGACAAGGACGGCAACTTGGACAAGCGGCGCAAAGACTTTGAAGACATGTTGAAGAAGCAGGCACAGGAGGAGGGCAAGAAGGATAAGAACGGTAAGCCAAAGGTGAATGCGGATCCGAATGTCCAGGTGTACACGTTGGAAATAACAGGCCGCAACTTGCTCATCGGTGCGAGTATTTTCATCTACTTGTCGTACTTCTTCTTCATGTCGTCGAACGATAGTGACTCGCAGGAGATCTCGTTCCAGCAGTTCAGAACTGATTACTTGGATAAGAACCTTGTTGCCAAACTCGTGGTAGTCAACGATTCCTATGCTGAAGTGATATTGAACCAGAACGGCAAACAACAGACGCATTCTGACGGCTTATGGTTCGGGATCGGGTCTGTCGAAAGCTTCGAACACAATTTGGCGCGTGCCCAGGATGACCGTGGGATTTCCGAGGACTTCCGCGTGCCGGTGCTGTACACACGCAAGACCAACTGGACATCTACTGTGTTGAATATCTTGCCCACTGGGTTACTTTTGGTGTTCATGTATTTCATGTTCAAATCATCTGTGCCGTCCGGTAAGGGGGGTATCTTTGGGATGAGCAAGAATACTGCGCGCAAGTTCAATCCTGAGACTGATGTCAAGGTAAAGTTTGAAGACGTTGCCGGTTTGGGCGAAGCTAAGGAAGAGGTCATGGAGTTTGTCAAGTTCTTGAAGAACCCAAAGAAGTACGAGGACTTGGGTGCTAAAATCCCAAGAGGTGCCATCTTGAGTGGCCCACCAGGGACCGGTAAAACCCTCATTGCCAAGGCCACTGCTGGTGAGGCAGGCGTTCCGTTCTACTCGTGCTCCGGGTCAGACTTCTACCAGATGTTTGTTGGTGTGGGTGCCTCCAAAGTGCGCGACTTGTTCAAGATGGCGCGCGAGAACGCGCCATGCATTGTGTTTGTGGATGAGATCGACGCCATCGGAAAATCGCGCTCGTCCGGCGGTGCGCGCGGCAACGACGAGCGTGAGTCCACATTGAACCAATTGTTGGTGGAAATGGACGGTTTCACCGCCTCGGACCACATTGTGGTCTTGGCCGGTACCAACAGAGTTGACGTGCTTGACAGCGCCTTAATGAGGCCTGGTAGGTTCGACAGACATATCCAGATCGACAAGCCCGAGTTAGAAGGCCGCAAGGAGATCTTCAACGTCCACTTGAAGAAACTCACTTTGTCGCCAACCATTGACAAGGACTTGTCTGGAAGGTTGTCCACCTTGACTCCGGGCTTCTCCGGGGCTGACATTGCGAACGTGTGCAACGAAGCGGCGTTGACTGCGGCCCGTATGGAGGCAGAGTTCGTCGAGTTAGTGCACTTTGAGTTGGCGATCGAAAGAGTTATCGGTGGTATCGAAAAGAAATCCAAGGTCTTGAACGAGCAGGAAAGACGTGTTGTGGCCTATCACGAGGCTGGCCACGCCGTCTGTGGCTGGTACTTGAAATACGCCGATCCGTTATTGAAAGTGTCTATCATTCCGAGAGGCCGCGGTGCACTTGGTTACGCCCAGTACCTACCACCAGACATCTACTTGATGTCCGCGAAACAGTTGGAAGACCGCATGACGATGGCGTTGGGGGGCAGAATGAGTGAGGAGCTCCACTTTGCGTCGGTCACTAGTGGTGCATCGGATGACTTTAAGAAGGTCACTAATATGGCCACCGCCATGGTCACCCAGTTGGGGATGTCCAAGAAGGTGGGCTATGTCAACTACGAGTCTACTGACAGCGATGACTTGACCAAGCCGTTTAGTGAGGAGACCGCCTCCATCATTGACGAGGAGGTGCGCCGCATCATCAACATGTGCCGCGAGCGCTGTTTGGCCATGTTGAAGGACAAGTCAACCGAGGTTGCGCTCGTTGCCGAAGAGTTGTTAGCAAAAGAGGTCATTACCAGGGAGGATATGATTAGATTGTTGGGTAAGAGACCGTTCCCGGAGCGTAATGATGCGTTCGACAAGTATCTCGAGAAGAGAGACGCAACGGAGTCCCAGGAAAAGTAAAGACCATTATGAGTTAGAAGCATGCACCTGTTTATAGTTAATTTATGTCATAGCATGAATATGGATGTAGAAAAGTGGCTTGATTTTTTTGGTTTAATTTTCATGTAGTAGAATAGTTGTTGGTACAGGGATTTGTATAGAGTTGATATTGGTTCTTGGCACTTTCACATTTTTTTTTTAAATTCGAGTTAATTACGTATATAATTAACAGTTTGGTTTTCAAAACCTGAATGTCAAATATATCCAAAGAAACTTTTCTACTCGATTTTACTATAATATGTTAAATAATTTTAGATTCAAAGTGAATATATGGATAATACATTATATAAAAGATATATAGTACATACAAACACGATGAAATATATATATATGACCGTACTATGATATCCATATTGTGTCGTATTTGTATATAGATGTGAAATTGAAAAAAAATAACATGAATGTGTACAAATGATTTTAGGCATCGAGAGTGGGAGTTGGAATATATCCAATGATATAAGCGATTATTATTCTTGAAAATTGAATTGTAACATCGTTATTTATGCTAGAACCAAACCCCTCAATCTTCTCAACGCTCATTAATTATCACGTTGCTGGCCTTCGCGCACGTTTTCTCACAGGTGAATTAACAGTCTAGCTGTAATTACGTGACAAGAGTGCAATTATAAATACAAGGTAAATGAGGTGTGATCGAGGTTAGTATGCATTCTATTGCAATTGAATGCGAGGGATCTACACCAGTGATATCCTAACGAATTGAAACGGTATGTATTAAAGTTGGCCTGTGGACAAGAAAGAAGAACTAAAAGCAGGACAGCTTAGATCTTCTCAGCCTTCACACCGTGCTTCCAAATGGCAACGTATGGGGTGGTACCGTCTTCACGGTAGTTCAACATGACAACCATGGCATCCGGGTCCATAGATTCACCAGTGAAGAAGTCCCAGTCACCGAAGGAAGAGACAACCTTCTTGACGTAGGTGGTGGCACCCTTTTCGAAAGCGGAGATGGCTTCTGGGTCGTGTTCAGCCAAGTAAGCCTTGACCTTCTTCATGTAGCCCTTAATGTAGACCAAGAAAGACTTCTTGTCGAATTGGGTTGGGGTCAATCTGAACGAGTAGACAACGTTGTTAACGGTCTCAGTACCATCTTCCAAGTCCTCACCAGCTTCTTCGGCAGAGGCATTACCACCAATGTCGACTTCACCAACACCGACGTTAATGTTTTGACAGTCAGCTTCGTAGATGGCACCATCAACTTCGATCAAGTTGTAGGCGTCAGACAAAAGTTCATCACCAGAGATAACGTCAGTGTAAATAATCATTGTAGAATGTGTGTACGGGTGGAGAATTCGAAAAGAGAGAGCCAGAACCTAGGGTTCTGAAACCGGACAACTGGTTAATATATACAAAATTTTCAGAAAAGAATTTTGCGCCGATGGAAAAAGAAACGACAGAACGAGAGAAACTTACCCGGACATAGCACGTGACCTAGTAAGTAATTAAATAGACGCACGATGGGGCTAATGTAAGGCGGAGGGCTAAGCAGCATGGCGGTGATGATCTGGCATAGCTGGAGCCGCAAGTTAAGGTTGCAACCTATGAGTATCGCACTTCGTAGCCAGGGCACTACCGCATAGACCATACCGATGAATCAACAGAGACGAGTATTTAAAGAGATTCTCCTACGAGGTTATGGCGTCACTCCCGACAATTTCTAGCGACTCCTTAGGCGAAGAGGCATCTGACAGGTTCGATCCGTGATCAAACATAGGGACAGTAAGTATATACAGATATCGCCCGGGCATGAAGTGCTAATCCTATTGAAAGAGAAAAAGAACGATAAACCGGGCCAGTTATTCTTGGAATATGCCAGATAGAAACAAGGTGTCATACACATCGTGGAGTGAAAACGCTCCGAGGAGCATGATCGCAATGCATACTAGAAGTAGTGATAAAGAGCCGCAAAACGCTTTTCTAGATCGGTGTTCATAATCTGGCACTAAGATTCCTGATCCAAATTGTAAAAGGAAAAAGGAAAAAGAGGGGAGATTAATCTACCATAGAGGGTGGGAGCCAGGCGTATTTATAGTAGAAGGCCCTGGCTACGAAAAACTGAAAATTTTCCCATGTGGTAGCAGCCCTGATACAAATGCAGGCCCGATGAGAGCGGGTAAATTGTATGCAGTTCACAGCTTGCCATGTATCTGACAGACACAATTGCCACACACAAGACAGACAACTCTGCGCCCTGTCATATACAAGTATTCGGAATTGATTTTAAACAGCCTACACGTACTAACGATGTTCAAACAGTCATTTGAGAGCGAAAAGAACCAAGAGGCCACCATATACATTGGGAACCTCGACCCAGAGGTCACAGAAAACCTCCTATACGAGCTCTTTGTACAGTTTTCGCCAGTGAGGTCCGTCAGCTTGCCCAAAGATAAAATCCTCAAGACACACCAGGGGTTTGGGTTTGTGGAATTGGTGTCTGCGACATCGGTAGACTATGTGATACGTGTGTTGGGCGGCATACAACTTTTTGGAAAGGTCGTCAAGGTCAAGCGCTCTAACGTAGACAAGACGAAAACGATGGACGTGGGGGCCAACTTATTCCTCAATAATCTCGATTCTTTGATTGATGAGAGGTTTTTATATGACACCTTCCACAAATTTGGCGAATTTGCCAAGCCACCGCACGTGGTCACAGATCCCGTCACGGGCACCTCCAAGGGCTACGGATTCATCTCGCTCACCGAGTTTGAGGCCGCTGACAAGGTCATTGAGATGATGAACAACCAGTTTTTAATGAACAAGCCCATCACGGTCGAGTACAGCTTGAAGAGCAACGGGAAGGACCGTCACGGTGACGAGGTCGAGAGGCTTATGGCTGCCAGTGCCAAGAAGCACAACTACGATTTTAACAACGGGAGTATATTTCGCATGCCCCAGCAGCGGGCCACTGAGAATCCGGAAGCGAGCGATGTGGGCAGAGGCATAGGAGTCCCTAGGGGAGCAAGACGTGGCTACCGTGATGCATAGGCCCTGACTTACTAGCTCAGATAACAATTAGACTATACTCTTAACCTATATTGTGGCCCAACACCTAATATATACAAATATATAAGTAATTGGAATATTGACTTATATCGAGAAATGATGGCCAGTTGATAGAGCGGCTTGGTGTCATGAACCGTAGTTGCCCTCCTTTAATCACCTATGGGCTAGGTAAATACAGGGGTTTCAAACTTGGTGTTTAGTAATCATAAACCAGCACGTTGGATTACTAGCGCTATATAGCTAACTCATGGTTTCTAATACAGGACGGGGGCTTGTTTTGGCTCACTTGCATGCATCCCCGGAGCGGGGTCGTGCGCAGAGCATTTTAACCGCCGGGCCCGGGGCAGATACCTAAAATCCTCGATGGTATAAGCGGAGTGTCGCATCCTTAGATATCGCCTTTTTACTGTACAACCCAAAGAAATTAGTATGTATTCGTGGCTATTCAGCGTATCAATTCAGCGTTATGTCTGCAGCGATGTTACATGATCCATGTATCCATTGCCTCTGAGACCCAGATGCAAATTACAGTCCTAACCCTTTTCTAGTTAATATGTTCGCCCAATCTGCCCGTTTTGCCGTCACTTCTGCCTCTCGTATGACTACTCGTCGCTCTTACGCCACTGCCTCTACTGGCTCCTCCATTAAGGGTAGTTTGGTCGGCTTCTTGTCCGGGATCACCGTCACCGGCGCCGCCTCCTACTTCTACTTGATTGATGAAACCAAGAATGCCAACAGCGCTGTCTTGGGTGATGTTTTGGATTTGCAATCCTCCATCAAGACTTTGGAAGAGTGTGTCAAGGCCTTGGAAGAAAAATCCAAATAGGCTTCTCAATCCCCCTCTACTTCTCTGGTTACTCTTGCATCCAAAATATCTTTATAGCTGAATAGATATTACGGTTTAGTTATATGAATGTACTATAGGCAGTCTGTAGAAGTGGTCCACATGATTCAATTTATGATATACGTTTTTGACACATCAATGGTTCAAGCATGCCACGATAAGCACTCAAGATCTGGATCTCTGTTTCAGTGGAGGCTGTCCCTGTCTAAAACGATAAAAGTCACTCCATACCATTTGAATCCCACGCCACATTGGTAAAATCGAGTCAGGCAGTTAATTTAGTGTACATACTTTCGACTTCGAGAAGCTTTAAAGGCTCCTGGTACGCTTAGAAATCATCTACAGACTCACCCACGATAATATTTTACATACAATTTTTGTATTACATAGAAAGTCCGACTAATCAAAAGTAACCTTCTTACCCGAGAACTTGGCCTGGGTCATCTCTTTCTGCTTCTTTTTGGCCTCCCAAGACGGATGCAATGGTGCGTCTTCCTGTGCCTTACGTTTCAAGGCAGCAGCCTGGATGGCGCCTCTGTCACCCAATGGGATGTCGTTAGTACCGGAGGGCGCAGCTAACAACGCTCTCTTGGCAACTCTGGCTTCGTACTCCTTCTGTTTGGTCTCTCTCTCGGACTTGTAACGCTCCTGCTCCTTCTGTACGTGTGTGGCCTTGGCCCCATATTTCTGCTCCCAGATCTTTTGTCTGGCTCTCTGGCCCCTTCTGTTCTTTCTCGGTTTGGTGATGTTTTTGACCATCTCGTCGTCAGAAATATCGGATCCAGAGTCGCCAGAGAAATATCCGGATGCTAATTCTGGAAATACTTCCTTTTTTTTCTTATCCTTTATCTTTTTCTCTGGAACTTCAGAGTCTTCAGAATTTTCTTCTTCATCGCTTGGCTCCTGGTCGGTAACATCGTTATAATCAATATCCTCATTTAAAACAACCAGTTCATCTTCATCGGAAGAGGCAGCCACCATGTCTTTGTACACATCGTAGTCGATGCTGGAATCGGAGTCGAATTCTTCGTCTCCTTCTACCTCTTTCTGTCTTGACACTGTATCTTCGCCCTTAGAGATTTCAGAGACAGATTCATCATCGGATTCTGAATCAGAGTCAGAACTGGAATCAGAGTCTGCGGTTGCTTCTTCGGTGACAGGCTTATCCACTGGCCCCAAAACCAACTTCATGTTGGATTCGGCGTTTGCCAACAAATCCTTGAACTCTTTAGTGTTGAAAATCTTTGATACCATGTTGTTAACTTCATTGGAGTTGTTCTTGAACTGGAAAGACGGATTGCTAGGGTTAGATTTATCCAAAATGGCTTCCTTAATCCATTCAGGAATAAACAGTGGTGGGTACAGTTTTAATTCCTTGGATGTAAGGTAGACTTTTTCACAAAGCTTGACCAATTTAGCATTGGCAACATATCCAAGTTGCAAGCCTTGAATCGTGGTGACAGCGACCAAGGCTTCGGTGTACCGTTTGGAAGTGTTATCAATGATCTTACTGAGCTGGAGAGTAGCCTTACCGCCCTCGACCTTGGCGTACTTTTTTAACGCCCTCTCAAGTTTTGTCTTGGATGCGTGGACCTTTCTTTCGCAGAGCTCTCTCTTTAGGGTGTTGACCTGTTCCAAAGCAGCATCTCTGGACTCTGGCAAGTTGAACTTCAACTTTTTTGACTTTAATAAGAGCTTGGTTCTTGGGAAACGGGGTTTGGTGTTGAAAAACTTGACTTCCAATAAGTCCAACTTCCATGTGTTATTCTCCTTACTAGACATGACTGGAGGGAATCCGTAACGGGATAGAGCGGTGCTTGGGCTCTTTAGTTATACATGGCGTTATTACATAGGAATAAAAAATTCTCACGTAAAGTAATGTGCAGGATAAAAATAAAAAGTTCGTGCGGCGCAGACTATCAGCGGGTAAAGGAAGAGAAAGGTGAGGGACGAACTTGGGTAGTTACCTTTGGTGGATATCTGTGAATAGGGTGAAGTATCGCTTAAATATTTTTCTATGGGCGAGCTGATGACCTCTTGGCTTTTATTCACCCCATTTTATCATTAATTCTCCTAGAATTTATTTTATTGAGATTTCAGGGGAATATAATTGAATTTAACGAAATGTCACGGGAATGCTTTGCCACCTAAAACCTCCGACTTATAGAGCCTGTGAATTTAATAAATGAGATCAATAAAAAGAAAAGTATAATAAGAATAATATCTCACCTCAGTGAAATGAACGCGTGAGAAAATCAATAACCGCGCCTTGCCACGCAAAGGAAGGAGTACCATTTTTTTTAACATATTATCGGGATTACATCCTTCGATGTAAAAGAATTATTAAAGGCCTTGAGATACGACCCCTTCTGATTCTCACGGTCCAAAAGAATCTTCTTCTTCGCCACACCCCATCTGTAGCCACTTATTTTGCCGTCCTTGGTGAGAACACGGTGGCAAGGAACCAAGATAGCGATCTTGTTGGCACCACACGCGTTGGCCACAACCCTGGAACTTGTCGGAATCAGCAAGGCAGTAGCAATTTCCGAGTATGTAGAATACTTACCGTGTGTGGTTTCATCCAACAAGTAAGTCCACACCTTTTGCTGCAAGGGCGTCCCGAAGATGAATTTGTGCGGAATGGTTTGTTCCGCGTTCGCTGTGTTAATTAGCGTGGGATTTTCAATCACGTCACAGAATAATTTGTTGGTGTTGCTGATTTTCTCGTTCAGGCCTTCAGTAAATAGAGAAGGGGCCACAATACCCAGTTTCTTGATCTTGGCAAAGTCGGCTTGCATGGTCTTGGTGAGCACCAGCAGGTTGTCTCCCAAGGCTGCGTAGTACACCACACCTTCTTTGTCTAAAACAACAATAACACTGGTGTAGCTGGTTTTGGAAATGGTATAGAAAAGTTTCATAACAAATGTGAAGACGAAATGGAGAATTATTAGAAGAAAAAGAAGGATCAAGAATTGGTGGCACGTACTTCTAGGACGCGCATATGTAGGGTGGCGTTTATGCGCCGCTTTCGCGACAGTGCGTAGATGTATGCTACAGAGTCTTTGTTACCCGAAAGGGTGAGCATGGGTAATTGTCTAACACAAGCGGGGTGAGGAAGGAAAAGAGTCACCGAGAGATTAATCTATACATACATGGTGTGCCGGACACTCTCACTGTTGTACGTTAGATACGACGTGCCACTAGTGCAAACTATTTCTCTGTAAGGGCAAAAATATATTTGGGTCAAAGTACGAGATTAAAGCTGCTAAAGGAAACAGATAAGGCCAGAGAAATCGCATCCCCTGTGGCTGATATTATCTGCGGGCTTTATAGCTTCCTCACAGAACACTGTGTTTTACCGGAATATTATTCCATAATCACTAACATGAGAATTTGGCGTATAGCGCAGGATAATAGTCTAGATATTCCACCACTACAGTATTACCTACCTCCGATAATTATTTCAAGCCGTCTTTATATTATAGTGCTATACGAATATTTGGTACAAAGCTGATTTGAAAAAACTCTCCAAAAAGCGACGGAGGAGTAATATCAACTGGAATATCCGGCACTCTACCCTCGTAAAAAGAATTGGAAGTTAAATATTAGTGAGACTAATTGTATGCTTTCGCGACATTGATATGCATAAACATGAAGCTTGGAATCGATATTTCTGCCAAATATCATAAAGGATAGTCCTTATTTCACATCTCTCGTTGTTACAATATGTTTCTCTGTGGAAAGAAGGCTATCGTGACTGGAGGATCGCGTGGCATTGGTTTCCAAATCGCACACAAGCTCGCAGAGTTGGGTGCTAACGTTACTTTAGTGGCCAGAAATAAAACCCTCCTCGAATCTCAACGAGAACGGCTCAGCACAAGCATCCCAGGACAGGCCCACTCTATTATTTCCTGCGATTTGAACTACCCAGAAAATATCCCCAACGCCTTCACGGCCGCGGCAATCAACGATACCGCCATTCTAGTGAACTGTGCGGGGGTTACCCAGAACCTGCTCTTACTCGGAACTTCCTTGGAGGAAATCAACAGTTTGATGAACACAAATCTAGTTTCGCCTATTGTTTTATCACAGTTACTCCTCAAGCCGATGATGCGCAACAAGTTTGGCCACGTGATAAGTATTTCGTCCGTGTTGGCTACCAAGGGCGTGAAGGGATCCAGTGTGTATTCGTCCACCAAAGGCGGATTGGTTAGCTTCACAAAAGCCATGGCGGTGGAGATGGGGCCGAAAAATATCAGGTTCAACTGCATCTTGCCTGGTTTGATTAGTACGGATATGGGTAAAACTATTACTGATCTGGGGATATACAATACTCCGTTGCGGCACTGCGCAATCACGGAAGCCGACATCGCCGACGCCGTGGTCTATCTTTTGAGCAGTGAGGTGATTACAGGCCAATGCATCACCATTGACAATGGGTTCACGGTATCGTAATGATAGGGAGGACTTCAACGAGTGCTAGAAAATAGCCCCAGAACTGTACATAGCAAATTCCATCAGGCAGTGCACCACGCCAATAGACCGCCCAGTAAACTCTGTAGTCTTGTCAAAGCTACAGCTAATAAAATGGAAAATAATTTTAATTTAAAAGCATATCGATAGTTAAGAAAAACTGATTTAAATGTCTCATGTCGAAGAGAACGGGGTGACTGGGGTAACGCAAAAGCCAAGTCGTCTCTGTCCATGTTTTCACGGTATCACGTGCACGCACACCTGCAATTCGAAGATCTTACTCGAGTATGCCATACCCAGGGCATAAACAGTGATCACTTGCACCTCTTTTTCGACTCTGGCCTCTCTTTTTCCCACCAAGAAACCCCTCTCTCACAAATCCCGCTGAATATGCGATGAAAGGCAAGCTCCTGGACTTGAGATGTGAGAATGAGCCCTGGCCGCTATCCAAGTGCAAGCGCGTGTTGAGGCCATTTGCGTCCAAAATCCGCTCCTTTCACGACATGGCGAAGCATTATCCCCAGATTCTCGAGTCTTCCCAGGATTTTGGCAGAATCCTCCAGCTGCGAACCATTAACCGTCAGTCTTCTAGTACACCACCCTCTTCCAACGGCGCACGTTACGGCAAAGGACCCAAGAACCGTTACACCAAGTCTCAATATACAATCAAACCCAGATCCAGAACATACGAGGACGACTCAGATTACGATTCGGGAACTGAAATGCAAGACTTGACTTTCGATATTGATAGTGATAGGGACGATGGGGAAATGGTGCATCCGATCCAGGCCCTTGATTCTTACCACCGGTGGAAAGCTATGAAACCCCAAGTCACAGAGGAGGGATATCAGGAATTAAGCGAGATTTTCGAACTCTTTAAGCGTTTTATGAGTCAGGCATATACTTCTGACCCTGCTAGGTTACAAGAACATTCCGCAATGAAAGTGGGCCAGTGCGTGGAAGTAACGGCCAGACAGTCGATGTTTGACGATGAAAACGAAGCGGAAAGGGACCCTTCAAATCATTTTAATGAAGCTGACTGGTACGAGCACTCTCCGGCAATGAAGCTTTACACGAAATGGATCTTGCTTGGCCAGGGCTTAGAGATTTTGAACTCACATGTATCTGACTTGTACTACGTCTTCCCCAGCTTAATCCATTATTGTGTGGAGATAAAGGCACTTAGAATCGCACAGATTATGGCCAGCAGATACTTGAGCGAGGTCCCCTCCGATCTCTTTTGGTGCTACTTTGTCCAGCGAGTGGGGATAAACACACTACACTCACCAAGCGAGGGCCAATCCAGCATCCAGCGGAATCATTTCGCGGAGCTCCTCAACTTGGCTCAATTGGGGTACGAAGAAACGATTATAAGCCATTTGTGGAACAAAGTCGACTTCAAGCTACTATGGAACCATGAGCCCATCTGGGATGAAATCAAGCGGATCGCCGTCTCTCAGAAACAACAACATTGCACTCATTTGCTACTAGTTGTTATTGTTAAGAAGTTTTTCAAACATTTGAAAGCCTTGAATCTTCCCCAAAGCAGTTCTGAAATGGATTCCGTTCATGCTTTCCTTGAAAGTCTAATCGTCTTGTGGATTTCAGTATTTGACCATCGGCAATATAATATCAACACCTTGCTTTTCAAGTTAATGCACCAATGTCTTCCCAGGTTTCGCCTAGAGGAGTATCACATTCTCCTCCTCCTAGTGGAGCAATCGTTGATTAAGACGGATCGCCGTGATCTCATCGATGACGTTATAAGCAGATATAGCGAAACTAAAAGGCGGAAGGTCTTCTCTTGGGTAGCTAATGCTCTTAGTGTTATTGCACCAGATCATAGGTTTCTAATGAACCTCTTAGAGCCATTGTCTCAGACTCACGCTATGCTTTCGTACGAAATTACAAAGACCTGTCACCGGAACGGTGGGCGAGATGCCGAGACATTTAGCCCCGTGAGGGGCTTTAAGGAGCAACTTATGTCACCGGGATACCAAGTAATACTGGGAGATGAAAAGTGTCTTGTTTCACTCAATTCACCGTCAGTCGACTATTACAGCGAAGGGGTTCTGGAAGGTGATAAATCGAGGGACGCTCTCGAAGGGGTACCTGACTCGCGATGGAGTACTGCGAATCGAGTAAAGAGCTATTGCCAGGTTTCAGTTGAGAATCTATTGGAGCACGGTAGGCGGAGAAGACGAGTATCATCCGGTCCTGAACCCTATCGAGGCATAAGACGACTGGGTAGTAGGGGTACCTCACCGGATATGCGTGTTCCGGATGACCTGTTTGTCAGTATGCGGAAGAGAAGGAGGGTTCCCAATCAGAAATCTGTCTTGGCGGTTCCAGAAAATAGAAGAATTAGGCCTTCTTTGGGAGGGCTTATCTGATTATAACATGGACAAAGGAATATAATGGTTTCACTTTCGGTAGAATGGTTCAACCCAGACACAGAAAGTTTAGCCATGGCCAATCCAACGTTGACAGAAAATACCGGAGGTAAACTATTCAATCTTACTGCCAACTCCCGTGATGGACATAGTACAAAGCAAATGAATGGACAATAGATTAACCAACCATATCAATAAAAAAAAAGGAATAAAAAGGTTAAAGATATAATGAAATAAAATTAAACAAAATAAATTCAGAGTGAGCAAAGGTGAGGGCACCTAAGCCCATTTAAATCTGAAAGAAAACTCGGTAATAAGCCGGAAAAAAACGAGATTCATTTAATGCCTCCCCAGACATTAAAAAACTAAGGGTACATAACACCCTTAGATCTTAATTTTTTGAAACGACAAATACATCAACGTATAACCGTCATTCAAATCATAAATAATCTTTTCGTTTCTTTCGTAGCCATCGAGCTTACAGTTTTCCAAAATCTTGAAGTTGTCGCCAAACTTGTCATCCTCCACGGTGATTTCGTTGGCAATCAAAGTCAAACAGAACTTGCCTGGCTTGAAGATGTCCAACACCTTGAGCAAAACGACCTTGTCATCCATGCCGTAGTCAGCAGCCTTGAAGTTAGATTCAAACGAAGCGTACGACCAGCCCTGCTCAGGAGTGATGTGTAAGGTGTAGTACTTGTCTTCCTTGATGGAATTGGACGAGTAACCACACGGAGTAAAAGCGAACGCGTCATGAAAAATTTCAGAGTCAGGGTACAACTTATTCAATCTCGTCCTGTTCAACGTCTTCAAGCCCATGAGGTGGCCCAAGTCATCAGATATATTGGTAGCATTCTCATCACCGGGGTGTCTACTGGTAACAAACTGCTGAGCGCAGGTTTCGTCCAATTCGGTCATCAATATTTCGAGCGTCTTGTCGCCGCCACCAGTGAACCCAGCTGGGGTTTTTGGAGGAGTTAAGCTTCTCAAAAAAGGTGTGGTTGCACCCTTATGACCGGCAGTATACAAGTACCAGTGGTCAGTGGCCAAGTTACCAACCACATAAGACTTGTGATTGGAAAAGAACCTGTTCAAGTAACCGACTTCGACCTTCCAGTCCAGGTGGATGGGCTTCTGTTTCTCTGGGAACATGAATGACCTTCTAGAATAGAAGATCTTGTAGATAGAGTGCGAGTCCATGGCGATGTTGGCATACTCAGCAGCGAGTTGAAACAACATTTCCAAGCCCAATAAGGTGGTAGTTGTGCCGCAGGTCTTTAAAATGACCTTGTGTGGAAACACAAAGAACGAACTTTCGGACAACAAGTAAGAGTCCACGCTTTCAGTAGAAATCATGGACAAAACCTTACAGCTGACCAAGTCCAACAATTCTTCCCACTTAACCAATGGAACGGATCTGAGACCGTCCACAGGCGAGGTAGCAGGTAAGTGCTCTGGAGATTCGTAGAACCAGACTTCCAATAACTTTTCTGGGCCTTCAAAGGCATCAGTGGAGTCCAAGTTGACGGACAAATCATGGTTGACATAAGTGTCATCGACGTAGGATGGTGCGACCATGGCTTAATTTTTGATGGTGGGGTAAAAGGGGGTTGGATGATAGGGCTTTGCGATTATGTGGCTAACTTCGGAAAGATAAAAATATAATGCAAACTTACTCTTTTTCAAGGAGGTGGGGATAGGCTTTTTTTCTAAAAAAATCAAAAACGAGAAACGAGGTAGAGAAGTGGCAAGAAACGTTTCAAGTTAGTCCGACCGGTAGGGGAGGTGGAACCGGTTGGTAAAAAGGGAGTTAAGGGAAGGAGATGGTAAAAGGAAAAGGATGAAAAGAAAACTTGTAGCTGGGATTCTTTCGTGGGAGAGTGGTATGAGTCGTGTTATCCAGGCCTATAGCGGTTAGTAACATATCAGTGTCAACAGTCTGAAGGTAACATACTTGGAAGGTCTTGCAAAACGGATAATGACTTCTCTAGGCATAAAAACTCTTTAGGAGTACTTGGCAGAGAATTTGATTTTGTTTTGGAATGAAACAGAGGAAAGATTCAGTATTCAGGCAGATGGATGAAATACGGATTTTTCTCTCTTCAAAAAAATAAAATCAAAGCTTTGTAGTGGTTTGCTTGTTTTGGAAGGAAAAAGTCGAGCAATTAACTTCTGGCTGACAGTGGCAAACGGTGGTGTTTTGGGAGTAGGTCAGGGTCTGAGAACCGATTATTGGGTGAAAAGTTTGGGGTAAACTAGAGTTGAGGGGGTTAAAACTGAGAAATTTTAGGAAGTGGGGGGAAGAAAAAAATTGACAGAAGCTAAAATTTATCGATTTCTTGCTTGCCCAGCATCAAGGTAAAAAGTTGAGGAGTGAAAAATTCGCACATGCATGATCGAACCCACAAATCACAGTGCTATCGAGTGACTCTTCCAGGGGCGTCATAACGTCGCCAGGGGAAAAAGCAATTTTTCAGGGTGGGGAAAACGTGCACGTCTAGTTTAGGTCGCCAGAAGGGATGCTCTGTTGGCGGTTGAGTCGCGGTCACGTGGTGATAACGGGACTTAAGGAACGCTTGTCTATGTACAGAATGTTTGGTCAGTAATTAGCTGAATGCTTATGGTTTACAGCATATATTTACATAGTGGAAAAGGAATAGAGTTCGCGGTAACAAGCAAGTGCTGCAAACCTGGGATTTTGTGACTATAAGAATGTAGAGTAGAACTATTCATTTTAGCCAAGTTAAGTCTCCAATGGTACTTGGTTTGGCGCACCCTGATGTTTTCGGAATACTGCAACCCCACAATAGGTTCAGAAGCATACACGACTAATTTCTCATAACAGTCTATAAGCAAGTACGAGCCAACCCCCACGCTTTAGTTGTATAATACATACAGTATTATAAGGGTTTTGCGTTGTCTTTAATTAAGATTGCCTGCATTGTTTACATATCTGACTGGTAGCAGGTTTCATGGGGCCGCAGCAGGTACAAACAAACTAGTTGGAGATAAGGTGTAAAAGAAAGCGGGATACAGACAGATACAATCCAAGAGTTTCAATTACGTTAACAATCACACGACATGTAAGAGTAAATACTAGCAAAATCTCCCCCCATATTTTGGGTCTCAAACCTACCAGCGACTGGAAGCTCGTTGGATCATACAATTGATCTTTGCTACTGCAATATCCACATCAACAGTGCTTTCACCGGTAACGGATATCTGATTAAGAGGTCCTATAGTGGTGTTTGTCGAAGTGTTTGTGAAATGGCGCATTTTTCTCATTTCAAAGTAGTTTTGGTCCTCATTGTACTTCGATAACGCAAGCATTTGACGGTCTGTCAAGTTTATCTCAACAAGATTTCGAACAAGCTTCGAGACAATGTGGATAATCGTTCTACGTGTTTTCGCCACTCTGGCTTGACTTGGAGAGGTAATATGAATCGTGGAATAATTTTCTGATTCAGTGGGGACAAGGGAGATATTCACCCCTGTGGTTTTTTCAAGCCGGAGAATATTTTGCCCTCGTTCGCCTGTAAACGCCCCCACCAACCGGTTATCAATCTCAATGCCAGATGTTGGTTGTAAACCGTCAATCGCTAAAACACTTTTGGTTTGTTCAGCTGCGCTTGTAATGTCTTTGATGTTATCACCGTAAACGGTAATTGACTCACCTTGGCGCCAATGAAACAAAGTCCTAGGATGGCAGTTCTTGAGTTTTTTTAGCATTAAGGCGGTCACACCTTCGGAGGACACGCAATCAATTACAGTGGCCGTTCGATTGTACGATTCCAATCGCAGTCGGAGAATGGCCATGGCTTCAGAAACGCCCTCCGCACCATAAACTGTTATAGAGGCAGTATTTCTGCTTCTAGTGACAGAAACAACCACATCTGCATCCTCCTGAAGCATGTGGAGTTTTTTACCGCCTTGGCCAACCAACAAAGGAAGAACATGGGATGGGAACTGGAAAGTTTGGGACATTTCTTGCATGGATGATAAGTATTTCTCGATCACTTTCTGGGCCTTATAGACGTTTTCCCTGTACTCACCGTAGATAATAACACCCAATTCGCTGCTGCTTTCATTGTTTTTGTCGACATTAATATTACAGTAGTACTGTTTCTCTAACGCCCCCAAATCAAGAATAAAGTCTGTCTTGTTACTCATACTCTTTCCACTGACTTTCGATGGAGTGTTGTTTTTTGCCTTGAGGTTTCCAGTCAATAAAAATCGTTGTGCTGCGGGAATCTTGAACTCCACACGGTTTTCCACTAACTTCCTATACCGACTCGAAAGCTGGCGGTACGCATTATCAACGTCAACTTTTAGTGGTCCTTTGATATGGAAGGAGGCATCTTTATACCTGATACTCACATTATTTGCATGCTGAAGCTCAGCAACGATGAATCCCCTGTAGCCAATGATTAGATCTTTGTAATGGGTGTCAACTTTAAGGCACTTTTCATGGAGGAATTGATCTGTGGGTAACTGATCAAAAAAGCGGGGAGCGGATTTCTGGGCCTTAATGTTCTGGACCACGTCAATGAACTTGGGCTTCGCCTGATAGTCGAGTTGGCCAAAGTATGAGGGTTTATGCAAGGTGTCGTTGTTCAGGTGGGGCGACGACGAGAAAGACCGCACACATCGACCGTATAGGGGTAGTTGTAGAACACATGTGGTGTATTTATATGGAATCAACATTTAAAAAAAAGTTGGCGGTGTAGCCGAGATAACTGCTGCTCTGGCTTTGATAAAAATTCTAGATAGGTCAATATGTGCTCATGCTTAGCCTCTTTGTAAAAGACGTGTTATGACCGGGTCGTGCTGAAGCAATACGACCTGCACCTAAGGAAACGCAGATGTGAAGATTGGGAGGCCTCAAACTGTAGTAAGGTTACTAACATCCTGCATAAACTGTTTATTTACGTTGCTGTTAAGCTGAGTAATGTGGAGCCCGAAATATAAACGAGTGGGTTTATATCATCAGTATTACAGAGATAGAAGTTTCCGAGAATATATGTTAATAATTAGAGGTTGAAATATCTTGTTTTAGCCTTATTCTCGTGTATCGCTGAAGCCCTGCTGTGTGAATTCCTCCCCGTGGCAAGCATTCACACCAAACATATGAACCACTTACTGAATACGAATATCTCAAAACTCTCAGCACAGCGATACCAGTTCCTATCTCCAAACCCGAGGCGACTATCGATTATTATTTTCCATCAACCCACACTTTAGATGTGGATCACTGACTGTCTCTTCCGATCTTGGGGGTATCTAGTTTCATTTTTCTACCGCCACCACTTAAACATCACAGTTATCGGACTCCAGAATGCGGGTAAAACTACGTTTGCCAAGATGCTAGATATCACATCTAGAAACCAGGAAAGTGGATCTGAACTACATCGAACTCGCCGGGACTCTGCTTCTCGTAAACGAGAGCTTCTTACAATCCCAACAGTGGGCTACGAAACCCATTTCCTCATGATAAACAACGTTTCCATCAAATGTGTGGATCTCGGTGGACAGGAAAGGTTTTACCGGTTCTGGAACAATTTTCTTATACAGGAAAATACCGATTTGATTGTGTATATTATTGATTTAAGTGATGGCTCCACGATAGCTGATGCCCGGGCTAAATTGCACAACGTCATACGTCAAACCAACGACTCAAAGGTGCCAATTTTGATACTTGGAAATAAGCTTGATATTATTTCAAAGTCAACGCTTGGAACGGACTCGGACGTCACAAATGGCGCCAACAACGATGCCACAAATCACGTTTCTCCTCGCGAGTCTCTCCTTGACATGCGCAACTTCAAGAAAATGGTGTATTTCACAAACTATCTCGGGATTGAGCATATTAAGGGGGGAATTTATCTTAGGGGGGATGATTATGGCGCCATTTCTGAGTCTGATGGTCCTGTTACCTCCACCGATCCCGTCTCCAACAACGGCACGATGCTTTATGGCTTGATTCCCTTTACTCTAGGCCGAATTTGGCCCCTGAAACAAGGCTTGCTGGGTCTAGAGGACTATCGGAATGGCCTGATAGAGCTAACGCGTGATGTGGGAATATTTATTGGCTCACTTAATGAACAACGGTATATTTCAGATATTATCAGATGGATCCTTGGGAATGGCTCCGACTTCTCGGCAAGTCCCCGTTTGTGCCCTGAACGCAGTACTTCTGCTGTCTCCAGCATTCGACGGGAATCGTAAATTACGCGGTGTAAGGCTATTGACATATTTATTAAGCACTAGAAGCTCAAAAATAAAATAATACCAGAAATCGTAGCAAGCTATTTTCTCAGCCTATAATATATAGTATGTATAACCCATAGTTTCCACTGAATTGTATTTTCATTGTGTTTTTTTTACCGGTTGCAAAATCAGCTTCTTATGCTGTTAGCCTGTGGTGGCAAGTTAACTGGCTTTAACAATGTTAACTACCGCCTTATGGAACCTATACACTAATCCAGTACTCAGCATTTAAATATACAATTTTAAAGTTTCTAGGCTAACCAAGTGTGTACCTATATCATGTATCTCTGATCAAACAAGTTAGGATTTACAGTCGAGTGCTATATTTATAGTCAATGGAGCCGCGTAAATCCTCCGGCTATAAAGCCAAGCACGTAAGCGTACGATTTGTGCGACGCTTAGCTTACGTGCCTTGGTGTGGCTAGTTTTAGCTTGGAGCGGCATATGCGCGCGGCTAGCGCAGCATGGTAAACGCAGGCTCTGGATCAGGAACATTTGTGGCTGAGAAGTGGCCACTTCCCTCTACGCATAAACTCCTGAGATTATGCTGGCTGCCAAGAACCTCCAACCTTAACCTTGGCCGCAGAACCCGCCCAAGGATCTTTGGAGAAGCTCCGAAGGCAATTACTTTATATCAAAACTCCGTACTGCTTTCTGATAAAGCTGGCCATAGTGATACATAATTAGAACTTAACACTCTGGCCTTTTTTCATCCACTCTAGACCCACCCCTTGATCGCCCCTCTCAGCTTCAGCCTTCATCCATCTTCGGCCTTCATCCACTCATCCATCCGCATACTCTTAACCTCCTGCCCTCCCCCTAACTCATTTCCAGTTCCATCCCGAGACCGATGGCTTCGAACGATTCTGACCCTAGTGATGCAACCCACACACCCCACCCTTATCCGCTCATTCTGGTTAACAATGACCCCCCGTTGGCAAGACGAAACTCTGGTGGTGACTTGGACGGTTTACAGCGAGCAGCATCGCGCTCAGGAATGACACCGCTCGTGAAAGTAAAGTCGTGCACGACGCCGCCACCGGTGCGCCCCGACATGCTCCGCGCCACGACGGCTGGCGTAGGCCACCCAAGCGAAGGAATCAACTTCAACGCGCCTATGGCGGTTTTCATGAGACCAGATGGTGCGCAATTTGCATATCGGTCCGTCACTGCGTCCCCCGGGCAAGCTACAATACTCAAGAACAAATACAAAACGGCTGTATCATTTGACACGATCGACATCAGGTATGATGACGACGAACTCGAGGACGATTCACAGCATGTGCGCCTCGCGCAGTCGCCTAGAGGCCGCAGCACAGACAACCTCAAGCCCGATCTCAGCTTCTATCAGAATACCAGTGAGCGCGTTTTGTCGCCGTCTAGAGACTTCTCCCCCGGCAGGGCTGACAGCTTGTCGCCAGACCACTTCAAAAAAAGCTTCATGGCCATGACGGACGGCTTTTCGGAATTTCAAGACTTTGGGTTCTTGAACAAGGCGTTGATGCAGGATCACTACGCCAAAGGTGATGATTTACCCAACTCGTGCACGTTGCGCTCACAACATCGAGACTACAACAAGCTTTACTCTAACCGTAGCCCCGAGGCGCACCACATCTTCCACAAACGGAAGATTATGGTGTACATTTCCGGCCGCAAGCATACATGGGTGGCGCTCGACTGGGTCTTGCGCAAGCTCTTAGCTAACGGTGACAACTTGATCATTGTGGCGGCCATCAATCAGGAGCCCCTGAAGTGGCGCGGAAGACGCCATAGTGCGGGGCACATCTTTAATATGGCCAAGAAGAAGCGGCGCAGCAGTTTCTTTGAAGAACCAGACTACCTGGACCACGAGTTGGACGAAGAGGAATTGGCACAACTCGAGCTAGCAGAGAGTAAAAACTCGCCAGAAAACATCTCCAAGATCTCTCAGAACATCTTAGACTACGTGTACGAGATCTTGCCTCCCGAGAAGATTATCAAGATCACGATCGAACTCGCTGTGGGAACCACGAAGGCAGTTTTAAAAGACATGTTTGACACATACAAGCCGCACTTGGTCTCTGTTAGTGCGAAGTTGAAGAACTCTACTGGTGCGCCGTTGACATCGTGGAAGTCATCGCGGTTGAGTGACCGGTTAGTGAAGAACTTCCCGCTCCCCGTTATTGTGGTGCCTGCCACCAACATGGGTGACTTTGAAGAGAATCTCTTTGATCTCTTGAAAGGTAGAAAGAACATAGAGGAGCACGAGCCAGACTACCCGGATATATACTACTCCGACGACAATGTGAGCAACTTGAACATGGATGCGATATTAGACGAGGTTCTGCAGCAGCTTGGCAGCACCAGTATTCATGACGAAAGTGGCATTTCCGACGATGCTGCCTCGATTGCCTCGGATTCGGACGGGGTGCATGATTCAGATGCTGATAGTGGTGATAACATCTCTACGCAGTCCGGCCGGGTTCCACCGTACCATGTTGTAATCGAGAAGTTCGCCGACGCGGCCAAAACGTTGGAAACAAAGTTGCGGGCGGTGAGTGCCTCTCTTAACGATGGAGATGTGGAGAACATGTTCAAGGCCGAGTTGAGCCTTGTGTCGGATGCTTCGCTCAAGTTGTGCCGCGAGATGCACGCCATGTTGATGGAAGATGAAACCGAGGGTGATAGCTCGAAGCTTGTAAGAAAGCTCACTGGGCTTGATCACATGCCACGCATGACCAAGGTGAAATCTATGCTCGATTACGCGAACGAGCCCAAAGCTCCGATTAACGGACTGAATAACGCAGCGTTTTTGAAGCCTCCGCCTTCATCGTTGAGATTCCACACACCTACCCCGACGATTCTTTCCCCCACAAGCAACAGCCCGACCAATAAAAGCGAAGACACCTTTTCCTTGAAGCCGATGCGGTCGGCCCCCGCGACAGCGGAGAACACCGACCCACGGCTCACCTACTCACAGAAAGACTCCAGCACCAAAAAGAAAAAGAAGTTTGGTGTTTTCAAGTTCTGGAAATAAACTGGTGAGCTTGCCGCTTAGTTCGATTTATATTTATTTTTTACAACCATTATCGTAGTTAACATTATATTACAAAGGAAAGCGAAAAAAAAATTGCATTTCTATTCGGTGTTGGCGATCCATTCCCAGACCTTCATAATCTCACCGTGCACTTCCATCATATGGGACCTGATACATGTGTTGTACTCGACCTTCCTAGACACAGATTCCCAGATTTTCATCTTCTTGGTGGAGTTCTCTTCGGACAACAACAAGTCTCTCAATTGAATGGAGCCGATATACGGCTTGGTAAAGCCGTTTCGGTCACTCACGGCCAAGTGTCTTTGGGCTTGCAATTTTTGCAAGATGAGGGAGTTTAGCTTTTGGATTCTGTCATGCTCCACCCTCTTGGTTTCGTGTCTTTTCTGAAGCACCTTGACAATCAACAAAGCGGCGGCCAAGATGCCTAACGGAAGTCGATATCTGGCCAAAGAGTTGACAACCGCTCTTTTAAATTTGCATTGGAGCGAGAGGTTGGCAAGGGACGTTGTGCGAAGAACCTTGTTCTGGCTTTCTTCCGAAGAAGGCTCGTCGTCAAGAGATGTTTCTTTTGGTCCTTGTTGAGAGTAATCACCGAGGTATCGAGTCTATATATGTTAGTAAACGTGTTCATGAAGCATGCTGGGGGATAATAAAAACGTGCCTTACTTTAATTTCTGGTTCCTTCTCCAATTCGAATAGAGCCCTGTTCCAAATATCGTCAAAGTCCTCAGGAGAAATGTAGTCAGCTTTCAATTGGTATACAATATCACGCAAGGCTTCTGTGGTGAATCCGGCATCAAGATCGTCTTCGCAGTCCCCACAGTCAGCGTTGGCATTGCGTTCTCTCAACAACTGAAGGGAGAAATCAATGATGCGGTCAATTCTTTCCGCCTTCTTGGTATCTGGCACACACTTTCCCGCAACCGGAACTAACCCATTGAATGAGTACCATGGGTAAGACTCGACAAAATCGTCGTAGCATTGAAGCTGGAAGTTGACGGTGCAACGGCCATTGGAAGGACATGGCCTGCACTGAGGCTTGTTAGAGTCTAAAAACGACTCAAGCTGTTCCAAAATAAGGTTTCCGGTAGGATTCTCAAACGTTCTTTGGTAGATCTCAGCGCCACAGTAGCCCACTAGGATACGTTGATCACGGTACCAAGCGCCATAGACACCGGCGAGCAAGAGCAAAAACCAAACAAGAATATAGTTAAGGATTTTCAAGAACGACGTAGGTTTTGGGTCAGGAGTTTCTTTCACACTAACCCTAAGTCTTTGACCTTTGGCTTTGATATCAGCTTTAGTGTTCTCCTCTGTATCCAGTTCCACTTCTTCATCAGACAACTCTTCGTCTTGTATTCTAGGCTGGGATAGGAGCTTAGAAACCTCAAAGATCTCGTAGTCGGTGTTATCGGTAACCTCAGATAGTGTCGGAGCCCTCACGACCTTTCTCTTCACAGGGGTACTTTCCTTTGGTGTACCTTGCAAAGTGACCCCCAATTGCGCCGCAAAATCCTGGGAGCTAAAGTCAGCTACCGTTGGCAAGGCAGCATGCACAACTCGGATTGTCGGAGAGCTCACCACATCATGGTGGGACACTTCACGCTCGGACACTGGTAGCTTTTTGGAGGCGGATTTGAGTGGGGTAGTCTTCACCGAGGGAGATCTCACCCCAGACGTCTTTTTACCGGAACTAGCAACCTTCTTCACCAGAGTACTAATTTTAGATGACGGAGTCACAGGGACAAGGTTGGATTGGTTGGTTGGAGCCACGGCGACCAGCTTTTTAGCACTGGTTTCTATGGCCTGGAGCACCTTCTTGGCGTTAGACTCAACAGCCGAAACCAACTTCTTATTTGAGATGGCGGATGAATTTTTTTTGATCTTAGAGTCTGTATCAAGAGAGGGGTTCCTTTTTGGCCCCGCATTTGAGTCCTTGTGTCGCGCATCTTTTACAGTTACCCTTTTTGGGGAACGAACCGCATTGGCGATAGCAGCTTCGAAAGAAGTGTCAGCAGAGTGAGTCTTGGCGGGGGAAGTATTTGAAGATGATTGGAAGACGTTGTTTGACGAGAAGTGGCTCTTCGTATCCTCGTCCTTTGGTTTAGGTATATCAAGCACCCGCCCCTTCATGATATGAGCAGTCAATTCCTTCAAGTTTACGGCTTCCTTGGTCTTTGTATCTCTTTTTTTCTTCTCCACTTTTGTGGCAACCGGCTTGCCCACTTTTTTGGTCTTGACAGCCTTGCTTTTATTAGATGTGGCAAACTTTAGCTTGGCAGGGTCCTGCTTAGATATCTCCTCGATGTCGGAGCTGTGGATATCTTCAACGGATTCGTCAGTGCCAACAGTCTGTGTGGGCTTCTTTGGGGATGTCTTAACTACTTCCTGGATATCCAGATCACCGTCACTGTCATGAACAGGCAGTGAATGGGATACAGACGTCAATGACCTTCTTGTGCGAGAAGGCACAACCTCAGCATCCAAATCAGTAGGAAGTTTGGACGGTTTAGCGAGCCTTTTGGGCTTCTTGCTGCTTTTAGGCGACGCATCGGACACAATCAAATCCTTAGGCTTACGTCCGTCAAAGTTGATAATGCCTTGGTCGCTGGCATTGACACTCTTGTGCTTAGCCAATAAGGCTGCAGCCTTTGGAAGAACCTCTTTCTTGAACAACCCTACAAGATCAGCCTTTTTAGCGCTGGATGGGTAGTCGATATCATGAGCTAACAACACGCCGCGGAGTTGAGCAACCTTCAATGACGTTGGGTCGAAGCCTAGACGGTTAGTATTCAGTTTTTCAGAAACATGTGGGGGGGGGGAAAAACATACCAGGCTCTAGATACGCTTCGTTTTCCATCTTATATTGATTGGGAATAGGTGTCAATTTGATTATTATCAAGACTCTCTACTTTTTTTATATGCACGTTGGGTCAGCGTAAACAATAACAATCTTGGGCGGGTAACCTATGATGTCTAAAACGTAGGCCTACAGATCGAGCTTGTTATTAGATAGTGGCAAGATGTTATGAACCGGTGATAGGGCTGTTGCTTACGATACAGCTACACAAGTTTTATTCACTTCATAGCTATGCTTTAGTAGTATACGATAATTCAATAGGTGTGATATTATTAGATAAATAGAGAATGGATACCGTTGTCTAGGTCTGACCGTTACCCCTATCAAATGAGACAGCCCGCGCTTCCGCGGCCCGTGCGCCGTAGATAGCTTAATTGGCAAGCCGCACCGACACGGCTCTGCAGTCTAAAGTTTTCAGGTCAAATGGTATTTAATCGCCACTATTCCTGTTTCGTAAACTCCTGTCTGACTACTCTAAAAAATGTGTTCCTCTCACAATTTAAGACCGGACGCTGACCTCCTGGAAAATGATGAAAGCTTTGTTAAACATGCCTATTCTAAGTTTGACATCTCAGACGATGACGACGACGACGAAAACCCAATGTCGCAGTCCATGAACTCTGCCCACTTCACCTATGCGGAAGAGCAGTCGTTTAAAGAACACGATTTGAAGATGAGAGCCATGGAAGCTGTTTCAGGAAACGGCACTCACGATATTCTGAGAAAGCCGTCCAAGATCTTGGACCCGGGCATGTTGCACAGACGCTCGTCTTCCTTTGGCAACAAGTCAGTCTCAAGGTTCAGCAGCGTTGACCACGGTGATATGGATAAGCAACATTTACCTCTACTCGATAACTTGCAGAGTACCAGTTTTGACTTTTCCAACTTGACTTCGCAGTTTGAAAACAACTTCAAGTTAAAGGGCGGCTTGCCAGGCAACGTAAGTAACCCGAACATGCCAACAGACCACCAGTCCAACGAGATCCCGTCTGAGGAGTTGATTCTGCTCTACAAGAATGTCAAGAACTGCTTGGACATGAGACACAAGTACCAGTCGCTCTCCTTGCAGTACGACAACGACAACCCGAAGAACACTGATAATTGGGACGTCTTCCCATCCCCTCCAACCCCAGCATACCATTCTAAGGAGTTTGACGACTTACACTATGTGGAGAAAGCCAAGAATATCAGAGGCAACGCTGAGTTCAAGTTTGAGGACATGGAAATTCCGGGTGTGGATGAATCCATCACTTACGAATTGAATGACGAGGATGTCTTTGAGGTCTTTAGAGGCGACAAGAAGTTGGTCAACGTTCCTTCCATCAAGGAGTACTATGTGGATTTGGAGAAGATTATCAGTATCTCCTCCGACGGTCCAAACAAGTCCTTCGCTTTCAAGAGATTGCAGTATTTGGAAGCCAAGTGGAACTTGTACTCCTTGTTGAACGAGTACCAGGAGTCCACCGAGTCTAAGAAGAATCCGCACAGAGATTTCTACAACGTCCGTAAGGTGGACACCCACGTCCACCACTCTGCCTCCATGAACCAGAAGCACTTGTTGCGTTTCATCAAGTATAAGATCAGACACGCGACCGACGAGCAGGTTATCTTCAGAGATGGCAAGGTGTTAACCTTGGCTGAAGTATTCAAGTCTTTGAACTTGACCGCGTACGACCTCTCGATCGATACCTTAGACATGCACGCACACAAGGATACCTTCCACAGATTCGACAAGTTTAACTTGAAGTATAATCCGATCGGGGAATCCCGTTTGAGAGAGATTTTCTTGAAGACGGACAACTTCATCAATGGTAGATACCTTGCCGAACTTACTCAGCAGGTGTTTGACGATTTGGAGCAATCCAAATACCAGATGGCTGAATACAGAATCTCCATCTATGGGAGATCCGTACACGAATGGGACAAGTTGGCCGCCTGGATTATTGACAATAATTTGTTCAGTCACAATGTCAGATGGCTCATCCAGGTTCCAAGATTGTACGATATTTACAAAAAGAGTGGCACTGTGACTAACTTCCAGGACATTATCAACAATTTATTCCTTCCGTTGTTTGAGGTTACCAAGGACCCATCATCCCACCCTAAGCTCCATGTCTTTTTGCAAAGAGTGGTTGGCATTGATTCCGTTGATGATGAGTCTAAGCTAGACAGACGTTTCCACAAGAAGTACCCAACGCCAAAGCACTGGGACTCACCACAGAATCCGCCGTACTCTTACTACTTGTACTATTTGTACGCGAACATTACCTCCTTGAACACCATCAGAGCCAAAAGAGGCTTCAATACGTTGGTATTGAGACCACACTGTGGTGAGGCCGGTGACCCAGAGCACTTAGTGTCTGCCTTCTTGCTTGCACAGGGTATTTCTCACGGTATTTTGTTGAGAAAGGTGCCGTTTGTGCAATACTTGTTTTACTTGGACCAGATTGGTATTGCCATGTCGCCGTTGTCGAACAATGCATTATTCTTGACCTACGATAAGAACCCGTTGCCTTCGTATTTCAAGAGAGGCTTGAATATCTCCTTGTCCTCCGATGATCCTCTTCAATTTGCCTACACCAGAGAACCATTGATCGAGGAGTACTCTGTCGCGGCCCAAATCTACAAGTTGTCCAATGTGGATATGTGTGAATTGGCGTCAAATTCCGTTTTGCAGTCCGGATTTGAAGCTTCCATCAAGCGGCACTGGTTGGGTAAAAACTACAACAAGCTTGGGGTTGAAGGGAATGATATTGAGAAATCCAATGTTCCAGACTCCAGAGTCAATTACCGATTTGAAACCTTGATGAACGAATACCAGTTGATCAATCACTACTCCAAGTTGCAGTAGACTATTTTGTGCTACTTTTGCATTTTTAGTTAGAGATTTTGTTTCATAATAGATATATTTAAATGCGTGTTTTGTACGTTGGCAGTTGGTAGGTTGTGTGTTCGAGATGTGCGTTTCTGTGGCAGTGCATCCAGTTACCCGTATTCCTTACAATGAGTCAATTTAAAACTAATTCACACCCAGTGTTTTTTATTTTGGTGCCACAACCTTCAGTTTCCACGATAAACCCGCTATAACCCACAAACTTTGCTATACTTCACCACCCCAGTGATTTTGCTACACACCCTCCATGTCCTTCAGAATTTGCCTCCCTGTGTTGGGCTCTCCCCTTGAATTGTCTGAGGAAGAAGTGGAGGAGAAAAGAGTCTCCCAAATAATTTACCAGAACGACATATGCCTCTTAGAACCACAGCTTTCAAGGGTTCCTGTAATAAAGATTTTGTTCGTCGGCTCCGCTGATGTCGGGAAAAGCGCCCTTTTATTACAATTTTCCGATTCCGCGTTCTATGCCTCAAGACATAAAAGTACCGTTGGGGTGGATATGAAAGTAAAACTCGAATCGGTGGACGGAAGAATGGTGAAGGTTATTCTCTGGGACACAGCGGGACAAGAACGGTATCGTGCTTTGGCACCCTCGATTTACCATAACACGCAAGGCTTAATCTTGACGTATGACATAACAAGACTAAACACGTTTGAGGATCTAAAGGATTTTTGGCTATCAGAATGCCTTAGGCACTGTCAACAGAAGTCCCAGATGGTTGTTTTCATCGTGGGGAATAAAAAGGACTTGACATTGAGTGAAGCGGGTTCTAGAGGTTCCACCAGACAGGTATTCAAGGAAGATATTCAAGGGCTTTCAAAGTATATCGAAGCTTTACGCTTGGAAAACGACACTGAAACTTTATTCAAAGTTGGTGGATTTTATGAGGTGAGTGCAAATAATAAGTACCAGGTGGACGCATTGATGCAGCGAGTTCTTCAGGCGGTGGTGCAGACTACCGGAGTATTCGCAAACCCTAGAGTAATGGTTCAAGGGGGTGGTAGTCAGGTCTCCTCGAAGATGGAGCATAAAAATTCCTGTCAGTGTTAGAGCCGTTATTCTCATCTATTGTACAGTTTATTGAAGTCTATACTTAACCATTAATTGAACGACTGGAAGTACCTCTCTCTGAAGTTATCGCCAACGGTGGCATTCTTCGTGACACCCTTGTAAGATGCATCTCTCTTGACGTAGACGAGCAATCTTCTGCTCCATTTATGAAAGTTCTGTTCGAGATTGTATAACAATTCCAATTGCTCGTGTTGAGGAATTTGAGTTGGGATGAAATCGTCGTCGGCGGTTGGAGTCCAGAAAGCCACTCTCCCGCCCACTGGCAATCTTTCACTGGCAAACTGCAATAAATCATCCAACAAGGCACTCAACTCATACGGCTTCTTAGGTTGCACAAAGTCCTTTCTCAAGAAGGCCTTTTCACCGTTAATAATAACGTTTTCCTTACCCTCTGCCTTGGCGGCATCTTTAACACCACAGACCTTGAGTCCTTCTCTGATGCCATACGGAGGGTCACAGATAATGGAGTCAATGACAAAATCCTTGCGGAAACAGTTGTGGGTAAAGTCCATAGTGAAAATGTCACCTAAATACAATGACGTACCATACTGTTTGAAGTTGGCTTGAATGGTGCGTTGTCCTTTACCTTTCAATGCCCTGACATCGATATCAGAGCCAAATGCAATCCCACCATAGTGAGCAGCAGCAACCAAGAACGATCCGGTCCCAGTAAAGGGATCACACATGATCTTTCCCTTGTCGACACCACCGATATTGCAACTGACCAATGCCAACTCAGCGTCAAACGAAGTGGTCCCAATATACTTTCTCCTACGGAGATCATACTCGTCCAACACACCAGTGGTTCTGTCTGTGAGGGAAATTTGTCTCCCAAACCACATTCTGTCTGGCTTGTCAGTGGAGTTCTGGCCCTGAACAGTGTACTCCTCTAAGACAGTAAAGACTTGGTCAGGATTCTTCATGCGGACAGGACCCTTGAAGGCAGTATATTGGAAGGATTCAATGATATCAACCATTTCCTTTTTCTCTCTCGAACCCTTGAACCCGATGAATTCAAACTTGAACGAGTTCTGCTCATAGATCCTGATTCTTTCTTCGAAGAAAGATTGTGATTGGATATTTTCATGTAACTGGCTGACGGAGTCGTTTCCGGTAGAGCCCCATAGCTCATAGATACCACGGGTTAACATAGCTCTCTCCACCAACTTCTTTGCCTGCTCATCATTTTCTAATTCAACGATTAAGAACGGAGTGAGCTCAGAGTGGTGTGATAAGTCAACTTTGATACTGTGTAGTACCGCTAAAGATTCCAACTCTGGAAGGCGGAAGTTTGTGTAGGCCTGAGCAAAGTAGATCAAGTATTGCTTCATCGTTGCTACTTCCGAAAAGGGTGATAAAAACTTTGTGGCGTAATCGGCATTTGGTATATTGTCCATGTTAAAAAAAAACTTTTATTATAGAAGTCCTGTATATTGGTAAAATTCAGCCTCTAAAAAGTAATGGTCCCTAGCAGGATCGAACTGCTGATCCCCGCGTTATTAGCACGATGCCTTAACCAACTGGGCCAAGGGACCACCTATTACGTTTACTAATTTATGGGTATTAGGCCCCATGCCAGGTAATTTGAGGGAGATTGTGATAATGACTTGGTTCACTAGTGTGGCGTCCTTACGTAAAGCGTTGCAAATCAGAAAAATTGCTTACTTACAGTTAGTCTTTTTTTTACGTATATAAGTAGATTGCTATCTTATATAGTTTTGTTCTGGCCAAAAGACTACCTTTATTTTTGAGGCTCTTAGTGGACAAGTATTATCTCTCGCTATTGACAGTTACTACGAGACACCACAGCCAATTAACATATTAGTCAACATATCCAAACTGTAGACAACCCGGATCAGTGGAACACTGGGTAAAGAGAGTCAGTATGGTCATGGTGAATCTCTGGCAATGTAGTTACGGTTTCAAACTTGTTACATTTGGCTAGCACAGAATAGCCGTGCGTTAAACGTTAATCACAGAACTACCAGAAGAAACCCCAGTGCGTAATAATAATAAATCAAATTAAGGTATAAAAATAGCTAAATACTAACTGTGCTACATAGAAGTACGTACACCTAAGCCAGCCTAGGTTTTAACATCGGTATTAGTAATACCAGTGCCAGGGTTACCTTCGATGTCAACATCAGAAAGATCAAGGTCTTGACCGCGGCCATTCTGGACAGCCCCCGGTTCAACATTGGCAGTATCTGGTTGATCAGTTGCGTTAGCTGGGGCAGTGAACTGAGAGTGGTTTTGACCCTCGTCTTTAATTCCCGTTTCATTGGACGCGGCAGGGTGGACATCAGAGGCATCACCAACAGTTGAAGGCCCAACTCCAGGGGAAAAGTTTAAGCCACCTCTACTTAAAATATGGTTAAACTTCTCCGCAAACGTACCGGTTCCCTGGCGAAGGTAGTTGATAATTATAACAACAAAACTGACGAGGAATGCGAGCCATGCGAAACAAGAGAAGGCAATCGATGTTTTACCGGCCTTGCAAGCTGAGGAGAAACCATTTCCAAAGAAACCATCATTTCCAAAAAAGTCATTTCCAAAAAAGCCACCAAAATTGGACCTATTACCACAGGAGAATCCACCCCATAAATCTGCGATGGCAACAAAGGCAGAGAACCAGAGGATCATAATGATACCCTCCAGAATCAAGACCACTCCGGCCGGGACAATTCTTGGTATGTAGAACGTCCCAAGAACAACATAGAGGATATACACGAGCGAGATAACCCCCATGGCCACCACAAAATTTCCCCTGTCATAGGAAAAAACAGACAAGGTTTTGGCAGCCGTACCCAAGGATATGATAGAAAAGACTAGTTGAACACCCCGGATAATGTATACCGAGATTTGAGAGCCCAATTTGTTGGCTAGATTTTCAATGGTCATCGTTTAGATTGTTTAAGTGTGTTGAATAAAAGTATAATGGGAGTAAAAGATGACCCAAAGAATTAGGGGAGAAGGTGGCGATATTTATACAAGAATATTTAGGAAACCCACTGGGAATTCGTTGAAGACCGGAAACTCTAAGCTCTTACACATCAGAAAATCAGCGCATATCGGTATTAATTGCTCATGCTCTGCCTGCATAACCATGCGTGATCCTAGCTAGATTAGTCTATACTTCACAATTTGCAAGGGTTTACGCCAGAAGGTGTTAATCTAGTCACAGAGATGACACCGCCTTTTTCGTCTAAAAGTAAGGTCACTTTGCATTGATAAACACTGCAGCACAGCCGCCATGACAATCCAAACAATCTAAGACTTCTTCGGAATTAAAGTTCGTACTACATTGTTGTGAACCTTGATGGAGTACTGATTGGCGATGTGCTATCAGCCACGAGACGCAAAGTCCTGGCCCTAACAATTAACACCATAGCCCGGGAAATGGGATCTGATGAATTAGAGCAATCCCGCTTTTTCTGAAGGTATCTCCCGAGTGCATGAGTTGAAACAGTGTAGCACTCAGCTTTACTTTATTATCATAAACAGATCTACACGGGAGTAGGGAATACATGGTTTGAGAATGACGCAATCCTGGAATTGAAAGTCATGCAGGACAATATCCCGTTTCTACGGTGGCATGCTAGGACCCTTGCCTATGCCGATGCTCGGAGAAGAGACCACACAAGTAAAATGTCTTTTGTGAACTTCACTTGTGTAAAAGCTTCACCGTTATATGCAAGGATCTATCCGGCTAATCTGTAGTAATATGCGTACTATTCTATATGTCTTGGGAACTTAACCAGCCAGGTGACGTAAAAAGGCAAACTCCAGCCAATCTGTAAATGATCTCCATATGCACGCCGCGCTTATAACACGTTTGCTCTGTATGCACGCTGCACCAATAACTTGTCTCCTGAGAGGGCCCCTCGTTAAGTGAGTCATGCAATCTAGCGATAGGCAGGCATGGGACATTCAACGGTATTTAGAATCATACATGAGCATGTGACGGATTCAATAAAGCCTGGCTATGGCCTAAATAGTTAGTCCCACATTGTAAATCACTGTTTAGGCCGAGCAAGCGCTACGTACACAAATACCGCGAATCAGTGACGCCATCACCTGAAGCTATGGATTTCGAAGTCATTCCTCTTTCTGCTCGAGCAGCTCAACCAACTCAGCCACATATCTACATCTTCTCGTGAATGTAGTTTAGAGGTGAAGGAAGGCTACAAAAAGCTTACCAGATAGTGACGTATATGTGACAAGCTTAATCGTACCAGCTCATATACCATGAATATTTCCCGGTTGGGGGTAGCTGTGAGGCCATATCACATACCCACAGAATGATTAACGGTATTTATTCCCCGTCAAGGCTTGGCGTGTGTGTCTGAAATTTGCTCAAGTGGCGAGTTTATCATATTATAATAAGTCTAGTTATATGCCAACATGCTCCCCTATTCGATATCTCCGTGGTTTTCGCTGCAAACTCGGAACTAGTTACACTTAAACGTAAACCTTCTCCGAAAGGGACCACTACCAAACACTGTTATATCGCTATCAGTATTCCTCACATCTACAACTTGCGCAACAGAGCATTTCGTGGTACAACATTCGCATAGAAAGTGTAAGAGATATCCCAGGAAATATCCTCAATAACCTGGAAGAAATACTCGACGTACTCATTCCCGCAGACCATGAACTCGAACTGTTTCTGGTTGTTACTGAAAGTATCTTTTTCAAGGATTATGACCTTCCGACTCTCCAAAGTATTTTCGACCAATGGCTTCAAAATCCTCATAACCTAGAGATGGTCTTACAACCGATCAAAGTGTCACTCAGAACAATCCCATCTCTTCTAAAGAAATTGCTGAAAGACTTACTGATCCAAAGCTCGCTAAGACTATTTGGGAAATTGCCGAGCTTGCTTTGCCTTTTGGTGGGTTTTCGTGATTGGTCCTAACTCCAGCTCTCTCATATCTGTACCTGTTGCACACCAAGCATACCGAGAATGATTTGTATGCTGATATTACTACCACTCGCTGGGAATTTAATACACAGTAACATCCAAAGTGATGGTTTCTGTTACCATCTTGAAATGATCACCTAGTATTTCCTCAACAATACCTCTCCGCTATATCGTGCTGTTTTCTGGGTTTTCGACAACAATACTAACATCCTTGGTGCACTTCTACTGCTGGGGAATATTATGCTCTCTTGTTTTACTCTATCATATAGGCCGATAGGAGTCACCTAGTACGCTTCCTACACTTTCATATATTGTATCAGGGTGAGTTAGTTAATTAAATCAATATCCGAACCGGGTTTATACAATAAAACCCAGTTGGAATGGTCTATCTAAATCTTTTCAGATCCAAGAGATGATTTCGTGGCCAAGTTGGCTAAGGCGTGTGACTGTTAATCACAAGATCGTGAGTTCGACCCTCACCGAGATCGTTTTTGCTTCAACAAATTCTGATTGACAGATATGACTATAAATAAATGAATAATGCCTATTGATTTGCAATATTTTACTTGAATTTTTGCAAAGATACAAGAGCTTACGGCAATCATGTGCCCTCTCCCTTTGATATATCTCATTTGAGGCCGCACCACGACTCTGTAAAGCCACACGTATCCTATTTTTTTGTAAAAGCATACATTTATCACTATACGCGTTAAACCATGTTTAGATATTTCTCGGACATGAACGTCATTCCCTATTATCAACTAAAAGGGCAAGGACATTTCATCTAACCTAAACATTGTGGCTGTAACACATAAATTGTTTGACCATAAAACCTCTGTTCAAACAGTCACTGTTATCAGGGACAGTACCTACGTGATAGGTTAACGTGGTGGGGGGTTAGATCGCCCATACAGACCCTGGAAAGCGGTGTTCGAGCTATTCCCATTCGTTCTTGTAGCATCGTAAGTCACCTGAGAGTTCCCTGGGTACTTGTTCGCTGTCCTCTGCGGAAGAACACCACGTTGCATCCCCGGTGGGGGGCCAGCAGGCCTTGAGTAGGTCACAGGGTGAGTTGGTATATGAGGCGGAGCAGATAATCTGCTTCTAGGTGGTAGAGAGGTCAGAGGCCCAGGGGGGCGCGAGAAGTTTGGTGTATCAGTAGGAGGGCGACGGGGAAGGGCGGGAGCAGCCATAGGGCGAGAGAAGGAGCTACTTGCCCCGCCAGTGCTACTGTAATGCGGGGTGAAGATACTAGCAGCCTGTTCTGGGTCGGGGGCTGAGTATGGGGGCGGTGGAGCATCATCGTGGTTATTGTCGTAGTCAGGAATCACGTGCACGGTCTGCGTTCGGGTAGGTTCAGGCAGAGGAGTTGGAATAGGAGCCAGTGTCCGGACTTGCGTTGGCTGAGACCGAACAGGAAGTGGAGGAGTAGGCCTGTCACCAGACTCTTCCAAAGAAAGGGCAATTGCCATTGCCATATCCGATTCATATGTGTCCCAAGGTAAACCTCCGGAGGGATTCTGTGGTATTGGATTGCCTACGGAGGCCACTGAGGGTACAGAGACGGGGGATTCAGTGTGAGTCGTTACGGGGGACGAGGAGGAATTTCCAAGGGAATTATGAGATGTATCTGGTCCGGCCTGCGGAAACTGACTCAGAATTGGGACTTCAACGCCACCGGTAGACGGGTTATCCGAGGGCTGGTGGTTGAGCACTGGGATTTGTGGCAGAGGCTGGGGTGCTGAGTGATCTATAGTAGCAGGAGGCACGTAGGTATTAAAAGTTCCAGTGGCAAAGGAAGTAGTACCGGATATGTTCTGGGACATACTAGACGCACCAGTAGTGTTGGATGCAATACTGAACGTATCTTGAGCCATGTTGGAAGCTCCCGTGGTGTTGACGGGGATGGATGAATGCGCACCCAAGCTTCCGGTGACAGTCGCAGGAATAAAAGTGTCCGGAGTCATCGCAGGATTCCCTGTAACATTGGCGGCAACGAGGGTATTCTGGCTCCCAGGTGTGCCTGTAAGGTTGACAGGAATTCTAAATGTGGTCGAGCCTCCGGAGGGGCTATTCCGTGCGGGAACATGCAAAGCATCCTGAAATGTATCATTTCCGGTGATATTCGAAGAAGCATAAGTATTCTGAGTCATCCCCGAGAATGGATTCAAGGCTCCACCTGGCGCACTCTCATTCCGCTCACAGCTGCTGGAAGTACCTGACATGTGGCTTCTGACTGGCGATTGGGCTTGTGAGATAGCTTGCTCTGCTAGAGGACTTGGCACAGAAGCATTCAACATACTATAAGCACCACTTACCTCAGCACTACCCTGTTCGGGCATCCAGCTGATATCTTCCTGCGGCAACATGTTCATGATCGCATCGTAGTTAATCTTGGTTGGGGGAGAGATGGTAGGTGTAAGACCCATTCCGCTAGGATTGGTTCCAGGCGATTGACCACCCGGCAGGTTGCCGCCGGAAAACTGCTGTGGCAGACCATTGGAGCTATACCCTGATTTGACAGGCTGCAAGGCTGGGAAGCTGGAATTTAGGGTATGGGAGGCATTGAAGTAGGTTCCAGGTAACGAAGCCGGGCTGACTGGGGGTAAGGAGCCAGACTTGTCTGCCGTTATCGGTGTAAATACATCGTTAAGGTTGATTTGTGGAAGGTTACTAGGAACAGGGACAGGAGGACGAACATAAGCTGCTCCCGTCGCATGAGCAACGATTTGCTCCTCTGCCGCCTCCAGGAACGGATTGTTTGCAGCGTGTGACATATTGGGTGATTGGTATTGTAAGCTTACCAAAAGAATATAAAAGTGTCCAGCTGTGTTGCAACTCTTGACACAGAGCAGCGCTTAAAGTATCTGTTTTGGCTCGCAGTATAGTTATACCCGGCATCATGGAGGCAGTGCGACTGTTAGATGCCAACCCCTAACCGAAAAATGTGGCTACCGTGCAGGATTTATTCTAGCGAAGTTTACTGAAAGAACTGATAAGTTCTAACAATCTGACAGCATAGTCAAATTGAAGTACGATACTCAGCACGAAAGTGATAAATAATCAGTAGGGATCCTTCTCATTGATTTATTAAATCCCAATCCCCGATTAGCTAAATGACTAAGGGGTGAGAATGGCAATTAGGTTACATTCCCTGTGAGATGGAGGGGTATATATTTAGGGAGGCTGATATTTATTTCAAAAATCGAGCAAGTTCTAAGTCTCTCCCTTAATGGTTGACTTACAGTGAATTGCAGAAAAGAAACGGTCGCGCTGGAGTAAGGCAACAAGCTTTAAGTCATGGGGTGCAACTCACATTTCCAACATAGCACGACGGGCGCTCAGGGACGTGATTGCGGGGTTTTAAGGGATGTGGTTACTTTATGCATCGTGCGTCACTAACATCCTTCAGCTTGCATGTATCCTTTCCCCTCATCTGGAGTGGCGTGATCCGGTTATCTTCATGGTTTATAATGATTTCCTCGCTCTCATTGTTATATATTTGGTGTATAAAGCAACCAACTGCATTCTCGGGAAATGGCATCCAGTATTACCCACTAGATATCACAATTGCTACTCTGGAGCGACCGATATAACAATTCTTATCCACCCTCTTAACAGGGCTCTTATCTATTTTAAACGCACACAGGTCCGACTATGACGCCAACAATCAGATGGGGCATCATTGGTGCAGGTAAAATTTCTGCCAAGTTTACCGAGGATATCTGCCGCAAACGGCCTCAGACGGCGCCTGTCAACCATCGCATCGCCGCCATTGGATGCTCCTCTTCGGAAAAAGGACGTGTGTTTGTTTCCGAGCATGTGAGCGGTCCATCGACGGATACTACTGTTGCATCTTTGACATATAGCGAGGTGTATGCATCGTCCGACGTTGACGCGGTTTACATTGGCCTTCCCCACGTGTTTCACAAACAGCACTCCTTGGAAGCGATTGCCCAGGGGAAACACGTTCTCTGCGAAAAGCCGTGCTTCATGAATCTGAACGAATTAGAAGAGGTTTTGCGAGCAGCTCAAACCAAGGGGGTGTATTTTATGGAGGCCGTCTGGGTGCGCTTCTTCCCCGTAATGCAAGAAGTCACTACTCACTTGCATGACTTGCGCACCATCGGCGACTTGAAGAGGTGCGTAGTTAATTATTCGCCGAACATAGAGGTAGACGCGTTGCCACTAACTGACCGCTTGATTGACCGAAAACTTGGAGGCGGCGCCATCATGGATATTGGAGTATACACCATCCACCATTATCGCATGCTCATGGATCCTCGAAGCAGGATACAGTCTATGAAGGACTTGGATATTGAATCTTCCCAGTCATTGGTAAATGGTGTTGATTACATGACCAGTATCCTTGTGTCTCCAAAGGATAGGACTTCACAGGGGATTTTGACATGTTCTTTCTACAGCTTCGGAACAGGGCCCTTTGCCATGGTTGAGGGGACTTTAGGAAAGTTGGAGATCCTCACAGAACAGGGCATGCCTGCTCCATTAGGGTACACAATCACCTTCAGGGATGGAAGGGACCCCATTTCGAAGTCGTGGCCTGTTAGCCAGGATGGTGGTAGGGGAGCCTTCGGGTTCTTCTACGAAGCAGACGCCTTTGCCTTAGATATCGCTGCAGGTAAGTTGCAGAACGATACTGTTAGCTGGAATGAAAGCAGAATAGTGTTGGGAATTGTCGATGCTGTCAGACGTGCCAGTGGAATGACTTATGAACAAGATTTTTAAATAGCTTTATTCTGTCAATTTAATTTAATTGACAGAATAAATACTAATATAGATGAGAGGATTGGGTAGTCCACTATATCGTTTGGGCGTGTGAAAATCCGAATTTTTCGTCAAAGCTTGGATTAATTTAGAAAAAATACATTTATTCTTAAGATGACAGATAATCAAGCCAAATATTGATATTAATGTATATAACTTTTTTCAACGAAGAGTGGCAATGTATGTTACTTTGGGTATAGTTTCCGCTACCTAAGCCCTAGTGATTGCCTCAAAATCTCCATATACGCAAAGTGTCTCTATCCAGAAATAGCTACATTCATTTCTAGAGGCCACACATATCGTCCACATGTTTGTCAGTATGTCACCCTGCGGCCGCGCTCCTAGTATGCAGCCACTGCAGCTAGTCGAAAAAAAAAAAATAAACCGAAAAATACCTACAATGGCAGAAGATAACAAGAGCTATCTTTGGCCAAAGTGATTAAAGTATCACTTCGTGTTCAGACAGGCACAAGCCACCTTAAATACACACAAATCTACAATGACTCATCACGCGGACTACTCAAACTTCGCCAATACCCTGTCCAAGAAGGATACTTTGGAACTTGTGGTCGAGTCGTACGCCGCTTTGGCTGACGGCCAAACAAACTGGGTTGCCAATCTTGCCAACTGCGCTTCTTTGGTGCATCATGCGTATCATTCCTTGTCTGTTCCTGTTAACTGGGCTGGTTTCTACGTTCTCGACCCCAAGAAGGACAATCAGCTCATCTTGGGTCCGTTTATGGGGAAGGTCGCCTGTCAGGTAATTCCGTTCGACAAAGGTGTTTGTGGGACCGCTGCTGTCACTACACAAACCCAGCTTGTTTCAGATGTCGAAAAGTTCCCCGGCCACATTGCCTGCGACGGTGAGACCCAGTCTGAGATTGTGTTACCGATTTTGGACAAGGAAGGGAAGTTGAGAGGGGTATTAGATGTCGACTGTTTAGCGTTAAACGGATTTAACGAGATGGACCAAAAGATCTTGGAGTCTTTGTGCAAGCTTATTGGTGAGACTTGTGAGTGGTAGGAGTACTGTTGGTACTGAACGCAATTTTTACTTTTTGCTGGTCTATCGGTGATTCAACAAAAATAAGGAATTCGCCTTAGTTTTTAGGCTCGTCAGGATTATATCGTAAGTACATAGGCATGAATTTCCTTTCCTATGAGCTGCTGAAAATGAACGTGCGGATCTACCATTGCAGTTAACGGCTTCAACCAATCTGCACACGAGCCTATCTACCTAAACTTTAATGGACGACACCCCGAGTCTGACAGATGGTGTGGGAGAGTTTCTGAAGATGAAATTTTGGGCTAACCTCAAAGAATCCAAGGGGGCTATCGCGTGCACCATTGAACCCCTAGTCTGCCGCCGTTTCCTTTATGTCTTAAAAACCGTGTACATGAGTCCCTCTCTGGCATACTAGACTGGAAACTTGATCACACCGCATACATTCTACATGCGGCAGAATAATATCACTCTAGAGTAATGAAGTTAAACTCTAACGGGGTGTCTGGAAACTCTGAGGCTTGTTAGTATAACACGGGGTATTATCTCTACGGTACTTCCGTAGCGTGCCTAGGGTATGTACCCAGGACTAATTTCCGCAATCTCGTGTCTACAATGACCCGATAGACCGAAACATCGGAGAAATTTCGTGCCAGCAGAAAAGTCATTCCACTGGGCCGCGGCACACTTGCCTGCCCATAGGGATAGTCATCGGAAAGACCGAATCACGATACCTTTGAAACTACCACACTCAGAATGCCCTCGTCGTATTATGCCAGAAGTACGGACTCGCACACGGTATCTATCCGACAGACATAGCTCAACCACATTGTATAATTAAGACGTACTTGAATCTTTGTGTAACTTCAATCCCGATTCAGAAATGGAGTTCGATCGGATATTCTTCGAGTTTTATATTCCGTACAGATTACTGTCGTAGCTAATTGTGCCGAATCAACTTCCTAGAGGTAGCACGGATACCCGCTGCCGTCTTTGTATCAGCTTTCCTGAAGTAAAAAAAAAAAGCCATATCTGTATCTTAAAGGTCAACTGGACATTTTTCGCTGTTTCTTATGTTCGGAAAATTCCCCGGATCTCCACCCCCTACCCCCACATGCAGTCCTGTCTATAGTAAAACTGACATGCATGAAACTTCATGCCCCTCACTTTCCCCGAGTATCAGATAGCACACTTTTGACCCCCCACAGAAGCATATTCCGGGATCAGGTGTAAATACAACAGAATAGGTGTTTTTCTTCCTTCTGTTTCATACCTTCTTTTCCCATCCATTACATAGCTCAAAACACATAATGCCCCCTCACCCACCACAAGGCCTTTACACCCCTGTTCCAACTTTCTTCAAGCAGGACTTCTCTCTTGACTTGAGCACTCAGGTCGCCCACGCCAAGAAGTTGCAAGAAGACGGAATGCAAGGTTTGGTCATTGCCGGCTCTATGGGAGAAGCTCCACATTTGACCAGGGAAGAGCGTGTTACCTTGGTCAAGACCATCAGGGAAGCTATCCCAACCAAGCTCACCCTTATTGGTGGTGTCTACGCCCAGTCCGTCCAGGATGCCATTGCTGAGATCCAATCTTTAGCTGACGCTGGTGCTGACTACGCTATTTTGTTGGCACCATCTTACTTCGGTCCAAACTTGGTCTCCCAACAAGGGATTGTGGACTGGTTCACCGCCGTTGATACAAAGGCCGTCTTACCTTTCATCGTCTACCATTACCCAGGTGTCTGTAATGGTGTTGAAATCAACATCAAAACTTACAGAGCCTTGGCTAAGCTCGACAATGTCGTTGGCTGCAAGTTGACTCACTTCAACATGTCCTTGTATTCTATGTTGGCTTCTGACCCATACTATGCTGAAAACAACTTCTTGGTCTTCACCGGTCTAGGCCAAACCATGATTCCGTCTCTTTCCCTCGGGATCAGATCTGCCATTGATGGTTTAACCAATATTTTCCCTAAGTCCATGGTCGAAGTCATCAGGTTGTACGACACTGGTAAGTTGGCCGAAGCCAATAAGTTGCTCATCAAGGTTGTCAGAGTCGACGAAATGATCTCTGCCTTGAACGTTGTTGGTCTCAAGTTTGCCATCAAGCAGGTCATGGGTTTTGGTGACAGAACCACTGGCAGACCACCATTGTCTGTTGAGAGAAGCCAGGCCATCTGGGACTCTTTCCTTCCTGATATCGAAGCTTTGTGGGCCGTTGAAATGTCCTTGTAGGTTATTTTCCTAAAATTACTTCTCTAACAGATTACATGATACATATTTTTGTGATGCATGGCCTTTGCGTCTGTTCTAACGCATAATCAAATATAGGAACAAGGTAGGTCAAAGAACTTTCGAAAAGTAAAACGGGACTACCAGAGGTAAAATAGTGTTGGGAGGATATCGTGATAAACTCCTCGCGCCGGCTCAGAATGGAATTTAAATCATTAGTCCAATACAGAGTGGGATGAAGTATACCCTGCGAGCCTGTTGGAAACGCTCCATTATTCCATATTTGATATTCGATAGTGATTCAGGGCTCCGAAGGGTAAACAGGTCTTTGTAAAAATTCCAAAAATATAAAGATACAATTCTTTCTATTATTTAGCTCCTAGTCTCCACCAGATCAATACTCAGGATGATTTTTGGAAGAAGTTTGTCCTAATACCCATGGAGGTGACGGTACATCGGTATGGCTAACGTGTATAGACGACAGAGCGACAGTCCCCTCACGGATTTACAATGTCACAAAACTTTTAAGAATGGTTTGATTCTGCCTGAGAAGACGGTATAGTCATATATTAATATTCCTTTTCGATTGCTATTTGCGTTATCTTTGGGCCTCAGGTGATACACCGATAACACTCCCTACAAGCTGATGATCGGGGTAAATTAAATGCTTTAAAATAGTAACCCCTTACAATCAATATGTAATTGCTCCGGCAGCTGAGTCACAAGTCTGGTTCCATTAGTACCTGCTCTGACTAATCCACCACTTCACTCAACTGAAGCACAACAGCTTCCAACGCCTCCGAACCGTCAAACCCGTTGCTTTTTAATTCCCACAACATGTTCAAAGCCTTGCTTCTAAACTCGGCCAATTTATCTGACGTGTACTTGAAACTACCATGGTCTTCTAATACCTTGATAAACTGCTCTTTCTTCACCACATCAGACGTTCTTTCTTTCAAGATGTTGATGAGGTACTGGTACTGGATCGGATCGATCGCATGTAACGTCTGGAGGCAATGGATCATTGGAAACGAGAATTTGCCTTCGGTGATGTCCTCTCCGAGTTGGCCCTTGGACTCAGAGGCATACGTCAGGGACTTTAAGTTAACATAGTCATCTCTCACTTGGTATATAACCCCCAATAAGTTTGCCAACGGAACTACGAAGCGTTCGAGCTTCGTCTGCCGCTCCAACTGTTCGGCAATGAGTTTCTCGGTGTCAATCACATTATGGAGCATGAGCCTGACGGCGAGTCTGAAAAGCCCAGAAGTTTTATTCAGAGCCATCCGGAAATATTGAATCTCTGTAGGGCAAGTGAATGTGTCACGCCAGTACAACTCCATTCCCTGACCCAAGTGAAAGTTTTCCAATTCCTTCACAATAATCTCGATGGATTCGGGAGTCAAAAACCGCCTGACAAGATCAACAGCCCTAAAATACATAAAGTTCCCTGAGTTGATCGTCAATGGGATACCGTATACGGTGTGCGCACTGGGTTTTCCTCGGCGGATGTCGGTGTAATCTTCAATATCGTCTATAAGAAGCGAAGCGGTGTGGAGAATATCAACCACATCCATGATTACCTCGAGCTTGGTCGGCAGGTCGTCAGGGGTGTCATTGGAGACATGTATAACGTTATTAAATGCCTCAATCAACATGTTTCTGAGCTTCTTGCCCTTAATCTCAGACAAATAGGTGAAGGGCTGGTTGATCAACCGGGTGTACTCATTTTCACTGACTCTGGACGGAGCCACACCATAGATTACACTATCTAAGGATTCAATAGTAGACATTTTGTATAGCTGGTATTGCGAATAGTTTCTGGTCGAAAAATCTATCTAGGAGGTGTATTTTTCTGCATCGTCTGGGAGCTCCGAGACTGCCTTGTAGTCTTTAGAGGCAAAATTCGGCGATGAGCCAAAAGGTGTATCCGGCATCGATCCACCGTTCCCGCGCTTGTGACCAGCTGACTTGATCTATGCAGGATCGGCAAGGACGTGTCTTTAAGCCAAGATAGATTGCAAAAGGTATACCAGTGATTGGCTAACATATACCGGTTATCCAAAAGTAGATATTCGGCTAAATCTTACATAGTCGTCGTTTAATATAATGAGGTATTGCAAGCTAAAATCCGAGACGGTAGTACATTATAATGTGAGTTTTTATGTTAGAGGTCAGAGATAATGAAAATGGCAGACACGATAACTCTACCGAGGCACGTGATACAGTCATTGTTACGTCTCTAGATATTTAACAACACATCGGCAAGGGCTATACAGTCTAATTTGGTTTGCCAAAATCAGCACAATCAACCAAGAGCTCTCTCATTTCTTGGTTATCACGCTTCAGTTTAAGTTTTACGGATCAAACCAAAATTTAATTACATCCTATTGCTTACCAAGACGCTTAGATACCGAGACTGCCGCTAATTCACACCCGGACACATAATGGAACACATCCCGATTGAATGGGTGATGGAGGTGCCTCCCATCACCCGCAGCTACACGGGCCTCATCCTCCTCACGTCAGCATTAGAGTACATAGGTATGTTGAGCCCCTACGACTGCTTCTTCTCAGTTGACAAGATCTTCAGTCAGAACCAGTACTACCGCTTGGTCACCTCGTTCCTCTACTTTGGCGAGCTAAACTTTGACTTGTTGTTCAAGGTATTTTTCATCACACGGTCGCTCAAGACGCTTGAAGAATCCGTGGGCCGAACCCGGGACTTTGCGTGGTTTTTGCTTGTCAACTGCGTGATCGTGTTGCTCTACTCGGCCTCCCTCAACAACCAACACCTCCTAGGACCCTGTTTGGACGATGTGTTGATGTATGTGTGGTCCAAGCATGAGGGCGACATGCAAGTGGGAATCCTTGGCATTGTACACTTCAACGTGGTATACTTACCGTGGGTGTACATGTTCTTCAACGTGTTAGCTAACCGGGGCGCCGGATTGGTCATCCAAGGCGAGCCAGCACTGTCGGTCAAAACCGTTATTATGGAACTCCTTATGCGTGGCATCGTGCTTGGTCACACATACTACTTTTTAAATGATGTGCTCCCCAAGATCCATGGCGAGGGCTGGAACATTGTCAGAGCCCCCTGGTATCACTCCTGGTGGAGCGCCCTCTTTGCAACAAAAACAGAGGAAGAAGAAAATGGTGATGGTAATTGACCCCACTCTAACTTTGGTGGCAAGACTCTATTTTAGTTCCTACTTTTTCTTTTGATACTAGCTGCATTTTTACCTAACGTAACAAGATTTTATCGTACGTGTATATGGGTGAATCCAGTCTGCCTGGTTTCATCATATATCTACAAGTAAAAAAAAAAATCTTGTAACCTGACTATACTATATATACATGAATGATCCTATCTTCCTAACCATAGAACATAATCACCGACTTGTTACTTATTTTTTTTCAGCGACTTCAGCTGGAGTGTAGTCGTGTAACCAGATTTGATTTGGTGGATACTCGGTTGGAATTCTCATTTCCAAGTCGAATCTCTTGCCCTTCTGGTTGGTATTTGCTTCGTGGAATAAGTAGGAGTTGATCTGCTCCAAGTCTTCCATGGCGTACTTGATAGACTCGTACTGCTTCAGCAAGAGCTTGGCTCTGTTGGCGTTGATTTCCTGGCGGTACAACTTGAACGCAGTGGTGATGGTTTCATGACGGATATGGTCTTCCTGGCACACCTGGAGCAACTTAGGCTGTTTACGACGCTGCGAAATCATCTTCAACTGGGTCAATACACGCTCGGTAGCTGGCGAGCGGGTTCTGTTGGCCTTGTTTCTCTTACCTCTGGTAAACTGGAAGTTGACACCAGTCATGGCAACCGGTTTAGCCGTGGAGAGCAAGGTAGCGCTGCAAGCTGAGGTGAACGACGCGATTTGGGATTTGACAGAGAACATTCTATACCGACACGAATCTACGGCCAAACCAGCTGCAATAGCGCATTTTCCATTTAAAGCGATGTGGTACGGTTGGATTTTTTCCAATCATCCAAAGTAGTCACGTGATAATACCACCCATAAACGGAAAGGTATAAGTTACTGCCCAATACGGGAACGTAAAAATTCTGCTCGCCCTTTTCTTTCTTTTTCTTATATACAGTAATTGACATAAAGTGAAGGCAACATTTGGATACTGCTCGTCACCTTGCCACTTTTACTCTTCCAGTCCTATTCGTATCTATCTACATATTTATATACCAAATACATTACTATACCTACCATGCCTTTAGAAGACGAAGACGCTTTTTTTGACGATATCTAGTTAGTATCATTTATCCTCCCAACTGTTTCTTATTGCCCGCTTATACCCTGATCGACTTATGAACTCTTTCGTACAGAATTGCTACGACTCCCTCAGAATATATACCTGTATATGCCTATACCTATAATGTCATTAAGTCAGAACGGCGGTTCCCACCATGAAGAAACGTAAAGACGTTTTGACAAGGGCAGCGCCGTATTGCACGGTGCAGCGCTTAAGGAGAACCACCAGGGAGTGGAAACAGAAAAAAAAAGGGACCCCAAGTACTTGAATACATTCTAACATATTATAGCGGAAGTGATGACGAATCCGCCGTCAAGAAGGAAGAACCGATTGCTACTGCGGGCAAGAAAGAAGCCAAAAAGCCGGAGGCTACTGAAGAACTGGATTCTAAGGAGTCAAGCGATGCGGTTAAGCCAGAAGCTAGCGTTGATTCCCCCCCACATACTGAGGAAACCTCCGTTTCGTCTACACGCAACGACCAAACCGAGTCTGCATACAAGCCGGCCGAAACCGAGCACCAGGACAGGCCGTATGCTCCAGAGCTGAAGCCTCAGTCTGTGAGCGGGTATCAGTCGCAGCAGTACCAACGCCAACAGCAAGGGTACCAAAATACTCCCCCTCCTCCACCTGCTGGTCCTACCAAAACCCTTCAGTCCGATGACTTGGCTGAAAGATCCGAATATTACAACCGTGACCAAGGTAAGATGTTCATTGGTGGCCTTAACTGGGACACTACCGAGGAGGGGCTTCGCGACTACTTTTCCAAGTATGGAGAGATTGTGGATTTCACTATCATGAAGGACAATAATACCGGAAAGTCCAGAGGGTTCGGATTCTTGACCTTCAGAGACGGGCGCAGCGTGGACGAAGTTTTGAAGACCCTGCACACTGTGGATGGAAAGATGATTGACCCTAAAAGAGCTATTCCTAGAGAAGAACAGGACAAGACGGGAAAGATCTTCATCGGTGGTATTGGTCCAGATGTCAACGAACAGGACTTTTCTGAATTTTTTGGCACTTTCGGTAACATAATCGACGCTCAGTTAATGATTGACAAAGCCACTGGCAGAACTAGAGGCTTCGGGTTTGTTACTTATGACTCGCCAGAAGCAGTTGAGAGAGTCACACAGAACAAGTACTTGACTTTAAAGGGTAAGGCCATGGAGGTGAAGAAAGCCGAGCCTCGTGGGGGTATGGGCCAAAACAATCACGGCCACCAGCAGAGACAGTTCAACAACCACCAGCATAACAACCATGGTCAGAACAACAATCACGGGTACGGTAACAACTACAACGCCGGTGGTTACAATAATAACTACCAGCAACAGCAGTACGGTGCTATGGCCGGTGGCAACACTGGGGCTGCCACCGGTGCCGCTTCCGCCGCTGGTAACACTGCTGGAATGTCTCCAGAGATGGTGAGTCAATACTGGCAACAAATGCAACAATACTGGATGCAGATGCAGCAGATGCAACAAGCCAACCCGGCCCAATATCAGCAGATGTTAGCTGCCCAGCAACCAGCCCAAGTCGGGGGTTACTACGATGCTAGCACGACTGGATACGACAATGGTTCCGGCGAAGCTCCTCCGCCCCCACCACCTAACCCACAACAAAGGTCTATCGTGGAAGACTCGAACGAAGGTGACTCTTCCTCTGGCTACGGCAAAGGTAGAGCTCCGCCTAACGCTCCAAGAGGCCCAAGGTCGGGTGGTGCCATTAGAGGTAGAGGCCATAGAGGTGGTTACCATCCCTATGGTAGAAACTAGAGCGTGGTGAATGCTGAGTATTATATATGTGGATCTGAACGTTATCCACGAAAGATTGTTTTGTTAGCGTACCTTACGAAATGGGGTTAGCGACCCTGGTGCAGTCAATAATAGTTTCCAACGCATATTTTGTCTCTCAGTCTTTTTGATTTTCTTACTATCGTCTAATTCATATCATATTCCAACATCTTCCGAGTTCTTTTAAGCCCTATGTCCCCTAGATCTCTCCGTTTCGCATAGGCGAGTTTCAGTACTATGCATATTTATGCGTGGATCGCCCAGGGGTTAAAGTTTAGTGCGCCATGCTAGTACTACATTCTCGCGTTATGTCCAGAAATGGAGGCCATGGCAGGCTATAAGAACTATGGGCTGGCAATATTTAAAGCTGTAAAGCCAGGTAGTGATACAGGTTATACAATTGTACTAGTAGAGATTTCATGCTACGTAACAGCTTCTACGTATATGAGTTCAAATTATTGCTGGTCCTAGTATTTCGTGTCGGGCACTAAACTCGGCATGCACAACCTATACCGTATTTACAGTTTTCCAGTTTAAGGACACGAAGTGTTCAAGCAAGGGGTGTTATATTTCTAAAATAGACAAGGGGATGTTGAGACGCCTATTGTCTGTAGCCCCAGGAGTGGTTTCAACCATGTGTCAGATGCCTGGAAAAGGCTAGTGGGGTCCATATATCTCTACAACTTACCAAAAAAATGAAAAGCATATGCTATATAATACCAAAACTAGCCGTATGGCTCTTGGCACTGAGGTCTACCAACCATGCAGACTATGGTGGTACAGGCAAAAAAGCTATAAGTCATCAAAGCTACAAATACTACTGGCGGTAAACTTTTTAACCGTTACTATGCAAAAGATATCGGGAATGCTCACTCCTCCTATCTAGAAAACAAAGTGCGTATTTACATGGGTGTTAAACGCGAGATATTATTAATGCACGGGCATTTAGCGTGTGCTATATGAGAGCGGGATGTACTCTTTGTCGACGAATTTCCTTAAGTTCATCTCTAGAGTATCAAATATCCATAATGGTAAGTATAGTCTGTATGGGAGCAGTGGCTGCTCTCTTCACGGTGGTTATATCACCATTCAAGCCCCACAGCTATCTTCGAAGAATTCGAAGATGAGACACTTGTCGAAATGTGTCGATAGCCCAACCATAAAAGTCAATACTATGATGAGTTAGACCATCAATCACGTGGATTATTGGAATGGTGTAAGCTACATTACTATGAGGCCTCCTTTCCCTAATAATGATCGAACGGGAAGAATTTCCTCCTGGTGTGAAGAATTTTTGGCTCATGGTGAACGAGGAAGAGCATGCATCGAGTTATACAGCTCTAATTACTTGCAGGTTTCGGTAGTTCCTCCTCTATGCTCTTGTCATGCACTGGAGAGCCATGGTAGAAAGGCAATTGAACATAAGTTTCATGAAAGGTATAGTAGTTCTGAAGTTGGCTTTGCATTCCTAATTATCCGTGTTGAAGTCTGCCGGTATGTACCGCTAGCCCAGAGGTCTGTATACATCACGTTATTGATTTTATTCATCTTACGCAGACAAAGCTCGGGACACGCTGGCTCATGTAAGGCGGTCGGTGCTCTACAATAAACCTTACTTAAATACCTATCGAATGTGACTGATAAGTGTATTAGGACCGTTACAAAGTTCGGAATCAAAATCGATACCGAGACGAGGCCTCCTTATTCTCTTCGCGCTTATCAGGGATTATAACCGAACAGAAAGCGGTTCCTACGTGACGCGTTATGTGACAGTACCACCATATTATTACCGTTTACGGTAGTTTTTCAGGCTGGCTAAAGTGGTCTGCAACTGTTTCGTAGGGTTTGCTGCACGTTATGTAACGTGAAGTTTGAAGGGCAAAAGGCGCGATATACGTGGCCTGCGGCACTAAATAGGAGTCAGAGGGCCAACATGCAATCGGATATACGCGCGTTTTAGGCACTGCAAATGCTTTTTTCTCTTACGTATTTCGCTCTAGCCATGACATTAACAACATACTTTGGAAGGAAAGAAGCAGATAGAGCCAGGGTGGACCAACGTTTGATTCACAACTCTGGGAGAAGCCAATGTTACTGGCACGCCCACAATATAACTAAACCCAAACGGGAAAATAAAGTGGCGCCATGCTCGAATATAGTCGTACGATACGCAATCGGTATTCTGTTTAGCCCTTCTACATGCTATTAGGAAGCATTCAGGTTTTCAACATGCTTTTATTACTTGAGTTGTGGCGTTATTGGAGGAAACTTTCGACGGCTCACTAAATATAGTGTTGCTGTACTTAATACTTGAAGATATAGATTTTTCATATATACCCATGCATGTGCAAAACTCCCATGCCGTTCAAGACAACCGGCAAACAAAGAGGACTGCACTAAATTTGTAAGGCTCCATGCAGCTTGAACGCCTCGAGGCTGCTTGGACTGAATCACCCCAGGTCATATCATTAGTCACTCATAAACGTCATGGTCTACACATATGCACACCAAGACTAAAATGTTCGGCAGATGTAGAGAAGCATACAAATAGGACTCTCGTCTATTTCTCTTATGTATGGAGACCCAAAGCTAACCATGTAGTCCTGTATCATAATCTATGAAGCAGATATGGAGCCTGCAAAAGTGACTTGAGGCTTCATACTATACACCTAGAACCTCCCACTATGCGCGCTTATGCCGGCGTGCATAACATCTAGAACTACCAAAGAAAATAGGGGTTTCAGAAACCAACCATGTTGTAAAAGTACAATAGCCAGTATCCTATATAAAGATATGCTTCCCACCTACAGATGAGACAAATACGGCCCGAAATTTTAGAATCTTCTAACCTAACTTTGTACCTCTTTCACACGTATAATGTCTACTTCTCCTACCGCTGCTAATCAAATTTCCTGGAGATTGCAAAAGCTCAAGGAAAGACAGCTTGCCGCCAAGAACAAAGCTGCTGGTGATGCTACTACCCCTTCCCCATCGGGCCTCACCAAGTCACCGAAGACTTTCCACTTGAATGACACCTCTTCTACTTCCTCTCTTGGCTCCACCGACAAACGTGATTCTATTATCGGCTCCAAGTCCTTCGCTACGTTGGATACTGCCAGCTCTGCTCACAGCGATGGACTTGGTGGTAATGTTACCCGCAAGTTCAACCTCTCACACACCCGTGTTAACGAGTCAGATAGTGAGGATGAAGTCGCTTTCGTTCTTTACTAAGAATACCTCCCGACTTCGATTAATGTCCCCTTCAATATCCTTGCTATATTATTCAAAATTGATTATTCCATAACGCGTGTCCTTCTACAATTCATCTGTCCTCTCATTGCTCTGCGCTAATCCAAACCCACCCAATAGCTTATATCGATATCCAGCCCAGAAACGTTATGGATTTCATGACTCCACTCGTCTAATCCCAGTCTCCACGAAAACGTTGGAACGAAACAGGACCCCCAAAACCTTTGAGCCCTCACACTGAAAAGGGCTTGGAAACACAAGAAGGTGCTCTTTATTCCCCTTGAGACCCTCGCTTACCTCCGGTTTTCAGATGTACCCATGCCAAGAACCGTTGAAGTCTTGTGGTATAATAAAAAGTTAAGAATATTATATCTGAATACTCCATAACACAGCAGGCATGTGTGATTGCTGTAAATAGCTATATATAATCATAGACGGTTAATTAAAACAAGATCCCTGTAATGTCAATCGATAAGATAGATGAGTTTTCTACAACTTTTCGGGAGTGAAATAGTGTTGCTAACCGCAAGTATAGAAATTTAACTCTTAGCGACTGATAGCAATTTTCTTAAACGCTATTAATTGACGTATTGCATATGTCTAGATATGGGACCCATGCGCAAGAGGCAAAAAAATTCCTGCAGAGGGAATTTTAGGGGCCGCCTCACACACTGAAATTTGTACCTTAGTATTTTCAGATGGTAAAGAAGCCAATTGATCATGAATCACCGCGATCCGGCTTTAGTAGTTGTGCTGGTAGAGGTAGAGGTAGCATTGGCTCAGAGATCGGATGAACTAGATCACAGCTATATTGATCATTACAAAATTTATCTTTTTCAAGATACCCAAAATTTATGCATTTATACGTATTATATATTGCAAAAGCTGGTACATTGCTCCCCCGTACGCTCTTCATGTTAATGGTTGATAATATACAGAGTAACGTTATAAATGGTTTTTTTTGCACAACTCTTGCACCTGTTCGTTATCAATCTTCACCAGGTAGTTGCATATGTCACACTTAAGTCGCTTGTCCCAGTATATGGGTATGATTGGAATGAAAAACACCGAAAAGCACTTCACATGTCTAATGGCTTGCATGGAATTATTGTTGTGGCAGTGCGCACAGTATTCACGGGCTCCACCAGCAGAGCTGAGGCTTCGGTTGATGTCTTGGACTAGGCGTTTGTCAGTCTCCTATCTACGATATGTCGTCTCACAAAGATCGTTTTACAATGAAGCGTCCATTTCTGGTCAAGATAGACTGACAAGGGAACTGGAATTCCCCAGAAACTCAAACATCATCGGAGAAGAGCGTTTCATGATACATACCTCCCACGAAGAAGAACATTATCGTTGCACTGAGAGCAAGCAAGTGTGTGTTGGTTTGTAGGTTGGACTCTGGAAAGCTCGGCCATGTGTGGTATACTACTGGGAAGTATACCTTGAAAAAATCCTTGTAGACCAAGAAATCAAACTAGAATTTCCGATATCTTTAAGGGTACATGTCCCAAACTCTTTGATATAGCTTGCAGGCACGGATAATGGATGCGCGAGAGCCTCATACCTGTCACCCCCATACTACTGCGACAGCCTCGGGATAGTTCGCGTAAACGTTGTTTTTCCAAAATTACCTCTTTGGGAAACAAGCAAAATGGACTTGGTTTTAGTAAGTTTCTGCTTTTAGAAGGATTGCCGATTCACCTATATTGGTCACTCATTTAAATAGCCCCCCATCCAGATGTGAAATATCTAGTATATCTATTAATTTTAAGATAGTTTCAAGGCTGAAGCTCTCCTACGTTTCCACCACAGTCGTCAAGGAGAATATGCTACCTTTACAGGACAACCACAAAGGGGTATAGGTAACCATTACGAAACATTGAGAGGGACTATATACACGTAACTCAACGGGTAAAAGACTGGTATAACAAGCAACTAAGAAAAAGGGATTGCGACAAGCGCAGATAAGGGGACGTGTAGCAGACAGAGCATGCTGGAGGGAAGTTCGCACCCACCGTGACTGTATGCACGGCAGGGCGCCGAGAGTTCTTTGAACGGACGAAGCTCTTTGTCGGGACCCGATGCAGATTTGAAAACAATGTGGATTGAGGGGAGAATGGACTAACCAGCCTATTTGCTCTTTCTGTGGTTGTTGATCTTTGGTAGCAAACGTCTGGCATGGTAGTTAATGGTGGAGTCAGTCTTTTGCATGACCTGTGGAGCATCGACACAAGATTTGTACAGCTTTTCCAACTTCTTGCACACGGCTGCGGAGTCTCCGTTAGATGCCCAACAGTTCAACAATTGGGACATCATGACGATACATGGACTGACTGGCTGCTTGAAGGAGGTACTCTTAACTTTGAGGATCGGCAAGTTTGGCAATTTCACGGGCTTATTTGGCATTATAGATGTATCTGGGTGGGTGTGACTGTCTATCAGAACCTCTATGATCAACCTCTTCACTTATCCGCGCTCAGCGAAGTGAAAAATATAAATGATCGGCACACTACCAGAGCGAGAACCTAATGCATAAAGTGTGTTACCCGGACGCATACCACAAGAAGGCCATTCACGCGCATAGCCCATATATACCTATAGGCTATATTTCTAACCATTTACCCCATTCGTGTATATAATTTTTATTTTATCAAATAATCCAGTTTTAGTCTACCTTTAACGTGTAAGCTTGACAAATATCATCCCTGATGGCATCAACGCGTATCGAAAACCTGCACGGGAATTTTGTTATTTTTTTCTGTAATTTTTGTCAGTGGAACGTTCGTGTCGGAACGCTAATAAACGCACAACAAGCGCTGACATATCAGGGCCCGCGCCACACCAACGCTTCTCAACATCTTTCCTCAAAATATCCATTTGTGTGTAACTGTATGTCAGAAATAATTCTCCTTGACTCCTCCAGCGACTCTGATCGCGAGATATCGAAGCATGATAGCGAGACATTGCCGCCGAAGAAGATCCAGAAGTTGAATACGGGAGACTTTCATACCCAGGCAGGGAGTTTATTCGACTCTCCGTCTCCTGTTGTCTCTTCATCCTCCCCCGCCTCAGACTCTTCGAGCGAGGTTGGTGCCGAGCTTGATGAGGTGGTCTACCAGTCCGAGTCCCCTAAGGCCGAAGCAGAGACCGAGGGGTCGGAAAACACAGCGAATGGTATAACAGAAACACAGCCTAATGGAAAACCACCGGTGGTCATGAACGGGATCACGTTACCAGATATCACCAAAGAGCAGTGCTCTAAAGCCAGAAGCTACTTGAAGTTGGAGGGAAGCATGAAGTTCTTGGACCACTATCTCCCTACTACGGCGGCGGCAGAGGACATCTTGAATCTTATCATGATGCTTGGGTTCGTTCCAAAGGACTTGCCACTGTTCAAGAACGAAGAGAATAACCTCATCCAGTTGATCAAGACGTTACAGAAGGCCATGAACCGGGTGTCACAGATGCGAACTCGTCTCAGCGAATTCAACACGATAGATCAGTTGTGCGCACAGATCGAAAAATCCTCCAAAATCTTGGTCTTGACAGGAGCGGGGATCTCTACATCTCTCGGAATCCCCGATTTCCGTTCGTCCAAGGGATTTTACTCCCAGTTACAGTACTTGGGTCTTAGCGACCCGCAAGAGGTGTTCGACTTGGAGTTTTTCCGTGAAGACCCTAACATATTCTATTCCATTGCCCATATGATCTTACCCCCAGAAAACGCCTTTACTCCACTACATGGGTTCATCAAGTTGCTCCAAGATAAAGGCAAGTTGTTGAGAAACTACACGCAGAATATCGATAACCTAGAGGAGAACGTGGGTATTTTCCCCGAAAAGTTGATCCAGTGTCATGGCTCGTTTGCCTCGGCCACCTGTGTCACGTGCAAGTTCTCTGTCAAGGGTGACGCAATCTTCGATGACATCCGCAAGCAGCAGATCCCGTTGTGCCCGTTCTGTCTCAAAAAGCGTGAGCGTTTATTTGAGTCCGAGTCACCGCGATACGATATCCAGTCCTATGGAGTGATGAAACCGGACATCACATTCTTTGGCGAAGCGTTGCCGGCGCTCTTTCACGATAACATCAAGAAGGACGTAATGGAATGCGACTTGTTGATCTGTATCGGTACTTCACTAAAGGTGGCGCCAGTGTCGGAGATTGTGAATAAGGTTCCGGCGGAGGTGCCACAAATTTTGGTTAACAGGGACCTCGTGGGCCACTGCGAGTTTGACTTGAATCTCTTGGGATTCTGTGACCAAGTTGTGTGCTACTTGTGCACCAAGTTGGGTGTAGATACGAACGGCTGGCGGGTCAAGCACGAGCGCTTTGATGCGATCTGTGCCAGCGGCCTTGTGTGTATTGATCTGGGAGCTAGCGTCGGGTGCTTCGAAATCGCCGACTCCTTGCCAAAGAAGGAAGAGATCGAAGAAGTCAAGGAGGAAGCGGCATAGTACTTCTCAGACGTGCTTAAAGACGGATCTGACCGAGGAATTTGTATTATATAAGGTGTTTCCTGGTCTGCAAATTCCGTTTGGGCCAGCTTTCAGACATATCTGTGCTAACTATATTAATATACATGGCTGGACCTGTTAGAATCCAAATACAAGCGTAGGTAAGAGTTTCATGCGGGACTGCCTAGTGAACTGGCCCATCTATACAAGGTTGATGTTTGGAGTTTAATACGGTGCTTTAAGATTGGTTTAGTTTTCTCCAGAGGGGGGGTACATGGGTACTGCAGAATTCGCTAAAGTTTCTAATGTATATATAACAAAGATTTGAAAGGCCTTATAGGATGAGATATTGACCAGACGATACTTACCATTGAGACATTTCGCATCATTATGGCTCTTTTCTCTAAGATAGTTTGTTTATGCTTTGTCCCGCTGTGTCTAAACACGGCTGTTGGCTGGGACCTTCCCCAGGACTGTTCTAGGTAGCACCACGGCTAGATACAGATCTACTGTCAACACAGTATTAGTTATTGACGATAGACATCTTGGATTTATGGATTTATTTGTAAATTAAGATGAGACCGCTTGGGAAAGAGTGATAAGACAGATGTGTAGTAAATAGCTTCCCGCTAGGTTGGGCTGAGACAGTGCGGGAAGAAAACACCTGGATATTACGGATCAGTGACATTGCTAGTCCGACAATAACCCTCTATATCCGTATTAAACCTCGGTTCGTAGTATAGCTTTATGGCCACTTATCCGTGATAAACCATCTGGTTTAGCGACGTTTCCTGCACTGTAAGTAAATCCGATGCCCAAAGCCGTGAAAAACCGAGCGGGCCATCACGACAAATCCGGGGCCATGTCAACGGGTGTTGACGCTATATAACTGTTAGTTCGAAGTATTTCGACCCTCGCTATACACAATCACATTTGCAAAATAACCGGCCAAATAAGCTGAGATAACCCAACATCCATAGATATATAATGAGTTTCCGCAGCAAGTGCCACCGGGCGTCAGAGATCGTCTCCAAGTTTCTAGAGCCGGTTTCCGAGAACATGGGCACCGACCAACGGGAGTTAAGAACACAGACACAGCAGCACGTCTTGGAAACGATGAAAATTCTCAGATCCACACTTGCTCATTACAAGCTCAACGAGGTTGCCATATCTTACAACGGGGGGAAGGACTGCCTCGTAATCCTAGTAGTGTTGTTAGCGGTGATGTACGACGTGTACACGGAGGAGATCGGATGCGACAATTACAGACTAGACGGGATCTATGTACACAGTGAGGAGTCTTTCGAGGAGGTTGAGCGTTTTTTGGTGGAGTCGTGTGAAACGTGGGGCTTGAACCGCATCAAGATCAACGACGACTTGAAGAGCGGCTTCAGGGACTACATGGAACACATCAACCCCGATGTTAAGGCGGTAGTGATTGGTGTGCGGAGAACCGATCCTTACAGTAAAAATTTGACTGCCTCCGAAATGACCAACAACGACTGGCCGCGCTTCATGCGTATCAACGCGGCGCTCGACTGGCACTATGTCCACATCTGGGACTTCATCCGTGGCTGCGACCTAGAGTACTGCAAACTCTACGACTTGGGCTACACCTCGCTCGGTGGCGTCCACACCACCACGCCCAACCCTTATTTGCGGCTCGAGTCAGGCAGCTATAACCCCGCATACGTGTTGCAGGATGATTTGAAGGAGCGTGCGGGCAGGGCCAAAAAAAATACATAGACATACATGTAATTATGGATAGAAATAGAAAATCATTGAGATTCAAATGCCACTCTTACGGTACAGTTTATTTTACTTTTTTTTTCTGTTCTTGATCCAAACCGCCCGTTTTCTCACGTAAACACGGTGGGCTTAGGGAGACTGTTTTCTGTACTTTACATATCAGATTCTTGCATTTCATAAAACTCATGCCAGTGTACCGGTTATTAGCCCGCAAATAGAACCATTTGGACTATTTGTTCATTTTATTATAGTTAATGGCGGATATAATCGGAATATATAAGCCAAATGGGTGTTTTCCAGTTTAGCCCAACACCCGTGCAAATGAAAAATGTGGCTCAGAGAGGTAGAAGATTCGTGTATCGTTGGAGTTTGAGCTACAACATTAATGGACTAAGATGATAAAGGCCTGGGCAATGTCTCATCGGGGTATAGTTGGTTTCTATGATTTGTTGGTATACAATACTGAAAAATGTGAGTCCTAGGAGGTCTCTATTAACCATAAAAACTGCCAAGTCTTATTGGCTCTTCACTAACTTTAGAAAAATTCGAACCTCACCGGCTATTCACTAACCTTCGACCGAGATCAACACTAGCAGCTAGTTCCTAGTTTTAGTTATAGTGGGGTCCTGATAGCTACTCATAGAAATATCACAGCTCAGAATGAATTTTCCACAATTTTGTATCTTTGTGTTTCAAAGGCCCCCCGCTTGCTTTGCATTTCTTCGGAATGCCGCCTACATGCCAACTCGCTATCTCAAAACATTTCTAGTTCTAAATGCTATACAGCCAACTCGGAAACCAACTGGGTAACTTCATCCACGGCGTACCCAGCCAAGAACTTCTCGTCACCCAACTCGCCCAACTCAGGGAAATAGGTATCTATGGATTTCTCCACGACCTTCAATATGGCTTCTGGGGCGCCGCTGGTCTCTGGGTTGGCAATCACAGCCTTCAACTGCAATACCATTGTGCCGATGGCCGGGTGCGTATTATCGGTGACCTTCTTCAACTGGTTCACTTCTTGTAATGCCAACAAGTACTTCTGCTGTCTGACATAGACTTCAAAGCCCATGCGGTGGATTTCAGTGGACTGAGAGTCACGGGAGACGCCAAACTGGTCGTTGACTGGCTTCCACAACACGTAAAATGTCTCGAGAGGGTCGGCCAGGAGCAATTCGGCACCCAAAGGATCCGCATCATCAGCGTAAGCAGTAATTTGGGCGATGTACTCCTCTTTACGCTTAGCATCCTTACCCTTCAACTTCTTGACCTTCTTGACCTTCTTCTTGTCTTCAGCAGGCTTCTTGGCATCAGCCATTTGAAGGTAGAGTTTGCCCAATTCCTCAATGGTTCTCAAGTATACTGGTGTCTTTAACACGCTGTTGCCCCATTTCAACATCTCAATGTACGCTCTTGCGGTGCCTCGTCTCATACAGTAAGAATGGAAGTCTAACTGATCGTTAACATACTCGTTGAAAATCTTCACCACCCCGTGCAACCTCTTCAACGCAAGGCCCAGGTAAATCGCAAGCTGATCCTCAGTCTCAGTCTTGATCTTCAGCTGCTCTTCCTCAGACAACGCCACGAAGTCTTCGCTGGTCAAGACGTTGCGATAGGCTGCGGAAGCCTCCTGGAATAAGCGCAAGTAAGCGGACGCCGATTCGACAATTACCCAGTTAGCCTGCAATTGGTGAAGGTCTTTCAACCCGTTGACCGCGTTGTCATTCTTAGTGAACATGGAGATAGTGGCAATCCCCTGGTCAACCATATTCGCGCGCAAGTAGTATTTTGCAGCCTTAGAGTTAATAAATCTGTCTTGCAAATCCAACTCGCGGCCTACGTTCATCACGGCAGCCGCCGCAACCGCGTCGCCTTCGTGCTTAATAATGCGCGCCTTCAAAATGTACAACTCAACCAACGTCGGTGTATGCGCAATCGCGGCATCGATGCGAGCGTGCGCATCCGCGAGGCGACCCATATAGAGAGCGTTGGACGCAAGAAAATACGACGCCCAGATCCACGCGATTGGCTCTTGGTTCTTGTCCAAGCCTTCAAAGTACTCGGTAGCGAGCTTTTCGATAATCTTCTGTTTTGCAGAGTTTCCCATAATCGCCTTAACATTTACAAAGGTGGATGGGACGCCGCGCTTCAACTGCGCTAAGACATAATCGTTCGTGGCGGCAGTGAAATCCGAGCCGTCCAAAAAGGTCAATGGAATGTACTTTGGCGGGTCGGACTTCGGGTAGAACCTGGCCAACTTCGCGTATAACTGCTTTCTGACGGCAGGGCCCTTTTCAATCGTCCCTAACGCTGTCTCCAAGAGGTGGTAGTACGCCATGTTGTCAGGGTTTCTCTGCAATAAGGAGCGGTAGACAATCGATGCTTCCTTGTTTCTGGATAAGAGCATGAGGTACTTTCCTCTCAATTCGAGCCAACCCAACTTATCCTTAGAGTCTTTCTCGATAACGTCAAGATGTGCCAACGCACGTGCGTAGTCGTGCGTGTCCCCGATAATGGTGTTCTTGTACAAAAGACACTCGGAGTTCTCGAACATGTCAGATTCGTTCAACTTGCCCTCAGCCAACTCCTCAAATTTGGTAAGCGTGTTTTCCGCCTTCGCGTGCTCTTTGTTGAGGTGGTATGCGATCCCAGTGGACGTCCAGTGCGAACGATAGCCCGGTTGTTCCTCGAGGTACTCCTGGCGCGAGTGCGTCAAACCGGCAAAGTCACCGATCTGTGACTGCATCACTGACAAATCACGGTAGATAACCTTGTTGACGGACCCGTTTTCCAACGCCGCCGCATACCACTTTGCGGCCTCTGCGTACTCCGCGCGCGCGCGGTAGTAAATTCCGGAAATATGGCACACAATCGAATTGCGCGCTCCCTTCATAATCCCCTTCTTGATGTAGGCATCAGCATCAATTTTTTCATTCTGGTAGAACAAAATGATCCCCTTCAACGAGAAGGACTCAGCATGGTTCGAGTTCTTCTTCAAGACCGTTTCCACAAGCTTGAGAGCTTTCTTGTATTGCTTTTCCTCATAAAGTTTGAGGGCTTCGCGAAAACTGTTGTCCTCCTTGCTGGAAAGGATTGGCTTGGCGGAGATTCTCTTCTTAGACATGACTGGGGAGGAGGATTACAATTGTAACTTGCGAGATGGTAGATCGTGCAAATATATGTCGGCAGATTTCAGATTGGTGGGAGCACGACCGAGATTTATTCGTAGAAGGAAGGTCTAATGCTCTTTTTGAAGGATACGAGAGAGGTGAGCATATTGGGAAGTTTTGTACTTTCAATTATATGATTTTTATATTCCTAGAACTCTAGGAATTTGAGATTTGTGGGCCATGTACCAAGGGATACAGTGGAAACGAAAACCTTGATTAGCCTTCAATAGGTTTTGGGCATCACCAAGATAACAGAGTAGCTACTGGTTTTATATAGGAGGATAAAATACAGTGTCAATAGCTTACAATTATCATGATATCCGAAAAATAATGTGATATGATGGATTAATTGAAAAAAAAAAAAAAAAAAAAAAAAAAAAAACTCAAAGCTTGGATATGTGAAAACTATGGAAACTGTACCAAGCGTCCCTGGAAATATGGCCCCTGGAATTGGTGCGGTTCTACGTACTAAGAATCGTACTTAATCGTGTTTCCGTCCATCCCTGAGAGAGATAGCTGTTTTGACTCTCGTATAATTGCGCTCCATTAAGCCTATCCCCAGTATATATCTTAGAATGGCCCCCACGGAATGACCTGTATGTGTCCATTTTATTAGGGCTTGCGGAGTAGGTCATTGACCATACATAGGCAGTGAATATACTTCTACCATTACCGTGGATCATGTTAAATGATAAGGATTCAAATCTTTTATTTAACAGTTCGCCATGTTATAAATGTGACCGCTTACCCTGCGAAATTTCCATACCCCTGTACAACCCTGCCGCTGTGTCTCTCACGTGATAGTGACGCCGCCGTGCCTCACTGCCACAGAAATGCGGAGATAACTCGGACAGTAAATACACCTCAGCTCACCTTTCCCACACCTCATATTCACCGTTTACTTATGTCATTCTTTAGTAACATCCCTAGATTTGGAAAACCTGCGTCTGTTGCCTTGCCAAATGACACCTTGCCCTTACCTGCTACCCAGCCAAGCGGCAGATTCTCAAACTGGAGCGTGCCGGCGCAGTTCAACCGAATCGCGCTTCCAGTGGACGAGGAAGGCGTAGAGCCGAGCGCCTGGAGCATTGAGCTTTCGCACTGGGATCGGATCATTATCTTCTCCATCACACTTTTGGGCTGTGCTCTCTGCTACACCGCGTGTATCTTCTTGTTCCCGGCCTTGGCGTTGCGGCCGCGGAAGTTTGCTATTCTTTGGTCGCTCGGTTCATTATTGTTCATTATCTCGTTCGGGGTACTCCACACGTCCGTGGTGAAGTATTTGGAGCACTTGTTTTCGCCCGCACGCTTGTGGTTCACCGTTAGCTTTACCACGAGTATAGTATTAACGTTGGTATCCGCGCTCCGGTTAAAAAGCTCCCTATTGAGCATTATCTTTGCTGCCATACAGCTCGTTTCTGTCTTTGCCTACGCCGTAAGCTACTTTCCTGGCGGTACCCGTGGCTTGCAGCTTGCTGGGAACGTCGCTGCCAGCCAGGTTGATGGGTGGTTGAGTGCGTAAATTGTAACTTGGTTAAGCAGGTGTTTGCTTGAATATGGTTGGTAATATCCTTAAAACTAAGGGTTGGATTTATAGGTTTTGGATATATGTTTATTGAGATAGATTGGATATGCCTCCGTAGGTCTAGTGTACAACTGCATGGACCCTCCGATCGGATGGGGAGCAATATATTCCCTAAGCTCGGGAAGTATTATAAGCCTATAGGCTTCAGTTATCTAAGGGGTATACAGTATTACTTATATTACAGACTTTGGCTGTGACCATAGTACCCCTAGGGCTGTAGCACCAAATATTGGAGCGTAGATCTTTCTATAAGAAATATGTGTGGCCAGTTATCAGCGTGAAGTTATTGGTATACCGCTTTAATCTCATTTTAATTCGGACCTAATTCATTGCTAGAGATTTGGGATACCGTTTTCATAATAGTATTGAGTAAATATAGCCATGGAGATGGACATATTTTTATTACTTGATATCTATCGGGGCAGATGAATGCTACATTTTCGGTGCCATTTTTATGTGTTTGGATGCAACTGTCTTGCAGTATTTAATATCTACACTGTTACTTATACCAACCTTATACATCCGGTGTATTAGTCAATTAACCTTTCTGCAAATTTCAAATTAATGGATTGGATAAACGTTGTTTAGCTACTATATACAAAACACTGCTTCTAACGATACCCAAGATGCTGTCTGATGGCGTACGTCCGCGAGACATCCTCCTCCGACCAGACCGGTCGGATACCGCTGGCGGGGTCACCCTTCAACTGCCGGTAGCTGTCGATCAAAATACGGAATACAATAGTGTGAGCGTCCTCATTGATGTCAATTCCGTTATTGATCATTTCCTTCAATAGCTCCTCAACGCTGTAGAGCGACCGATAATTCATCCAGCTTATTTTCAACATCTCGTTGTAGGTCTCCGCAGTTACCCCGTATGTGTACAACTCCAAGTTTTGTTTTAAATTGTTGAACACAGTTGTGGCTTCGTCAACGGAGTCGAACACGAAGCCAAGAGTCTTGAGGCCATGGGTAAGCAACAAAGGCAACGTGAGATCATTTACCAATGGAGACGTGGGGTTCTCTGCGCTCTGTGCTCTTATTTGCTCAAAAGTTTGCTTCGACGTATCTTCCTTAACCTTGGTTTTACCCTTTTTCTGGAGGTTTTCATTCTCCTTCAACAACTTATCCAAGAGTAATTTTTCCGCTTTCGGGGCCTCCAAGAATGTCTGCACAATCGCCTTATCCATAAATTCAAGCAATGCATCGCTGGTGGCAAACCTAGACATTGCTTTGAAAGTCGGCGCCAAACTTTTCAGTAACGTAAGCTTCATCTTGAGCAACTCCGACCGGAGCTTCTCGTCGTAGCCTTGGTAGATACGGTCGCCACTGCCGACAAATTTGGATCCGGCTGACGCTGGGAAGTTGCGGATATCGCGGTTTACCACCCCGATGGACGACGAGGCGCCATCAAACACCGCCTGCCATCTATCTTCGCTCTGTTTCACTTCAGGCACCTTGCCTTCCTTTAGTAAATCGTTGAAGATGCTGTTGAAGATCTCCCGCTCCTTGAAGGACTTTTCGTTATCCGCGAGCGGGTCCAGGTCAAAAGAGAATGGGTTCGCAGACTGGTTCGTGGCAAACGGGTCCTTCAGGTCGAGCCACATACTGTCAACAGGGGTATCCAGGGGATCAAATCCTTTGCTAAAGAAAAGATCGTCCGAAAACTGGCGGCTCAGCTTATGCGAGTCGGCGTCAAGAGTTATGTCGAATTCCGTGTCGCGGTACGCCGTCTTGCTGAGCAAGTTCATCTCGCTGGAGTTGAACGTTGTATTCTCAATCGCCCTCAAATCTTCCTTTAACTCAGCGAAATCACCCGTGAAATCATCCTGAAAGTGCTCGGCCCTTTCCAGGGAGATCTCGCTCAATATGGAGTCCAAAACAGAGTTGATTCCGTCCGTATCTGGCGCCGCGCTCGCGCGTTTTTCCGCGGGTGGGAAATCGATTCTGCATAATTGAGCAACATGAAATTGTCTCCTTGTTCTCGAAAGGAGTCTGAGGTTTGCTCTAATCATTGTTGTGTGTCGGGCGATATAGATAGGAAGGTGGGTAAACCTGTGGTATTGATATAGTAAGAACTGCAAGAAAAAAAAGTAATATCCTGCAGGGAACATGTAAGGTTAGCATGGTGTTGGAAGTGTTGCGAAAATAGCAACATTGTGGTTAAAATTGTTGTGGGGATTATTTTCTGGTTAAATTCAGAGCTTCCGGTTAACATTGATGATTGAAGTGTTTTATAGCGCTGCAAAATGAAATAATACTTTTGGTATAACACTGAATGTGAAGTCAGCGCGTAGGTTTGATCCAAATTCGTATTTAACGATTAATATACCATAGAGGACTAAGCCCATTCTGGAATTGTTTTGAGTGTGTTTTGTTTGTGCTTCACACCCATTAGTATTGAAATATATCAGCAGATTTTGTACTAGTTCTTCGCCTATTGTCACTACAGATTAATGAATGCCCAACTGCTTCTATGTGCTACAATCCAGTGATAGGTACACTGTTGATAGCGACATCTGTTTGACCGGTTTCTACCTTGCAATTATAGAAATACTACCATTACAAGGCTATATATACCAGATAGACGCCTGCACTAATATGTCCGAGTTTGGGAAACTCCTTATCGTCTAACAGTGCCATTAACGATCAATACCGGTACTAAAACTTAGGGGTGAGCAACCACTGTCTCATACTGAAATGCCTATTTAATGATACAACAATATCGATTTGTACTCCTAAAGGCAGCCCTGGAGAAGGCAACAATCCTTATCTCAATTCTGTCACATTTATAACAACCCCTGTCTCTTCAAGTCCTCGTACACTCTTTCTTCAATAACATTACCGTCCTGGTCCTCAACTTCCACGGCACCCTCTCTCTCAGCCTCCTCCTTTCTCTTCTCCTTCTTGAGCGTGTCCCATAACTTGACAGCTTCATCAACCGCAGTGATTCCTTTGAACGCTCCACTTGGCTCGATACCCAAGCACTTCAACCCGTGAATGTGTCTTGGCTCGAAGAAGTGTGAGGCAAAACCTCGTCTGCCGCGGTAGGTCTCGTTGCAGCAGATCTCACATGTAAAACCCTTTGACAACCCTTGGAGCTTGTATAGCCAGAACGGCATTGGCTTACCATCGATACCGAGTGGCATATTATTTGGATTCTCAACTTCATCTTTGTCCGACACATCAATGTCGGATTCATCATCCTCAAGAGTCTCGGTGAGCGTCATGATTTCAAGCGCACGCTCACGATCTGTCAAGGCTCGTCTTCTGGTGGTGTTCTGTTTGGTAGAGATGATTACTGGCTCTAGAAGCTGGGAAAATCTGACGATCTCAAACTCCAACTTTCTAACCTCTTGAGCACCGCTTTTATCTTCCATGGATGGGGAGGCGAGCGCCGCTGCTGCTTTTTTGTGCCTTTTGCCAGATAAATGGCCATCGTAGACCGACCTTTTAGCAAACAGCTTGTTGCAAGAATCGCACCATACACTGCCATCCTCGTGTTCCTGAAGACTGGCAGTGGCAGTCGTAGCCTGAGTCTCAAACTCTTTTTCGATTGTGGACAATATTTCACCCACGTCCTCCAATGGGTATGCTTTGTCGTAGAATCCCCTGAGGTACGCCGCCAAGGTACCTAAATATGACTTGTACTGCTGGTCCTTTGGAAAATTAGAGGCGGAAAACACATTGAAGCTGTCAAGGTACTCAAGATACGATACCTTTGTCAGTCCTGGAAGGTTTAAATACAACTTGTGGCACTCTGACAAGTCCACATACTTCCCCAATAGCTCCTCACCCGTGAACAAGGCATCCAAATCAATACTGGAGCCGAAGGCGCTAAGAATCGACATCTTGGGCTTTCTCTTCTTCAACGCCCTCAACCCTGCCTCGTCTGTCTCGTTGGACAAGATGATTCCAGACGAACCCATGGAATACAAGTGTGCCAAGTCTTCTACCTGGAGGTTCGGATACCGCTCGTGGTGCAGTTTGATGTTTGCGATGCACGAATCGAACATCTTTAAGTCATTTGATGAGTCCTTGAAGGTGGCTATTTCCACGGCTAGCATGCTGGATCGCGTGTCCTGGAGCAACTCTTTGATGACGCCACATCTTTTTGCATGCTGGGATAGAAGGAGCGATACCTCATGCTGCTGAGTGAGTGTCTCTTTGTACGAACGCTTCTTTGTGTTGCGCAAAAGGACGCTGTCATGGCGGGATTCTGGTGCGTAAATTTTTGGATTCCGCTGTAGCCGGCTCAGAATGGCAATTTCAATCTCTTCAACCTCTTCTATGGCGGATCTGACCGTTTCTATAGTAGTGGTCATGGGATGGTGTGTGAGGAGTTTAGATGAGATATGTCTTCTACACGCTGATATATCTGTGGTCAGAAAATATGCAGCTCACTCAGTCGCGCGCTCAGAACCGCAAATGCGGTGGCGATGTCAGACCTCACGTGAATATGATACCAGTGTACGACAACTATATTGATATATAATTACTGTTCTTAAAAATGGCATATCAAATTTATGACTAAGACTCGGTCCAGCTGAGTATTTATCAAAAGAAATGATCGTATAGCCTAGATCCCTTAAAAATACATCCAATGCGTGTCTCGGCGAACATACCTCCTCTTTTATGTTTGTCCTCGCTTCTCACCTTCTTAGCACCGCCTATGAAAGGGTATGCGATGACGTTTGATCAACACTATCTTCATCGTTGTCAAAGCTTGCTTCGCGCGCCGCGTACACAAAGACACCACCAGTGGCAGGAGGAGCGGCTGCATTCCGCGATCTTTGTGAGTTGGCGCTGTCCGCCCGAGGAACTGAGAAACCGTGAGCTATCACTTGATCGGTAACATGTAACACCTTGTCTGTCGCATTGCGGAGAGTATCTACCACACGATTAGAAATCTGGTAGACACTGTCAATTCTAAAACGTGTGTGCACCTTCTCTGGGACCCCTGGATTCGCTTGAAGGTCAGACAGTCTGCCCACGCCAATGCTAACGTCTGTAGTGTTAGAACTGGCAGTGACCGATCCAGCGGATATATTTTTCCTTTCCTTCGCAGTTTCGATGCTTTCATTGTAGTTGTGGGACATCTCATCAGCTACCATTTCTTCTTCGTAGATCTCTCTGCCCAAGATTCCGTCCTTCTCCTTAACCTTCTCCAAAGAGTTGATGAGGTTGATCCATTCCCACGGAATGACAATTGACGCGACGTAGCACGCCACGTTAAAAATTTCAGACAACGACGACACCCAAAAATTGGCCATATCAGAAACAAAAAGCACAATACTCAAGTTCACAACAATAAAAACCACTACCGTGAGCAATGCAAGAGACTTCTGAAACACGAACTGACGCTTGAGAAAGATGTACACCATCACTAGCCCCAGGTAAAGAATTGACATGGCGATTCGTAAGAGATAAATAAAGGCGGGAAGAATCACCAGCGTCGTTTCGCTACCGTCACCGAATTGGGAAACGGCCCAGATGACCTGCGAACACAATGAAAGGGTCACCCCCGCAAAAAACGCTATTCTCTTGTCTTTCTGGCGATTGAACAAGCGCATGACAATCTGCACCTGGGATATCTGTAACAACACCACAGAAATCAAGTCGATAACGCTAAGGGCAATGTTCGAGCTGTAGAAGTCCACAAGCATATCGCTACTGAGGTAGCCCAAGTTGTGTTGTTCGTTCAACTTTCGGATCGCAATGATGAAACACATCAAAACGTAGCAAGAAGCGCCGAGTAAGGCCGATTTTAAGAGCATTGAGGGGTTGCGCGTGTAGTTTGTGAATACCATGACGGTCAAAAACACCGTGAGCGTCGTACAGGTGCTAATAGAAAAGATAATCGGGTAGATGGAATATCCGAAGCGACCGCCATCCGTAGAAGTGTAGTTTGCCCAGTCAGCTGTGATAATGGGGAAAGTTTTATAGGGTAGTTTGCGCATAGCTGGGAGGAGGGGAATACCGTTGTAGCACCTAGGCTGGTACTTTGCCGTGCCTTCGGGGAAAGAGGTCAAAATGTAAGGATCTTGCGAGATCAAAATACCTGCAGGTAGGTCAAGTATATCGCAGCTGGCATAGTGGGTTAAGTCTTCTGAATTCCGCCACGGTATTTGTCTTTTGAACAACCGCATAGTATCTATATCTTGGTGTGAGGAGTGTAGAGGAAGAACTTTCGATAGTTACGTTCGTAGAGAGAAAGATGCTAATGTAACGTTGCGCATACGACTAATAAATTTGAAAACGAAATTAGCTGAGCCGCATCTGGCGGTGCACAACGTCACATAACACTTGGTTTCGATTTACAACGACATTCATCGTAAATATGCTTACGGGATAGCCAGCGATAAATTCATCATATGAGGGTTGATATCTGCAGCTCTGTTTATGGCACATATACGAACCACTCTTTTTTTTTTTATTTCGCGTTGTTGAGCCCAATTATTCTCTCGAAGTACAAGCCCTTACATGACAAAGTACCAAAACATAACTATAAAATTGTGAATGCAAAACCCATCTATATAATCTCTTTGAACAAACCCTCCAACTCCTTTAAGCCCCCAGGGATTCTTCCAGCATATGGCAAGCACTTGAGTAAAATAGGAGAAAGAACCATAAAGTCTTTAGCCACCCGGCTGTTGCGTGGAGAAGTTTGCAATACAACCTTCAAACCGTGTAAGATGCTCAAAAATTCAACTTGCTGGATCTTGGGTAAAGGCAAGCGGTTCAGCAATAACTCATCCGACACAAACCTTCTCAACGCAAAGCCAGCGCGGTTGAAAAAGTAAGGAAGAGAAATGTTTGCAACCTTAGAAATATCGTCAGTGCCTGATGTAAAGTTGGTCAAATCTTCCAAACATGCACGTCTCAAAGCTATATTTGGAAAAAGCTTTAACGGACTGGTCGATCCGTAATTGTTCTCAAAATCAAAGGTCACTAGCGTATGGGTGTTCCCCTCTATCAGAGTCGTCTCTGAACCGTATATCTGTGACTCAACCTCGTTCATGGAATAAAAGAAGGACGTCTCCCAAATCAGATGAACCACGTTGGTCAATGACTCATCCGGGATCGACTGGAGCTCGGAGTTTATGATGACAAGGTTGCGGAGCTGCGTGTAGCTCTCGATAATGAACTCATCGTTGCTGGAACCTTCTCCGGGTGCACTAACGCACAACATAAGGGTCTCCATGATGATGGTCCATAGCTCATGTTTCAAGTCCAATGGGATGGAGTTTACGGTATCATCCTCTCGGAATGTACTCACAATTTTGGCCGACAATTCGATAACCATAGTAACACACTCCTCCCACAAGTCATTGTCTGTCAGAGCACCCTTCGCTTGAATTCTTGCTGGTTCAATTAACAGCTTGAACAATTTACTGACGCATCCGTCAAGCACTAAAGTCTTCATTGGGAGATCCTTTGAGAGCTGCTCCTTCAACATATTCACACTCTGGTGGCTAATGGCTGCAAAAGTAGGGATTCGATTGAATGACGACGCTTTATCGCCTAATTTCTTGACGATACGAGCACGTGTAGATAAAGGAAGAACAATTAAAGTCCCTAGCTGTTGGATCACAAGCGACTGGGCAATTACATCATCCGAGACTAACAATCGAATATTGGCCATCACTAAAGATTGCAACTCCGTGCAGCGGGTAGAGTCTGACACCATATCTGGAAGTATTGGGTAGCGGGCGCACGAGTTAAAAACACCAAGGACGTTCCCAATCTCTTCAGCCGTCAAATAAGCCTCGCTAATTTCGTGAAGTGGGGCAAAAGACTTCATGAAGGCCACCAAAAGTACCTGGTAGGACTTGTTCAGAATGTTGTTGTATGACACAGAAAACTGGGACCAAAATTGGAAGAATCTCTTCTCCAAACCAGATGTTTCCGGGTGAGGTGTGACGCCGAAACATTCGAGGATCTTGTTGAAACCATCAAAGATGACAATGTTTGACTCGATCCAGTTGGTCAGCACGAGTTTCTCCAAATAGTCGAGTAAACCTCCCCAGTACTCAAGGTAAACTCCTTCTTGCACAAATACAGACAGATAAACCGTCAACATAGAGATATACCCCTGCAAAACCAAATCCAAACTTTCGAGCTGCTCGGGTTTAGGGGGACTCTTCAAGGCTTCTATCTGGATCTCCAGCTGAAAAATCCTCGGCAATACCGTATCATAGATCACTTTCCACGAGGGGAAGTACTTTCCGTGGGAATCAATAATTCTGAAAAACGTTTGAATCGAACCATTCCTGACCTGGGATCGGTTGTCAACAGAAATTTGTGCCAAAATGTAAAGTAGATACACCCAGAGCGCGCTGTATAGAGTGTTCGGGTTGTCGGAATTTGTAACAACATCAGTCAAGTCCTTGTCCTTTTTGATTGCCTCCTCTAGTTTCTTTCTCAACTCGACGGTGGAATAGCTTTTCAGCTTGGTGACCACGCCTCTCAAGTAGTCACTGATGGACCAGAAGTAGCTGATGGAGCTGAATGAGATATTCAACTCAAATTGCTGTTCGCTAAAGTTGTATAAGCAATCAATCAAGATTTTCACCTGGTACGAGGAAAGCGAGAATAAAAACTCATCCATTATCAATTTCATGGTGTCAAAAGCGGAGACAATAAGCAAACGAATCTTTTCCTTGAGCGTTGCATCGGCGATTGCATCGTCTTCAGAAAATCGACTAAACTTGAACGGGGAATTCAAGATCTTGAATACGACATCCCAAGAATTCTTGTAAAAGATCCCATGTCTATCTAACAAGCTCTGAAGGGTGTTCAACACGTTCAAAATAATCTCAACCTCAGTATTCAAAACCAACAACTCCTCGGGAATATCCATCGCTAATAATTGCTCGATAAAGCCCATTAGTGGCGTCAAGCTCTTGCGTTCGGTCTCAGCAATCACGTTTGGACCATCCCCGTCGTTGGAATGATCAACCGTGAACCCCTCTTCGGTAATATGGTTCAAAACAGCGTCAAAGCTGTTGACAACAAGAATTCTGATGTCATCAGACAACCTTCTATCGGTACCCAATTTAATGAAGTAGTTCACAATAAAGTTCCAGTTCTTGTCGCTTTCAATCAAAAACTTTTTCGACTCGGAAATATCCCTCAATTGGTTGATGTAGTACTTGCGGTTGTACACGCAAGGATCAAGCCGCCCATCACTAAATGGGTTCTTACCCGTAGTATCATCCGTTGGACTGGAAAAGCGGCCGCTCTGAAGCACCACATCGGAGAGTTCACAGATTGCCTTGGCCAAATCGAAGAAAGCAACGTTGTCGTACTCTCTGAAGCTGTCATGTAAGAGCGAAACGATTTTCTGCATAGCCATGATTTCAGTCTTGTTCAATTTGGGAGGGGGAGGTAAGGCATTGTTTGAGCTGGTTAATTCTCCTTTAGCAAACGAGGGCGACGCGTCATCTGTGCTGATACCCTGAATGTAATAGTCGGTCCATTGCAATGTGATTAAGATGGTCTTCCACTGACTCTGCAACTTTGGCCCCAAGGAAATTGCCAAGTTTACAAGCGCTTTGAAGCATGTGACGTTTCTTGTATGCAATTCACGACTATGGTAGTACGGGACATGCAAATCGTGTGTAAGATAGGTATTGGCAATGGTGGATGAGATGGTACCCACAATAGAGGAAATGGAATAGCCACTATCAGTCGGGCCACCTTCCGCTATCTCGTTATTGATTGTAGCTTTCGCAAGAAGCTCCAAGAGGCTATTGCGGGGAGACTCGAGGTCAAGCAATCCGGATGAATGACAAAGCTTTTGCATACTACGTACAAGTGAACGGAACAAGACATTATCCAAAGTGGAGTACATGAACACCAGGTACATGGAGATGACTTTCTCGTGATTGTGTTTCAACAAATGACTAACACATGTGACGTCCAACCGCAACTTCTCGTCCAGGGTGGCCTGAGAGAAATCAAACACAAGCGAGTGGCCTGCTTTCGGATATCTGGCAGATAGTTCGTGGACGTGGTTCATAGTTCCCTCCAGAAACGCATTCAAGGAGACTAAAATTAAATACAAAGCGTACGTCGGCGGAGTCGTCGGCGGAGGGTCTGACTTGTCCAATAAATCCAAGTAAGCAACCTTGACAGTGGAGGCCTGTATGGAAATTCCCGCATCTGTGCCGTGGTTAGTCCCTTGCGCGCCGTTTGGTCTGATAGTCTTCCCCAGAGTATTTGGACCAGTTTCATCGAAAGCATCAGAAGAGGGTTGCAAAACAGTCCTCACGTGAAGTAATTCTCGGTGGGAATGGACGTAGGTGTCAACAGCCGAGAAATAATCACTCCAGATTTTCTTTGGTAAGGTAATCCCTTCACCAGCATCGGCTTCGTGCGTCTTATTGTCGTACTTCTCGAAAATCCCTTTGATAAAGTCAAAGTTGAGCATGATTCCGTGAAACACCTCAAGCGATAAAATTTTTTTCCACTCGGGAGACGCGGACTCCTTGGTCAAGGCAAACACCAATAGCGACAACACAATCTCACACTCAACGGTAAGAAGCGTTAGTAAGGTCTTGAGGAGAAGAAGGAGCACCCTGGAGATCCGTACCACCACACCGAAGTTCTTGCTACTGGAAAACACACGCAACAAAAGCGGAACGATCTCAATGCGTAACACGTGCGCCAACTCTTTGTGTTTTAAAAACAACTGCGACTGGTTGATCAAAATGTTCTCGATAAGCTCGAAACGGAAATTTTCTGACGCCTGAATCGGAAACTGCAAGAAGACTGGCTTCCTAGTCTTGTCCAGTAAGTGTACCAAGTCTAGAAGCACTCGGTATGCGTCGTACGCCTTTGGTCCCACCGAAATCGACTCATCGCTGTCAAACTGCACGGCATAACACTTTTCGCTCTCACTGATAGAGGTATCCTCGAGCTTCACCTTCTCGAATACCATAATCACCAATTGCAGGAAGGTGGCGCCTGCGGTGCTCGCAACCACGGGCACCTTATTGCTGCTCTGCAAGATTGCGCATAGCTGCAATATTTTGGCAACCAACTGGTCTTTAATCTCATTGCTGTAGTTCTGGAAGAGAGACGGCAAGCTCTGCAAAATCTTTAACTGGATTTCAATGGCCAAATGGGTAGCCTCGATAAGCGCGTCTAGCACCTCTCCCAAACGTTCTACAGGCAAGCCCTTCGCGGATACCAAGCGGTTAAGACATTGCACGGCAATGGCGCTGTACTTTGTGTTTCGTGTGTGGCAAGATGCAACGAACGGGGTGATAAATTCGGCAGAATGCGCCACCGCCGTGGCCAAAAATTCGGCCTCTGCTTGCGGAGTACTCCCATGATATGTTTTGAGCAACGATAGTGACTTTTCTGACGCCTGTTTAATTTCGGGGTTCCGTCGGCGCGACTCCGATATCAAGTTCGTCAATTCTGACGTCAATTGGTTGATCGTAGTCATGTCTAGTTGGCGGGAGGCAGAAACCTTCAACCACTGATAAGAACAGCAGTCTTATGTGCGTGTAACGTTAACCCTAGCCCAAGTGGGCCCGGTAGATGCACGAACTATCTGCATTAAACCGGTACGCGCACGCCCTCAGCCAACCGCTCCGTAATCCGAAAAAGAGCCAGTCGCTATATATAAGCACTGGTTAGAGAGACGCCCATATAGAGCACACGCCCGTAGCTATTCTTATCTGTACATATTCTGGCATGCTCTACAAATCCATATTTAGCTCAAAGCTCCTACTAGCCTTCAGGGCTGGTGCCACCAGGCGATGCCAGTCCACGTTGCCCAAATGTCCCCACGACACCAGCAAGATCAGTGAGCAGGACTTCTACAACGAACTCACCCTATCCGGCGGCTACGGTAAACCCTTATTTATGAGTTACGTCACCGAATCCAATCCTTACGAGCATCCACTTGAACCATCTGCAAATCCCCGGCCCACAGAAATGCCTGAAGAGCTCGACTTGTGCGATTTAAAGCACTTGGACTACTACCCGCCAGGGTCCTACGTGAAGGATGTGTTGGACCAGTTGCCACCGCTACCCGGATTTTTCAATAACAAACGCATCACCCCTTGGGAAATAGCCCCCTGTTTGGATATTTGGCCCCAGCACCAGGCCTTTGAGGCTATCCCACGCCAGGTGACATATCGGTTGATCTATGGCTCTACTATCATTGAAACAGATAAACCCGAACTTGCCTTCTTAAACATGGTTGACCGGGCCTCCAAGAAAGTTACTCAGAGACCCAGCACGGATGAGGACTCGTTGGCATTGGTGGAGGTGATGAACATCAAGCAATACCTTGAGGGCCTCATCCGGAAATCGGGCAACTTGCTCTTTGTGGCGCCGGCCTCTGCTATAAAGTTGCCCAAGTCCAGATTTTATTTGAAGAAGACCTATATTGACCAGAAAATGATGGAACGTACGTTGAAGTACGCCATCATGAAGCATCTTCTGGAGCATATGAAGATGATCGACGTCTTCATGAAGGGCACCGCCGAAAGTATCCGTGCCGAAACTCGTAAGAGAGTGAGCACCTCCGTGGATAGGTTATTGCTCCAGGGCTTTGGCCAAGTTACCCGCAAGATGCACTGTTATAATACCAACGAGGTGTTGCACAAGGAAGAGCCGCACTGCATCATCATCAGAAAGCTGATTAAGAAGGCCAGTGTGCCCGGAGCTGATGCTGGCTCCGTGTCTGAGTCGTCGCCACCTTGCAGTGTGGGCACTCTTGTCTGGAACAGCAGATCAGCGTACTCCAGCTACTGTAAGTTGAAGAAAGCCACTGTTGTCACCAATCCAAGGTCATATGCCCGCCACATGCACCGTTACGAGCGGCGAGTCTACGAGGGAAAGGAGAAATCTCCAAGTGCCATCAAACAGTACAGTTTCAAGTTGAGCGCGAGGCAGTTTATGAGATTGAGTATCGTGGAGGGGGGTAGTGTCCAATACAGACATTGAAGAGACAAAATTCCGACAGACTGGGGTCCCCACGGGGAACTATAAAACGTATATGCATCTATATAAAACAGGTTACAAGACGCGGTATTTCGGGAATTGGGTAAATGAAGTACTCAGAGGATTGCTCCAAAAATGAAGGGTAACTATAAGAGTAGGCTTGTGTCGTGTTATTACACACTCTACGGGGGAGTTACGGAGTTTGGAAAACCCTTTTCAACTCTGCAGCAAGGAAGCTTTAACCTAAAAACACTCTCCGGTCAAGCCATATATAAGCTTCTTGCTGGTTATGGCTAGAACAAAGTAGTCGATGAAATTTCTGCCCAATGGACGCACCCCTTATTCCTGTACAACCCCCTGACACGCGCATTTATTCTGTATCTGGTCCCTGGACACAATTCCCGTCTGTAGGCTGTCGCTTAGCTTTCTGCTTTACACTATTGTTAGGCGAAAAACCTTATATGACATATATGCGGCACATGCACGGTACATTTGTGACGGATGAGGAAACGGCTCAAGAGCGCCGACAACGGCAATCCGAAAAGGAGTTCTCTCGCGACTTTTTTGTCGAAATATTCGCCCTTACCAGTCTAGTGAAATGGAGCCATAATGGATCGTTTGGGCAGTGCTTCTAATATATCTAGGTGGAACTCCTCAGATAGGGGTACTTTACATACAGTATGATTGCGCAACAGTACCAAGAATAGGAAGGGATGTATATTTCAGTGCAGGGGTGATATACATAGTACTAGGGTATGGTGCTATTGTGTGCCTTAACGTTTGAGCTTCATAATGTGGTAAATGGAAGTTATAACCCCTTACGGATACTCAGCTCGTCTAGCTCACTCGCATTGGTACAGCATCGATGAAACACCGCTAAAAATAGCACGGCCCACTTCCTGCTTGAAGATTACGATTAGCCTCCTAGGGGTCAATTTCTGGCTCCTTACGCCCCAAGGTGGAAAGGTGATGTATGACACAGGCTTGGCACGTTGGTCCTCTGGCGTGAACTCACTTTTAGTTTCCCCTTTATGCACGGCATCGCGTGCTGTTGCACAATAGTCTGAAAATCCTCACAACTAATGTATGGTAATTACGTAGTTATATAGGGTGGTAAATTGTCTAGAGAGCGTTGCAAAGATCAGTGCATATGCATACCACAACCACTCTCCAGGCAGTTATGGTTTGAATAAAATATATTCCATTGGCGCCATATATAAGGCATACAAATCCAGTGACTTCTCCATTCACTCTCGGGAATTAATTTCTTGACCCCTCTCCGAAACTTTCCAGTCGCCTCTTGATGACCGTCACACATACCCTGAAGGATGCCTGCCCTCCAATCACCTGGAGATTGAAGAAACACAAGGAACGATATGCTAAGTACCACGAGACTCTATCATGTCATGGTTCCGGGTCTATATCCCCAGATATTCACCCATATGATTCTATTCTTCGAATACTTGATAGGAGGGATAACATTAGTGACTCTGGTGTCTCTATTGATTCCAGTGACACACCAACTACTGTGCTCTCCCTAACCACCAACACCCCGATGAAGTATCAAGTTATCTCATTGTGATCCTAAGTCTTAGTTCCTTTCAGCGGCCTTTCAACTGCGACATCTTTTCTATACTATCTTATTTTCATCCAAAGTTGATCGCCGCGGTATGGTGAGTTATCCCAGAACCGTGGGAAATTGTATGTAGTATTGAATTTTAGTTGGCTACCACCACTTCATCGCAACGATACTTATTTTCCTGTTTCTGAACTACTGAAGACTGTGATTTCTAAACCTTTGCGTAATGGGCATCTTCGCGTTTCCCTTCCAGGACAAGTGAATGGTGGATAGCCCCGGTGGCTTCCCAAGATGTGCAAAACGGATGATATCCTATTCAATTCCAAACTAGTATCTGAATAAATTAACCGAAATTTGCAGCTTTTTTTTTCTATTTACTGGTCACGAGGACAATTTTCCAGTGTTGGGTGTCAGTGTTGCAAGCAAGGCCCTTTTCGTATCCAACGCCCCTCTTCTTACTTTCTTTCGAAATGCCAGATTTCAGATGCAACTTGACGTTGGCTCTTTCTATTAGTAGATAATTATATTCTTTGCATAACCAGTTTGAAACCTCTGGGTAGCTTCCGGTCGGAACGCTTTGTGAACTCTGCTCTTTAATAGATCTGACGCTCCTAACGTAGGTTTCATAACCATGCATGTCACCATGGTGGCGAAGTCCTCCTACGCAACACTTTTCTAACCGCAGGGGGGCAGTGGGTTTGCGTTGAACGCGATATCCTGCATGTACTCTCATTTCAGAACTGATCCAGTATCAAAACAGAGAGATCCCAGCGGGAAAGAGCGTAAACACAGCAGCTCGAAAAAGAAATAGCACGGCAGTAAAAAATTTCAGACCAAGTATACAGCAACTCGAGTTCTGATCGCTGCATAACGACTATTTTTACGCACAATACAAATTCCAGTAAACATTTTTCTATACCCCAATAAGCTCTTCACTCTTCGGCTCAATTTTCTGGCTTATCAAAAGAGATTGATTCGCTAAGTGTTTGTTTATTATCATCTGCCTCTTCGCTGTCATTCGAAGAATTTCCTGTACCTCCATTCATTGTTGATTGAAGCACATACCAATAGAATCCAGCCATTTGCCCGTGAATCAGTACGTATATTTCATAGTGATTGATGCTCCTGTCTGTTCCATGCACTAACCCATTTAGTGAACAGAGCCAGCTCCTCCTCTCAGGCCTACAGATCGTTCGATCACGAGGGTAACCACCCCTACAGAAAAAAGTCTCTCGTGAGACCAGAGAGATCACGTATTGACCCTAACCACCCCAACTTCCACTATAGCAAAAAGGTTCATGACCCATCCTCCAACATCAAGGTTCAGGCTTCGGGCATGGATGCCAACGCAGGCACCGAGTTTGACATAAACCAAAGAACCGCCAACGGCCCCAGAATCTCCCGCACCTCGGAAGGGGACTATGAGTCGAACGAAATCCCGTTGCGCGATATGCACACCAACCCTTACGGTAACGTTGAAAACTTGGTCGAGGATGAATACATTCATGCCTCAGGATCAGAGTTGAAGGGTGGTACGGAGGTGTACGGGCTAAATGACGAAATCGACTACAGCCCAAGAAAACAGGACGTCATTATGCAAGCCCCAGTCCAGTCAGACTTTAATGCGGGTGGTTCTGGTGGTGCTTACATTAACATCCCAAATGATCCAACCGCGGCCGCCATTGGGTCCTCTGCTACCGGTATCACTGGTGACGACAAAGCCCCGGAAGGGAAACAGTTAACCATTTGGCCCGTCTACTGTTACATCATCACGTTCTGGGCGCCAGGCCCGCTCTTGAGCCTATTTGGCATCAAAGGTAAGGAGGCGCAGTTTGCCTGGAGAGAAAAGATGGGTCTTGTGTCCATTATTCTCTGTACTGCTGCCATCATTGCCTTCTTGACCTTCGGTTTCACCAGAACTGTATGCCAAGACACCACTCCTCGTGTGAGAAACAACGAAATTGACAGCGGTTTCTTGATCATCAACGGCCGTACCTTTGATTTGACCAGCTCCCAGCATCCAGCAGCTGCCGGTATCAGTAACGGTGCCAATGTATTGTACCCACCTGTCAATGCCGGTGGGATGGATGCGTCGTTCTTGTTTCAGAACGTAAACGGTAACTGTAAGGGACTCATCGTCCCAAGAGACAACTGTACCATCCCATTCGACGGTGAAGAATTGGCATGGTACATGCCTTGCAGGTTGTTTTCTCAAGACGGCACCACCGAGGCTAACTTCACCACCGAGTACTATGATGGGTACGCCTGCCACACTAGTGCGTTTGCCAGAGAAGCCTATTACGGTTTGGAGGTGAGTGCGGATGTATACTTCAGTTGGCATGACCTCAAAAACACCTCCAGAAACTTGGTGGTGTACTCCGGTAATGTCTTGGACCTCGATTTGATTGACTGGATCCAATACACCGACTTGGAATACCCACCCTTGTTCGACAGCTTGAGAAACGACCCTAACATGAAGGGCCACGACATCTCTATGCTCTTGACCAACAATGCCGAACGCAAAGCTGCCCGTTGCTTGACTGAAATCATCAAGGTCGGCTCTGTCGATTCCGACACTATCGGCTGTATCTCGTCCAAGGTTGTGTTGTACATTTCTCTTGTATTCATTTTGTCTGTCATTGTTACGAAGTTCATTGTTGCTTGTTATTTCAAGTGGCTTGTTGCTCCAAAGCAGGGTGCTGATCAGGTTGACATGAAAACCATGAACAAGCATCAAAACGCTATCGAGGACTGGTCTAACAACATGAATTCTTCCGGCCCGGTCCGCCCTGTACCTGTGCAAGCCAGAGCTGCTTACAAGAATAAGGAAGCCAATAGAAAGAGCGTCTTTAAAAGAGGTTCTAAGTTGTCTTTGGGTATCAACAGAGAGTTCGAGAACATATACGATGACTCCGTCATGAACGCCAATACCAAGTACACCACCATGTCCACCCAAGCTGCCGCCTCTGTCGGGAACCAGAAACTGAGAAACATGAAGTCATACATGGAAGGGTCCAGGACTGATCTTGTGTCACTTCGTCCAAACTCTATTTTGAACCCGTTCGATTCCCAGACGTTGGACCTTATGGACGACTACACCGTTGGTGGGTTGTCTCCGGACTTGATCCATCCAGATATCGTGGCCCAACCACCAGCCGAGTATGAACCGTATGGTTACCCATTGGCCCACACCATTTGTTTTGTCACTTGTTACTCTGAGGATGAGGCCAGTATGCGTGTCACTTTGGACTCCTTGGCTACAACCGATTACCCAAACTCCCACAAGTTGCTTTTGGTCGTCTGCGATGGCTTGATCAAGGGTTCCGGTAATGACAAGACCACCCCAGAAATCGCTTTGGAGATGATGACTGATTTGCTTATTCCCGAGGACAGGGTGGAAGCTCACTCCTATGTCGCCGTTGCCAGTGGTGCCAAACGTCACAACATGGCGAAGGTCTACACCGGTTTCTACAAGTACGACGATACTACTGTACCAATTGAAAAGCAGCAGAGAATTCCTATGGTTACCATCGTCAAGTGTGGTACTCCATCCGAAGCCACTGGTTCCAAACCAGGTAACAGAGGTAAACGTGATTCCCAGATCATTATGATGTCCTTTTTCCAGCATGTTATGTTTGACGAAAGAATGACCAGGTTGGAATTTGAAATGTTCCAGAATATTTGGCGTATTACAGGGTTGATGGCTGACATGTACGAGATTGTTCTCATGGTTGACGCGGATACGAAGGTATTCCCAGATTCGTTGACTCACATGGTTGCCGAGATGGTGAAGAAGCCGGACATTATGGGTCTCTGTGGTGAGACCAAGATTGCCAACAAGGCCCAGTCTTGGGTCACAGCTATCCAGGTCTTTGAGTACTTTATTTCCCATCACCAAGCCAAGGCCTTCGAGTCTGTTTTTGGCAGTGTTACTTGTTTACCAGGCTGTTTCTGTATGTACCGTATCAAGGCACCAAAGGGTAATGACGGCTACTGGGTTCCGATATTGGCCAATCCAGATATCGTCGAAAGATACTACGATAACGATGTGTCCACCTTGCACAGAAAGAACTTGTTGTTATTGGGTGAGGATCGTTTCTTGTCTTCTTTGATGTTGAGAACCTTCCCGAAGAGAAAACAGGTGTTCGTCCCGAAGGCTGCTTGTAAAACCATTGTTCCGGACACTTTCAGTGTGTTGTTATCCCAACGTCGTCGTTGGATTAATTCCACTGTCCATAACTTGATGGAATTGGTGTTAGTCAATGACTTATGTGGCACTTTCTGTTTCTCTATGCAGTTTGTTATTGGTATCGAATTGGTCGGTACCTTGGTTTTGCCAGCTGCTATTGCCTTCACTTTATATGTTATTGTTGTTGCTATCGTTTCCAAGCCAACTCCAATCTTGTCATTGGTTCTTTTGGGTATTATTTTTGGTTTGCCGGGTGTCTTGATTGTGGTTACCGCATCGAGATTCTCCTACATCGGTTGGATGGTTATCTACATTTTGGCCTTGCCAATTTGGAATTTCGTCTTGCCGTCTTATTCCTTCTGGAAGTTTGACGATTTCAGTTGGGGTGAAACCAGGACAATCGTTGGTGATGACGAAGGTGGCCACGGTGATGCTATTGGTAAGTTCGATCACTCCAAGATTTTCATGAAGAGATGGAGAGAGTGGGAGAGAGTCAGAAAGAACAACGAGCATATATCCATGCCAGCAGCTACCTGGGATCCAGCCCACAGTTAATCACGCTGTCTTCGAGAGATCCTTGATCCCTTGGGTTTCGTTGTAACGCGACCTTCCTTTTTTTTCGTCGTTGCTTGAACCATCGGTTTTGCAATCCTCTATGTGAGCTAAACCGCATACATATTTATTTTATATTTATTATTGTGCCATACTTCAAGGGCTTGTAGTTTACACCCTTTCACAGGCGAATAGTATAAAGCGTATCGTAAAAAGCCGTCAAAATTTAAGTACAAGAGGGGTATGGTTCCTAAGCTAGTTTTTGATGTCATGCAACTCAGGCATTCTCAAGAGTCTCTTCTCCTTGTTTTCGCTCATAACTTGCAACTTCATCATGAGTGCACTTTCCTGCCACTTTTGAGGCATCGGGTTCACAGTGTAATTCTTGGTGGCCCAGTAGTAGATATCCCAATCAGCTTCGTCCATTAACTGGTCGAATTCTACCATTTCCTCCATAGACATGGACGGTAAGTACAACTTGGCAAACTGAGACAACAAGAGATCGGTTTCTAAAATGCCCCTCTTTCTGGATTGGTAGACCAATCTGGCTCTCTTGGTTTCCAACGGTTCGTTTGGTCTGGGGATTGGCTCAATCCTCATCTTAAGCTCAAGCGGCTTAGGGGCTTTGGCATTCAAAGCCTTTGCGACAGAGGTGAAATGTCTGGTGAACCTAACGGTTCTTAATGAAGCCAACATGTGTGATAGTGTAGTGAATATCTGGTTGATTAATGCTTCACTTGGAGTCTGTTTTTTAGTGCAGCTCTCTAAATTTTCATCCGCGCTCTCCAGGTTTGAAACCGGGGCAAGGTCGTGTGTGGTGTAGGGAAGCCGAACACGATATTCTGTGTGAGGTACTGCTTACTTAGACGCGTGGAGAATATTCGAGCAAAGTAAACAAACCAGATGATCAGATCACGAGGCAATTTAATTTCTCTCAACCATAGTTAATCTTTCGCACACTATATTCTCTTTTCCAATCCACACACCTAAACCAGCGATGTCACGTCTGAGCTCCGTCTATAGGGTCCGCAATCCGCCGTCATCAGTGCGCCGCCAAACCGGCCAAAAAGAAGATACAGTGATCCCAAGGCTCGACTTATCCGAAATAACGCTGTGCTTGCAGAGCTTGGAATTTGTTGCTAGCGAGGAACTATTGCTGAGACCCACTGCGCAATACGTGAGAACCTTGTATGATCAAGTTATCGATCTCTTCATGGGGATTTCGCCCGAAGCGTTTAACAGGAAAGTAAGAGAATTGCAGCAGAGTGACCCGGGACCAGATGACATTGAGTTTGTTGACGAATCAGTGGAGAGCTTTAACCTTATTTTGTTGCAGAAGATCATGTTTCAGTTCTTGAGTAACTGCGGGTTCCACGATTTCAATGTTTTAGACCTTGTCCATCCCGATCCTCAGCGGCTTCAGAGGATTACAAGTGCAGTGGTGAATTTCGCCAGGTTTAGGGAAGAACACATACTAGACTGTGAGCCGTTTTTGACCGTAAGCGAGGAAAATTTGGAGAGGTTTAGACGAGCGCAAGAGGAAAATGTGGAGATTGTGAACAAAATCAACGAGTTGGAAGGAAAGCTCCAGCCGTCAAAATCCAAAACCACCTCCATCGACAAAATCAACGAATATAATTCCCGTATTGAGAATGAATTGAAAAAGTTGAAAAAAGTCCAGGAGATGTTGACCATGGAGCATGCAAACTATAAGAATGAAAAGATCAATTTGCTCAAAAAATTGGAGGACCACAACTACCTTATGATCGAAGCGAAGAAGAACTTGGACAAGATCAAGGGTTACTTATTAGAGAGGCCTGAAGTGCTCATCAAAATCAATGAGGATCTTCAAAACAAATTGGACTCGGATTCTTCTCAGTTGGCTATCTTGGAAAACAGGTTGAGAGATTATTCGGCAACGATCGAGTCTTTCCAGATAGTTGAACAAGACTTGAGGAATCTCTTCAAAATCTTGGAAGAGATTTTAAATGATTTGAACAAAGAGGAGCTAAACTTGAATAAGTTGAATAAGTTCCAGGAGCTCCACGACCTGCAATCGATAAGCCTATCAAACTTGAACCGGAAATTGCAACAGATTACCAGACAGTTGACCATCAATGAAGATAAGATACAAAGAACCAAGAAGCAAGCTGAGGAGAAGAGAGCCAGTTTCCAAAGCAAGATGGAGGAATTACACTCTAAGTACGCCACATTGGTGACGGAAAGGGACTTGAATGATCAAGACTTGGAGAAAAAGAAGCAATATATCCTTAATTTGGAACACAGAATGAATGAACTACAGAAAAACTACAATACGGAGTTGAAAGAAACCAACTTGGAGATTGAACGTTTGAACAACCATTTAAAGTTGTATCTAAGTGAGATGGAAAAGAAGGTGAAGAACTAGGTTATCTGGTCTGTCTGAGGTTTATATGGGTATAATTGTTAACTTGTTTCATGCTTAGGGGTATTGATGGTTATTAGAGCTGAAGAGTAAAATATATGCAATCAAAACTCCAAACTGCGGGTAATCCGCCTGATATCGAGAATGTAAATTTAGAACGGCAAGTGGTATACAAGCTGGAAGCTACAAGAAAATTAAAGATCAAAAATGTATTGAACGGTTATGTAAGAGCTATATTTGAGTTAATATCGAGTCACAAAATCATTTTGGAGTTGAGATCTGCTAATATTGACTTAATTGAAAGGTTCAGAAATTTGGGTATACTTGGTCTTCAACACGGAGAGTACAAAAGTTTTCCGCTCAGACTGGTGCACAGCGTTTTTATCGTCATATTCAAGTCAAAGATTGATTGCTGCCTGTTCGTAAGATGAGAAAAAAACGTACCATTAACGTAGTTCAGTAAATTTTATCCCTAATTTGTGTGTTTTCGAGTAGAGAACTTGTTAATGTTAATAACGAATGTGCCGGTTAGTGTATTGTACGGGACGCACTGACCTTTATATAGTTTTTCACCTTGAAAATTTTTGGGCGATCGGGTATGTTACCCGGAGGCTGCATACAACAAGCCCTAAGATTAACGTGAGGTGTTTTGTATGTGTCCGGTATATTAGTCTCTTAACAGGATGTTCAGCTTCCAAAAGCCCATTAAATGGACGAGGAAGACTTGACATGGTGATAATGGTTGTATACAACGATCAAAATTGCTATAGAGTATCAAATTAAACTAATTTCAACGAATTAATTCAAATGATTCGAAGGGCCGAATGGAGGCTGGAGGCGCCTTAATTTAAGTTTAATCGTAGCACATCTACCCCAAGTCTAGCATCCATATAGTCGTCATTCACCGAAGACGATATCCTTATATTGAAAAGAAAAGGTTTACAAGTTAAAGGCTTGATGACTTGGGAATTGGGGGTAGCAAATTCAGTGTGGATAACGGTGGCCTGCGTAAAAATCAATATCTGAGCTTTCTCCCTATAAGGCTTGTCCCTGCTATACTCAAACCCTCGAGCTCAATTCTAGCTGAGATAAACATACCTATGTCAAGTATCAACACCCCTCCTAAGCCATGTATTGTTTTGCCCATCTGATAGTACTTCTAGATCCTTTCGATCATTGATATGCAGAGACATAGCCGGCAGTATTAACCGTGAGTGGTATACACTTCAAAGTAAAGTTTAGAGTGTTGAGTGGTCAGACATGCGTATTCTATCGAGGATGAGGCTCCATGCTGTTATAGGATATAACTTACAAGTCCAGGGTAGCCTGTTATGTCACCATGTGTTCTATTATAGGGCATGAAAGCCCCACAAAATTATTTAACCGTAATAAAAACACATTCAATTGTTTTAAAATATATATAGAAAACCGTAAATCATTAAAGAGGTCGTTAAATTGAGAGCTTTCAACACCAGAGTTTCAAGATTCTCATATATTTTGGTCTTGCGGCCAAAGCAGCTCTTTCCTCAGCCATTTCCTGCTTGATCAACTCCAAGTCCATCTCTCTTCTACCAGAGTTAAGATCAATATCAGCCAATGGAATCAAGAGCTTCCAGTTTCTAGTCCAGATTTTGTGGCCAAGGTAGAAAACCAAAATCACGAGAATGGAGACATAGTTTTGGAAGAATACTACAGCACTTGGCTTGGCACCGATTGGCCAAACACTGACCCAGAACTGGGCACACAAGACAAAAGTCAAAAAAGCAATGGAGTAGTAAGAACCAATCACACCTGTATTGGCTGTATAAGCCAATTCATCGGTGGTTCTCCCTTGGGCCTTTATGGCGGCTCTGAATCTCAAATGGCAAATACAGATAGAGGTCCAGGTAAAAAGAGTAGACATCCCACACAAAGCCATCAACCAGGCAAAAACCTCGTTTTGTTTAGGGGAAGCGGCCAAGAAACAGAGCAAGCCCACAACCCCTTGGGCGATAATACCCATGATTGGTCTACCGCTGCGATCAATGTAAGCAAAGATACTTGGAGCCATGTTTTGGGCAGCTAAGGATGCAATGGTACGGGAGGCACCGTATACAGAGGCGTTACCCACAGATAAGACAGCGATCAAAATGACAACGTTGATTATGGATGGCAAAGCCTTGATACCACCGTTCTTAATGGCAATGACAAAAGGAGAGGCGGTGGCATCGACAGAGGAGGAACCAATAAGACGAGGGTCATCGTATGGGACCAACAAGCCAAGAATCAACAAACAAACGAAGTAGAACAAGATAATTCTCCAAAAGACTTGCTTGATCGCCTTTGGCAAAACCTTTCTTGGGTTTTCCTTGGTTTCGGCACTAGCAAGACCAACCAATTCGGTACCTGCTAAGGAATACAAGGCGGTAACGAAGACGGTACAAAGACCTTTGAAACCAGAGTGAAACGCACCAGGATGCTGCCAGTATCTCCCACCAATGTAGCCATCATCGCTTGGACCACCTCCACAGATGAGGACAACCCCCAAAATGATAAACCCAATGATAGCGACAACCTTGATCAAGGAGAAAACAAACTCGGCTTCACCGTATCCCCTAACACCGAACATATTAATAAACATGATCATGACGTAGAAAATGGCTACCCAGACAGCGTTACTAACACCAGGGTTCCAGTACGTGATGGTCATGGACGCGGCAACTAACTCAAGGGGTAAAACAACAAGCCATAAGATCAAGTAGTTCCAGCCAACAGCGAAAGCCCAGGAAGCGTCAACGAAACGAGAAGCGTGGGCACTGAAGGCACCCGAGACAGGAAAAGTAACAGCCAATTCAGCCAAAGCCTGCATGACACAGTAAATAATGGTCCCCACCAAGAAGTAGGAGATGAGCAAAGATGCAGGTCCGCCGGTTCTCAAAGCACTACCCGAACCAATGAACAAGCCGGTACCGATGGAACCACCGATAGCAATCATCTGTAAGTGTCTGGACTTTAACGAACGGTTTAAGGGCGCCTTCGAGGTGGCGATAATTGCCTTTTCTTCCTCGGACAAATTAGGGTCAAACTCCGTTTCATCCATTCTTTTGAACGAATCTTTGAAGTTTTGCCACTTGCCCACCTGCTCGCTAGGGCCTTCGTAGCACGACGGAAGAGATTCGGCAGAAGCAGTCCCTGAAGGTCCCTTTGCTTCTATGTCAGACATGTTGTGTACAGTTGTGGTTATGCTAATGTTGGTATAATGGATGTGAGAAGACCAATATGAGGTATCGAATAGTTTTGTAAATGTTAAAATAAATAACGACAGATAAGCAAAAGCGAGTAACCTGAAAGTAGAACTGGGGGTATTTCCCTTATTTATAAAATGTAAAGAATCTATCGCCTGACTGAATTGCTTGGCTTTATGAGTCAATGGCCATTACCGGTTAAAAGCACCTTCACCGGAGGAGCTAACTCCCCTCTGCATGAGTTTTCTGTTAATCCACGGGTTGAAAATATCCAAAACTCTTGTGAGATGCGAGCTTTGTACAAGACTGAGGTTTCATGCCCGGTTACGGAGCTGACGTGAGGGATAAGGATCCACGTACTATACTAACGGCTGCATCTGATGTGTTACGCACGTAGACGTTGCGTCTTGCGGCTGACCGGTGGAACGGCTGCATCCTGCAGCTTGGCAAGGCGATTTAACAATTTTCGCTCCGTTATCGCACATTTTTATGCATCTTATACGGCATTCTTAACGGTCCCTGCCGATGTCTCCTCCAATAATACAAAATTCTGGCAGAGAAATCTTCAGATGCTTCTTGTGTGCAGGATAAATTGTCACGGTTATATAGGAAAGAGGAGCTTCTCGGTAGTTGACCCCCGAGTAGTCTCTATAGGAACAAGACTGGGATATGCTTTACAGGATAATGTCGAGCGCATTACTCACGGAAGTGCCCCGCCTATCGAAGCCTTTTTTGTTATTGTGCCCTTCAAATAAAAAGTAGAGTCATCCGACCGCAGTCCTTGGGGTGATTTGCTATTTCGTCTGCATAGGCAAATTGTAACACTTCATGCTTGTAAAGCGATACAAACAGACTGCCGAGCGGCTAAACTTTCAGTTTTATAGTATACCTTGGTAATACCAGCCCCCTCTGATTCTAAGACCTTTAAATCCCTTGTTTCGCCTATGCAAAGCTATTTGAGATTAAGTTTTTCTTTCATGAGGTCATCCTGGCGGGAGATGCGCTACGCTACATTTTCCGATCCCCAGCCGTTATAATTCTGACAGTACTTTTTTTTCACACTATACATGCATATACTGATGCAAGGCCGTACAGGATGTCAAAATATGCCGTCTCCGGAGTAATAAACATGCTATTGGTAGCCTCCTCCCGAAACTCCACGCCGCGCACCCAAGTTTCCAATTCCTGCCCGGCCAAGGCCATTTTTTTGAAGTCTGTCTTGCAGCTACAAAATCATTGTGTAGCCTCGTTGCAGATCCCATTTTCACACGAACTTTGGGCGTTTTCATAGCCTCTATAGCATATTCTTTCTTGTACTATTGGTGAAAATAGGGTATAGTCGGTACATTGAAATAAGTGTACATATGGTACAAATACCCATTAGCCTCGTAGACTTTGTACTCTAGAGACTTTCTTATTTCGAATTCGTATGATAGGGATTTGTCTTATGTACAAACTCTGAGACGAGCCATTGAACAGTTTAGTCCCAGTTGTCCGGTTTGTATGGCAGACACGATTTCCTATATGTACAATATTAATCTAGGCATGTTTGGTAGTTTATTGGGTCGCATTACTAATTAGGACCCATAACTTGGCGCATTTTATATAACGTATAATGCACTTCGAACTGCATGTGAAACGCGACAGGCATTTTTCTCGGCTTTTTCTCGTCAACATTTCTACTGCACATTGTAAATTTCAACGCGCTTAACACAGAGATCCACAGCACTGATGTAAAAACCTGTACATATAATCGGATACTCAGTAGTATACGGTTTTCAACTACGAGTCGAAAACCAAAAGTGCTTATTTTATATGGTGATACAGTTAGGAAGTAAGTGGAGATACTATATTTATTAATTTTCAAGTTTAGTCGTATTTGTATAGTTTTATTATTTATTTATATCGTTAAGCTCTATATATACAGATATATGTTGATATTATTTACGATACTTTATAGTCTATATGTGACCATTAATACTCAAACGACTCACAATAATTACATCAATAAAGGCTAGCAATGTAATAAATATGTGAGAATAGTAAGATCAAATTAAACATCCGACTAATTAGGCTACATGTGGCTAAGAGTACACCCTATTTCTTAACCTATGTATAATTCATCTTGAAATCAATGAGCCGCAAGAGTTTTAGTTTTTTCTAGGTTAAAACTTCATGTAGTAAAGGTGCCATTCAACTAGACAGACGTTGTTGGCCGTTATGTCCATACCTCTAATAATCGGATATTCGGGTATTGTATCCACCTCGGTATACGGGACCACCGACCACCCTTTTCTCGTGTATATCGGATAGAGGAAAAACATTCTCTTTTAGCTAGCTAATAATATCCACTATTACCTATACCACACTTTGGGTTAAATATCACAAAAATCTAGACCTCTAAGGCCGTTGACCCATAGTTCATCAGAACTTACAAGTTGGGCAACGTCGCCGAGCGGTTAAGGCGGAAGATTAGAAATCTTTTGGACTCTGCCTGCGCAGGTTTGAGTCCTGCCGTTGTCGTCTTTTTATTCCTGATAACTGGCTCAATTGACATATATATTCCCAAGTACTTCCATTCGGGACTGCGCAGTTTACTTCCGCGTTCCCTAACAATGAGGTGTCCCCTCACTCATAGTCAGTAATTAGGCCAAGCTTCTTGGCGTGAAATTAATGTGTTATAGTCTATATAACATGCAAACTTTATGCGACAGACTCCTTCAAATGTTGTGAAAGAAGGCCAGCTATACGAAAGTGAAATAAGTGAGCCGGATGCCGACGGGAGAGATCTTTGTTCCTTAAGTCATAGCTCATATACACAAGCTTCATGGATGCTTACTTGTTTAAATTCCTATTAGCAAGGTTTAGAAGTGCTACCCAAGGGTTTAGCTCCATCAATGTAAGCCTCTATCCCAGATTCTTCGTTATAACCCTGGATTTCTGACAGAGGTAACAGAAGCGGTATCCTGCACTGTCCGCCACGAAGGGTTTAACCTGCATTCACCACGTGCATATGGTAACTAAGCAGTTTTCCCCCTGTATCTTGGTGGCCGCATTTGAGAGACTAAGAGACTAGGAGGCCTAAAACATTAAACTGCATTTATAGGAGTCAGACAAGTCACGACAGTCTATATGATCCTGAAATTTTGATTAGTGAGGTGTAGGGAGCTCCCTAGAGCACACAACTATTAAACTCGGAAGATGAACCTGGCAAGCAATCATTGTACGGTTAACTCGGGGTTCATATGTATCCCTTTTCTGCAACTGGTAACCACAGATACAGCTGTAAAAGACATTCCCTAGAGGTTCAGTTGATATAAATACGTGCTCAAAACTGCACATCGAGGGCTGGATGGTGTACATCTGCATTGAACCACATGCGAGGCGCTTTACGGTAGATCGTTGCCGCATATTCATTCCACGATTGATGTGCCATAAATACTGGCGATATGTTTAAAGCTGCGCCTACATCTGTTTCTCAAGGGGAGCCACCTGTAACATTGAAGTTGGCCATTTGGTATAACCAATATGTTAGTGTTGATATGGGGCTTTCAAGACACGTAAACGGTTATGAATAATAGACTACAAACTATTTTACCGTCGAAGAATAAAAACATGTACCACATGTACATAACTATATTAAGGAGCAAGCCTTTGACGTCGTATGCCATTCCTTAGATGAGTATTGCCAATATAGTATAGTGAGAAGGCATTTACGATCGTGCATATGCATATAGAACTTGCAAAAGGGGTTTACCATCTCCAACGCAGGACAGCAGCCGAAACCAGAAGAGCTAGGCATGGGAGTCAGTTGTATTTTAGAGTTATACTAGAAAAACATATGGTGGCAGGTATATGTACAAAATGTATAAGAAAGGTAAGATAGATCTTCGTCTATACAGCACACTCGTATGGTCTTGATATTTGTACTCATATGACTGGAGCAGATGTCCGTCCTACAAATATCCCCATGTGGCGAACAGAGAGCTAAGTTAATATCAAACCAGTTGTATTAAAATTTCCCATGTAATATATAAGAAAATGCACTGCAAAATAACCGTATTATATCCAAAGTAAACAAAAAGAGATGCAAGAGAATGAGAACGCTAAAGGCGTTCGGGCAATAAAGATAAAACTTCATGCAAGTTTAAAAATAGCCAGAGTGAATGGGAGTGGCATTAAGCATAGTTGGGAGACTCGTGTTATAGTATTGCGGCTGGTACTGGTAATACTGCGGGTCTTGACAATAACCAGGCTTTGAATACACCTGTCCAGCGTGCAAGTCGCCATGCTGTGGTTGATAGGCGTAGAGTTGAGAAGCCATAAAGGCTTCTTCTTCCTCGATGGAGGAGACGGACGAGATAGAGGATCTCAGAGAAGCACAGGAAAACTCAGAACCGAGACACTGGGAAGCGGATGAAATCGTGGCATAATGGTGGCTGACACCTTGTGGAGTAAAATCGAGAGCATAATACGCTTGCGAGGAGAGGGGATACGTCTCCATACAGCAAACAACAGGAGTAATGGCCATAGATGGGGAGAAGGCGTGCTTTTGGAGAGCAGGTTGAATGACAACAGGAGGTAACAAATGGCTAGCTGGTTGCTCTAACTTTTGAACTTGCTTTTGCGGCTTGTAAACTGACTTCTTCAAGCGCTTTGCCTGAGACATGTCTTGTCTGATCGGGTCCAAGAATTCTTTCAAGTGGAAGTACAACTCATTGTCTTGCACTCTCAAGTCCCAATTCAAGAGATACAATAGCTGTCTTTCCATCAAGTTAATATCAGAAACCTCAAACAAGCCTGTATATTTGGCCCAGTGCTTGTTCTTTGGAGAGGAGTCATTGTGGAATTTGGCAGACAAAACCAAACAGGCCAAGAAGATACGGTGTCTGGTACACGGCAAACCCTCAGCATTGGCTGGCAACAAGGTTCTTAATCTTCCTAAGTAGACAAGAGTGGCCATCAATGTACCGGTGTAAACGTGAGTTTCCTTCACCAACTTGGTAATAAAAGTGTGTAAGGAGGGAAGGTTTCTCTGTCCTGAAGGAGAGGCTGGGGGAGAGGGGTAGGCGGATTTCTGAAATTCACCTTGACATGGGAGCACGGTAAGAGTAGCCACCACCAAGGCTTCAATCATCTGTTTGTTTACCGGCTGTTGGATAAACACCTTTAAGGCTTTGGAGTCGGACATGGCGAGAGTTTGATTTAAAGGAATGGATGTATTGTAAGTGTTGAGATAGATGGTAGAGGTCTGGATGCGCTAATGGGGCTGGAAATGGATCTCTTATATACTCTTAGATGCTAATATCTAGGAGCTTAAAAGTTTGTTGACCATGTAGACTCATGTGCACGAAGCGACATGGTGTTTAAGCGGCACTAATACTGCGGATCGTACATAGTCCCCGTACACATCTAAAAAATGATCTCAGCAACGTTGTTAGTGACTGTATGCAATGCATTGTAGCGCCAGGGTAAAGTACTATATGCAGTAGGTGAATTTTGAGATTTGCCCAGCCTGGCTTATGCACTTATGCAATCTAGCGCATTCTATGTTCCATAAATACCGGAAAACTCTGCAAATCTTCTGCGCTAATCCCGCAGATCGAAGGTACTACGCTCGACTTTTTCTTTCGCACGTGTGCTTAAGGACTCGAGCTATCTCATACTCAACAGGTAATATTGCTACTAAAGTGAGAGTGATATTGTGGCCCACATAGGTTTGAATACCAGGGGGTAACACTGAAACCGCCTAAATGCTTCTAGAAGATACCCTAGTAGAGGATATTACGTCAGTTTGTGGGCTGTGTGTGACGAGGCTTATGCATCGTCAGAAAACGTAATGGTTAACGAACCAGAAATCCGCCGCTGGGTGCAATCACCGATTCTACATATCCTGTGCATGTATACCTTGCATGCGTTTCACAACATGCTGAGGCAAAGTTAAGGTTGCAGGATTCTATGCCACACAAGGGCTGTAATATTAGCGGCTGGCGGGTGAGACGACTGTTTTTGGGCCAATATGTTTTTAGTGTACCAAAATGGGAACGAATATAGCCATGCAGCTGAAATTTGGAGCAATCTAGCAGCAGCGCAGCGGATCGATGTCATGCCGTTTTGCATATCCTCACCGTAGGCCTTAAACTTTCATCCCTTACATGAAGCCTGATGAGCCCCAAAATATCCTTTCAGTTTTCTCAGCCTCTATCTATCACTGGACTTTACCGGATGAAATCAAGGTTGGCTACTTGGCAAGAAGAAACTGCGATGTGATAGTATGATGGATTTGATTTCTATAAGGTGCTATCATTACAAAAATCGGTATACCTTTCACCAATGGACCGTCACTAAGAGACAACAATTCAGTTTAGCAGCTAAGTCCGTTAAGAACAATCGTTAAACTAGATGGGGGATCGGGATCCTTTGTATGCATGCTTGGTTTTCGTGTTGAGTCCGTCTATGTACGATACAGCCTTACCTTTCATGTGCATGCACATACATGGGGATGGTTTTATATTCACATGTGGACGCTTACCCGAACCGCGACACCTATCTCGTTTTCTGTATCTTAACCACCAGTTGAATAATATTTCCGGGGGTGCAAATTGTGATAGGTTGTGAAAGACCATCGAGCTAATTCGGAACCGCCTTTACTCAGAGGTTTGTAGGTAAAAGCTTGCTATCCTAAACCGTTTTATTTGGGGAGAGGGGGGCGAACCACAAAAATAGAAGACGCGGCGTGACTGTCCAGCTCTGAAGATATCCCGTCTTGGCAAAAAGAAAGCTGGGGCCGTCATCGGTTGCAACTGGTGTTGCTCCGGCTCGGAAACAATAATGGGATCCCGTGATCGGTCACAATAACATGCACATACAGAATATCTATTGTTCTATGCATACACGCATGTATGCGTATCTATTTCCTTATTGTGGAAACCTAACAAGGGAGATCATACGATTCGATAATGAACACTCAAATTCGGGCGGCATTTAAGCCTCACATATCTTTGCAACTTTCTCAGCCTCTGATACGAAACAACTGAATCTCTTTTCTAGTAAGTGAGATGGAGGTGAAGTTTGTATCGCAATCGAGGTATATCATACTTTGACTATGTGTGTTATTGTTGGGTTAGTTGTATACAGTTCATACGAGAGCCTTCAACGTGATTTCAGCATAATGGCTAACCTGCTGCTAATTGCTAACAGCTTCTTGTTGTGCATACACCATAAATTTCCTTATCCGGAAGCCAGTGAATAAATGAAAACAATTAAAACAAGCTTGTAACGATGTACCCATTTTGGGACGATATACAATCTTAGGAAAAGACACATGGATATCCGACTTTGTTAAGATTGGGCAATTTATGAAGCTACGATAAAAATACACTAATGCTTGTGCTCCCGGCGCTTAGGTACACTGCGCGCGTGTACCATGAGCACCCACCGAGAGTATATCTTGGCAATAGTTGGAAATGACTTTCTAGCAGTAAAAGAAGTGATACACAAGTTATATCGTCCACCACCGTGGCCGCACCGGTAATTGTTAGAGGGATGCACTTTGAGCTCGTACACTGTATATTGGCATGGGCCTGTGGTTGAGGTGCATTCATATACTTAAGCGTCTCCACAAAACTCACTGGTTCCTTCTAAATCAAAAATTAATGGTTACAGAAGAGGCCAATTCGTTTTCGATAAGTTTTCGAGCCCTTTCCGTGACTATTATCTGTACAAAAATGCCTTTTTCCTATCATCTGACTGATAATTTAATATCTATACGTTGGATTAACGCTCCATCGAATCCTTAATGCCATGCATCGCAGATCTACGCCTATGCCAAAGGCTAGGGCATTACATTAAAATCTGAACTGGTGATGTCCACAAACTTGGAGGCCACGTAAAATTTTCTCCTAATAGCCCGCATTAGTACGACTCACCGATAGGCTACGGAACGTTGGCTGTGTTGGATAGGCATATACAGTAACATGCCAAGCATTGTTTCTGAGGTCAACGACCGTCTCTTGATCGCCGCTAATATCAGGAATGAAATGGCCATCAATGCTAAAACAAGCATTATCGAAAAGCCGCCTGCTTCAAACCGTAAGCTCACTCTACCAGCTAAAGTGAATCCACATAGCGCCCCAACATGGAATCCCAGTATCACTGCGCTCTGCATGAGGAATATACACCCTAGAAGCGGCCTACCGTAAAATTTTAGCTACTTAGTTCCACTCTGAAATTTCATGAACAATAGTATACTTTTTAGACAATAGACCAAGCCACTGGTGTGTCGCAAAATTTCCCGGGCTGTGTGTCTACCCAGATCCCGCTTGTTCAAATTTCGCCTACCCTGGTCTGCCCGCCTCGTCTCCCTGCAAAAAACATTAGGCTAATTGGCAATGACTTACAATATGCCACATGAATTTCCGAGTCAGACGCACACCCCAAATAATAACGGGATTAATTGTGGTACACCAGCACACCTACATATGCTTAAAATAGGCGAATATGGCTTCCTGTTGTTGTGGTCTTGAAGACTTAAGCTTAACTGAGACTGAATAATTCCCACCGTGTACGTACCGAGACCAGTATACACGCGTCAATGGTATCAGCTACAGTTAGTTGGGCTTGTATTGACAGACCAACGGCTTGATCTTTTACACTTTTCACGAAATACACTCTAACTATCACGCACAGCCCCACCTCAGCTGGCTCGAGTACTTCGGGTGTAACCAAGCGAGGAATGCTTAGGTTTAGAACAAGGCTGTTTTTGCTAGCTGGAGGGTAGTTTTGACTGACCAAAAGGGTACATGCGGATTAAAGGCGTATAATTCTAAATTTCGAGTCACCGTTACGTAACGCTTTTTCACGCACCTGGGTCTGGACCATTAAGGGGGTATGAGTTCTTTTTTTGGCAAATTTAGCGGAGTTAGTAGGACTAGGGAATCTGGGATTTGAGGCTCAACCAGCTCCCCCAGTCTTGCAGCAGTATCACCGCGGCGTAGCTGCATGGCGAGTGACGTTCAGCGCTACATCTATTGACATTTATGCTATCAGACATGCCGGTTTGATCCACGTCTGCCGCAATTCTGTCATGTTGCAGCCGCTATTCTAGAAGCCGCATAAATACGGATCGCTAATCAGTTCCAGGGCCATAGATCATGTACATGGCAGACACAAACGCAGCTCGGTAAAAACGGTTCGGTAATGACTTAGATCTGAAGGATAATGGACTCCCCACTCCAGCGACATAGGCTGACCGTAAGACATACGTGAATGTGGGTCTATGCACTGAATGCACACCCCAGTATTATCCAGACTGCAGCGCCTCAACTCTGAATTTGATCGGCGGAAATAACACAACAAGCATCCCGAAATAATGTTATAATAAGAGTAATAGCTATCCAAGGGTGAATAATATACGTCATATGAAATAGCATATGCTTGATAGTGGAGCATGTACTATAGATTCACACCACACTTACGAAACTGGATCATCTCGTACCGTTGAAACTATCGTAGAGAGTTACTATTTCACTATCATACCAATCAATACCTAAAGATAAAAGTGTAACGTCTCTGGATTATAATATGTGGCAGATATTGTGTGTTACACTCTAGTCCTACGAATGTCGCAAAGAGTTGTACACCGTTGTGGCTTACCCCCTTCAATTTGAATTCAGAAAGGAGATATTGAGAACGTACGTGCCCCATACATGCAGTTTCACACTTCTCGGATATCGATGTTCTAAACGGAGAAGGCTACCCGATAGGCCTGTACATTTGACATGATGGTGCCATCCTGGCATCTTTTGAAAGAGAAATATTATAACATTCGGACTTTTCATAGCGCAAAGGAAAGGATAATGACCAAGGTGGAGGCGCTCATGCAAGTAGGCGCTTCATGTTACCGGGATAGAATGCATAAGCGGCTATAGGGCGTTGCCAGGTCTCAGGCACAGGCCAATTCAAATAAAATCTACTGTTAACCTATACAGCTAAGCCCAAAATACCCTACACATTTAGGCTATTGATAACCTGCCCCAAGCTACTTCCCGGGTTCTAACAAAGCACAGATTTACGAACGCAGCTCTACGCATCTCTGACGCCTGCCTCCCGGAACTTACTTTGCTGCTTTACCTTAGAACACACACACATGAAATAGCAGATGCAAAGACCACTGAGGTTAAAACCAGAAAAAAATAAATAAGACAAATTTTACAAACCAAAAGCTTCATTATATAATGTTCAGAAATTGTAAAAAAGTTATTAACTTATACGGTCCGAATCAAGTCAATTTCTTTTGCTCACGTGAGATATCACGTGGTATACATTCACTGGCTCGGAAGTTCAGACTAGCGCTATCTACATGAGGGATGTTACCTAAGAATCATTGTTTTCTTCTCATCGCAGTAGCACCCCCAACATTAACACCCGCCTAAAAGTCATAATGTCTGTTGTCAGCGCTGAATCTCAGTTCATTTCTCCGTTCTTGCAATTGTTGAGCCTTTCGGGCCAACCTAGCATTTACACTGACACGTTCCAGCAAGATTTGAGTAAAATCCAGTCACTAGGCCCATCTTTACCGAAATTATCGACAGATGCCAAGAAACCAAAGCTTTCCAAGAGCACCGAGGATGACAAGGTTGTGAACTTAACCATTAAGTCGATCAAGCCGCCAAAGTTTAACCAGATCATCTCCGCCTCCACATCCACCACCATCTACACAATCAAGGAACAGTTGATCGCGGAGGCCGAGGAGTTAGCTGGTACCCAAGTGGAGCAATTGAAGTTTTTGATCAAGGGGAAGGTCATTGCTGATTCTACTGTCTTGGATGCCTTAGCCACAGACACCAACAAGCTTTCTTTCATGTGTATGATCGGGAAGCCAACCACCGGCCTGGTTCCAGCAGCTGAGACTGTGGCTCATGAGGAACCTGAGCTGATTGTGGAAGAGACCGTCACAAGCCTAACCGAAGACCAGTGGATGGCTATTCACGCCACCGTGCTGAAGAGTTACAGCGTCAACCAGGCCGACGCGGTGGTACTGAGATTGAAGCTGGGCTGGGAGTTGGCCAAATAGTAAATTCCATGGAGAAAGTATCGCTAACACTGGTATAGAAATAAACACATACTAAAGGGCCCTAAACGGAAACGTTATGTTAACGTATAGAGAGAAGTTATCAAGTGGCGAGCGTAGCTATGGTCCACTCGGACTTTGGAAATTAAATATCGAAAAATGTTACACAGTAATAACAGAAAAGATATAACTTCATCTAAGAATTAACGTTAACATCCACCTGTAATATTTTTCTGATATATCTAATTTGGGTATGGTCATTTACAGTTGGCAAAACTTCAACCATAAAAGTGTGCCCAAACCAGCTCTTCAGCCGCTCATATTTCTTTCTTACATGCTGCATAAAATGCTTCATTTGCCTCCTCCACTTTTCTTTCTCAATTACCACTCAATATTTAACACACAATAATGGACTACTCAGATAGAGTCAACTCGAAACAGGGTAGTGGGGGTGTAGCCGACTCGTCTCTCACCAACGTACACCGACGTCAGAGAGTGGCGCAGTTGATATCGTCCAAGATCAACATCGACCAGGATCCATACATTTTCAAGAACCACTTGGGGCTTCTCGAATGCAAACTTTGCCTCACAACCCACGTGAGCGAAGGATCCATTTTGTCACATATGCAGGGCCGCAAGCACCAAACAAACTTGCAGAGACGGGCATTGAAGAACGGGATTGACCCGAACACAGGATTGCCGCAAACAGCCGACAACCAGAACCGTCCATATAACCAGTACTCCCTATCACAGCACGTAGCCCCCGAAAAGAAAACTTTTATCAAAGTTGGGAAACCCTCTTACAAGATCTCCAAGATCCGTCATCCCCAGACGTTCCAATTGGGGTTGTTGTTCCAGGTGAATTTGCCGTTGATTAAGGCTGGCACCCATCCGTTTCACCGGTTTATGAGCGTGTACGAGCAGAACATGCAGATCAACCAGAAACAAGCGCAGATCAACGGTAACTTCCAGCACTTGGTGGTGAGCGCGGAGCCGTACGAGAATATCGCTTTCAGGATTCCAGCTAAGGAGATCGAGAAACTGGATGAAAAGGAAGGCGAGAAGTTCTGGACCTACTGGGATGACGATACGAAAGAGTACTTTGTCCAGTTTTTCTACAAGGACTAGGTAAAGTGTAAGTTTAACCGCAGATGGTCAGTGGAGATGGTAATGAATCATAAAAATGTTTGGTATAGAAACAAATGCAACCGTTCCAGCTACTGGACTTGTAGTTTTTATACTAATATCTTCTATTAGCGCTCCTCCCCCGAGAATACATACTGGGCGAGTTTTAGATATTAATTTGACCAAGATAGTTTCAACGGAGCCATGGTAAAGATTTTTGGGATATGATAAACGGTTATGATGGAGGGCATTTGTTATACCGTTCGTCACAGAACTAAGAATTCGGCTGATCCCCTTCATGCATCTTTTGGCCGAAGAGATATATGATATGAAAGAGATATAACAGATAGACACACGCATACACTAATAATTGGTACATCGGTAAACTTACAAGTCATAAAAAAAAAATCGGGAAAGATAGTTCGGCTACGCCTCGCGGGGACGTGCAGAGGTTCCAATCCGGAGACCTGTAACTGGTTAATTGATTCAGAATGATGAGAGATTGAACAAAGGCATCCAGGAGTTTCTTGGTGCTAAGGCCGATATGACAGAGATTAAGGGAATCGCGCGGGTAGTCTGCATGTAGCTGCTCCTGGTGTTACTCCACGCGGTAGTCCGGGCTGGTCACAGACGAACGGCCAATATTGAGAGGCGAGTTAGAGCTCATCATCGAGTTTGGGGTGTTGTTTGCGCTGACACTACTCCCGGTACCCAGCCGTCTGGGAGCGGACGCCGGCTGTTGCTCCGCAAGGGGCCCCACCCCGATTTCCGCTAAACACTTCTCGGCAATGGTATGGCTGAAGTCCGAGCGCTGGTCGTTCGGCCCCAACTTCCGCTGCTCTAGCGCCTTGATTTTCATCTGCAACTCAACCTCTTTGCGGTTATTCTCGTCGATAGCGTTCTGCAAAAAGACGATGTAGTCCACACCTTTGGTGAGGATTTGGCCTTTATTCGGCTTGCCGTCCTTAGTGCCGGTTGCCTTGGGCTGCTCATCCGTAAAGAAGGAGTGTGGAATGAGCTTCAAGAGCTCCTGGATTTTGTCGTTGATGTTATCGCGTCTCTTGCGCTCCACCGTCTCATCGAACTTGTCTGAGGCCGTCGACGCCACCGACATTGAGCGGTGCTTCAGGTCTTTCTTGAGCGCCTTAGAAAGGGATCTCCGCACGTCCGCTGACTTGCTCAAGGATGATTCGCTGGGAGAGACATCGTTGAACGACTGCGAGATATTACCGCCCAACAAGTGAGAGTTATTGCGGCGCACATCGATGGAGCCGGAGCCGTCGGACGACTGCACAGATAAAACCCGTTCAAGGTTGAAGTCGGGAGAGCCAACGTCGGGTCTGGAGTTGGAGGGTGACGGGTTCATTGGGCGGGGAATGGATAGTTGATTGGCAAATGAGGGTTTATAGTGAGTTATCCTAAGGTGGTGACGTCTAATGCGCACAGAAAAGACCGAGGTTGCCTGCGGCTGTCTTATTCCCGGGGTACTGCTGGTTAAGACACTACTAGAGGAGTTAGGACGATTATGGTAGAGTAGTAAATGATTCAAAGGAAGTGGGCTAAGAAATAAAGACCAGCAAAAAAGTGAGCTTAATCTGAATCTATTCAAATAAATTTATGTAAGATATCTTGGGAATGTAGACGAGAATTATTAGAATGCCTAAATTTAGCTGTGATTTCGGGGGATGATGGATGGAATACCCCGTTGAAATTTGTCAACCCCAGCACCATTACCTGGCAAAAAAGACTTGTCTTTGAGGTATTTGACATAGTTTTGACTACTTCATTAAGTATACCATAGAGGCTCACCTCCATAGAAAAATTCGCCACACATTATTTGATTAATATTGATGACAATTCAGATCACTGCTCTATTATATTCAGAGTTAGATGCTCACGCCTTATATTTACAAATTTCATCTATATTCAATGATTGCTGAACGAAACCACAATACATGTCGTAATGCCTTCACTTGAGTTTCACATTTACTTCCGTTACGTATACCCCTCCAACGCATTCAACGCTTTCTGCAACCGCGAACACCCTTCATCAAATCTCGACCCATCCAAAACCATATCTGCAGTCAACCGACTCAACGCATCGACAATCTTCTCCAAGAGCACCTTTTCCTTGAGCGGAAGATCCAATGACTCAAACTCCTCGCCAATCAACGTTCCGTTGGTGGACTCCAAAATGCGCATCAAACGGTTTACTGAAAAATCTTTCTTTTTCGGCACCTTCACAGACTTGGAGCGTCGCACAGTCCCACTGGACCGCTGCTTGATCGCTGCCTCTTTCTCAGCGTTTATCACTCCCCCAGGACGCTCATCCTGACCAGGAATATCCTCAAAACCATCGTCGTAATCCACGCTCTGGATGCGCTTGACCGGCAGCATTTGGTCTGCTGACACAGACTCGGGCGAGGCCTTGAGCCTCTCTTCCAAGTCAAGGGACGCTAAGCGGGCAGCCGCAATCTTCTCTGGGGATGGTCTCTGCGGTAAAGACCTGGTAGAGCCCGCAGGCGGTGTATTGATACGCTTTGGAGAGCCTGTAGGGGCGGTTTCAAACGAATCAGCGGCAGAAACCGTGGAGAAACGCGACTCGTTTGGTGACACAAGTGTAGAACCTCTTTGTTTGGGAGGAAGCAAGACCGGCTCCACAGGGAGCGCCTGGAGGTCTCTCCGACCGGTCTTTCTATGCAAAGGTGATGTTACGGGAGAGTCCTCACTGTATTTCTTTTGGTGCAGTGGGCTGAAGGCATCAGGGACGGAGGTATCCAAATGCAGCATGCTCAGAATAACTCCACTAACAGGTCTCTGACGCGATCTGGGAGGAATGGCTGGGAGCAAACTGGTGGTGGCCGTGCGATCCGGCGAGACCGTCAGAGCGATGCGCTGTTTCCGGGTGACTGTGAGCGTTGGAAGCAGCCCTCTGGGCAACAGATACGCCGAAGATATCTCGGACCCATGGTCATTGAGGTGTGCGTAGCCGTCTTCCTCGTAGTTCTGAATGCTGCTATCGAGACTAGCAGCGAGAGATGACCGACGGGGTGTCTGGGTATACGTGTCTTTGTGATTAGGACTCGAAGCTTCTGGAACTGACTCCTGCCCCGCCTTGAAGGGAACAGGGGGAGCAGTCTCCTTGGTGCTTAGTTTCGAGACATTACGTGAAAGACTTGGAACGATGGTCAACTTGGAAACGGTGCCCTCTGGATCGGGTGTGCCAGTGCCGTAGATTTGCTGGATAGGAACCTCCGTAAGGTCTTCCACAACACCTGAGTACTGAGATATCATCGAGTCTCTATTACCGTGCTCCTTAACAAATGAACCGGAGTTCCTTTTTCCGAGCTTACCGTCAGAAGAAAATCCCGGTGGTGGTAGCACGGTATCTGAGTCGACTGAAATACCCAGAAACGGGGCCTTCATCTGTGAGTCGCTCTGCGAGTGATTAAGATGCAGAATGCTCTTGTACGAATCAGATACGGTCTTTGTCTGGATCAGCTCGGGGGGATCTCTGCTATTTTCCGCATCTGACATCTCTTTAGGGAGTGGGGCTTGGTCTGGCCTCTTTCCTAGCTGTAATGGTGGGGTTTCCGTGGATGATTGTTCGGGAATCAGCTCATCAGACTCCAGTTTGATTTGGACAGGGTCTTGATTCGGTGGGTATGAATCTTCACTCATAGTTTCTTTTTGGTAACTTCTGTAAGGTGTACCTGTGTTAGAAGTCTGAAGTATGAATGATTCAAGCACACGCCTGAAGGTGTTTCTATATTTCAACCAGATGTATCAGGATTTGGCTGGTGTATGCACGCATAACACGAACAACAAAGGTAGTTTAGCCATTATTTATGTTTTTCCCGATACAGTGCGTACAATACAGTGCGCCGTCTGAGACTCTTTTTATTAACGGCGTAACCACATGCAAGTGAAAGAATAATTGATTTTTGTATAGAAGACGCGGGTGTTTCTAAGCTAGATGCTGCCTGTCCGAGCTGGGCTTCTAGTTGACTCTGATGGAGTGTTTTCCATAACATTGCTAGACCCTATATACCCGATTCTAAATCGTGGCGAGCTTAAATTTAGAACTAAAAATTGAATCTCATATTTGTACACTAGAAACAGATATATGTACATATATAACTATCTCTGAGTAGGTTTTGGTAAGAATAATGCTTACACGTGCTACTTTCATAGTTGTATAGATACCAGATATATGCACATGACCCTTGGAAGGGTCACTCTGCATTTCCAGAAGGAAAGAATTCGATCATAAGGTTAACTGGGAGTGTGATAGGTGCATTACCTAACATGTCGGTATTACACATTTCAGGAATTTACTCAACATTTCAAGCAGTAAAAAGTGAAGAGGTACACAGATCCAACCTGTACAACTGTTAGTCAAAGAGGGAGGGCCTCAGTTCAGAAACCAGCAAAAGCTTCTCACAGATGACCTTATTAAATCCCACTAGGCTACAGACAAACATATTAAGCATTAGAACTATACCTATGAGATTGGGAGCTTATGCGCAACCTTTAAGTAAATGTCTCTTTTTTTTTTTTTTTTTTTTTGGTTCTCCTTGATAATGTATTTGCAAGCATTTTTTACTTATTCAGATTATCCTTAATTTGGAATTTCTAAGGCTAAACAAATGTATCCTCAACCTGGAATCATACTTATCTGCCTGATGGCCCTCTCGAAGAGTACTATGTGTTTATAGCCTCAGGCTACGAAATTCCTTCACTTCTTCCCGTACCTTTTGCGTTTCTGCGCGCATGCACACCCTCCTGCATACACAGTGAAATTTCTCTAACCTCTCCACTCCCTCTCGTCTTCATCCCCATGAAGCCTGCCTATAAAGCACTCCAGGGACCCCTCCTCTCCCGCTTCCTCTCTGTGAAATCCAAGCGTTACACCATCCAAAGTATGTTCAACAACCGTGAGGGTACCAAGAAGAGCCCGGAGAAGCAGGAAACTCGGAAAGGTGAGGGTGAGAACCCAAGAAAACGCTTCATCAGCGGAATCGTGAGAGACGAAAACGGATTCAAGATGCGCCGCCAGGCGATTGACTCGCAGAATCTCGTCGCCTCAGAGCACTTCCAGACGGGTTCGCCGACACCGGAAGCCCAGACGATGCCGCTGGACAAGACCATTCTCCAGGAAGAGCAGGAGGGCGCAAACTACGTAGTGGAAGGATCCGTCCGCCGGATTACACCGTACTACTTCACATACCTCACCTATTGCAAGTTGCGTTGGAGAGACCGCAAGTTATTAGACGTTTTCGTGGACGAGTTTCGCGACAGAGACGAGGAGCACTACCGCGAGGCGATATCCCTGGGCCGTGTGTTCCTCAACGACAAGGTTGCGAACTTAGACTCTATTATCCGCAATGGGGATCTCATCAGCCACAGAATCCACAGACACGAGCCACCTGTGACGTCTAGACCGATCAGGATAGTTCATGAAGACGCGGATATCATTGCCATCGACAAGCCGTCGGGGATTCCTGTGCACCCGACTGGCCGCTACCGCTACAACACAATCGTGAAGATTTTTGAGGTGGAGAAAGATCTCAAAGTGAACCCGTGCAACCGCTTAGACCGTCTTACGAGTGGGCTCATGTTCTTGGCCAAGACTGCCAAGGGTGCGGATAAGATGGCGGAAGCGTTGAGAAACCGTGATGTTGCAAAGGAGTACGTCGCACGCGTTATTGGCGCGTTTCCTCTCGGTGAGATTTCTGTTGATAAGAAACTCAAGACGATCAACCCTAAGATTGGGTTCAACAAGGTGGATGCCGACGGGAAGGAGTCGCGAACAACGTTCAAGCGTATCAGCTTTGACCCAAAGTCCAACACTTCCATTGTCAAATGCAAGCCGTTCTCCGGCAGGACACATCAGATTAGAGTTCATTTACAGTTCTTGGGGTATTCGATTGCCAACGATCCTATTTACTCCAACCCAACGGTCTGGGGTGATAACTTGGGGAAGGACGGTGTGTGTGACGTTGAACAGGTGGAGAGGGAGCTCTCTAAGATTGGAAAAACAGAATCAGCACGTTCTTGGGCCCATTTGGACTCCAAGGGTGAGGTTATAAGCGGTGAACGCTGTCCCGACTGCAAGATTGAACTCTATACAGATCCTGGTCCCAATGACTTGGATCTCTGGTTGCATGCCTACAAGTACGAGGCTTCTGATAGATCGTGGTCTTACAAGACGGAGTATCCAGATTGGGCCTTGAAATCCCACTTGGAGTATATGGAAATGGCATTGGAAGAGGCCCAGAAGTGTGAGCCTACCACTGCTGCCTTTTCCGTCGGTGCAGTTTTGGTACATAACGGAGAAGTTATTTCAACCGGGTTTTCCCGCGAGTTACCGGGAAATACACACGCCGAGCAGTGTGCATTGGAAAAGTACTTTGAGCGGGAGGGTACACGCACCGTGCCGTCGGGCACTGTCATTTATACCACCATGGAGCCGTGTTCCGAACGCTTGAGTGGGAACATGCCGTGTGTGGACAGAATCTTGGAGACTCCCGAAATCCAGACGTGCTTTGTCGGGGTCGTGGAGCCGGAAACATTTGTGAAGAAGAATGTGGGATTGGAAAAGTTGAATGCTGCGGGTGTTGAGTACATCCACATTCCTGGATATGAGGCAGAGTGTTTGAAGGCTGCCTTCAAGGGGCACCCGGAGGAGGCCAAAGGAGCCGAAGCGGTTAAAGAAGCCGAAGCGGTTAAAGAAGCCGAAGCGGTTAAAGAAGCCGAGTAGCGGAAAAGGTATCATAGTGTATTAATATGCATTAATAATTATTTCATATTGAGAGAAGAATTTAGTGCCTAAAGATGCATATGAACGGTTTAATATATTATATCGTGGCAAAAATAATTAATCGTTTTTCTAAAGAATAGAATGCGAAAGGAATAGGTACGGGGCTCTTGGATAGAAAAGATACTGAAAAACCGCCACAGAATTATGGTACGCTACCTGTCAAATCATAGCATCAGAATACTGCTTTCGCTGTGAAGACGCGTCTTGTTGAGGAGTCTCCACAGGAATATCTTTAATGATGTATCTGTAAACATGCAAACCTTTGTGAACCACAGAACTTTCCTACTTTAGTACAATTTCAGTTCTGCAATCGGAAGAAATATACCTTTACGTTTCAATCTTTCCTCCTTAACTATATACACAGGACGAACTTTAAACATTCATAATGGTAAGTTGTCCAGCTGAGTTGTGACTGACACCATTGATCTTGTACCCCAATTCGGAGCCACACCCAAACACACCGTCTAAGAAAATCTCGTTTCCCTCCTCATCGGCAGCGCAATATCCGGTCTCTTCGAAGCTGCACTCAAGCGCAAACTGGTTGATGTAGCTTTGGTGGTCGACAATTTTACTCGTAGGCTTCTTGTACCGCGTTTCCGGCTTTAACATGAGAAACTCCACCTGCTGGCCTTCCTTCAAGCGGGCTTCTGGCAGGATTGCAAGAATGTTGGCTTTGGCCCCCCAGCCCCCGCCCCCGGCGATGACCTTATACTGTAGGTGGTTTCCGTCTCCGGCGGTTTCCAGGTCGTGAATACGCACATAGACTTCGGTTTCCTTTGAGGCCAAGTTCATCAACTTTTCACAGCTTTCCAAGTATGCCGACGCGGATTTTCTGTTAATGGTTTTGATCAAGTTGGTATTGCAGTCTGTGATAATCAACTTATCTTCCAAAGTGTACAACGGCTCGAGGTTATCGCTGGCCGTGAAGCCGTGGGAGGCAGTGGTTTCCAACACAGGTAAAGTAACAGAGAGATCCGCCAATATGTGACCAGAATCCTCCAATCTGGTTTGGAGTGACTCTGGCTGCAAGTAGAAGAGGGTGAGGAGGTGGGAGTCATGGAAGACGGTGTTGGCTAACGGCAAACTGAGTGTGTAGGACTTCGCATCGGTAAACGGGACGGTAATTGTGAAGCTGGATTCGATAAGTTTCCAGTGCTTCTTGGCACTGACCGGGTTCAAGCCGTCGCTTTCCTTCGGCGGTGTGTGTAAATCGTCCTTTGTTTCTAAGCGGATGGAGTCCGCAATAGTCATATACTGATCGAACCACACGGCTGCGATTCCGTTTCTGGTGAAATTTGGTGCAATGGAGTCACAAGATGCAGCCACAATTTGTATTTCAGGATGGGTCTGGTGCAATTTGAGCGCTGCGTTGAGGAGCCCAGGCGTGTTTTGCGGGGTCGTGACTACTAAGAGCGACTGGGGCTTGAAACCCTGTGGAAGCGCACGACTCACAAAGTTAATAGTTTTGGGACGAATTATGGTCTGAAACACTGCCTTTGCAGTTTTCATACCGTGGAGAGACATTTTAGCGAATAAATCAATGGAGTACTGGAAGTGGGATGGAGGTTATGGGCAACATGGGTTAGTGAAAAAAAGATATATGATAATATCCTGCGTGGTGTAAGATCTTGTAGCATAGCTAGCCTTAGAATTGAAAATATCAACTAGAGTATTCAGATTTAGTATCAGTCAGACACCATTCTTCTTTTTCCGAATCTACAAGCTACCCTAACTCATTTAGATCCTTCAGGTTCTGACAAATCCGTATTTTAAAATGTCTAATGAGCCATATTAAAATATATAAACGTAGTGAGATAGGAAACTGTAATAAATACACGAGGAAAAGGATTATAGATACTCTAATCGCACGGGATGAATGATCCAGATTTGTAAACCGCCAGCAATAATTGTACGATCCCAACAGAAGGGGATTAAACCCTTGATATAAGAGCGACTCGGCTATAACTTGGAACAACCAGTATAGATAGAGCATATTCCACCATTTCCAGAAATATACATCACTTCTATGACCACATATTAATTAGACTATAATAAAGTTGGGGCTATGGCCATTAAAATATGATCTGGGTCTCAGCTCATGTAGTTTAATATACTAAAAAGACGGACCAAGCTCCCAGATTTAGTGTCAATAGTACATGTCTCCAACAGAACCATTATAGCACAGGAGCGACCACGTGCTTGACACACCCTGCAATATCTCCTGCATTGAACACCAGATTTCCTGCCTGAGGCCACGATATTATAAAAAAGTTAAGCCCTTTAAGCTACGTCTATGTTGCACCTTATATTTAGCAAACACCTGGCGTATGACCCTAGCAACACAGAATGGTGCTTCCTCAAGTCTTAGAGCCGTCGCCACGCACGCCGGAGATGCATGAGGACCTTCAGGGGGTGTTTGAGTTCGAGCTTGATACTCCCAGACGGCGCTCGTCCTTGCTGACGCTTGTGCAAAAGCTCTCCGGGATGCACACTACGGAGCTTTCGGACCCACGGAGCCGAAAGTCATCGTTGGTGCCAGTCTATGCTGCAAACAGGCGTCGCTCTTCGCATCTCCGGCGTTTCAGTGTTAGCAGCGCTGTATCGGGCCTCAGCATCGAAGACTACAGCCACCATGACCCCGATTCGGCGGTGATCGAAGAGGACGACGAAAAGGTCACCATGGAGCGCTTTGTGCCGATCAAGGTATTGGGGCGCGGTGCGTACGGTAAGGTGATTCTCGTGCGCGATGCCGCGAACCAGAAGTTGTTCGCATGCAAGCAGTTGAAAAAGGCAAGCCTCATGGTGGGAGCGACTGCCACGCGCACGATGGCGGAGAAAAATATCCTAGCCTCGATTCTGCACCCAAACATTGTCAAACTCTTTTACGCGCTCCAGGACCAGGACAAGTTGTATTTGATCTTGGAGTACATTCCTGGCGGCGAGTTGTTCATGCACTTGCAAAACAAGCAGCTATTGGCGGAAGATGTGGCATCGTACTATGCGGCGGAAATGGCACTCGCATTATATCATCTCCATAGGGTGGGTGTCGTGTACCGCGACTTGAAACCGGAAAACTGTTTGCTTGACGCGCGCGGCCACCTTGTGCTCACTGACTTTGGGTTGTCAAAAACATCCGTCGATGATGAAAACAGCTGCAAGTCTATTATTGGGACCCCAGAGTATATGGCACCGGAGGTGCTTCGTGGCGAGGAGTACAGCTTTCCGGTGGACTGGTGGTCCTTGGGAACTGTCATCTTTGACATGATGAGCGGCAAGCCGCCGTTCACCGGCAACAGCCATAAGGCTATTTCCGACAAGATCCTCAAGAATAAGATAAAGTATCCGTTCTACTTCTCACAGGATGCGCAGGACATGTTGAACAAACTTTTGAACAAAAACCCCTCCAAGCGGTTCAAGGTGGACGAAGACTTTGAAAAATTTAAGCAGCATCGGTTCTTTCGCAAAATACAGTGGAAGCAGTTGATCGGTCAGGACCCGGCTGTGGAGCCGCCGATCGTGCCCATCATCACCGACCCAATTCTTGCTGAGAACTTTGACCCACAGTTTACCGACATGAAGCTTAGCTCGAAGGGGATGGATATTGCCGTGCCGGAGGAAGTGGGTGAGGACTTGTTTAACGGTTTTTCATTCACCGCTAGCGGAAGTTTTATGGAAAGGTATTTGTAGCCTGGTGCTTCACCCTGGAGCTATACCCTGGAGTTCAGTGCTAGGGTTTAGAGTAGCTCTATGTCACATTTGAAACGAGGTTCAGGAAGCTATACCATTTTTGATGAATTGAACAATTAGGCATCCAGTATCACGTTAGCATATTTTTTTTTTGAAAATCCTGAGGGTTGCAGGTAAGTCCTAAAGTAGAATGATGCGACTAAAACTAATACGCAGTGTGAGTTCATAGTTTATAGGTACGATACACCGATATTTATACCAGGACGGATGTCTTGTAGACGAGCGGACCGTAGCTTCTAAAGTGAGATAAGACTGAGGCTACTAACAGTATCGTATTTAAAGTATTGAAGAAATAGAAAATTATCGACACATAATATGTTACGCCATTTTTAGTGCCTTTTAGCTCTTCCAACCTACTCTTTTCTTTGAATATGTCATGGACTCAAGGAAACTTCCCATACTTAGAAATTTTATATAGACGGCCGTTCCCAGAGAGCTAACCGCTGGCTCTCTCCCTTGTACCATACACCATAAACACATTATAAAAAAGCAGTTTCATAATTGATTAATGTCCTTTAGGGCTGGGTTGTTCAACAATACCACTAATACTTCAGAAATTAAACTTGGCCTTTATTATTGATGGTCATGCATATGGCCTTTAACTGTTGGTGCGGCTCATTCCATTTTCGATACCTTACCTGATTCCTTTTCAAGACTTGCTCATCATCCTCGTCCGCACTGTAAAAGCATAGAAATTGTTCCAGACTTACTAGGTCAATATACTTCTTCTACATGCCGTCTGTGAACTACATCCAGGGTGATTTGTTCACTAAAGCTCCCCAGCGGTCCATCCTTGCCCATGCGTGCAACTGCCAAGGAGCCTGGAACGGAGGCATTGCTGTCACCTTCAAGAAACAGTTCCCTTCCACCTACGCAAAATACCAGGCCTACTGCCAGAAGTCCGATGCGAGGAAGTTACTTGGCACAACCTTGATCATTCCCTCTACCCCCACAGACCCGGGTAACCACTCGCCAGAGCTCCAGATCGTGGCGTGCTTGTTTACGAGTTCTGGCACCAGTGCGAATAGAAGCCCGGAAGACGTTATTGTGACGGCGACGGAAAAGGCCATGGAGGATTTATACAGACAACTTGCCCAGAACGAGGAGTTGTGGGATAACCTTGGGGTAGAAAGTATCGCTGAGCTCGAATTGCACATGCCTAAGATCAACGCGGGGTTGTTTGGAGTTCCCTGGGGGAAAACTGAGGCAATATTGGAAGCTTTCCCGATCCAGAGCAACGTTTATGTTATTGCGGAGTAGGGACTTTGTTTCCACTTGAATCTGATTCGGTGGGAAGTCTACAAGCGTAAATCCACTTGTACCGGTTAAAGAAGTAGTCTTCGAGATAACCTCAACATTTCCTAACCTTTGAACAGTACCCAGGGTTGAAAACAAGCACTAACATACGGAGAAATTTATAAATAGCTAGGTTATGACAGGTTATATCTAGGCGATGAGTGCTTCTCGTAACACAAACATGCAAACTTATCGTAACGGTAGCCCCTAAAAAGTGTACACATAGACAGTTAGTAGACTATATAATGAAAATTACAGTATGGTTGCGGCTAACATCATGAACCTAGCACGGTTCATGGCTTTATAAGCTATACAGCTGTTGTAACGTATACTATCATTTTGAGAAGTTTTTCAAAACTTTTTATCGAGCCCTGTCTCGCATTTCGAAGCAAAACATATAAGCTAATCTTTCACAAAAAATATCTCTCAATTAAAGTCTTTGATTAATATCTAAGACTAATTTCCGAGCTTTTTCCCAATCAAGATCTTATTCTCTTAAACATTTTTGTATCAACAGCGATTAGCATCGCGGCAGCTATGTACCGGACAACCGCGTGACGCGTCTGAAAAACGAGTTATAAAAATGTAACATAATCCAAAGTAATCCCCTTTCTCCTTCCTCACACACACGCGATGACAGAAAGAACCACCGAAAACTTGCCCTGGGTCGAGAAGTACCGCCCTACCACTCTAGAAGATGTTTATGGCCAGCTGGATATTGTATCCACCGTGAAGCGCTTTGTGCACGAGGGCCGCTTGCCACACCTTTTGTTCTACGGACCGCCAGGGACTGGGAAAACATCCACGATTATCGCGTTGGCACGTGAGATCTACGGTGCAAACTACAAGTCGATGGTTTTGGAGTTGAACGCGTCGGACGATAGAGGGATTGACGTGGTGCGGAACCAAATCAAGAACTTTGCGTCTACCAGACAGATCTTCAGCCAGGGATTCAAGCTCATTATCTTGGACGAAGCAGATGCAATGACGTCGGTGGCACAAAATGCATTGAGACGCATCATTGAGAAGTACACGAAAAACACGCGTTTTTGTATTTTAGCAAACTACGCGCATAAGTTGAATCCCGCGTTGTTGTCGCGGTGCACGCGCTTCCGGTTTTCACCACTCTCAGAAGACGCGATCCACGAGCGTGTCAAAAACGTCGTGATTCGCGAGCATTTAAGCATTCAGGACGACGCATTGCACGCGTTGCTTAAGCTTTCTAAAGGAGATATGCGTAAAGCATTGAACGTGTTGCAGGCGTGCAAGGCCGCATCCCTGTCGTTGGACTCTAATGAGAAGGATGAAGAGATCACCGCGGAGATGATCTACGAGTGCATTGGTGCACCGCATCCGCAGGACATTGAAACGGTTTTGTCGTCGATTATGAAGGACGACTGGTCTACCGCGTACATGATTTTGACCAAGATTAAACAGATGAAGGGGTTGGCACTTGTTGATTTGCTTCAGGGTTTTGTGGAGCTCTTGGATGGTGTGGAATTGCAGCCCAAGACCAGGATCGGAATTTTGAAGGGTTTGGCCGAGATCGAGTACGGGATTTCCAAGGGAGGCGACGAGAAGATTCAGAGCACCGCAGTGATTGGTGTGGTGAAGAGTTCCATGGAGAATGAAGCGTAGTCTGCGCCAAATGTCTGCGGCAGTGGGTACTGCAAGAATAATGGCGCGAGCCTGCCGTTGCAACAAGTTGTATAGTAAAAGTAATGCAAAGGTAACTGTGAAGTTAATTGATGGGAAGGCGAAAAAAATTGTAAGGTTTATTGCGATAATTTGTGTAGTTGCATGAAAATGAACAAGGATTACTGGCCATTCCCTGTGTGTGCACCTCCAACCCGTACCAAGCTGCTCACTTTCATCAATACCTGTAAAGGGTATACCTCAAGAAATATCTTGACCAAATTAGTTCATAATATGAGGGAAATGGTGCATATACTGCCGTATGTGATGGTCAACTAAATTTCGTAGTAACACTACCTAACAATGACAATGTGATAGAGTAAGCGAAAATAAATCAATACGCCAGATATATTGACGATCCATGTAATCGCAATGGAACAGATTTTCTCATCTCGTTCAGACTTGCTGCTCCCATTCATTCCTTCCACAAGACGTTGCTATTCGAAGATCCCTGGTAGGAAGCTGACCATTATGCTTTACTAGTATTAGTATGTAGTAACGTGTAGATATTACGTCTAGCAGCTAGGGGTTTTGGATGGATATCATACAGTGACGAGATCTGAGAGCTCAGAAAACTGAGAAAAGTGTACCTAAGGGGCCAGGACCATCTTAGACGCTGTCATTATTTGACAAAGCAATATTGAATAATTTTAGCAGTTATGTCTAACCAGTCTTTGGGTAACAAGCTACCGTCAGTGACGATCGTGGCAAGTGCGGCGCATAATCCCAATCGGTACTTCCGAGACGGGTATATTTTCTGCCGGATGTCTACGTTTTTTTTCAATCACTCTTCCTATATTGATCCGATAAAGAAGCACCAAACCAGACCATGTCTCCCGTTACTCTTTCCTTCCCTCAGTTTCCTGAGTGCTCAGTTCATGTCACTGTGTGGTGTAAAATCTCCAATACGGCCGCTATTAAACAACAGTTGATGGAAGGGAACCAGAATTACGGTCACTTTGCCTTCATCAACAGCGATATGGTCACCAGCAAGGCGCATCTCTACTCGGCAATCTACCGGACGTTAACCAACCAGGTTAACGGTACTATGACGTCCAGAAATTTGAACAGCGAAGCCACTATCTCGCTCTCCATGAACAACAAGAAGATCACCGACAACTTGAAGAAGTTTGGGATAAACGAGCATAGTGAGCGTATCATCGTGTTGGAGTTTTTTGAGGAAAATGGTGTAGATCACTGTGATTCGTTGAAAACATTGATCGAGGGCGAAGAAGCCGAGTTTACGGACGCATTTTTAAGAGCACACATCAATTGGGGTGAGTTGATAAAGGTGTACAAATTGGACAAGAACAAGGAAATGTACTACAAGGAGGAACAGAACCGTGAGGAGCTCTTCAATGTGTTGAATGGTTCCATCCAGTTAAATGGGTTTTGAGGGGGGTTGGAGTGATCGGGAGAGAGAGTGGTTATTCGATGAAATCACGATAATAGTCGGTGAAACTCAGCAAATGTGGTTCAAACATGTCCAAGCTCCTTTATAATAACCAAACTTCACGAATTGTATAATATGAAAATGAGATAAATCAATGATGAAACTACGCTGAAAATTCACAACGATCAGAAGTACCTCTCTTCGCCTTGACTATAAGCTTGGAATACCCCTGAACTAGTGACGGAAGCTTGGAACTGACTTTTTTTTACCTCTTTCTGTTAATTTAAGGGCAGATAGATCTCTTGTAAATGCTAATTTCCCCTACCTTACTAGTTAATGCCTTAGTACCACCACAAAATCTGGACTTGAATGCATAATTATCTTCTCTTAATACACTACACGCTAAATACAGATGTTGCATGCCCTCCTCACCCGAAGCGTATGTAGCGGCTTCCCTCACGAACATGCGCACTGCGGCTCGGAAATCCAAGGCCACACCATTGTCTAACAAATCCTGGTGGTCCATTTTTCAATTATATCTCCACGTGCATGCCCATAACAGGCTTATCGATACACTATACTTCAGTATATCTTTTCGCACTATGCCACCACTGGAATCTCCTCTAAGGATAATGCCCGATGAGACAGAATCTTACCAGGAGACACTTGAATCCCCAATCGGCGACTCTGCGTTTCCCACACCTGACAGCGTGTGGAGAGACATCCCCGAGATAGAAACTGCTGAATCAGTATGGGCTGATATTTCACACAGCTCGAATCCCACTGCAACTTGGGACGATGCCATTCTAGCGCCTGCCAGAGATGTATCGTGGAACGACACATTGTCAGAGCAAGGTTCTGGAGAAGCGTCTGGCTTCTCCACTAGAGCCGTGATAACAGAGGTTTCCGGGGGAAAGGTGACTGAAAATGAGACATTATCCCAAGAGAGCTCCCCAATTGACCTCCGAGATGCAGATGAATCGGCAGAAGACTCCCAGCACGACCGTACAACAAAGCAAACAGATGCGGACAACACAGAAGATATAGACGGCTCAGTCAGACCCGGTGCAGAAAATCCCCCAGTTTCCATGGAGACACTACGTATAGGTTCCCAATTAGCAAGAGAGGTCTCAATCCCTGTGATAGAGGATTCTGGCGATGCTGTAGGTGACGAAACCTTCCCAGGGTCGGCATTCGAGCTATCCGTACCCGAACCAACACCAAAGGAAGCGTCTGATGCGATGACAATTGAGAATCCTAAGGAAATACCATTCAGACTATTTACCGAAGCCCGGGACGCGACCCTTGACTCGGCAGCCCTTGACGTGTCATACTACCTAAAAAAGATCTTTAGTGACTCCGAAACTCTGTCGTCTACAATGAATGTCGCTGCGTATCCTGAAATTATCCTCAATGTGACACCTAAAGCAAGGCGCACCACCAACAACATCCTCTACAACCACCACCACAGAGCCTTCTTCCGGCCTACCAATCAGTCCCTGGTTGTTGCCTGGAACGATACTAATCATATCAAGCGCAGAGTGACGAGCATTGCCAGAACCTGGGTGAATGCCGGGGGCCATTCGGGTGACAGCACCTCGACCAACATCCCAGCTCAGCAGGTACACTTGTTTGGTTGGAGCACTTCAGCTGGAAGTGAGCATAGTGGGGATATGAGTACTGATGGTGGCCTGTCCAGTGGGCTGGGAATGATGGCAAGAGACAGTCGTAGATGAAAATATCATAACAGGAGCTTGTACCTTTTAGGGTAACTTGACAAAGATTCGAGACCTTCACAACGATGGTTATCAAAACACGGATAATGATCAATGTATGATAACCTGGTTGTTTAGGACTATATCTACATATTTGATTATGTAGCACCTAATTCTTATTTCTGAAGGGATCACTGTCTGGTATATCAAGGCTTGGGTTCGGTGTCATGCTCAAAAATAGATACGTTCCCAATGGTTTAACACAGCTCTCCGGGACCAAGTAGTTCTAAAATAGATATCATGGCCTGTACGGTGAGTAACTAAACACTTAACAGTTATAAGAATAAAGTAAACTGTTTATTTATCTCCCAAGTTAGACATTATGTGCAACAAAACAGATAGCTAGCCTTAGATGGGTACTCCTTCGGGTGGTTCAGATCGTGCAAAGGTACGTGTAGTTGTATTAAGCACTCAGTGCCATTCAGGGGTCCAGAAGCTAAAAGGGTGTTTTACCCAGAGAAACAGTTTGATTGTATTGGTATCTGGAACTGCTCCCCTTGTACCTCTGTCTAGTTAACCCGTGTCTGACTTCCTTCACTGATTACATAATGGTATATTAAAACATGTCACTCAAAACGACCCCATGTGAAGCACTTCGTAGCTTTAAACAAGTGATATTCATAAAAGCTAATACTTTCATCAGCTATACAGTTTTATTGATATATTTATAAACTTTGCTTGCCAATTTTCGCCATCGTATTGTGTCCGGGGACACTCTGCCTTTTCCTGCTCTGTCAATGAGCTAACAAATCTGCACGGCAAACACCGAGACGCTCGCGGCTTAGGTCCAGAAAGTGCTTACGCACCAGAGTCACATATTTACGTCATTCACACCTCAACACAACCACTCCTCACAGTTCTTCTTCACCTTGTATAGATGACAGGAGTCCAGAAACCAACCCATAGCAAATCAGGCAGCGATGGTCCCGAGCTCCAGAACACTTTAACCGGTCGTCTTCTAGAGAAACTCGACCACGACATCCAGGAAGTGAACTACAAGAAGACTATCGCAAACCTCACCAATACCGCAAAAGAGATGCCTACATCCATGTCAGAAATTACCTGCGGCAAAGGTGAAGAAACCGTGCCTCCGATGGAACCTATTCACGCGGTTCTCGAATACAATATTCCGCTCGAAACGCCGGTGGGCGAGTGGACTGGCACCAAACTCGCGACATACGACACTGACTCGTTCCGACAGTACGAACTTGCTGCGGACCGTGTGCGTGACTTTTATGCCGAACAACACACCAATCAGACAGTTGCCTACAATATCCAAGCGCGCGTCAACTTCAAAACTAAGACCCGTGCGAAGATGACCATCTGGGAGGCCCTCTGCAAGCTCAACACATTGCTCGACGAGTCTGATCCGGATACAGATCTTTCCCAGATTGACCATGCGTTGCAGACGGCAGAGGCTATTCGTGCGGATGGCAAGCCGCGCTGGATGCAGCTCGTAGGGCTTATTCACGACTTGGGAAAACTCCTCTACTTCTACGACTCTAAGGGACAGTGGGATGTGGTCGGCGATACTTTCCCCGTGGGATGTGGTTACAGTAACAAGATCATCTTCCCTGAAAGTTTTGCAATGAACCCAGACTCGCGAAACCCGTTGTACCATACAAAGTATGGCATTTACTCGCGCAAATGTGGCTTGAAGAATGTGATGTTGAGCTGGGGCCATGATGAATATATGTATCATGTGGCGAAGCTCCATTCAACGTTGCCGAAGGAAGCGTTAGCGATGATTCGTTACCATAGCTTTTATCCGTGGCACCGTGAAGGGGCATATAAATACTTGATGGACGAGGAGGATGCCGAAATGTTGCTGTTTGTGGTGGATTTCAACAAATACGATTTGTATTCGAAGCGTGATGAGATACAGGACCTTGAAATAGTGCAAGAGTACTATAAGAATTTAATCGACGAGTTCTTCCCGAATAAGGTGGTGGAGTTTTAGCGGAATGAAAGCGTACTCTCGTGCGGTTTCTGAATGGGGCTAACGGACCATATTCCATGGAGGCCAGGAAATATCTTTCGAATATATTAGACCAGATAAGTGTCTCAGGGGCCTGGTACGTCGAAAGTTAGCCGTCGCTATCGCTTCAGACTGGGATACCGATATCCTTGAAGTTGTATTTGAATCCAGGCTATCCTACCCAAATCACACCAGCGATAGGGAAAAAATGGGCCAAAAATATTTATTTGGCCTTTGTTATCCACTATTTATCATGATAACATATTGTCCCGTTTAATCTTGATATTCCAAACTCGGGCTGTAGTAGTCCTGGAGAGCTGGGCTAATCAATGGAATATTCAAATTTGAAGCATATTACAATGGGTTTAGACCAGCTATTTAAAGATTTATCTATTGTAATCGGTTATTGAAAGAAAAAGTGAAACCAAAAGAAATTATGGTTAATATGCGAGAGTAGCAAGCTTCTGTACGAAGCAAAACTTGGTATGGGGTAAGTAAGGTGGGGTTCAAAACGAACGCTGACGCTGTAAAATGCAGTGTCGGACTAGTGTACAAGGAAATGCAGGAATTGGGGGGGGGGGGGGTGGGGTGAGCGACTCAAAGTTTAGTACTGGTCAATGGCACCAAAGTATTGCTCGACATTGTATGGGCCCGGAGACTTCCACATGTCGTTGAAGGTGGTCAAAAGGGTAGCATCACCATTAACGGCACCCAAGATACCTGCAATAGCGATTCTCTGGTTCGCTTTGGATGGAACTTGCAAACCGTTAGTGTCACCTTGGGTTGGATAGCCGGTTTCAGCAAGGTAGACACTCAAGTTTGGACACACAGCTTGGACAGTGGAGATTTGGGAGAGGATAAATTCACCAGACTGGGAAGCATCGATAGCAGCATCGAAGTATGGGTGAGCGTTCAAGCCAAGGAAGTCGACAGCGCCACATAAGTCGGAGTTATCGACCCATGATTGTGGTGGTTCGGAGGTGGTGACTTTACCAGTGTAGCCAGCTGCCTTCAATAATGCTTTGACGGATCCAATCTTGTTGATCAAGTCGGTACCGGAAACCCAGTTGTTATACAAAGCTTCATTACCAACAGTGATGAAGTCAAACAAGGCCCAACCGGAAGAGGAAGACTCAACCCAAGAAATTAACTCAGACACACCGTCGTCGATAGAATCAACACCGGCAGATGTAATATAGAACCCCTGATTGATAGTAAGGCCCAAGGTAGCACAAATTGGCTCAACAGTCTGGATGGAACCGCAGTCAGTACCGTAAATTCTGACTGAGTTAATCCCCTTAGACTTGATCATGTTAAGATCGGCGTAAACGGTGTTGTAAGACTTACAAGATCCATCGTCATTGTAAGGGGAGTACACAATCTGCTTTGGAAGCATTAAGGAAGATGAGGTAGTGGGAGAATTCTGGGCGGTAGAGGTGGTAGGAGTTTGAGTGGTGACAGCAGGGGTTTGAGTGGTGGCAACAGGAGTTTGAGTGGTGACAGCAGGGGTTTGGGTGGTGACAGCAGGAGTTTGGGTGGTGGAAACAGGAGTTTGGGTGGTGACAGCGGGAGTTTGGGTGGTAGCAGTAGATGTGCCAGAGTTAGTGACACCCAAAGTCCACGATTCAGTGATAGTGGTAGTGAGAGTAATACGGGAAGTGGTAGTAAGTTCGTCGGATTCAATAGCAGCGGTTTGGAGAGTAGCTGGCGCCGTGACAGCAGCAGTAACAGCGGCTTCAGTAGCTACAAGAGCGACAGTAGCTTGTGTAGAAACACTATCGAGATCTCTGTTCTCAATAGTGGTGGTGTAGGTACCTTGGAAAGTAGCATCAGGAACAGTGAGGGTGAAAGTGACACCGTTTGAGATGAGAATCTCAACTGGAGCACCGGTAACAGTGACAGTATTAGAGACGTAGGTATTGGTAACGGTAACAGCGTCAGCTGTGTGCATTCTCGTGATAATTATTGGGATTGGGGCCGCGTTGGTAAGTTGAGCAACACCCAAAAGGATGAGCGAGAGGGTTTTCGTGAAAAACATTTGGTATGAGTTTCTAAAGATTTATTGGGGACAACGAGAGTATTGTGGGTTAAGAGACCAGTAGTCTATGGAGTTTTTGTGATGGTATATGAGAAAAGAATCGTGATGATTGAAGACAGGGAAACACGGCTTATATAGCCTTGGCATTTGCAGTCGGTGATCGTCGAAGAGATGGGTAACATATTAGGGAAAAGCTAAATTGTAGCCCAGCCATCTCTATTGTACCTATAAGGCGTATCATAATGACCATAATGATCGTCACTAAGACATAGCTGTTGAATATGGTACTACACACCCTAGTGTATTCCCGTGATGGATTATCGTCTCGCTCTGATGGCAGGTGCATATGCGGATCGAGTAGTGCCCCGGTGAACATGCTGGCTATTTACACCTAGAAAGGAAATTCTCGAGCGGCTTATGCATGTTTTGATGGCTGGTCTACCAAAATTGGGCTGTTGTATGAAAACTATGTACAGGACCTAATGTTAAGGCGAACGGAGGTTTGCCGCTCTGGCCAAGATGGGTGGCCCAAGGCTCATGTTTATCCATCAAAATCTGATATAATTGGTCTATATGTTACATAAATTTTGTAAATCAAGCATTGTCATAATTACTGTAATAGTCCAGACCTCCTTATTGTGTAAATGGATGGTGTGAGCTGAGACTCCAGCCCCTGTCACGTGCCTTCCGCCTCTAGTGCTCCGAACGAACGATTATGGCGCATTTGCGTACACATTGGGACGGAGAAGTCGACCATCTGTCAGCCTCATGCGCGAAGCCGGATCTGGTCAAACAGGCCAGCCGGCGAGCTATTTGACGCCGCCCACGTCTAGATACCAGCCGACAAATATTAACCAACTAACAGGGGAAATTGTTTCACCACATCTGGACTATTTTTTATATTTCATTTACGAACAAGAACCAAGCACGTTGACGAATTGTATCCTGTGTATATTGACAATGTCCAACATATCAGGTGGCTGAAATATGGGACAACCCTTGGGTTGATTGGTTCCATAGAAAGTATATCCAGGGCAAACCAGGAATAATGGTAAAGTAGGTTTTGGCGCAACTGCAGTAATTGACGAACTCGTGAGCGTCTGCTTGTGTTTCCAAGGGATCCATGCCAGACTACCAAGCTATGTAATTTAATGGAGAGGCCGGCGTTTGTCTACATGAGGAATGCAAACCGATATTTCAAACTTTCCGTGATTAGACAAAATTTCCCCTGCAGATCTAGAAGCTGGAACAAGCATTCTGAAACCCCATAAAGAGCGGATGCTTTCCTGAAAGGCTCCGCTAACGCCTAAACTTAATCCTTATCTTAGATCCTCGGTTCTACAAGAATCCTTAGACAGTATCCAAATTTGTGAAGTTATATCGTTTACCAAGACGTGTCATTTGTAGTAGACCGGCCAGTCTTAAATCAAGTACCACCGCCGCATACTTTAGTCACGCTACACGTAGTTAAAAATAACATGGTTTAACTCTGATAATAACCATACCGAGAAAATATCAGAGCCTCTAACAGATTTGGCGGTCCGAACTAGATGTACGAAGATACGCAAATTCAGTATTAGAGGAGTCTCACATACATTCAGGAACGACTACACGATACGCATAAGGTGTCTGACCAGGCAAGCCTTTTGCTTTGATTGCTTTCAATATAACAGGGAATAAACTAATGGCTCACACTCGTGACAATAGTCGATTCAATCATGAATAAATTTCTGGCTTGATCAAGGGTGAACAACCTGCTCTAGCATCGAGGCCCTGTACATAGCGAGATGAGCTGCGATTATGAGCCGCACTACAGTGAAAAAAAAATTTCACGAGGAAAATAATTTTCAAGTACTGAGAAAAAACAGACAGTTAAAACAAAACCGCGTACGAGCTTTTAGACCCCTTTTGATTTCTTCATCCCCGATCTTAACCCACATATATCACATAATGGCTAGAACTCGCTCCGCTATCCCAGGTACCCCCGTCAAGGGCTCCAAGCCAAACACCCCCAAGGGTAAGAAGGCTGCTCCGTCCGCCGAAGTCACTCCATCTAAGACTGAGTCTGCCAACTCCACTCCGGTCAAGAAGGTCACCCCAGCCAAGAAAAATGGTTCTGCTAAGTCTACTCCAGTTAGAAAGACTTCTACCAAGCCAAAGGGTAAGGTCGTTAAGGGTGAAATCGAGGCTTCTGAGGAAGTTCCAGGTGCTCAAAAGAAGAAGCAGGTCGCTACCCCAGTTATCGCAGCTGCCCCAGTTGACATCAAGTCTGAAGTTTTGGAAACCGCCATCTCTGAATTGATTAAGTTTGTCAAGACCCAAAATACCGCTAAAGACTCCTCCAACCAGTTGTTCAGCACCGAAGACGAGGATGCCGGTATCTTTGTCAAGATCACCACCAAGAAGTTCTTCAGCGACAAACCAAACTTCAAGCCAAAGTCTATCAGGGTGCCACACTCCGTTCATGACTTGGATAATTTATCTGTCTGTTTGTTTGTTAGGGACGACTTGATTGACTCTTCCCTTTTGGAAAAGATTGAGTCTTCCGACATCAAGAACTTGTCCAAGATCATCACCGGTAAGCAGTTGAAGGGTGAATACAAGCAATACGAAGCCAAGAGAAAATTGGCCTCTGAGTATGACTTGTTCCTTGTCGATGACGCCTTGATGAACTCTGTTCCAAAAACCTTGGGTAGCATCTTCTACTCCTCTAATAAAAAGGCCCCTCTCCCAATCAAGGTCTCTTCCCTGAACAAATTGAGTGACGACAAGAAGTCTTTCTCTCTTGTCACCTTCGCCAACCAGATCGCCGCCAAAATTAATAGTACCTCTTTCTTGCCACCAATGGGTGTCAACATTGTCGTCAAGATCGGCCAGAGAACCTTGTTGGATGAAGCTGCCTTGAAAGAAAACTTGTACGCTGTATTGGCCTACTTCTTCCAAAACCACTCTGACAATTTGAGAACCATCGAGATCAAGTCTGAATCCTCCCCAGCCATCCCTATCTACTACGCCAAGACCTTGTACTCTGAAGAGGATGTTTTGGCCGAGAAGACCGTGTCCGAAGACGAGGAGCTTAGCGCCATCGATGGCGTTCCACAGGGTGTCAAGTTGACCGAATTCGAAAAGGGGTTGTTGGAATTAGGTGACGAAGCCCAGATTTCCAAGTTGGGAAAGAAGTTCAAGAAGGGTACCAAGTTGAACAACAAAAGACAGAGAGTCGAAGAGGAGAAGGCCGAAACTCTGACTCCTACCAAGAAGGCTAAGAAGTCCACTAAATAAGTGTAATGTTCTGCACTCTACCCCTTTTTCGACTTTCTGCTTCCACGTTGTATTTCCCTGTTAGAGACAACCTTGTGCCATCTCTGATATTCCTTATCGTGCTGCCTTGCTCGTGTTGTGATTTTACCATAAAAATTGCGTTTTGCATATATTTTGTATAATATTCCTTTTTGAATTGACATTCTTTCAGATAGCAAACTGTAGGGGTAGTGAGACTTAGGGTTAGAATTACAGCTGTCTTATTCATCACATCCGTTGTCCAAAAAAACAAAAACGCAACTGCTATGCAATCCAGACCAGTAAATCAGCTATGAGCTCAAAGGCTTACAAAAACATTGCGGAAAGAGTAGAACCTTTAGATGATGATACTGATTACAGGTCCAGACCTGGTTTGTATATACCTTATTGCTTAATTGCCTCGTTAATTCCTCCGGATAACTAAGTGCAACAGCTATAAGAATGTATGTCTAAGATGTAAGCTTGACGTCCAGGGTAGAGATATAGGCTATAGCTTACATCTATGTTTTACTTTACCGAGCTCAAGCACCCAAAATAGAATCTTTCAATACAACATATCACTTCAGGAATTTTTGAGGAGACCACAACTGATTCAGGTGAGACTTTACAATATCATTAATATAAATGACTAGACACCTCCAATATAGATCTATACGCGGAAGCTCTAACTGATCCTATCTAATCCTCCGTATTATGAATAATGCAGGCTTAAAGTTTTTTCTCGTTTATATTTCGATTTCCTTTTTTTTTCCGTTCAAGTTTACTATTTGTGATGCACTGACGGGAAGGCCAAGTAGCTCAAATCTTCTGGTTTGTCGTATAGTTAGAAGTTTGGGGAGACACATGCAAAGTTCAGGACTCTAGGGCGCTATAATACTGCACCTCAATGCTCGTTGCATTTACCCCAGATTAAATCAATTCTTCATATTACACCGGTTATATGTCAATCACAGACTGCAACCAAAATCTCATGTAATATTCGCTCGTCCCTGCTAACCCACCCTGTAGGCTCTGTGCATTGACTCGGAGCACATCACGACGACTGCGTGACTCCGGGCGAACGTGCCACGTCAAACACCAGGCCGAGTCAGCCAAACACTAAGGAGAATCCCCGGTCAGATCGACTCGGCGCTCCGAGTCAGTAAAGATCTAAGGGGCTACTTTCGTTGCTCCCACCACGCGTAGGAGATAAGCGTCCGGCTTCTATAATGCGCTTATTTATCTCTATACACCTTAATTAGCCTCCGGGCTATCATGCGTTACCCACGAGAGACACCACGCCATCTACATTCGCGATCCATGGTCCAATAAAGACGTCTGCAATCCCACAGGGGCTACCCTACCTCGCAATCGGGACAACGAAGCTACGAATCACAGGGGAGTGCCGGAAAATTTTTCCCCGCGTAGACGTCAGCACTGTGCGGTAAATTTCAGTGTCACGCATCTCATGATATTGCATGCAGGTCTTCGCCCTTGGTCGGAAAAAAGTATCTTACACGCAGGACTATGATTCATAATTTTTCACCTGTAATTAGGCACTAGGCCCGAGTCTGTCTTGGTAGCTTATAAATACTCTTATTCTTATCACAGTCTCTCTCTGACGTTGGCAACCACACACTCCCATCAAAATCATGTTAAGAGCCACTAGAACCCTTTCCAAGCGGTTTGTCTCGGCTGCCCAGCCCGTGAGAGCCTTCACGTCTGTCAGAGCCCTTTCCGTCTCCGCCTCAAACCTTGGGGCCAAAGTGTTGAGCGGAACCACGATTGCTAACAAAATCAGAGAAAATGCCTACACGAAGATTATTGAAACCAAGCGCCAGTTCCCGCATTTCCAGCCCAAGTTAACCATTATCCAGGTCGGGACCCGCCCAGACTCCAGTGCGTATGTGCGCATGAAATTAAAAGCAGCCAAGGAGTCCAGCATGGACTGCGACTTGGTCACTTTCTCTGAAGACGTTTCTGAGCAGGAGTTGTTAAACCACATTGAGCACCTCAACGATACTCCTTCCGTGCACGGGATCCTCGTCCAGTTGCCGTTGCCAAAGCACATTGACGAAGTCACCGTCACAAATGCCGTCATCACCGAGAAGGATGTCGACGGGTTTGACCGATACAACGCAGGTGAACTTGCCAAAAGAGGCGGGTTGCCAGCGTTCTTGCCGTGTACACCTAACGGGTGCATGAAGTTGTTGGAGGAGGCGGGCGTGGTGCTCCGCGGGAAGAACGCCGTTGTAATTGGCCGCTCCGACATTGTGGGGACCCCAGTTGCCGCTTTATTGAGAAATGCCGATGCCACCGTCACTATCTGCCACCGCCACACCAAGAACTTGGCCGAGGTGGTTAGAAACGCCGATATTGTGGTTGCAGCTGTGGGGATTCCAGAGTTCGTCAAGGGTGACTGGTTGAAGCCAGGCGCCGTTATTGTTGATGTGGGTATCAACTACATTCCAGATGCCACCAAAAAGTCTGGCCAGAAGCTTGTCGGTGATGTTGACTTCGAGGGCGCTAAACAAATCGCGTCGGTGGTCACGCCTGTTCCAGGCGGTGTGGGGCCTATGACCGTCGCCATGCTCGTTTCCAACGTACTCAAGGCCGCAGAAAGCCAGTTCAAGAAAGCCAATGCCACCTCCAAGATCACACCGCTTCCTTTGGCGTGCCGTGTGCCGGTCCCATCGGATATCGACATCTCGCGTGCCCAGCAGCCGCGCCACATCACACAGATCGCCCAAGAGTTGGGGGTCTTGAACTCTGAATTAGAGCCATACGGCCACTACAAGGCTAAAGTCTCGTTGGACTTGTACAAGCGTTTGGAGGAGAGGGAAAACGGGCACTACGTGCTTGTTGCGGGGATCACACCAACCCCGCTCGGTGAGGGTAAATCCACCACCACTATGGGGATTGTGCAGGCGTTGGGTGCTCATTTGGGGTTACCAGCTATTGCCAACGTTAGACAGCCATCTATGGGTCCAACCTTCGGTGTGAAGGGCGGTGCTGCTGGCGGTGGGTACGCCCAGGTTATTCCGATGGATGAGTTTAATATGCATTTGACCGGTGACATCCACGCGATTTCCGCGGCCCAGAACTTGTTGTGTGCTGCTGTGGATACCAGAATGTTTCACGAAGACACCCTGAGCGACAAGGGCTTGTACAAGAGATTGGTACCTGTTAAGAAGGGCACCCGTAAGTTCACCCAGTCCATGTTAACCAGATTGCAGAAATTGGGGATCACCAAAACGGATCCTAACGAGTTGACTGAAGAAGAGGCTGCCAGGTTTGCTAGATTGAACATTGACCCAGAGAGCGTGTTGATCAAGCGTGTGGTTGACTGTAACGACAGATTCGTCAGAAAGATCACTATCGGCCAGAACAAGACCGAAAAGGGCTTTACCAGAGAAACCGGGTTTGATATCACCGTTGCGTCCGAAATCATGGCTATCTTGGCCCTCTCCAAGGACTTGAAGGACTTGAGACAAAGAGTCGGAAAGATTATTGTCGGAACCTCCAGAACCGGTGCAGTCGTGACTGCTGAGGATATCTGTGTCGCTGGTGCCATTGCGGCCTTGTTGAAGGATGCGATCAAGCCAAACTTGATGCAGACCTTGGAGGGGACCCCGGTGTTTGTCCACGCGGGACCTTTCGCTAACATCTCTATCGGTGCCTCCTCTGTCATTGCCGACAGATTGGCCCTCAAATTAGCCGGTACCTTACCAGGCACTTCGGCCAGAAAGGGTTACGTCGTCACGGAAGCCGGTTTCGACTTTACCATGGGTGGGGAGCGTTTCTTCAACATCAAGTGCAGATCCTCCGGCTTGAAGCCAGACACCGTCGTACTTGTGGCCACCACGCGTGCTTTGAAGTTGCATGGTGGTGCTCCAGACGTTAAGCCAGGCCAATCATTGCCAGAGGCGTATGTGACTGAGAACGTGGACTTGGTGGTCAACGGTTGTGCCAACTTGGCTAAGCAGATTGCTAACGCCAATTCTTTTGGCGTGCCAGTAATTGTCGCCATTAATCAGTTTGAAACCGACACTGCTGCCGAGATCGAAGCCATCAGAAAGGAGGCGTTGAAGGCCGGGGCCGTCGATGCCGTGGCGTCCAACCACTGGGCCAAGGGTGGTGAGGGTGCCGTTGATTTGGCTCACTCTGTGGTCAAGTCTGTAGAAAAGTCCGACAAGACCACTCCTCCAAACTTCTCATATGACACAAACAAGTCTGTGGAGGAGAAGTTGTCCGCTATTGTCCAGAAGATGTACGGTGCCAAGGGCATTGAGTTGTCCGAATTGGCTGCCAAGCAGATTGCCCAGTATGAGCAGCAAGGCTTTGGTAACTTGCCAATCTGTATCGCCAAGACCCAGTACTCCTTGTCTCATGACCCCGCCTTGAAGAACGTGCCTACCGGTTTCACCGTGCCAATCAGAGAGGTCAGATGTTCTGTCGGGGCGGGCTACTTGTATGCGTTGGCCGCGGAGATCATGACCATCCCGGGTTTACCAACTCATGCTGGGTTCATGAATGTTGAAGTGAATGACGATGGGGAGATTGAAGGGTTATTCTAGGTCCAGGCTGTATTATATATAGATGAATTGCATTTCGATAGAATTATTGTTGTGACTGTAACACTTACTGTGTAACGATACTCGTTGCAATAGTATTTGTTGCGTTGGTAGCCAGAGGGTAGAACATAGACAGTAATAGCGTGGAGGGACCGGTATCCATCTCCTGGACTCACCCCAATAGGATATTAACCCTTCTGACTTACAGGTACATGTGGTAGCAGATCTAGAACGTAGAAATTTTCTGATTACGGTAGGGAGAATTGTGATAATTGTAGTAAAGGTGCCATTTAACTAGACGGAAGCCGGAGTCTATTGTCTCCCTACTCCTGATAAGCAGACACCCTGGCCTCGTATCCGCCTCAGTATATAAGACCACCGACTACCCTTCTCTTGTGGATATCTTACATAAGTATTCTCTTTTAGCTAGCTAACAGTATCCACTATTACCTACTAGATATACTACAATAATAGGCAGTGAGCATTAATGTTTCTGCACCGCTGACTAGGCGACAACTAGTCAGCCAACCTTCATTTAACTTTTACAATTTTTTTATCCGTAGTTGGATAGAAAGAACCGATCATTATAGAAGCTTCTCTATTGAGTTTTATTATTCACTCGACTCGAGAGTTTGTTTAAGGATACTCTACCAATGCCTTACATCAAGAGTACTTAGATTTATCAGTTCACAATAGTTTAAATCGTGTAATTTCTTCCAATTCATGTGCTTAAACAACTATCCAGGGCTAAATCAAGTAGAATTATATACATCAAATTTGAACTCATTTTTTGATCCCTGCTGAGATCGCTGTCTCAGTACAAAAAGGTCGTGTATGGTCCCGAAACCCGTCACCCTGTGCGTATACAAAAATATACCAGCCTCAATTGAAAAGTCTTATGGGTGATCTTGCAGCACACAAACGATACAAATATAATGGTATGTTATTTCACGAATGGATGAATGATCCCGGGGATATTGATGGATGCTAACAATGTTTTTAGGGTAAGAGAAAGTCCTCCGCCAAGCCGCAAGCCAAGGTCAAGCAGGTTCTAGACACCACGTTCCAGTGTCTCTTCTGCAACCACGAAAAGTCCATCATCTGCACCTTGGACAAAAGAAACTCCATCGGGCAGTTGCACTGCAAGATCTGTGGCCAGACCTTCCAGACACCACTTAACTCCTTGTCACAGCCCGTCGACGTCTACAGCGATTGGGTAGACGCCTGCGAAGCGGTCGCCGAAGAGTACGAGAAGAACAAGACCTCCAAGAGCGATAACGAGGAGGAAAATGAAAAGGGTGAAAATTATGCCGACGATGATGATGAAGATGACTACGCTTAAGCCAGTGAGTGTATGTACTATAGAATAAACGAATATGATATGGCTGTGAAGATTTGGAGTTATAAGGGAACTAAAGGTTTATTGGAGGGGATAGCATCGCTAGTTCTCCATGATATTAGGGATAGCCTCCCAATATGCCACCAGTCCAGACTGGCATCGTCTTATGAGGCTCACCAACCAATTAGGCCATATACCAGATATCGTAGAAAATAAATTTATACCTCATATAGTGGCGTACGTTGTGATACCCATAGATATTGTTTATCGTTTAGTTTGCATGTAATCTTATATACAGTAATTAGGCTCAAACAAAAATCCTTAGTTTTGTGACTACTTCTCCTGAACAGGGACAGTTGGCTGTTCACCGGATAACATGCTACCGAGAGACATCTTCTGCTGCTCCATCATCTTCTTCTCTTCTTCCAACAACTTGTCACCGTTTTCTCTCAAGTACTTCATGAAGCTTTCGTACTGCATCTGGCCTTGTTCCCTGATGACATCCAATGGGAACTTAGAGCCCTTGCTGGACTGGACACCCAACAAACTGAACCCACTGTTGCCCTTGTTCTTGTTCTCTTTCTCGAAGTTGGCTCTCAAGATGGACTCTCTTCTGGCAAACTCGGTGGCAATCTGGGATTTGTCTGGGTACGAGTTAAGGATCGGCCGGATGTCCTTGACTGGCTGGGTGGCCAAGTATTCCAAGAACGGAATCATCTTGATCAAGACGTCGTCTTTCTGGCCGTCCCAAGGCGCCAAAACGATGGAGTTTTCTGGCTGCAACAACGTTGCATCCTCGTTAACATCGATCAACAACAATTTCTCTAATGGTCTGTTCATGTAAGACAAGTCCTTGACGATCTTGCCGTCTTTGGAACGGGCATGTTCGCGGAACAACGGGTAGGAGATGAAGGCATGGTATGGATCCAACTTGGCAACGGTCCTTTCGGAGAAAGCCATTGGGTGGTTAGAGAACACAACAATCTCGTAGTAAGAGGACAAGTAGGCCAAGAAGTAGTCCAAGCCTGGTCTCTTCGCGGTTCTCCAGCCACTCTTGGTGGACCATTCACTGTGGATAAGCAAGTCTTCCAAGTTCAAGACCAAGGTAAGTGGTCTTCTGTATGGCTCAGGAGGCGGTGGTGGCAACAAGTCTGGGTACGCTGGCTCTTCGAAGGTGCTGATGAACAACGAATTAAAACGCTTATTCAAACGCGCATACATCAACTGTGGGGTGTAGCCGTTGTCAACAGACTTGCCGTCAACAGCAGCCTGCTCCTCGTCACTGTCCCAGTTACGGGTCAGGTACCCGGCACCGGCCAAGGAGGCGGCAAGGGCCACGATCCAGCCTCTGTTGAAGTTCTTTTCTCTCTTTTCGTCTGAAGCGGTCTTACGGTACCTCCGGTTGGAGTTAGCTTCATCAGCCGACTTGGTGTTTTCGGTCTCAACACCCGCCTTGGCCAACAAATCATCGGTCAAGATGGACTTTGGTTCGTCCTTCTGGGTAGAGGCAAATCTGAACTGGTTGGCAGCGAACGCAACGGATTGTGGTTTGGTGAGCGGCACTCTAGTCACGGAGCGGACTAATCCCCTGGTGAAGGAGGTTCTTAAAACGTTCATTACTGGATTCTAAGAACGTAAGCGTGTGTTGGAGATGGTTAGTGCCGATGGCAATCCGAAATACCGCTTGCATCATCAGTAATTTGCTCTAGTGTTGAAAAATTCGAGGCTATATGCAGGTTGCTTTATTAGGCAATTCCCGTTTTGGTCAACAACCCGCCCGAATATTACGTGGAATCAATATTCAAGTTTAAAGGTTAGAAACTGGCAATATTATATCATCCACTATTAAGACAGACGGTATAGTTAATACTAAACTGTTATCTGTTATCGTTCGTATCACGTGTTATATCGAGCCAGTTGGATTAGCCAGTAGAACGGGGATTTTGATGAATGAACGTCTAGCTATAGTCCCTACCCCCGCCAGAAGAAAATAGTAGCACCATTTTAGTGTATGAATAATAGTATAAGCCTCAGTTCGATAGATCATCAGTTGGGCTACCATAATGACTAAATACTTTATTTAGCAGTCCTGTCTACCCATCGTCGGAGAGCAAAATTGGTTCATCAGAGGTGCCCTTGCCGTGAACAGCCATAACTATGGATTCTTCCAATATTACGATGCTGCTGTCGTTAAACGCTTCGAACTCAATTACCGGTGTGTTGGTTCTGCCAACTACTGACTGGTGCACATTTTCTGTAGAAATGGTGAAGAAATCACCGTGAACGCTCGTGACCGTGGTATCTCCGAGGGAAATAATCGACAGGTTTAGTTTTGCTCTAACAGCCTGACCGTTCATAACGTTCCCAATGATACCCAAATCCGCTAACATACCCGTGTTCTGAAAGTGGGTATTTCTCGGTAGCGTCGGGGGAGTAGATGTTTTAAGCCTATTACAGCGATTCGGAGTAGAGGACACAAACGGAGAAGACATAGGGTTTAAATCGGTATCTATTCCAAAGGAATCGTCACCTACTCCCTGAATACCCTCACTCACCGCTTTGTTTTTCGAGTTTTTGTCGAGGCTTGTATCTAAATCGGAGTCAGAATTAACCACAAAGATTGAGCTATTGAAGAAATCAATATTTTTAGGCTTCGAGGGCGTCATTTCAATGTAGCTCGAATCTGGAGGGGGGTTCTTCGTAGGTGTCAGGTGTTCAGGGGAGTGCCTCTCTGGCGATTCCCAGAATCCGTTATCAGCTGCATCATCATGGATAGGCATATCATCTATTGTAACCGTAGGTGGAGGTTTATTGTCAGCGTGGAATCCATTCAAAATAGTTCGATCCGAATGGAGCATAGATTGTTTCCTGGACCTGAGAGACGGTAATCTATTACGTAGAGTTTGCCTTCGAGTTGGGCTTGGGGGTGGGGAAGGCCCTTGATCAAGGGCTGGTCTTCCAAGGAAAGGAATCGTGATCCAAAACAGGTCCAAAGTTGTCTTCTGGGTCGGTTTCAAGGCCTTCCTCTTTCTTGAGGACAGTTTAGTTTTCGTTTTTTCAGCTTCGCGGTGTACAAAAACGTCCACAAGCTTGGGTTGCACTAGCTTAACAAGAGTTTCAGGGAGCCAGGTATACGTCTGTGTGTGGCAATAGTCATATTCGCTTTGAATTTTCGCCTGCCGAATTTTTTCGTCTTCCTCGGTGCCAGTATATTCTTTGAGTGGGGGTAGATTTATATACGCACCCATCACCGCAATTGGAATATAGCGTATCATGTAATAACCCTCGGCAAACATAGCCAGCGTCTCTGTTGTATTTTCTTCGCTCGCCCCACGTGGAAGCGTAATCTGCTTGTGCTTATCAATAAATATACTGGACTCCCCGTTAATGATCGCTTTGATCAACAAAGCCTCGCTTAAGCATCTGACAAGCCACGATTGCGGTAGTGCCATTTTGGGTATCCGGTTGAGTGTAAATAACTCAACTGATCGACCGTAGTGCGATTTCTCAAACCAGGCCGAGGGAGAGGATGGATAGACTGACGTAGAGGCATCGTGCTGAAAGGAGATTTGCCGGTATCCATCCCGCCGGGAGCGGAGCTCTGATATTCCCAGAGTGCTAGTCCCACAGTACGGCTCCCCGAAAGTTCGGGAGACCAACAATGTATCCTTGGAATTATCCATGAAACAGTGGGGTAGCATAGCTTGGTCCATTAGACTCACAAGGCTCAATTCGGCATAATTGACGGTTCCCGGCTTGAACATGAATACAGATGATCGTAGGGCGGGGAAGAGATATAGGAGGGATATGGATAACGGAGGGATATTCTCCAGCAACGTTATAGCGTACCGTCTGGGGAAATACTTGAGGGGGTACGTATTGATTTCCAGCAGTAATTTGTCAAAAAACTCCACGTACTTTAATTCCACTTCCTGGGGGTCAGGGAGCACTCCGGAAAGATACTCGTAGTCACTGCTAACAAAAATATCAAAGAACATCAGCGAAAAATCCACCTCAGTGTCATCCAGGCCGGTAAGTTTGTATAGCCCCTCTCGGACGCGGCTTTTGGGTGATCCACTCAAGGAAATTGAGAGCGACTTGGTCATCCCGAGCTTCCCCACACCGAGGTCATAATCGCCCCCTCTAAGCACTACCAAAAGCAATAACCGTTGCCTGTCCAATCCCACAACAGCCCTTACCTTCTCCATGTCCACAGGGGTCACCCAAAATTCCAATTCCTTGTGGGCCTTCCGCTCTGGGGATGCTCTGTTCGGAGAATGGTACGAGGGAGGCTTATCAGCATAAATCTTGCTAAAATTGCGAAGCACTTTGCGACAGCCGAACAATAACACGTCTGAATCGTTTGTTACAACATAATCAACCACTCCAGCCATTTGCAACCTCGCACATTCGGCTTCAGCTTCGCCCGCAGCCGTTAGGAAGGGGATGTTCCATGCGGCCAAGTGTTCTTGAAACTCTGTCACCTGAATCATGAATTTCGAGCTAGTGGTCTCCCTGAGATCAATGCTGGGATCCTGTAGTGCTTCCCGCACCTCATAGTAGTTTCGCTGAAACTCATGCAAAGATTCGGTCTCCTCCAGCGCGGTGCGGCCTGTGCGGCCCTTGGACTTGGGCTTAAACTTCCCGTCAAAAACAAACACAAAAGAAACGTGTAGCTTCACTAATTCCCGGACTCTGGCATGGAGGGTTTGGATGTATCCGTTGGTGGTACTGCGAGCCGTGAGGCTACTGGCTTCAATAAGCCAGATGTATGCATCGATGGCCAATCTGATTGGACGCTGCTGTGCCCGATAGAACTGTGTGGCAAAGTGGCAAAAGGGAACTCGCGGCTCAAACGCCGGCTGGAGATTATCCCATAGATTCGAAACCCCCATTCTCGGCCATGTGGGCTGTTATTTCTTTGCCATCGGAAGCCAAAATTTGCCACCGTGATCAGCTGCATGTCGTGCCGTGCGTCAAATTAGGCTCGGTTGTATGCAGGAATTTTTATATTTTCGGCGGAGGTCAGACTGGTATAAGTGTCAGTGAGAATCCTTTGACTGACTAGTTTTACGCCCAATCAAAGAAACACATAACTATGAGCGAAACTTCTACTTTATTGCAGACTCCGATCCAGAATTCCCAATCCAGCCCAGTTCCGCAGGGTGAAAAGCCGAAGAAGACGTCGAGCCGCAAGAAGAATCGAACCAGTACCCCAAGCACTACTCCTGTCCCGGAGGACGACTCGTCAAAGCCAACGCCAAAAGACTTTGGGCTTTTAGAAATCCTCAAATTGATAAAAATATTCAAACCTTTGACCATCGATGGTGTACCATTGGATACGATCAAGACTCTGCTTGTCCAACACGTCACGAGTTTGCGTGCAGATCCACTGCTCACAACCATCACACTCACGTTTCTCATGAAGCCGTCTGATCCGGAGTTTCTCTTTGACATGGACGCATTGCATTTCCGCTTGAGTGTGCCCCAGTTTTACCAGGCCAGGCGTCGTAACGTGGACCTTAAGTTGAAGAAACCGCGAATAAATGTGTTAAACGAAGACGTGCCACGTGGGTACGCGATCAACGTGGAGAGAGGATTCTCAACTATCGCCGAATTGGCCCTCAGATCCAAAAACCAGACAGAAGACGCTCCGGTGGAGCTTGTGGCAGGGAAGGGCTTAGTGTCGATGGTCAAAACCTTGGATAAGTACTTGGAGTCGTTTTTGAGCGAGGAGAAAGCTGAAACAATCAAGATCGTCAAGTTCAAGAGGCTGGAAACAAGTCCGCCTGCAGAGATTGTTTTCGGAAAGGAGAAGAAAAAGACCAAGAAGGCTGTTACTGCAAAGATCATGAAAATGGACGTTCCGCTGGAGGTGGCATCGCTGAGACAGCACCTGATTGACCAATTTCTCACACGGTTGGTCAGCGATAAGTCAATCCGTTTATTCAAGGAGACAGAGTTTGAGTCTGTGTATCTTATTCGCATTCCCAAAGTGAGCATCCCCCATCCGGATGTCTTGGCTGCACGGGATAGTAATGTTCCAAGCAAGCCGTATCCGCCGTATGCGTGGAAAGATGGTGTGTTAATGAGGTTGCGAGTTCCGTATAACTACGGCATTGAAGGCTTGAGTATTGAATTCGATCGCTCTGCTACGTCTAAGCTCTCTAGACTGTCCACCACGTCCACTGCGGGCATGTCAGCAAAGGAGATCAACTCAGCCACCGCCAAGTCCATCCAAGAGAAAGATGCCTTGCTACAGGCAACCAAGAACTGCCACACAAACTTCACTAAGTATGCTTCCAGTGCCAAACACCGCTCCATCACTGAGCAGGTAAATAATTTGATACTGAACTTGGGGTGGTACTGCAGCGATTCTGTGCGCTATGACGAGTGGGTTACCCTTAGACAGGAAATGGCGAAATAGAAAATATTGTCTATCAAAGCTATATTTTTTTTACTGCAAGACTTAGGAGCTATAGATAGTTCACAGGCGATAGAGAGGGTGTGATACTAAATGATAGAATTTATTGCTTTAAATGTGTTGGGGCATCTGTTCGTCTCCAATATAAAAACTTTTATTTTTTTGGATTCCAGCCCCAAGAATATAACGCAGTATGTGCATAAAACGCACCTCCAGCTAGTAACTTATATTAATCAAGGTTAAGGTATAGGAAATGTCAGATTGGCTCAAAACGTCATCTAGTGCGGGTCGCCCCGGCTAAACAAACAAGAGCCAAGTGTGTTGCCTGAGACCGTAACACAGAGCACAATAGAGGAATATAGATCCAGGAAACAGAGTACTCCCAGAAATAGCCAGATATATAACCAGTAGAAGGTATTTAGTACTATACATGAGAATATATTGAAATAGATTTGGTTAAGACCATGAAATGTCAAATTTCGGCATCAATATTAAAGGGTACATCGATCACATGCATGTGGTTCGGCATGCACGAACAATAAGAATTTGAGCTTGAATCCAGGCTTACGCGTCCCTGTTTTTTCGATCGCTCCGCATTTGTGCTTGGTTCACTTTAAGACTATCCATCTCCGGATTCCGCAACTTCTCCGCTGTTTTCCCAGTCATTCAACTTAGATAAACATTACAAATTCCGTACCTGTTCTGGTTACATCAAGGCCAATATAGGCAGATAGCGCTCCGATAAATTCCAGTGCCATGTACCATAAAAGATGCAAAAGAGCTCGTTCAAAAAGTTGATTTCGGGCTTTTGTCAATCTCGTAGATCCAATCCTGATATATACTGCTCCACGTGTATGGTCCACCTACAGACCTATGAAACGGCAGGGGCGGCTTTACACGTCTCCCTTACTAACACATCACGTGCTAGTATAGACATCCTGTTTGTATGCAATGTCAAAAAGGCACCCAATTGATTTGATCCAGCAAGACGTAATTCCTCCACAAACCACAGCCTACCTTTCTTATACCCATTTCTTTTACCTTTACCGTGTATACCTGCCTACCATCCCACCAATTTAAACCACACATTGCATGCGACACCTGGATGAAATGACCGATCCTAGAACCGGACTCTACCAGACGTTGGACGCTAGACCACCCCTACCGCAAAAGTCACAGTCGGCATCCACTTCCAGCGCCAGTATCCACTCCAGTAGTAGCTCTGGTAAACCCAAGGGAATTTCCCGGTCTCCCACGGCCATCACTAACATCAGTGCCCTCGTGGCTGGCCCAGAGATCACCGGGGCCCCCAAGTCTCCCAGAAGGCAGACATCGTACTCTACCCGTCATCCATCTGTAAGTACTCCTAGCATTGCCGCTACTACCAGCCCTTCTAGGGATGCGCTTAAGCCGCCGCCTAGTATCTCCCGATCCAGAACGTCACCCGTGCGGCGGCGAGAGAGGGACACCAAATTCCACGTACCCATGCCCGACGACGCTACTGTGAGCAGACTCTTCTCCGATATGTTGGCCAAGAAGAGCATCCGCGAATCTCGAGGTCTAGCAAGCCTCTCTGCCATCAGAAAGTGGGACTTACTCCGCAAGGAGGACACGAAATGGGAACTGCTACGCAAGGACGATTCAAGATCCGGCCCCATGGACACTGAATTGTTTGCCAAACTGGCGGCCCCTGCTACTAGAGGCCGCAGCTACTCTACAATGAAAAAATGGGGTCTCTTCAACAAAGACGCCGATGATACCAGCAGATCGTTCATGCCAAACGGCACGGAGCCCAGGCTGGTGAGTCCCCTGGCGTGGGAACTGGAACCGATGTCAGTCCCAAAAATGCGCCTCTCTAAGGGAAACTGGAGCGATGGAATCTATGCACATCCATCTTCTGGCACTAGTTCGTCGGCCAACCCAGATTCAGAGCGGTCGCTTTCCTCCAGAAACCTCAAAGACGGTGTCCCCACCAAAGATTCAGGCAAATATTCCAAAGATGCTAATAAGACCTCCATAGATTTCAGGGAAGAGTCACATCAAAAAACTTCTTCCCATGTTGCACCAGAGCCTTTGGTAGTGGAGAAACAGCGCGGGGTGAAGGTCAGGCGGCCAGTGGATCCAAAGCCCACCAAATGGACTTCTGAAGCCAAATCTGTATCCTACACACATTCTTTTGGCGCACTGTCGTATATCGCGCAGCTCGAAGCGAACCGAATCTCGCTCAAGTCGATTAAGGCACTAGAGGCGAAGCTTTCGCAGTTCAAGGAGCCCGAGCAGATGACATGGCTCCAAAATTTTTTCGCCCAGAAGGGGGCCCACCAGCTATTGGTATACCTCTCCACCATCAACATTCGCAGCATCAAGACGAACGATCAGCTAGAAAGTGAGTTTATCATCATCAAGTGTTTTAAGCACCTCATTGATGCTGAGTCGTTTCTCGCGGTGAGCACCGATGGCGCCGACGCCATAGCGGTATCCGAGCAACTTGCAAGTCATGGCCGCTCGCTCATCATGTCGCTCATCTCGCCGCGGATTGGCACGCGCAGCTTAGTGACGGGAGTACTCACATTTCTTACCTACAACTCGCCCGAGTCCTCACCCGCGCTTCTCTCGGACTTCAAACAGGTCAAGACGTCGCTTGGTGACCCCACGCGATTCGAGAGCTGGCTCCGCGCCGTGGAGACGACGTTGGATGGGCGCGGTATCTTGGGCTCACTTGTAGGTGCGTCGTGGGCCGTGAAGCGCGAGCACAAAGCGCTGAGCTCCGCCGACAAAATCCTCCTCGACTACTGCCTCACCACGCTCTTCCTCATCAACTCGTTGCTTGCAAATACTCACAGCCTCAAGCTGCGTGTGAAGTTGCGTAACGAACTCCGTACAAGTGGTTTGAGCAAGGTGTTTACCAAGATCAAGGTGTTACAAAAGGACAAGCTCATGGAGCAGATCGAGATTTACGAAGACTATGCAGATGATGACTACGACCAGTTAATGCTGGTGACGCAAGAAGAGAAGGATAAGGCTATGGTCCCCTCACCAAGCCAATACTCCATCTCTTCTGTCTCACGTGAGTTTTTACCTACCGAAGAGGCTCCTTCGTGGGGTTATCTTCACGACGCTTTGTTAGTGCACTTCCAGGGCTCTGCAGACGAGCCACGGGTAACGTCAATCCTCAGGAGTCTCATTTACATCAAGGACCAGCAGCCCGCCTCTGCCAGCCAGCTCTTGGTGTTGGTTGACTACATCGTCAGGCACATTGGCAGTGTCACTTCCACGACATTGGATCCCGAAAGCGTCATCGCAGCCTCGATCCAGCGCTTTATGGACCGCTTGGAGACGGACAAAACAGCCAAGCGCGCATTGAAAGAGTCCCACGACTTGACGGCTGATATCGCGAGATTGAAGCAGGACAACGCGAACATGATCGTGAAGCTTCTGGAAAAGGCACAACTGAGTAATGAGAGCGAGTTGCGAGTGCTCCAGCGTATGTGCTACGAGCGAGATCAGTGTATTGTGAATCTCCGTGAACAATTGCTGGCTTTCTCTGGAGGCCATGGTGGATCTACCTCTGGCATCGCTGAAAGTGATATTCGTGGCTTATTGACTGAATCGACTAATCCTGTAACCGGTGCTGCAATCGGTGACACTACTGTTTGTGGCGTTTCTACCGGTATTGGTGGTTCTGTTACTAGTACTATTGGTATAGGAACTGAATTTGTTACATCCGATACAGATGCTTCTGTCTCGGGCTTTGTCCCTACCTCTGCTTTCTCCGAAACAATTCCGTCGGTATATAACGTTCCGGTTTCATGTCAAAGGAATCTGCTATCTGTCCCACTGGTGGATGGCTCCACCCCAGTGCACCCCGAGGTAAGAACGGTGTTGGGTGTTCCGCCGTTGCCCCCTGGTTTCCAGCCAGGCGCTGTCACTGGTTCTCTGCCGTCTTCCACCGTCGCCGATACTCCCACTCTTCTGGCCAATACGTATGGCACAAATCCAGCTCTACTTTCGATGGTCTCCCGACTCGATCCTGAATCTCCCTTTGCAGACACTTTGGATATTCCTACGCCTCCACCGCTTCCTGCTAACCTCCAGTCTGCTGGTACCCATTCGCTTCTGGTCTTCCAACCAGGCGCACCACCACCCCTTCCAGTTGGGCCGAAACATGGATCTACTGATTCAGCACCTCCACTTCCTCTGGTTAGTACCGGAATCCCTCCATTGCCTGTAACAGGCAATCCACCACCACCACCACTTCCTTTCAACTTCCAGTCTGGAGACTCCGGAATTCCGCCGCCACCGCCTCTTCCTTTAACTCTTACTGGTGCCATCGCAGTCCCTGGTTTAACCGGAATTCCACCGCCACCGCCGCTTCTGGCCAACGTCAAACCACCCGGAACACCTCCCCCATTTGGAGGGCCCCCACCACCACCGATGCCACTGAACTTACAGGACGCCTCATTCAACAACATTCAAGAAGTGGGCTCTGTTCCTGTTACCCCATTCACGTCACGAAAAACATCCGCAGCCGATCCCGTGATCCTGGTGAGGCCGAAGACCAAGCTCAAGCAAATGCATTGGGACAAATTGCACAACGTGAAGAACACGTTCTGGAGCGAGTTCAAAGATGAGGACGTCACACAAAATCTCCTTAAAGTGGGAGTCTTTGATGATGTTGAAAAGATGTTCCCGGCAGTCCCATTCTCGCAAAAACTCAAGCTTAAACAGCGCAACGTAACAGATGAGAAGTTCACCTTTCTCCCGCGAGACTTGGCCCAACAGTTCGGGATAAACCTCTACAGCTTTTCCTCGCTCACCGAGCAGGAGTTGGTACACAAGATCCTCCAGTGCGATTCTGATATCATTGATAACATGAACATTTTGGAGTTCTTCAACAAACCGGAGTTGCTGGAGATTGGGGACACTCTTACCAGGAACTTTATGCCGTTTTCCACAGATATTACGAAGAGCCGCAAGGCCGAGCGCTCACCAGAGGAGTTGCAGCGCATTGACCGCATATTCCTCGACACTTGCTTCAACCTCCGGAGCTATTGGAAGGCCCGCTCGCGGGCGTTGCTCGTGGTAAAGACGTACGAGCGCGACTACCACGATTTAATGAAGAAGCTCAGCTTCATGGAAGAGGGAACCGGAATTGTACAGGCGTCGGATAAATTTAAGGGGGTATTGACGATCATCCGGTCGTTAGGAAACTTTATGAATGACACATCGAAGCAGTCCCCTGGTTTCAAGTTAGACACATTGCAGCGGTTGAAGTTTGTTAAGGCTTCCGACAGTAGTGTCACGTTTTTGCACTACGTAGAAAAGGTGGTGCGGAACTCGTTCTCCGAGCTCGGTGAGTTTGCGGATGACTTGCGTGACTTAACCCACCTTTCCAACCTTTCCATTGAACAAATTGAATTGGAATGCGATCAGTTTGAAAAGCTGATTAGCAACCTCGAAGCGTCACTTGAGCGCGGCAATCTCAGCGATCTGACCAAGTTCCATCCGGATGACAAGTTCATGAAGTTTGTCATCGGTCCGTTGAAGGAGGGGAGACGGAAGAATGTGCTCTTGCAATCCCGTGCCAAAGCCGCGGTTAGTGAGTTTAACCAGCTCCTTGTTACCTTTGGTGAGAGCACCAAGGATTCAGCTGCCCGTAACAGTTTTTTCTCAAAGATTTCGCACTTTGTGGCTGAATACAAAAAGGTTTATGTGGAGAACATCCAGAAAGAGGAGGAAGAGAAGAACTATCTCAGCCGCAAAAAGAAGCTCCAAGGGAAGGAAGTGGTCAAGGACCAAATTTCAACAGAACGCGAACGGGAAGAAACCACCCGTGAGCTTCTTGAGCAAGCCAAGTCTGAGGCCAAGGAAGAATCTGTCATCGATACTTTGCTAGAGAAGTTAAAGGCCGCTGGGCCTGTGTCTCAGGGCACCACAGCGCAGAAGAGGCGGGTCAGACGACGCCGAGCGTTGTCAATCATTGACGATAACTACATCAACCAGGAACCACCGGCCGACGTAGTTACTCGAACGTTTGAGAGTGTCCAACGATTAAAATCCAGGTTAAGTGAGCGTGAGCGAGGAAAGTACCTCACCGACAGAGCCCATCGTCAGAACGGAAGTGCCGATGACAACGACGAGGTAATCTCGCGTGCCCACGCGTTGTTGAAGAGGTTGAAGGGATATGAGCCGTCCGACACTGAGAAGCTGGGAATGGAGATGATGGAAAATGAGATGGTAAGGAATACTGAAACTACAGAAGCGGGGAAGAAACAGGTTGAAGGTTTGGAAACAGTGGCAGTATCGATGCCATTGCCTATTACAAACAACGAAGCCGACCCGATTCTCGTATTGCTGGTATCGCCCGAGTCAACTCAGGATTCCACCATGATATGGACACCACAGGTCAAAGAGGTGGAATTGTAGGTTGGTTTAAACGTATCTGCGGATACCTGTTTCTATTATGTAGCTGGGTCTGATTTTCTTGAATACAATTCGTAAATTGAGAAAGCCATGCATACAATTCAAAGATTATTTCCGCGACAATCATAGTTTCGTCGATGTAGCATCCTCGGTTATGGATTTGTTGTAGCATCCTCGGTTATGGTTTTGTTGTAGCGGGTAGCCTCAGGGAGTCTTCAGATTAACATCCATTTCAAAGGCTGTTTCACATAACCTGTGTACGGCATGCGGAGTAATCTACCTTTGGGAGAACCAGATATCTCACTCTCTAACGACGATGAATTATATATGATGTGTGGTTTGTTAGATTATGTGAGGAAATATTAGACGGTTAATCTTGTACCTAAAAGGCTGGGAAGAGCTTAAATAAACTTCTCGGTAATGCGTCTCGGTGCCAAATTGTCGAATGGTACATACCAAGCTGAGCTTATAGGTCGTATCATTTAGCTTCAATCAACACATCTTACTGTATATCCCTCTGGGTCTAAAGCAATCAAATTTCCACATATTTCACCCTATTGAGTAATTCACGGTATATTTTATGATCTTTCAAGTCACACAGAAAATAATAGATCATGTTATTCAAGATCTTATAATAGTATTCGCAAAATCAATATTATTAGGTAGGATCGTTTCTACCTCAAAACGATTTACTACGTGTAGAGGGTACAATCTAAATAATTCCATAATAGCTGATAAAGCCAACACATCCTACGGTGATTTCCGTAAGCTCACAATGTTTCTCCTCTAACGTGCACCTGATTCACCGCATGGAAAGCTTATCCCCCTAGTCGTGCGCGACGCAGTCTTAAACGATAGATCAGTAGCCTCGGGTGGGCACTCCTGATGCTTAACTTCTCTCATTACAAATTAATCCCTCGGATTCTCTTGCCGTCCATGATTAAAAATTGTTAGAAAAGGGCACTTTAGTTTTTTTTGTGGAAAATATACCATACTTTTATCCCCGAATCAGGCCAAAGTGAGCTAGACGAAGAGGCCCCTCACACAGCAATTAGCGCGTGCATGCCGGACGGCCATTCGCCGGAATCCCTTCCCCGCCATTGCCTCCCTCAGCCTGTACTCCTCGAAAATTTCAGCTGGGGAAATCCAGTTCATCACACCACGTATTTATACTTACAGTTTTTTTGGTCTTTAGCGTGGATACATACCCAACACATTCACGCTCTCTAACCTGCTTTGTAACTCCTATTTATCTCAGACCTAATTCTAAGTCCCACCTCACGTTCGCTTAGACTACCTCAAGATGGCTATGGCAATGGCATTTCCGACCACCACGGTCAACCTCTCGACCACGTCGTCGGCGCCGCAATTCTATCAAAACACAATCTCGCCGATTGCTCAGCTTGAGCTGAATTCGCTCTGGCGCACAGTGCCCGCACAACTATCGTTCGCGGACATCGAGGAGACATACGCGGCGCGCCTCGCGCTCAACATCGGGCGCTCCATGTGGTCGCGCGGCGATCCCAACACGTACCAAAGCATCCCCGTACATATTTGGCATAAGCGCAAACACGCCTTGGACACCTCAGGTATCATCAACGCATCCAGCTTCATGCCCACCAACCCCTACAACCAGCTTCCTGCCACCGACAAAGACAAGATCGCCGACCCGGAAGCGATTCCGTTCGGCTCCAACGTCAACCCCTTGGTGCCCGACCCCATCGGACATGTACACCTCACACCGGGGTGTGTGGCAGTGGTAAGCTACTTGCAAAAGGGGCAGAAGCGCGCGGCGCTTGCCGCTCCTAAAACGTCGCTCGTACGCAACGCGTCGCAGCTCATAACCCGCACACTCATCGCTGACAATCTCAACAAACGCTTGCAAACGACCGATTCAATTTTGACAAGCGTCAACGGCCGTGTGCTTAATGTGATGGCTGTTTCACCGCTGCTCGTCTCGCCGGAGAATACCGTAGAGCCCGTAGCTCCCGCCCTGGGTGAGATGGCCCTGGCCTCCGACGTGGTATCGAGCCTCTTCCGCAAAGAATTCACCACGGGACAGAACCTTGATACGCCGTTGTTACGGATTGTTTTCTCACTGTACGTCATCAGCGCGCTAGCAGTATTTGACACGACCTCGGAACGTTTAGATATCGCCGTGGGCTTCACCAATGGGGACATTTTCTGGGTAGACCTCCTTTCAGAGAAGATCAAGTACTCGCGGTTTAACAAAAACGGTAAAATCATCAATAGCGGGATTGTTTCGATCACCTGGAGTCAGTGCGGGCAATGGCTCATAGTGGGATTCGCTAATGGCGAGGTTGCCATCTTTGACCGTGCCGGCGACGACGCTGAAATGTATCCCAAGCAGCTAGAAAGCGCTGAGAAGTACCTTGCAGTGTACAAATCGATGAAAAGCGGGTACTTCGCAGAGGCTGTTGGGAAAAAGGGCCCAGGCGTATCCAACCCCGTTGCCCACTATAAACTCTCCAACAAACCCATCACAAGCATCACTATCAATTCTGCGGACGCAAATATGCTTTCGATCACCTCGGATGATGGTTATACGCGCTTAATGGATCTTCCGTTGACGAAGCGGCCGGTGCTGTCAGAAAAAGTTTCGGACATGCTTCCGGGCTACTTCGGTGGGGTGCTCTGCAGCGCATTCTCGCCCGATGGCAAGTTTCTCGCGATCGGCGGCGAGGACGACTTGATTGCAATCTACCAGTTGAGTTACGTAAACTTGGGCCAGTTGATTCACAAGACGCTTTCCGGAGGTGGCTCCCAGGCGTCCTTCATGGGCGGCTCAACAACATTGGCTACGCACAACATCTTGAATGTGAAGCTTGTAGCGAGGCTAGAGGGCCACAAGTCATGGGTGCGCGACATCAAGTTCGACTTGGAGAAGTGTCCACCGGTAGACACGTCTTCGCCTGTGACGTACCGTATCGGCAGCGTGGGTGACGACAGTCGCCTTTTCTTCTGGGACTTTAACCCGAAATCCGTGCCAAAGGTCAAGAAGCAGCCCAGCTCGACGAAACCCAAGAAAGAAAAGAAAAAGCTGCACCACCAGCGCCAACGCTCGGGTGAAATTACGTTACCGCATGTGAGCTCCTCATCTCACATGCAGCAGATCCACCAATTGTTACGGTCGGCCAACAGTACAAACCTGTTGACAGGGTTGAACCAGGCGAGCGCGTCGACACTTGAGTTAGTGGAGCACTTCACCCGGAACTATGAGACAACGTTACATCGCAATATTAGTAACAAGGACATGGGGTATGTATTACCGGTGCTTGAGGTTGATTTGAATATCGGGAAGATGAGTGGGGTGATATTTGATGGGCGGCAAAAGCTTTTGTGGGGTGTTTGTAAGAGTGGGGATATAATCAGGTGGAGTAAAAACTAGCGATGGCTAATGCGAAGTCGGCCCCAGGTGAGCTTGGGGCAAAACTTGGGCAAAGAAAATAATATATACGATGCGTAAATATATATAGATTCTATATTTCTGGATATCTCGATAGAAAAGTATACAAGGATGGTTAAACGTGTGGAGCTTGACAGGGAATAGAGCGAATACGCCTGTGTAGTGCTAAACAAAGTATGTTTGTATTTAGCATCGATTTGCAAGAGGTCATCGACATTGATGCATAATGAACTCTAATATAAATGTGAAAGTGATGGATTATATAGCATTCAAAAAACTAAGTGAAGCTGACGGATTGAATGTCATTGGGGTTGAGAATGCAGGATAGAGTGCTAGCCCTAAGAGAGTATGAATGTGAGCAGCGGATCTGGATATAATGGAAACAGGTATACGCATATCTATAGGAAATTTGTGAAGAGAAAAAAACAAAAGAGTAATCAATCAAGAAGAATGCGATCAATAGATGAGGATAAGATAGAAGGTCTAAATTTTGGATTCATCTACAGAATGGAAGGTGCTAATAAGCAATATCCCATATGGAAGGGAATTCGTAGTTATAGGTACGAAAGCAATAAAGGTTAGATAGATTGGGATCGGAGTAGAGAAAACCGCGCTAGTCATGAAAAAATGAAATCCCGGTTTTCCCTTCCGATTAAATAATTTCTAGGTAGAAGTTTGATATATTGAATATTTAATTACATGTAATTTATATTTACTTGATATGTTTCAAACACATTGGTATAGAACTGATAGTATGTGTATTTTACTCATTACCCATTCCGTCTACACTCGCTGTTTTATTGATGGTATCTTTCTTCTCCAGATAGCTCATTAGATTAAAAACTTTGTCTACACAAGACCGGTAGTCCTATCAAACCCTCTTTTTAGTGTACATCTTTTGGAATCTTAATGCTCATAAAAGAGAGCGTGGTTCGTTAAGGTACTATAAAAAGACATAAACGATTTCTAGTTCCTATTTTCAGATACCTGAAGGGGCTGTCTGTCTGCTATCAGAGTCAGTATCGGGTCCTTTAACTTCGATTATTGTTGGAATTCCTACCTTCAGCCCCCCCTTATTTATATTTTAAATCATACTCATACGCTAAGGACCTGGTTTCCCTTCAATAATTAATCAGTTACTCTATAGTACGCTTATAATACTGCGATCCAAAATCCAATGTATTATCACACCCAGGTCCAATCCCCATTCGCTTCTACAACCTGCTTTCTAACAACATATAATACACTAGCTGAACACATCTACACCTTCTTTCTCTTGGCGTTCTTCTTCGCCTTCTTATCGGCAATTCTCTCGGTCTTTCTCTCGGTCTGCTTCTCGGCTGCCCTGCGGGCCTTTTCGTCCTTGGCGTTCTTGGATTTCCCGCTGCGCAAGTCCACAAGAGCGTTGGTCTTGGCGTGGCCGATGATGGTACTGTGTCCGTTGCCGTTGACGATGTGGTGGGCCAAATTAGTAAGGCCCCCGGTAAGGTAGTTTCGTCTGCCGTCCTTTCTGATCAGCGCCTTCATCAAGTGTCTCAACTTGGCTCTGGTAGACTTGGTGTCGGCCTTGTCTAAAGTCTTGAACTCTTTTCTCTTGCGCTGCTTTCTGATGATCTCGTCCTCGTCCAAGTCGGAAATGTCATCAATCCCCAAGTCTTCAGCAGCTTGCTTCATCCAGTTGTCATCTTTTCTCGTGGAGTTACCGCACACCTCTGAGTCAGCCAACTCAGCTGCAAGTTGCGATCTTGGGAGACACTGTGCAAGAATATCGGTCTCAATCGGCAACAACTTGATGTCGTCCTTGGCGTTGATTCTGACCACCCCCTTCTTCTTGTTGGCAACAATGTTACGTAACCTTTTTAACGGCCCCGAGGCTTCAGCTGGCGAACAGATCATTACGGAAACACCCTCCTTTCCGGCTCTGGCCGTTCTACCGGATCTGTGGACGTAGGTGTCGGCGGAACGCGGTAAATGGTACTGCACAACGTGGGTGATATTTGGGATATCCAAACCTCTTGCCGCAACGTCAGAGGCAACTAAAATCGCGCTCTTTCCCTGACTAGAAGCCTCTTTAAAGCGCTCAATAGATCTCATTCTCGCTTTCTGGATCATAGAGGAATGAATCGCAAAGGCTGGGATGTCCAAGTTGTTCAAAAATGGCACAATTCTTTTCACAGAGTCGATACTGTTGGCAAACACTAAGGTAGTCCCCGGGTACATCAACAAGAAGTAGTACAAGTACAAATCTCTCTCGGTAGCACCGCATTCGATCAATGCCTCGGTGACGAGGTCACTAACAAACTCGGTCGGGTTAGCATCGATCAAGGCTGGCTTCGGATCCTTAAACTTCAACTTTTCCGTCAACATCTTGAGGATTTCATCGTTGTTGACAAGAGACCCCGCGTGATTGTTCTTCGCCTTTCTGTGCTTGTCCAACTTTCCAAACAAGTCAGAAGAGAAGGTGGCAGAGAAAACCAATGTCTGCCATCTGTACGAGAGGTTCTGGTCCTTCAGTCTGCTCTTTCCGAAAAGATCCAAAATTTTTTCAAACTCGTCGAAGTGGCCGTCCTGCAACAATCTATCGGCTTCATCCAACACCACCACATCCGTACTGGATAACCTCGAAAGGAGAGTCGCATTCTTCTGTAACAACTCCAAAAGACGACCGGGAGTGGCCACAATGATTCCTGGGCCGTGAGATAACAATCTTTCCTGTTTTTGGATCGATAACCCACCAGTGACCCCCACGATCCCGTGCTGACCCAATGGGGAGTACTTTGCAATTTCATTTAAGTGCTCCACCACTTGGTGCGCCAACTCTCTGGTTGGCGCAAAGATGATCCCGGTAGGTGGTCTGACCTCACCCTTCTTGTAGAGCTTAGTGTTGGTCAAGTAGCGCTCCAAGATTGGGATCCCGTAGGCCAACGTCTTACCGGAACCGGTACTCGCTTTACCGATAACATCCCTTCCTTGCATGGCTAATGGAAGGGAGCTCTTCTGGATCGGTGTTGGCTTCTTGAATCCGAGCTGCGACAACCCGTGAAGAGTGTATGGAGACAAGGAAAGACCCTTCTCCGCGTTCTCCCAGTCCGGTAAGTTGATATCTTCGTCGTTGGGCAACTCTATTTCAGTTAAGCTATTGAATGCGTTGGTCAACAACTTGGTCTCTGGCTTCTTCTTCGTCTTCTTCTCCTTGGCCTTTTTTGGCTGTTCTGCGGATTCTGTTTCCTCGACCTCCAAAGTCTCTGTCAGTTCGTTCTCCTCATTGATATCCGCAGTCTCGACATCTTGATCTTCTGCATCTTCTGCGTTTTGCTCTCGGTCGGTGCCTTCGGCTTCCATCTCAGCTTCCTCAGTCTCTTCAGTGATGATGTTCTTCTCGTCAGAAGTGGAGAACTGAATGTTACCGTTGACGATCTTCACACCCACACCATCGATTTCTTCCAACCCATAAAATCCACCAAAATCCTCCAAGTTGTCAGGGATCTCAACCTCCTTCCAGTTCAACTCCTGCGCGCCGACAATTTGCGCCTCCTTTCTTTCCCTCGGCATCTTGGGCGCCTTAGGCTTCGAGGCCCTCTTGGCCTTCACAGCCCGGTTCTTCGAGTTGATACGTTTACCCAATAATGTGTTTGGAATCTTGGATCTCGTTGCCATTGTGTATGTGTGTATAGTTTCGCTAATGTTTCCATATTTTACGGCCGAATTTTTCAATATTAAAAAAATCTTTCCTGCGGCTGCGATGAGCTTCTCCTGCATTTGCGGAAATAGGTTGTGTTCCAGAGCAGCGTACTGCATATAACGAGTATCTCAGCTGGATCGTTAATAGAGACGGGAACGTGCCTGCTATACAGATGATGTCGATATTGACATTAAATCGCAATAAATCATGGTATTTACGTGTAACCGCTTAGGTATCAGCTTTGTGGATACCGATTAATATTGACAATGCTAACTAATGTCTCTGGATATGTAAATATCCTGTATGAATGTATAGTCCTCTCAGAGTATACATAGTATGGCATACGATTACCCACCGAAATAAAAATTACGGAATTTTCTACAGAGTATAAAAATTAGTGCCCGACCCGTTTACATATGATTGATATCGGAGTGGATCCAATTACAAGCTCTTACATATCTTAACAATTTGGCCCAACGTCAAGATACAACTTCCGTGTTTTCTAAGCTTAACAGACTATGTAATCCTAAATAGAGTAACCCGTGAGCTCTTCTATTACCAAAACTCCAAAGCTAAAAATCAGAATTTTTATTACAAGTCATAGCTCACTACCAACGCTCATTTCATGCTCGGGTATTTATGAACGGCCACGCCTCATGTTGTAGTCCATCACGGAAAGGATACCCTTGAGCCTACACGTCCATCCGACTTTATAATACTTTAATATGTGTATTTGAGCAGAATCAGCCAATCCCCCCTAATTTTTCGAGTAAGGTAATTTTATCGTTAACGATATATTTTGTTGTTTTGTGCCTTCGGCCTAAAGAAATCCTTCCGTTACAAGCCCTGCCTCGTGTCGCGCTAGTAGCCATGAATGCGCGAAACGTCAACACCAGCCCCAGGGCGTGGGTCAAAATCAGATCGACAGCTAATCAAAAAAACAAAACAAAAACTCAAGCACACACACACACACACACACACGCTCCCTACATATTATAAACTATATTTCCAACATGTCTGACTTAAATTCCAAGGATTACGTGTGGATCGCGGACAAGGCGGAAACGTTTGCCCGCGCGTGTATTGTGCTGACGGATGGCGACATGGTCCGCGTGCGCAAGATGGACTCCACAGACGAGGTGACGGTGGCTATCGATGCCACGGAGAAGTGTAATCCTCCAAATTTTGACAAATGCGATGATATGGCTGAGCTCACCCACCTCAATGAGCCATCGGTCGTGCACAACTTGCGTCAGCGCTACGCAGATGACTTGATCTACACTTACTCCGGGTTGTTTTTGGTCGCCGTCAACCCATATGCACCACTCGCAATCTATGACGAAAACTATGTGTCCATGTACCATGACGGTGACCTCAAGGCGTTGAAGCCACACATCTTTGCCATCACCGAACGCACGTACCAGAATGTGCGCGCAAAGCGCAAGAACCAGAGTATCCTTGTGACGGGAGAGTCGGGTGCGGGGAAAACGGAAAACACCAAGAAAATCATCCAGTACCTTTCGTCTATCACGCATCAAGCCAAAAGTAGCAACATTGAAGAGAAGATTCTCCAGGCGAACCCCATTTTAGAAAGCTTCGGGAACGCGCAGACCATCCGCAACCACAACTCCTCGCGGTTCGGGAAGTTTATACGTATCGAGTTCGCAAGTGGCCAGATTGTCGGCGCCAACATCGACTGGTACTTGTTGGAAAAGTCACGCGTGCTCAAACAGACAGCCAAAGAGCGCAACTTCCACATCTTTTACCAATTCCTCAGCGGGTTGCCCAAGAACAAACGAGCCGAGCTCGGTTTGGACGGTAAAGGCGTGCGCGACTTTGCGTACTTGCGTGATTCTAACCCCACCATCCCCCACATCGACGACAGGGCTGAGTTCGGCCAGTTGCTTACATCTTTCCGCATTATGGGCTTCAACGACGCTGAGATTCACGCCATTTTCCGCACCTTGGCACTCATCTTGCACTTGGGTAACATCGACTTCATGTCCATGAAGGCAGATCAGGCACAGTTTGCGCGCGGTGCGCCCGTGGATCGTGTTGCTGAAATGGCCGGCTTCCCCGCAGACGCGTTCACCACGGCAGTCTTGCGCCCCAAAGTCAAGGCAGGCAAGGAATTTGTTACACAGTCGCGTACGCCGTTCCAGGCCCGTGCCACCATCGATGCCGTCGCCAAGATGTTGTACGAGCGCATCTTTCGCTTCATTGTGGACAAGATAAACGAGGAACTTGTACTAGACGAAACCAGAGCCACTGGTGAGTCCAACTTTATCGGTGTCTTGGACATTGCCGGCTTCGAAATCTTCACTAAAAACTCGTTTGAGCAGTTGTGCATTAACTACACCAACGAGCGCCTCCAGCAATTTTTCAACCATCATATGTTTATTTTGGAGCAGAACGAGTATCTCAAGGAGAACATCAACTGGAAGTTCATCGACTTCGGCAATGACCTCCAGCCCACCATTGACTTGATCGACGCGCGCGGTAAGCAGCACGGCGTGATGGCATTGTTGGATGAGGAATGCATCGTGCCGCGCGCCACGGATCGTTCATTTTTGGAAAAGCTCGTGAAGAACTGGGGGGAGCCAAAGAACGCGGGAAAGACCCTAACCGGGAAATTCTCACAAAACAAGTTCAAAACTGGGTTCATTATCCACCACTACGCCGGAAAAGTCGACTATGACGTGGACCAGTGGTTAGAGAAGAACAAAGACCCAGTGAGCGAAGCCATCATGTCGCTTTTGGGCAACTCCACTGACCCGTTCCTTGCAGCGCTCTTTCCCGCCACCCCATCACTCTCCGGCAAGCGCAACAACATGTTGCGCACCGTTGGGACCAAGCACAAGGAGCAGCTCGCGGATTTGATGGATCAGTTGTCCAGCACCACGCCGCACTTTGTGCGCTGCATCTTGCCTAACAACATGAAACTGCCGAAGAAGTTTGACAAGCAGCTTGTACTCGACCAGCTCCGCTGCAATGGTGTGTTGGAGGGAATTCGTATTGCTCGCTCTGGATACCCCAATCGTATCTTTTTCAAGGACTTTCTTCCGCGCTACAGCATCTTGTACACAGCTAGCAGCTCCTTCAGCAGCCCCAAAGCCGGCTGCGAGCTCGTATTGAATAACCTTGGCTTGGACGAGGCTCTCTACAAGGTGGGATTGACTAAAATCTTCTTCAAGAACGGGGTCCTTGCTGACTTGGAGATCCGTCGCGAAGATACCATCAAGACCATTTTTGTGACGCTCCAGGCGGTGATCCGTGGGAAAGCCAAGCGCTGCCTGTTGCAGAAGGAGATCCGCAAGATGCAGGCGGCGCAAGTGGTATTGAAGAATTTCAAGGCGTATGCGGCGTTGTCCCGCGACCCTTGGTTCTCGTTGTTTCAGACCATCAGACCCACCATTGCATCTAGTACGCACGTTGGTGAGACCAAGAAGTTCACCGAAAAGATCAAGCAGCTTGAAGGCCTTGTAACAGAGATCCAGAGCGCCAAGGGCGAGGTTGAGCTAGAGAAGGAAGCCTTAGCCGCGGAGATCGCCACGCTCAACGAGGTGTTGACAAACGAGCGCGCGCTCTTGTCGACCAAGGACTCGACGGTGGTACAGTTGCAAACGCGGGAGATTGAAATTGAGCGTAAGTTGGCGGACCAGGCCTGTGACTTGGAGGCGTTGCAGAAGAGCAACGGCGAGTTAAAGACCGTCGCGAAGGAGCGACTCGCGGAGGCCAGGGAGTGGGAAGCGAAGACCACTACCCAAGCCATGGCTGTCGCTGCGTTGGAACACGAAAAGGCCACGATCTTTGCGCAGTTTGAGGACGCCGCGAAGCGCACCACGGAGTTGCACTCTTCCAAGGAAGTAGCGGAGAGCAGCATGTTGAAGTTGGAAGCCGAATTCGGCCAACTCAAGGCAACAGTCGCCGAAAAGGAGATTCAGATCAGGCGGTTATCAAAGAAGATCGAGAGCGCGAACTTGGAGCTCCAAACAGAACTCCAAAGTGCCACGTCACGCCATGACGACGCCACCAAGAACGCCGACATGGTGTCTCGTCAAAAGGAGGACTTGGCGCGGCAGCTCGCGGAGTTGAAGCACTCGGCGCGTGCGCATGATGGCTTACTCACCGCGAAAGAGGCTCTGATTACGGCCCTCAACGACAGTATCGTCCAGCAGAAGCACGCATTGTTGTCGATCGAGAAGGAGAAGCGTGGGCTTCAGTTGAACCTTCTGAGCCTCACCAAAGATTTGAAAGTGACAAAAGGGGTGTTGACTGGTCTCCAGGAGCGCTCTCGGCAGCTCGAGCGCAGTGCTGCGGACGCCAACCGGGCTCTAGCAGCGAAGGTTGCGGAAGAGGCAGCGTCAGAGATGACTAGACAGCAGTACGAGCAGGAGTTGCGCGACTTAAAGGAGCAGTTTGCACAGCTAGACACGCAGCTTGCAAAGGAGTCGGGCGAGAAGGCCGACTTGCATGAGGAGTTACGGACGCTCAAGGCCCAGTATGAGCAACTCGCGACGATTAAGAAGAACAGCGACGCGAAGCTCGCAGACCTCGCACTCCAGATCGGGGAATTGAAGACACACTCGATGCAGACCATGGGACCGCCGCGCGACGGTGAATCCCGCGTGTCGTACCGTGGTGCAGACCAGCAACTCATGGTGGACTACGCCGAGATCAAGCTCCGGTTGAATGAGCAGGCAGCGATCCTCAAGAACGAGAAGATCGAAAACCGAAAGTTGAACGAGGAGATGTACATGTTGAAGACCAAACTTGCAGCGGAGGCATACGAAAACCGGAAATCGAAGCAGCAGTTTGGCCGTTCCAGTACGAGTGGAATGAGTTATGACTTCGAGCAGATCGCATTTGCGCTGGCCAATACGTTCCGCGAACCCACTGGTGATACCGGCTTGGCAGGTCAGTTGCGTGAACAGAAGAATGCCAACATGAAGTTCGAGCTCAAGAACATGGAGTTGAACAGTGAGCTCAAGGAGCTTAAGGCAAAGCTCCGCGCGTCGCGGGTGTCCCAGGACCTTTCCACCCGGGACTTGGGGGGCCTCTTACAAGCCTCGTCTAAGGAAAACATTCCGCCGCTGCCTCTAGTGAACCGCCGCAGCAGCATGTACGTAAGCAGCACCAAAGAAAGCGGGTTGAGCCGGTCGACGAGTCTTTCCCGTGACCAACTGAAGTTGAAACTCCAGGGATTGGAGGCGAAGAATGCGGATTTGGCGAACCAGGTGAAGCTCTACAAGAATCGTGCTGAGGAGTACTACAGTAGATTAGAGGCCGCGGAGATGGCAGTGCGCACGGTGCAGAAGCTGGAGGACTTTGCAACGCGCGAGTTGCGTGACGTTAATACGTCGTTGGCGTTAGCACAGTCACTTCTCCAGCAGAAGGACGACGCAAACGTGCGACTCCAGCGCGAAGTCACCGTCTTGGAGGATGCCATACAGGACAAGACCACCAGTACGCTAAGTGTGCAGCAAGAGATAGTGTCGGCGCAGAAGGAGCTCGAGTACTATCGCACGCATAATGTCACGTCAACATCAGAGTTCAATCAGGAGATTAAGGCGTTGCGCCGTGAAATCAGCGAGAAGCTCCAACAGGAGGCCGTAGCCGCGCGCGAAACCAAGCGATTGTCACTTGCACTTGAGGCTGCGTTAGACGAGAAGAAGGAAATGTATGCGGAGTTGCTCTTACGCAAGAAGGATAAGAGCACGATGGAGAAGTTTGCCAACGAGTTGCTGAATAAGAACGTGTTACTCCAGACAAAGTTATCTGAGTGCGAGTCACGTGTGATCGCTACTCAGCGCCAAGCGCAAGTCGCAAGCGAGTCTTTAGAAGACACGGCCCGCGAGCGCGACGCATTGTTGGAAGCTAAGCGAACTTTGGAGGCCCGTGTCCGCGAGATCAGCCAGGACTACCAACAGTACGTCACTCAGGCATCCGAAAAGCATGCTACCGTTTCGGTACTCCAGGATACGTTGAAGCGTAGTCAGGACGAGTTGCACCAAGCAAAGACTGAGCTTCGGAAGTTGGGGCAATCTTCCGCGTCCTACGCGGAGGAGTTGAGCCAGATCAAGCACGAAGCGCAGCTCACGCTGGAGGAGAACTCCGCGTTGAACAAACTCCAGACCACATTGCAATCCAAGATAAAAGAGTTGGAGTCTGCGTTGTATGATAGCAACCAGAACGAGTTCTGGGAGAGCCAGGTGGCAGAGTTGGAGAAGCGTTTGCGGGAGGTATCGGGTGACAAACACGACGAGACCAAGAAGAACCATGAGCTCGAGCGCCAGGCGAAAAACTTGGCCATCCAGTTAGCCAACCAGGAACAAATGACCAAGAAGTACCACGAGGACAACTTTTCCATCTCGCAAAAGTTGAACGCGATGTCCAATGAGTTGCAGGTTCTGAGGAATGACGAGGCGGAGGCTAGGCTCGTGGCAAAGAAGGCCGAGAGGGATGCTCAGGACTGGAAAGAGCATTCGCTAAAGGTTGAGAAAGAGCTTTTGGAATGGAAGGACCGGTTCGACGAGTTGGAGGAGTAACGAGTGCGCGGTACGGGCTCAAACCATAGTTTAATAAATATTAATTCAATAAAGGGTGCGAGACATGTGATGGAACGTAGTAGAGTCAATATTAGAATGTGGGTGCGGAAGTAAATGGGTAATATCTGCTCGGTCGAGGGGAGATTTAACAAAATTTCTGTCATCCGTTGAGATTGAAAACGCTGTAGTAACCACATAGAGCGCAGCTACCAAAGAATCATTGGACCATCATCGCCCAAGAACTAGGATTTTTATACCTTTTATACAAAATCACTCCAGAACTATAGATGTGTAGCTTTTTTCTGCTTTTGATTAGCTTACATGCATGTCTCTGCCATAATTATTTCTTGTCTCAGATCAGGTACAGAACACAACCAAAGCCTAACAAAGGATGTTTTTACCATAACTATAGTAATATTTCTAATGCAACATCCATATCTTGGACTGACCGGTTCACATGCCCTAAACTAATTGCCAACCCATGTTCCGTTCTCTGGTAAAACTGCGCCCAGACCTAATCCTACGGGTATGTCGCTTAATTGGTTGCATATTCGTCCAGTATGTAAAAGGTTTCAGGCTATATTTCTGATTCATCCTTATTTGGTAATCTTACCTTTTTTTTTCGTTTTAATGATTCGAATCTGTGAATTAAGCTCTTTTGTTTGAGAATGGAGTATGCGCTGCATTCTTTCGTGTCAGATTGTCCTGCGCATAGGTTACTGCCGCATTTGGCAGTCAAGCTATCTCCTCGTTTGTGGAAGGCTAATTACACTATCGCGCACAGGGAGCGGAGCCCTTTGCTATTATAACTAACACCAAATATCAGGGCACCTGATACCTCTCACTCTTGTAACACACAATCACACATCATGGCTCTTGCATACTTAACCTTGGCGTCTTTATTAGTGGTTGGAGGGTATATGCTCTTCAACGGCAGTGGTGAATCCTTCAATGTGGGTGACTTCTTGGAGACCACATCCCCGTATATGTGGGCCAACTTGGGCATAGCCGCATGTATCGGGTTCTCTGTGGTAGGTGCTGCCTGGGGTATCTTCATTACCGGCTCCTCGATCCTCGGTGCCGGTGTCAAGACCCCGAGAATCACCACTAAGAACTTGATCTCCATTATTTTCTGTGAAGTCGTGGCCATTTACGGGTTGATCATGGCCATTGTCTTCTCCTCTAAGCTCGTGTCAGTTCCATCCGCTACCTTGTACAGCAAAGAGAATTTATACACTGGTTATTCGTTGTTCTGGGCTGGATTGACCGTCGGGATGTCCAACCTTATCTGTGGTGTCGCTGTGGGTATCACCGGTGCCACTGCTGCCATTTCCGATGCGGCTGACTCCTCTTTGTTCGTCAAGATCTTGGTGGTTGAGATTTTCGGCTCCGTTTTGGGGCTATTCGGTTTGATTATTGGGTTGTTGATGACCGGTAAGGCCCAAGAATTTTCCTAAGCCTCAATTGTATCGGCATGCCAATATCCAAGAGTCCTTGGTCGATTGACTCTTTGCCATATCCTTAGTTATTGAATGACTGCCACGTATATTCATCGAATAACCACTGACCCATTATGCTTTAGCCATCGAGTGGCTTCAGTTTGTCATATACTTTATTTCTATAGATAAGTCATCATTAGGACATGTAGAAATGCAACCTGATACGGCCACCAGAAAGGATTACAAAGACTCGAGTTGTCTTCGAGAACCATAATTTTTAAACCTTGGGTTCGCTCGGTTTAGCTTCAATTTAATCGGCTATAGATCGGTTCATCGCAGCCAAAACAGTGTATTCAGGGATCCGTAATGTAAGGCAATATATGATCTCACTTCTCTTCCAGGCTTTATATCTCGGATCTCTCCAAGCTTTACGACTAGGCCGCACGCTCCCCTATAAGCAGGTGGTCTGCTAAAGTTAAAGACGATTGAATTATTGCAGTTTTTACCAGTATCATCAATGAAGGTAACATAATTTACTATAGTAAAGCCGTTTTATTTGTTAATTGTGACTGTTTTCATCCTATTGAAATTGACAACTCCCACCACCGCCGTTACAACAGCTGGTTATCACATATCCCCTTGGAATCACGTGCCCATAGTGGCCCGTAATACGCCACACAAATCTTACCTCATTAGCATCAACTACAACACCTAACTTTTTTTATTAATAAAATTTCTTAGTTTAAGTAGTGAGATACTGCTCTTCTCCGAATAAACTAACAAAAAATACGGTGCCTCCGCTGCTTGCCTTAGCTCAAACTCGTACCCTACTCCCACCTTCGCATTTGCCCTCGCGTGGGTAGTGCCCCCACCCACTCCTGCAAAACATCGTCCTTGCCGTTGTCCATTCTGTTATATCAATTGCCACCCAGCACTCCTCACCCCTAATCCCAACACAAATATATTACTACCCATCACAATGTCCCCCACCAAAGAGGACGAACCAAAGATCGATGCCGTATCGGCCAAGGAGCCAAAGAAGGAGCCAAAGAACGACGCGGAAGAGCTCTCGGAGGAAGACGCGCAGTTGAAGTCCGAGTTGGAAATGTTGGTTGAACGGTTGCACGAAGCCAATGCTGAGCTCTACCAGCCGGCATTGGACAAGTTGAAGGAATTTATTCAAGATTCAACCTCATCTATGACCGCCGTTCCCAAGCCGTTGAAATTCCTCAGACCTCTCTACCCCCTGTTGTGTGAGTTGCACTCGCGCTGGACGGACTCCACGTTGCAGTCGAATCTTGCAGACGTCTTATCTGTGCTCGGGATGACGTACTCCGACACCGGCAACCATGAATCCTTGAAGTACCGCTTGTTGTCGCGCAACAGTGAGATCGGCACGTGGGGCCACGAGTACGTGCGCCACCTTGCGTTGGAAATTGGCGACGTGTACACGGAAAAGTTGGAGGCGGCCGAACCGGCCGATGACCTCTTGCGCTTAGCTCTCGACATTGTGCCATTCTTCCTCAAGCACAATGCGGAGGCCGATGCGGTTGACCTCTTGCTCGAGATCGAGGCCATCGACCACTTGCCGCAGTTCGTAGACTCCCTGACCTATGCACGTGTGTGCCTCTACATGGTGAGCTGTGTGCCGTTGTTGGCGCCGCCAGATGACTTGGCGTTCTTGAACACGGCCTTCCAGATTTACCTTTCACAGGGCCTGTTGACCCAGGCGCTCGCTGTAGCGATCAGAATTGACGACGAGAGTCTTATCCAAGCGGTATTCGATGCTACCACTGATGAGTTGGTCCACAAGCAGCTCGGCCTAATCCTCTCCAGACAGAATTCTAGTTTCAAGACCGACAACCAGGACGTCCAGGACTGCATCGCCAACGTCAAGTTGGCCGAGCACTTCCGCCACTTGATCACAGAGTTAAACCTTCTCGATCCCAAGGTCCCAGAGGATGTGTACAAGTCGCATCTCGAAAGCACCAAGTTTGGCATTGGCTCCGGCTCTGTCGACTCTGCTAAGCAGAACCTCGCCGCCTCCTTTGTCAACGCCTTCATCAACATGGGCTTTGGCAGCGACAAGTTGTTGGCCGAAAAGGACTCCAAGTCCTGGATCTACAAGACCAAGGGCGCGGGTATGTTGTCCACCACTGCGTCGCTCGGCGCCATCCATCAGTGGGACGTAAACGAGGGTTTACAGGTGTTGGACGCCTATTTGTACTCTGCCGAAGACGACATCAAGGCGGGCGCCTTGTTGGGGATGGGGATCGCCAGTGCCACTGTCCATGACGAGGTTGATCTGTCTTTATTATTGTTGCAGGACTATGTCACCAATCCCAGCAAGAAGATCCAGACCAGCGCTATCACCGGGTTGGGGATTTCCTTTGCTGGATCGAAGAATCCGGAAGTGTTAGACTTGTTGCTTCCGCTCGTCACCGACACCGACCAGCCAATCGAGGTTTCCGCCATGGCGGCCTTGGCGTTGGGGCACGTGTTTGTGGGCACCTGTCACGGCGAGATCACCTCCGCCATCTTGCAGACCTTGCTCGAACGTGACTTTGCCCAGTTGGAAAACAAATGGATTCGTTTCATGTCCTTGGGGCTTGGGTTATTGTACATGGGCAAGTACGAGCAGGTTGATGACGTCTTAGAGACCATTTCCGCAATCGAGCACCCGATTGCCAAGACCTTGAAGGTGTTGGTCACCATTGCTTCGTATGCCGGAACGGGTAACGTGTTACAGATCCAAGAGTTGTTGCAGATGTGTACTGCGAAGCCAAAATCGGAGGAGGAGACAGAGGAAGATAGCGAGGAAAAGGAGAGTGACGAGGCCGAGGTTAAGGAAGACGCAGAGGACAAGTCGGAAACCCCAGAAGGCGAGTCTGCTCAGGGCTATGCCGTGCTTGGCTTGGCCTGTATCGCCATGGGCGAACAGGTAGGTCAGGACATGTCCCTCAGACACTTTGCCCACTTAATGCACTACGGAAACCCGCTCATCAAGCGTGCCGTGCCCTTGGCAATGGGAATCGTGTCGGCCTCCAATCCGCAGATGAAAGTCTTTGACACGTTATCGAGATACTCTCACGACTCCGATTTAGAGGTTGCCATCAACGCAATCTACTCTATGGGGATCGTGGGTGCCGGAACCAACAATGCCAGATTGGCGCAGTTGTTGAGACAGTTGGCGAGCTACTACTCGCGCGAGCCAGACAGCTTATTCACCGTGAGAGTGGCCCAGGGGTTGGTACACTTAGGAAAGGGCACCTTATCGTTGAATCCGTTCAATACTGACCGCCAAATTTTGTCTAAGGTATCGCTTGCCGGTTTGTTGACCGTCGCGGTAACCTTGTTGGATCCTAAGTCGTTCATCTTGGACGAACACCACTCCTTATTGTATTACTTGACTCCGGCGATCAAGCCGCGCATGTTGGTTACATTGGATGAGGAGTTACAACCGATTAAAGTCAACGTCAGAGTCGGGCAAGCCGTTGACGTTGTCGGACAAGCCGGTAAGCCAAAAACCATCACCGGTTGGGTGACCCACTCCACCCCAGTGTTATTGGGCCACGGTGAGAGAGCCGAATTGGAGAACGACGAGTATATTTCCTTGGCCAGCTCCATGGAGGGAGTCGTGATTTTGAGAAAGAACCCCGAGTACGTAGAGATCGATTCGTAGGGTACTTTGTTTGAAGTGCTGAAAATAAACTGATTTGTATTTTTATTACATAAATATGCAGTAGGGCCGGATGAATGAAAATATGGGACCATATGAATTATAGCCAGGCATCCAGGTCAAAGGTCGATATATTACGCATAGAGTGGAGCGTATATTTAGACTGGAATTAAACTAATCTCACTGAGGGTAACAGGCAGCAAATGAGATTGGTTTCAGCAACAAACTTGAGCTATTCTCTGCTATAACACAAGTATTGAGAGCGATTGTTTTTTCGCTTCAAGAGTGTATGTTTGCCGGAGAGGTTACAGTTTTAGACTAGCGAAAGCCGAAGTTAATACAAAAGACCAGAACCACGATAATTACTTCTCAAAGTTCAATCTTCGTTGGCTAGGAAAGCTACTGCTATTAATACCATTAATGTTCGATAATTGGAAGTTACACAGAGAACTAGATGCTGAATACAGTCCTAACCAACAAATCGAGCAGTCACCCAATACCAATTCGTTATATTGATCAAAGGATACGCTTAGATGGTATTGAGACAAGCGTGGCCACAACAGAAATCACGGGTTGATATCTCTCAGCTCTACCATGCGATAGGGATTCCCATGGATAAACCTATTCGTGTTATTTCTCATATAAAGCGTAGTCAAGTGGAGGCATCGGTGTTTTAACATGTTCGAGCGATTTCGAAGTGGTTCCTGTCAGTTCTCCAGGCGAGGCAGGGGGGTCAAGGATAATGATGGGAGATCCGTTTCTACGTGAAACCTCCTCGGTTCCGCTTTCATGTTTCACCACTTTGACAAGTTTCTCGTCTCCCACCAGCAAACGCTGGAACAACAAGTCCCGCAACTCGTTGATATCGTGGTATGTATTCGCATTGGGACCATCTTCTTTCACACTAAAGTTCCATCCTACGGGCGGTGACGGTGGCGGTGAGATCAAGAACCTGGTGTGCGCATCCTCGGGTGGAAGTTGTAAGTACTCCAGAGCAGCAAATGTGGGCGGTAAGATCTCTTCAGCGCTTACACTGGTGAAATGGTTGTCTTTCGCCGAGAACGACACATGGCTGCGTATTGTAGAGACTCCGGTAGCCATAATGGAGTTATATACGTTCCTGGCAGTTTCCTGGGACGAGCAGACTACGAGAAGACGATGAAATGAAGGAAGTGGTACAAGATTGTACTCCTCGGGGTCTGAGTCCGAAACCAACACATCTTGGAGCAGCTGGAGAAGCTCGTCTAACTGGGCGTCGGAGTCTGGCGAGGTGGGAAGCGAGACAATTAAGGTGTTGGAGGTCTTTAATTTCGTCACTTCACTCATGAAAGTAGATGACATGGCTTGGCTGGATCATTACTGAGATGCTAAATTATGGAATCAGGTTGAAAATCGTGTAGTTATATAGCCTCAAGGCGCAGCTCTTAGATGCAGTGCAGAAATCAGGCATGATGCTGCGGTTGCTCGAATATATCTAGATAGGGAGAAGGCCTTCATTATGCCGCATTCTACGCCATCCAGTGAATGTCGTAAAAAATGGGGGTTAGAACTATCTCTATTGCTATGATTATGGTGAGGTAGCTCAAGTTATATCGTACTTCAGATGCTTTAGGAACACATATCCTCGTCACTTTAATTTTGTGGGGACGAAGATCTTCGCTTTCTACAACATAAGGGGCTAGATGAAGACAAAAAGTAGATTTAAGTATGTCAATGGTTGTGTGTAAGCTGAATATATTGGTGTGGAATAATCCAATTTAGCTGGCAAGGCGTCTTGTTGGGCGCAATAGTTCGACCGACGCACGCGTAAGCAAAGCCGATTCTCGCGAGTCCCTTCCATTCGGCCATATAGTGTAAAACTTTCGACCTAAAACCAACCCCTGGACAAGTCTGGTTTCCAGCGTAACGGACAAATATACAGATCCTTCCAAGAACTGTTTTGCGGCATACCGTCACAAACACTCCAAAACTTGGTACGAGTATCAAAATAGGAAGACCGAGAAGATAGACAAAATCCAGCGGGAAAAAAAGACCAAAAAGGAGAAAACCTTCAAATGATAAAAGGAGGATTACCAGGAATATTATACTGTCGAGCTTACAAAGAGAGGAAATGAAACAGAAGAACCTGCTGCTTGAATTAAAGCAGGGCCAGGGTTAGTAAACATCTATGGAAAATTCAGGTCCGATATGCCGTCCTCTATCTAAGCCTTGTTTTCTAGCCACAAGAGTAAGAAGCTCACAAGGGTAGATTGACAATAGCCCAAAGGTCGTGTCGAGGAATATTTACTTCGCTGAACAAATCAATTTGCTAATCATGGTAATTGGCCTCCCTTCCCCCAATCGGCTAACGGGAAAATTTTGGTTAAGTGGCCAGGAGAAAAAGACCCGGCGCTGCTCGCATCCCTCTTGGTCGCGACTAAATGAGCAGGCAGGAAAAATTGACTTCCATCTCTACATTCCCTGACAAATTAGACATAGATAAATATAAAAACCGGAAATAGAACGGAAAACAAAATGCAAGGAAAGAGATAGTCTTTCTCAAATATACAAAGGGCTCATTGTCGCTTTAAACGAACTAGCGATGCATTACTTAGCTTCAATCAGCAAGCTTAGCTTCATATAGCTCACTACGCAAACCATTTCTGAATCACCGTCTGTGCCTCCACTGGATATCTCCCTAACATCGCCATCGCCTCGGCCTGTGGAACAGTCCCCAACAACTGCTTGGTTGCACCTACAACTGCCTCCGCGGTCTTCCCGGCAATAGCCGCATGGACTAGCGCTTGGATCACCACATCAACTGTCTGCGCAACATCCGCGACACACGCGTGACCACTGGTGATCAACTCACTCAAGAAGACATAAGCAAACTGGGCCGCCTCGGTATCGTGCAAGACTGGCAAAGCTTTGACCCACTGGGCCAAGACCGCATCCAAGTTAGGAATACTCGCGCCGTAGGTGCGTGCGATCTTGGCGACGGCGGAGACCGCATTGTCGGTGGCATTCACGTTCTCATCAGAACGCGCACCTTGCCCCGTGATGATCGCAAACAACGGCTCCAAAGCCGCCAACACAAACTGCGCGTACTGCTCGCCACCGTGCTGCGCCGCGGCCCCCACAGAGAACGCACACGATTGGCGGATCGCAGCATCACTCGACGCGAGGCCCTCGCCCACTGCGTTCAAGAAGAGGTCCTTGAAGTGGTAAGAATCCGTCCCGGTATTCTCTAAGAGGTCAGAAATAATACAAATACCTGCGAGTTTGATTGCGGCATTCGAATCGTTAATGTAGGCCGCGACAATTGGAACCAACTTCTGGAAGCCCGGTACAAATGCACCCTTACACGCCTTGAAGACCGACCCGATGGCACGGTTCAACTCGTCTAAGATTTCCTCATCTGTGTACTCCTCCTCCTCATCGTCAACGTTTTCGGTATACTCATCATCACCAGCATCGCGCGCGGAAATGCGCTGGTGGATGTCGGTCATGTTGACCTCAACCGCCTTGACAAACGCGTCGAGCTGAGTGGATGAGAGGCAGTTTGGCCCAAGGGTATCGACAGAGACAACGATCGCGGTATAATACGAGATGATCAACTCAGTCACCGGCTCATTGGCCAACGCGTCAAACAACTTGTCGACCGCAAGCGCCCACAAAGCGAGAACCTCTGGAGACGTCTTTGCGCCCGTGGCTGCGATAGCGCAGCGGAGCAACGCCGGAATGCACATCGCCGCGGAGTGGCGCACACCGTCGTGAAGATAGAAGTCGAACGCCGGCATCACGATCTCAGTCGCAATCTCCTGGACGTACGGGTAGAAGTCGCCCTTGAGCACTTCCGCATAGGTTCTGAGAAGGTCCATCGCGGACGCCTTGTCATCAAGCACTGCTGTATGAACCGCAATGTGCTTACCAGAGAGCTGGATCACGTCCCAGGCCTCGTTCTGGCCCAATTCCTCGGCCTCATCCTCCTCCAAGAGGGAAATATCCTGAGTTGCTTTTGCGGCGATAAACAATGGCGGCAAGACACCTGGAAGATACGGAAGGAAGTCGGCGCCAATGATGCGGCAGACTCTTCCCCAACCCTGCTCAAGGTATGGCTTGACCGCATCGTCCTCGTCCACAGTCTGTTCCTGGATGTGGGCAAAGATCTGGATGAGTTCCGCGCAGTGGGGCGCAAACTTCTCTTTCCCAACGGCGGTGGCGATCAAGGTCGAGCACTCAATGCATTTGGCCTTCAAGAGAGAGTGCTCTTTGTCGGTGTCGGTCTTCAAGACGTTGAACAACAACGGCATCAATGTGTCGTAGTACTTGACAAACTTCTTCTCAGCGGCATCGGCAATGATGGCGATGGTGGTGAGAACCTGCTCTTGGACGTATTTGTGCGGCGACAGCAACAACTGGAGGAGGTTGGTCAACAAGTCGTCTAGGTATGGCTCGAGCACGTCCTTAGACGCGTTTTCAGAGAAGTTAACAAGCGCGGCCGCTGCGTGCGCCTGGACACGCGGAATAGACGCGCCCGTGAGCTTGGAGACGAGTGCCGGAATGATGCGGTCGCCCGCGGTCTTCTGGATCACGTCGGAGAAGTCGGTGGAGATCTGCCCAAGCGCGTTGCAGCATGCGTACTGGACGCGCGGATGGGCGTCGTTCAAGGATGGAAGGATCATGTCGAGGATCTTTGGGATCTCGGTGATGAGCACATCGCAGCAGCCCTCCGCAGCCGCGGAGAGAGCCATGAGTGCGGCCTGGCGTTCGCGCCATTCAGCAGACTGAAGCATCTGCGGGAGATACTGGAACAACGGTCCCGCAAGACACGCACCACCAAGACGGAGTGCGACACGGTCCAATGCCTGGCGTGCAGCATCGTATTCTGGCTCGTCATCATCGTCTGCGTCATCTGCCGCGGCCCAGTCCGCAGCTTCGTCGTCATCAATGCACACCTCAGTCATCAAGCTGAGACACTGGACCACCATCGAAGCGGTGTAAGACGGCTCCTTTTGACACATTTTCGGGGAAGTTTCGGAAAACGTGGTGAGGAGCTCCAAGGCTGCCATACGTGCAGCCGCGTCGAGCTCCTTGTTCTTGGACACCATGCCACAGAACTCGATGATGGACGAGAAGAGAGGTTGGAACATCTTTGGCGCGAGCTCGACAAGCTCGATGAGGGACTCAAGTACGGATGCAAGCGCATTCTCCTCGCCACTCTGGAGGAACTTTGGAAGAGAATTCAACAAGTTAGGCAAGAGCGGGGAAAGGGCTGGCCACGCTTTCTTTGGGAGGTTCTGAAAGAACGCGACGAACGCAGTGCACGCGGCAATGCGCACGTCGTCGTTCGCATCGTCAAAACCCGCGGTGAACACCGGAAGTACCAGCTCGACGAAGCTCGAATCGATGAGCTCGGGCGCGGCCGCGAGAATACGAAACGCAGACTCACGGAAACTCGCATCCGCGCCTTGCGTCGCCGCAAAGAGCGCTGGGAGGAGCTCCGGCCACGACTCGGACGCCGGGAGGTCTTCCTTCGCAAGCTCAGAGATCGCGTCCGCGAGCTTGTGGCGAATGCCGTTGGTCTGCGGCGCGGAGAAGCCCGCGAGTAACGTCGCGCGGAGCTGCGCCTTGACGGCGTCGGAGGTATAGCCAAGGTTGCGATCGGTGACCGAGGTAGTCTCCTCTGGGCTTTTGATGGCGATACGGCGGAAAAGCACCGCAGCAAACGCGCGCGCGGCCTCAGTTTCGCCCTGTGCGGCCTGCTCCGCGAGGAATATCAAGAGCATCTCCACGCGGGCCTTCTTGGTCCACTCGGAAGTGAGCGACTTCTCGGCGGCGGCTCTCGTGGTGTTGTCCACAGAAGAGAGTCCGGCCATGAGTGTCATGAGCATCGCATTGATATCAGCGGGTAAGGCAGACATGGCGAAAGGTGGTACAATAGGTGGAGCAAAAAAGTGTTAAGTGCTAATCAGATCGGTTCTGTTTTGCCGACGCGGATAAAAAATGAATTTTCAGGGACAAACATCCGTGTGAACTAGCGCGCGATATACGAGGCAAACTAGGACCGGCCAGACTGTCTATAAACAATTATTTCGGAGTTGTTACTCATTATTATTTTGTACTATTCTTAAAAAGAAATTGTCATTTATTTTGGCTATTTCCTGGATTTCGTACTTATTTTGGGCGTATTCCCCTCCTAAAGCACCGCCCAATGGTGGCTGAGTGCACACCACGTTTCTTTTTTTTTCCACACTCGATCACGTGTTACTGTAAACGTAGTGACAAGTTGGTGGGTTGAAGGTTTGGTGTAGTTGAGCATCGATGTGCCAGGGGTATAATAAAAGGAGAATCGGGATCAACACCATAGAGACTTTGGCTTGCCCCACTTAATTCCTAGTTACCGTCGTATTATAGACTGGCGTACATATAATTAATTGCTTATGGAAGGTCGTGAAAATTTCTAGGTAGGACTTTAGGAAGACACCAATAGCAGCGGTCGCTTAACGACTGAATGGAAGCTTTAATGCTCGTGGATTCGTAGATACCGTACGAAGTCAAGCGCATATGACCTTTCGGAGTCCTCTAGCGCATAAAGAAAAAAACCGCATTGTCACATGGAAAATTAAGAACGAACCATGGGGTTTTGCGTTATTGTCTAAGCGCAGTAAGCCCCGTAGGTATCCCTCGCTTTAGATCCAATCGTGTATAACAGAGATAATATGCCGTAATCT